GGCAAAATCTGCAGAAGCTGAACACATGTACATCTTATGACCCAGAAGTCCTGCTTCTAAGCGCATACTCAAGAAACACGCATTAGTATGCCAGGCACCAAAAGACAGGGACAAGAATACTTTGGACTGGTAGTGAGGCATAATCAGTAAAGCCACCTCCGTGATGCCAGCATCCCACTGTGGGCATCCCTGGCTGCCCCACTTCCCATCCAGCCTCCTACTAACGGCCTGGGAAAAGCAGCAGAAGATAATCCAAGGGTTTGGGCCCCTGCCACTCCTATGGAAGACTCAGAAGAAGCTCCTGGCTCCCAGCTTCAGACTGACCTGGCTCTGATAGTTAACAACTATTTGAAGAGTGAATCAGCAGATGGAAAATCTCTCTCTCTCTCCCCCTCTCGCTTTTTCTTTCTCTTTCTTCTGCCTGGTACTCTGTCTTTTGAATAAAATAAATAAAATCTTCTTTTTTAGAAAAAAGGAGGGATTTCCATCTTGTTCGTTCCCCCTCCGTGCTCTCTGTTCTTCTCACCTCCCTCCCGTTCCACACTGATGCATCCACCTGCCAGGTCGTGAACGCCCGACTATGGGAAGGCCTCATGGCAGCAGACCAAGGGCACGATCCCAGGTTCTCATGGCTCCAAGGCCTTCTCTCCAACGCTTGGCAGGAGTGGGCCTGGCCACGAATCCTGCCCAGCCATACAGATGACCGTGGCCCTGACTGATACTCTGGCAGCTGCCTTGGGAGACTACGGAAGGGGTGGACACTGGTAAGCCAAGCCCGGATTCCTGACTCACGGAGACAGTAACTCTATCTTCACCAGAAATATCCGGATATTTTGCTATGCAGCAGAAGACAACTAACACAAAGTATTAAGAGAGACTGACTTCCTTCCTGATGGATAATTTTGTCAAGACATTTTTCAAATATTCCAATGAATCCAAATGTCATCTCTATCATTCCCTGACTTCACACATGTACTCACATATATGGTTGGCTTCTCTGTTCAAGCTGCATTTATCTGTCAGTTCCTGTGCTAAAATTGTGTTGATAATGTGGCTTTACAATATGTCCTGATCTCTACTAAAATAAGCCTCATTTCCACGCTTTTCTTGACTATTCTCAAGCATTTATCTTGAGCACAGTGTTTATTTTAGCCAATATAAAATACCCTTGGATGAATAAGAATTTTATCATACTTACATTTTAATTTGGGGAGTCTTGACATTTTCACGATATTGAGTCTTCCCACATGGGAATGTATCTTTTCATTTGCTCACATTTTGTTTTATGGCCGTCATAAAATTTTATAGCTTGCTTTATCGAGGGCTTGTGCCTGGCCATTTTCTTTCCGCTGCTGTTAGGATCAGAATCTTTCGCCCACGTCTGTCTGCAGTTTCCTCCATCTGTGGCTAGAATGGAGAAAAGCCGCGGATGGGTATACAGGCACCTAGGGACAGAACAGAAAGAGGTATCTAAAGCATGTAATTTGATCTTTTTGCAATCTCGTAGGAGCGATTAACATTATGACTTTTTCTCCAACGTTTATAGACTTAAGAAGATTCAGCTGGTAGGCTCTGTTTGTCCTGGGTGGAATGAATTCAGCCCCGTCTGGCTTCGTCCAGCCTCTCTCCAGAGTGGATTTACATTACACAGAGCTTACACAGTGCCAGGAGGCAAGGAGCCCTTGGCACTCACTTCCATCTGCGACAACTGGCATCTCCCAAACATCCCCCAGGGTCCTGCCCCTTGTCTTCACTCATCTCTTCAACTCACCCTACTTTCTTCCCTGATCATGTCATCCACACCTGGTCTCGGTTGCATTAACATAATATCTCAGACTGGGTAAATGACAAGCAAGTGTATTCACCTCAAGTGTCTCAGGTGGGGGCAGTCCAGGAGCAAGGTGCAGCATCAGGCTAGGGTCTTTCTCACCACATCGTAGCACAGTGGCAAGCTTCGTACACCAAGAAAGCAAACGTGTGCAAGCTCGGGCTTCTCTTCCACTTCCAAGAAAGCCACTGATCCCAGCACGGAGCTTCAGCCTTGTTGATTTTGTTTTTAAGATTTGTTCATTTACTTTTATTGGAAAGGCATATTTACAGAGAGGAGAGACAGATACAGAAGGTTCCATTTGCTGCTTTACTCTACAAGAGTTAAGCTGACCTGAAGCTGGGAGCCAGCAACTTCTTCCGAGTCTCCCGTGTGGGCGCAGGGTTCCAAGGACTTGGGCCATTCTCTGCTGCTTTCCCACATCACAAGCAGGGAGCTGAATCAGAAGTTGGGGCAGCCAGGACACAAACTGGTGCCTACAGGGGATGCTGGCATTCCAGTATAGAGGAGTAGCCTGTTGAACTGTGGCGCTGGCACCAACCTTGAAATTTCTAATGTTGTTTACCTATCAGAAGCCCTCACAACTGTGAACATATGAAGATGGAAAATCAATTTCTAACACATAAACTTGGTGGGCACATTCAAGCTATGGCAATCTCCATCTCTAGCTCCCTCTCTGTTTTCAGTGCATGTCTTTCCTCTCCTCTCTCTCTCTTGTTTTCTCCCAATTAACTATCTATATCTTTACGTCTTCCAAGCCAGTCATACACACTTAAGCACATGGTAAGCATGCACCCATTCCATGTGACACTGGATGTTAGAAAATTCCTGAGGAGCAGGCACTGTGGTGCAATGGGCTTTCAGCCTGCAGTGCTGAGGTATCCCGTATGGGCACTGGTTTGAGTCCCCGCTGCTCCACTTCCGATCTAGTTCCCTGTTTATGTATCTGGGAAAGTATATTAACAGGGAATTAGTGAACCAGCAGATGGAAGATCTCTCTCTCTCTCTCTCTCTCTTTCTCTTAAAAAAAAGGGGTGGGGGAGAACCAATTCAATGATTTGATGGCTAAATCCTCACCTTGTAAGTGCTTGGATCCCATGTGGATGTTGGTTCATTTCCTGGTTGCTCCTTGCTCCATTTCCCATACAGATTCCTGCTGATGGCCTGGGAAAGCAGTGGAGGATGTCTTAAAGCCCTGAAATCCTGCACCCATGTGGAAGACCTGGAAGAAGCTCCTGGCTCTTGGCTTCGGATCGGCTCAGCTCCAGTTGTTGTGGCTGTTTGGGAAGTGAACAAGCGGATGGAAGATCTTCCTCTCTGTCTCTCTTTATCTGTAAATCCGACTTTCCAATAAAAATAAATGCATCTTTTTAAAAAAAGATGAAAAGAAAGGCAATTTCTGAACCCCCTCTTCAGCCCACACATAGCATGCAGGTAGAGTCGTGCTCCTTGCCCAGGCTCTCACCAGGAAGCAAGGCACAGACGCCCTCTCTCCTGGCTCTGCCCAGCCCATGCAAGGTCCTGTGCTTGAGTGACGTGTTGCAGGCAGGGAGCCTTTCTCAGGAAGCTGCAGCTGCTCCTCCTTGTCCCTTCTTTTTGCATTCATTTTCTCTCTGATTCATTTGCCAGACAGACAGGCCAAGTGAGGACCTCTGCTGGTTCACTCCCCAGCTGCCTACAAACGCCGGCTCAGGGCCGGAGTCGGAGCCAAGCACCAAGAACTCACTCTAGGTCTCCCACGTGGGGGTCGGGGAGTGACCTGCGCCCTCCCTGCTGGGTCCCTGCTGTCCCAGGCAGTTGGAGTCAGGCGTCTGGAGCCAAGGCTCCAATCCAGGCACTCCCTCGTGGTGCCCACGCATCTCATCCACTAGGCCAAGGCTTGCTCCTTCCTTGTCCCCTCCAGCCTGCTTCCTAGTCAAGTCCAGGCATCTGGTCCTGGACATTCTTCGTTGTTTCAAATCTAGCCTCATTCCTCCAGTTCTCTGAAAACCCGGAAGAGCCTTCAGGGAACCTCTTTCTGTTTTTTCCATCCTTCTTTGAGGTATTCAGTGCAGCCATCTTTGAAAGGCAGAGGGGTCTCAAGGGAATAGAAGATTCTGGAAAGACCCACGCCCATGTCCACAAAGAATCCCATTGCTTCTGCAGGCCTGAGGGGTGGAGGGGACAGCAGAGGAACTGCAACGAAGAGAGCACCGGGGAGTTGGGTTCCCAGGAGACAAGACAGGAATGGATTCTGTTGTCTTCACTATGTTTTGCTGGGTTTTACAAACTACATGCATGTGTTTACACACACTAACTTCTCTTTGCGTGTACTTGATATTCTATGAAAGCCGAATCCATTGCATGAGAAATGACTGCCTATGTAGGCATAATTAACCAGCACAGTGTATAGAATCCAAACGTCCATGTGCAAAAGCAGAAAGTACACAACAAACTTGCTTCAGATCTCAGGTTGCTGTCTCCAGTGGCAAGCAATGGTTTTTGTCACCAACTTAGGGTTCCTGGGCAGATCTGCAGCTGTCAGAACAGCTAAGCATGAAGTTGACAACCAAGCAAACCCAAGTCTTCAGGATGTGATGGACACTTTTGAAGCAGTTGGGTTTTATGGGTGGAAATGGAATTGGTGTCTCGGGATGAGGAAGAGGCGGGGAGCCAAGGAAAGAACGGCTCTTCTGGGAGACAGGCTTTAACCATACTCCCAGCGCACACACTGCACCCCACCGTTGGTTTCACGCTGAGGAGTGGCCAGCGCTGTGTTCTTGTCACTCCGTCACCGGAAGGTGAACTCCGATTCCAGTTGCATCTATCATACCCTGAAGGTTGAAGACGCTCGTGACAAATTGGCACATCATTTGGCACATGGCACCTTCTCCATAAATGGCCTCTGTTAGTAAAAACCTCTATGCTAGACAAGCTCAGGGCTCTCTCTCCGTGCCGGAAGCCCTGGTCGAAGGGACCACAGGCAGGTGGGGACGCCGCCCGCAGTGAGTGAGGATGGGAAGGGCGGAGGCAGGTAGAGGTGGCGCCCGAGCCTTAGAGTCTGCGACCGGCCCAGCAGCCAGGGGCGGAGTCTCCTCCAGGGCCGGAGAAGGCGGTGGCGGTGGCCGCGGCCGCGCGGTCCCCCGGGAGGACACGGAGGGACCTGGCCGGTCCCGAGGCTGCCCTCGGCGCAATGGAGAGCGCCGTCCAGGGGTCGGGGCCGTGGCCTCCATTCCGGCTCCTCCTTCTCCGGGTGGCGGCGATGCTAGGGACGCTCGTGCCACAGGTGAGAGCAGAGACGGATGCGGAGCCTGCAGATTGGGTCGGCAGGTGACCTGGGGCAGGCTCGAGGTGTCGGAGGCGGGAAGGGAAGCAACTTCCGAACTAGGGCCACAGATCGTCCCAAGTGCGCCCCTTAGGTAGTAAAAGCCTTTCAGGTTTGGGGAGTCGTCAGTTGCTTCCCACAATCACTTACCCAGGGTGGCGTGCCAGCGTGGAAGGGCGTGGGTGAGGGAGCGGCCGGCCTCTGCTGCAGGGAAAGGAAGAGGGGGGGTGTGATGTGCACAGCACTGGGGAGGGGGCGGCCTGGCTTACAATTCCTGGAGCACTCAGTTTCCTTTGAAAAGATCCATGTAAAGGTTGGGGAATGCACTGAGCCTGCGCACTCACTTTTGGAGCCAGCCTCAGGCCCTCACCCCCAGCAGACAGACCAGATCCCAAGACCAGAAAGAGGGTCTGGGATAAATGAACCAGAGGCGCTGTGAACATCTGGTCTACCTTTGTGGAGCGCATCAGAGAGCAAGCTCAGAGACACGCAGCTTGAAGACCAAAGGAGGCAAGGCTGGCATCCTACCACCCCCGCCACCACCACCAGCATGGAGCCCGCATAGAACTAAGAGGACCAAGGCAGGGGCGGCCACTCTACCCTTCTCCCTAGCTCCCAAGGGTCCAACCCATGGTTGCCAAGGAACGATGGTGAGCCAGATTGCAGCCAGTTCCAGTGTTTCTGGGGGGAAAAGTTAAAATGCGGATTTTTAAAAAGCAGATTCTCCCTGTGTTTAAGATGTCACACTAGTTCAAAGTTTTAAACACCGTGGTGGTCACTCAAACCCAAGGCCGGGCAGCCTTGGTCACCGACCTTGTCTCTATTCTCTCTCCTGCTGTGTTGCAGGTGACAAAACCAGGGCCCAGAAAAGGGAAACTAGCAGGCCGTCTCCTAACTCCTCACCACACCCCAAATCTGGGAGGAGAGAAGCTCTGGAGGCAGGATGTGGCCCATGCCGGGGTGCAGCTGGGGCACCCGGATGTTGGCGTTCCTGCTGTGTGGTCAGCCTCACCCTGTTTGCTCAGGGAGGGGCTGGAACAGACGAGGAAGCCTGGCAGGGCCCGGACGTCAAGGTGGCTTTGGGCCGCCCTCCCACAGCCACCCCCAAAGCCTTGGTTTAGGGACCCAGGGAAGCTTGGCACCGAAGACAGCTGGGCTAGTTTGGGGAGACCTAAAGGGGTCATCCCCAATGGGACAGACATAGTGACCATCAGACACAAGGCGATGCAAGTCCTCGATTTGTCATGTTCAGCGTCTGCGCCTCTTTAGGCCACTTTAGCTAAGTGTGCCAGCCTCAGTCTACCATACCTGTGCAGTGGGTACAGTAGTGGTGCCAATCTCACAGTGAGGCCCTTGGAGTCAGGGAGTGACTCTGAAAAGGCTTTTAGTTTTCTCGGAAAACCAGAAGGAACCTGGAGAAGGACAAGAAAGGTCATAGGAGTTAGACACTACCCCTCAAACCCCAGCTACCCCTGGATCGCCCCTCCAGGGACTAGGAGGTGATGTGGTCCTCCTCTGGAGGAGGGAGAATCACAGCCTGATCAAGGAGCAAGCACAAAGAGCTGCCTTTGTTTCCCTCCCACCGACTGCAGGCCTACACCCTGAGCCCGGAGAGCCTCCTACTGGTGGCCACCTTGGATGGAAGCCTGCACGCTCTCAACAAAGACACGGGGGACTTGATGTGGACCTTGAAGGATGGTGAGCGAGCAGCTCCTGCCCCTTTGAGCCCCTGCTTTGGGCAAGGGAATCACTTGAGCTAAGAAGACAGGCTCTAGTATCCCGCAAACCAGGGCCTGCAGGAAGCTTCCTGCTGACCCAGCCTTCGCCTCCCTGAGCCTCAGTATCCTCACCTGTCAAATGGGGTGAAGGATAATGACCCTGCCTCCTGGAGTTCTTGGAACTCTGGGGGATGTTGTCTTGGTGTCAAATGTCAGGCTTGGCATTGGGTACCCAGTCAGCACCCAGGAAGTGTGAGCTATACTGTTCAATGAGGGTCTGGAGGGGGCTATTCATGACCCATGTCCTTGTCCTCCTGCAGATCCCATTATCCAAGGACCAATGTATGTCACAGAGTGAGTGCACCCAGGGCCTGTTGGGGACAGGGCGGCTGGGAGAGGGGGCAGCCGCCGTGGTTGTTGGGGAACCACCGTGGCGGGGCTCATGTTGGAAGTACAGGAAGAGGATGGGTTCTAGGGTTGATGCGGTGTGCTGAGCAACTCCATGGTATTGGCACTGCAAGGACAGGCTGGGAAGCTGGAGAGAATGGAGGGCTTCCTGAAGGAGGAGGCAACCTGAGCCTAACCTTCTCCCCGTTCCACTCTGCTCCACAGAACGGCCTTTCTCTCTGACCCAGCTGACGGCAGCTTGTACATCTTGGGGACCCAGAAGCAACAGGGGTTAATGGTGGGTGTCCTGTTGCATCCAGGGGAGAGAAAGGGTAGGACCTGCGTATATGACACTGCCTTCCCAAGCACCTAAGAGAAGCAGAGCAGCTGGGACTCGAATCGGTGCTCTGACGTGGAATGCCAGTGTTGAGCCAGAACCTAGGTGGTTTTATGAAAGGGATTGCAGACCCACATGTAGACAGCGTGCTAGATACTGGCAGTGGATAGAGCAATATTTCGTGGCCTCTCACTGTGTGGGTACCACATGCATCCCTATGCCATGGAGGAAGGGGCGGGAGCTGTTATCACAACCTGAACCAGAGGGAGCTACACAGAGGGTGCCAACTGGAGGGACGCAGCCAGCCTATGGGGACTCCATCGAGGGCAAACCAACACACATGGGGCCTGAGCTCAGCCTGCCCTCCACTTTCCTCAAACCCACTGAGAAGCTGGAGTGCAGGACACCCAATCCCGTAACCCAGACACAGCCAGCTCCCAGGCACGAGCGAGGCAGAGAGAGGGGAGGAGAGGGGATCTCCTCCCTTCACAGACAACACAAGGGTAGTATCCCTTTGTTGCTAGCATGACTCTCGGTCGAGTCTTCACGGTCACGGAGGGTTTTTGAAGTTTCTCAGTGTGCTTTTGAAGAGGTTATCAAACCAGGACCACATGGATGCATGGCATCTTGGCCGTGGGATTTTTGGTTATGCCTGTTAAAGGCTACATGGTAAACAGGTTATGAGTGCTGGCTCTGGAGGCTGATGGCTCGGGTGCAAGGCCTGGCATTCTGGAAAGGCTGTTAATCACGGCACCTAAGGGCTATTCTGGAGATGGACTCACTTGAGAAGGGCTGCCCCTCATGGTGAGTGCTGTGTGTATGTGTATATGTTTCTGAGCTTTCTAGAATTTGTCCTTCTCCTTAGAAACTTCCATTCAGTATCCCAGAGCTGGTGCATGCCTCCCCCTGCCGCAGCTCCGATGGGGTCTTCTACACAGGTGAGCACCTCTTCGACCTGTGGAGGTCCAGGTCCAGCCACATGGACAGGGGCTTCAGTGGGGAGGGAGCAGCTTGGATGCAGCCATGCCAGGATGCAGCCCTCTTCTGCGCCATCTTGAAAATTGGTGCACCCTCCGCTTGTACAGGCCGGAAACAGGATGCCTGGTTTGTGGTGGATCCTGAGTCAGGGGAGACCCAGCTGACCTTGACCACCGACGGTCCCTCTACTCCCCGCCTCTACATTGGCCGAACACGTGAGTCAGCCCCTGGCAGCTCTCAACCCATAGGCTGCTCCATGAGCCCTGGGCAGCCCTGCGTTTTGTGCTTTCCTGGCTGCCAATTGCTACCTAAGTGGATTCTAGGCCAGACGATCCATCAGTCTTCAACAAACATTCCATTGAGTACTGTTGGGAGAAGAGGGAAAGAAAATATAGAAAGATGGCCCTGGCTTCTCCCATTGCTATGTTTACCTGGTTGGTAAGCACTCCAGTGAGTTCAGTTGATGAGTTCAGTTCCCCAAGCACTGAGTGCTGGGGAAACCTTACAGGAGGAATGACCCCTGGGGTGAGAGACACATCACATGGGCCTTCCTCCTGGTGACCTTGTCTTTGGGGGTTCCCAGAGTACACAGTTACCATGCATGACCCCCGGGCCCGGGCCCTGCGCTGGAACACCACCTATCGCCGCTACTCAGCAGCCCCCATGGATGGCTCACCTGGGAAATGTGAGTGCTACCTGCCCTTGGTTGGCCCTACCTTGGCACAAGGGCTGCAACTCAGGGAATGCCGAGAATGGCATGTGTGATAGAATCCCATCACATTCTGACCCATCAACCTCCTCACCCACTAAATGACAACCCTGGCCATGGCCCTGAATGACCCCCCTCAATCCCTGGACTGCCCCCTGTTTTCCTGGGCCATCCCTTAGTATCCCGACTCTCCTAGACAACCCTAACCAGGGAACTCTTACTAACTTTCCAAGTCCCGAGTGATCCTAAATGGCAAACGTGCACGCGCACACGCGCACACTCACACACGCACACACACACACACACCTGAGCAACTCCCTGTGTCCTAACTGATCCTTCCCTGTTGAGGGACCTCCCAACAGATGATAACCTTGGCCACTCCCTCGACACTGTACCTGTCCAATCCAGCTGCTCGAGTGACCTCCCTGGCGTCCCTCCTAACCCCTTGAACCCTGACTGTCGTTCTGTCTGAGACCCCTCGTAGGCCACCCTGCCACGTCACAAGCGGCACCTCATTCCCTCCACACTCCCATGTGACCTGCTGGCTTCCAGACTACCACCCTTAGTGACCCATTCTGGTGGTCGCCAGTCAGAGCATGAGTGACCACCCTGAGTCACCCCTGGATAATCTTGACTGATCTCTAACCCTGTGAACTCTGACCTTCCCTTGTCCCTGCAATCCTTCAAGTACTCTCCTCTATCCTGAGTGACTCCCGCCCCATCCCACCCGATGCCCCATTCTCAGGGGGCTCTAGGGCCATGCTCAAATGCCAGGAGAGGGAGGTTGCAGAAGGATGTGATGAGTGAGGTGGTGAGTTCAGGTGTGAGAAACAGCTCTTGGCAGAGGTCTGGGCTGCACACAGCTCTGGCAATAGACACGTTAGCATTTTGATCATGATTGTTGCCTTACAAACCAGCCCAAGACTTAGAGAACTCACCAACCACATCTCCTCGGGTATCTTTCTTGGCAGACATGAGCCACCTGGCATCCTGCGGGATGGGCCTGTTGCTGACGGTAGACCCTAGCAGTGGCATGGTGCTATGGACACAAGACCTGGGTGTGCCTGTAACAGGCGTGTACACCTGGCACCAGGATGGCCTACGGCAACTACCCCATCTCACCCTGGCTCGGGATACCCTGCACTTCCTCGCTCTCCGCTGGGGCCACATCCGACTGCCAGCCGCGGGCCCCCAGGATGCAGCCACTCGCTTCTCCGCCTTGGACACTCAGCTTCTGTAGGTGCCCAGACCTGGGGCCTAGGGGTAAGGTAGGGCTTCTGAAGGTGGAACAGCCAGGTATAATACTTAGTGTTGCACACAGATGTGGGTTGAACTTGGGTGTCCCAGGGGCCGCTGGATAACCCCATTGTTCAGCAACTGGTAGGATGAACTCTGGCCGGGGAGGATGGCGCCAGGTCTTGGCCTGTTCTGAGTGGCAGGTGCTACAACTGTTTGGTTGTTAGACACTTTAAATATCAGCTTTCCTCATAGCACTTGACACCTCAGTGTCTCCCAAGATGGAAAACATACTGAATAATCAGGGGTTGCCTACTCATTTAATTCATTTCTCCAGATATTAGTGAAACATTTCTACGTGCCAGGTTTTAAAGATACAACATAAATCATACAGTCCTCATTTCTACCTGTAGGAATCTCCAAGCCTAATGTGGGATGCAGACATGCTAAGGACCAAATAGGATATAATATGATCAAGACTGACATAAGAGAAGGTTACAATGCCATGGGAATTTTCGGAAGGGTTATCCAGGGCAGGGGGCAGCGTGGAAAGCTTCACAGAGGATGTGGTAGCTAAGCTGAAAGGATGAGCAAGAAAATGTGGCATCCAGGGATATATATATATAAATAAAATGAAAGCTAATGATTAGATCTGAGCAAAAGATGAGGTGTGGGCTGGACAGAGATTTAAAAGTGGTGACAATAGTTCATGCCTGTTTTGTTGCATTACAAACCACCCCAAATCTTAGACAACGGCCATTGGTTCTTGTCAATATTCCAAGAGGCAGTGCAGTCAGCTGGTGCCTAGGACGGCCCTGCTGGCCTCTGCACAGTGGGTGGAGAGTTTGGCCTCAGGGTACCAGACCTGAGTTGTTCATCAATACTCCATGAGGTCCCCTGCCCCAGTAAGCAAACCTGAATTTTTTACATGCAGCTCCAGTTCTAAACAAGAACACAAGAGGGCATGTTCTCCAAATTCCTTTTCCAAGCCTGTGTTTGTGTCATGCTTGCTGTTGTCTCCATGGCTAAAGCAGGTGACTTGGCCAAGGCCAGTGGATCACACAAGAGCACATAGGAACTGCAACTACCCTCTACTGTCTCTCATCTCTCTCCCCTCTCTCTTCTTCCCACTAGGATGACACTGTATGTGGGAAAGGATGACGCTGGCTTCTATGTATCCAAAGCACTGGTTCACACTGGGGTGGCCCTTGTGGTGAGAAGGGGGTCACTGAGTGGGCTACCAAGAGGGGGTGGGGTAAAAGGAGAACCCCCACCTCACTCATGGCTCTCCATCTTCTGCCACAGCCTCGTGGATTGAGCTTGGCCCCCACAAATGGCCCCACCACCGAGGAGGTGACAGTCCAAGTCTCGGGGGAGCGAGAAGGCTCGCCCAGCACGGCTGTCAGATACCCTTCAGGCAGCGTGGCTCTCCCCAGCCAGTGGCTGCTCATTGGTAAGATTCCCCTAATGAAGATAAAAGATGTGGGGGCCAGGGTTACCGCTGAAAGGCTGAGCTCACACACTTCCCCACCCTTGACTTTGGCCATGCCCTTTAGGTCACCACGAGCCACCCCCCGTCCTGCACACCACCATGCTGAGGGTTCAGCCCAATTCAGGGAGTGGGTCTGCAGAGACAAGGCCCCCAGAGAGCACCCATGCCCCAGCGCTGTTCCTGGAGGTTAGTACTGAAAGAGTACAGGGTTCGGAGGGTGCTTAGCAGGTGGGTGAGCAGTTCTTGGAACTTCCTTGAATTGTTAGGAATAACACCTGGGCTTGGGTTCAGTGTTTTTATTACTACCAGACATGCTAAAAGTGTCCAAAAAAGATATTGACCACCTAATGAAACATGGGTCAGGTTTTTTTTTTATTCTTTCTTGGTGGAAAAATTGTTAAACGTTCATGAGGTGAGACACTAACAACAGGGAAAATTTTTTTTTGAAATGCATATTTTTCTGGGAGAGTTGGACCAGAGCAGCTAATAGTTCAAAGTTAGGAGGAGCAGCCAGGACCTGGAACAATTGCTCTCAAATCCAGTTTGATCTTCTGAATAACTTGGAGCCCCTTCCAGACCCGCTAAGTTTAGAACCTCTCAGGGTGGGTGCCTGTGTTTCAAAGCTACCTTAGGCAATGCTGCTTCTCTGTGGGATTTAGGAAACCACTCCTGTGGGTACCATGACAGTTCAGGACCACGGAGAGTGCCACGTCCTCCCCCGCAACTCCCACCCCTTCACAGCCCCTTCCACTAAGGCCGGCCTTGGACTGGGTGGAAAGGATGGGTTAGGAATTCCACTCCTGCCTCACTCCCTATCCCCAGCTCCTAAGCCTGAGCCGAGAGGAACCCTGGAACCTTGAGCTGCATCGAGAAGAGGGCACTCCAACCTCTGCTCCAGGGCTGGGCCCTCAAGACCTGCTGGCAGCCAGCCTCACCGCCATCCTGCTGGGGGGCTGGATCCTCCTCTTGATGAGGCAGGTGAGCCCCTCCCCTGGACCTCAGAGCCACCTGAGGTGCTACCCAAGACAGCTCCGCTTCTCCTGTCCTGAGCCACCCATCCACTGTTTCCTTCCAACCAGCTCCATTCATGTTCCCTACCTCCCTCCCAAGCCCCTACTACTGTCTTGTGAGCCATTAGAGGCACAGAGACTATAATGTCGCAGCCTGGAGCAAGGCTGAGCTCTCATAGCGTCCTTGTGTGGTACCAGCAACAGCAGCTGATGGAGAAGCAGCAGGAGACGTCCCTGCCAGTCCCAGGCTCTTCTCGCAGTTCACAGGAAACCCAGGCCACCCTACAGGGCCAGAAGAGACTTTTTCAAAGCCCCACAGAACAAACCCAGCCATGTGGTGACTCCGAAGGTGAGTAAAGGAGATGAGGGCCGAGTCAGGGACAGAGCCAAGGCAAGGGCAGATTCAAAGTGTGTTTGCTATTAGTTCCCACAGAGGATGGTTAAGGCTAGATAAGTAGAGCACTTCAGACAGTGGGTTCTGCATACCCAGCAGGTGTCCGCTATAATCATTTCACCGCTGTTATTATCCTCAAGGATGGTGGGTGTAGGCAGAACCGGGTGCAGCTGTAGCTCCACTCGGTCAGCTTCCACAAGCTGCTTGACTCTGAGCATCAGTTTTCGCATCCTTCAAATGGGAGAGTAGCAGTCATCACTACTACTAATCACACCTAAATCATGTATTTCATATTAGTGTTAAAAATACTATCTTGGGCCTGGCACGATGGCTCTGGCTAAAACCCTTACCAGGCCATGTGGGCACCAGTTCATATTCCAGCTGTGCCACTTCCCAGCTAGTTCCCTGTTTGTGGCCTGGGAAGGCAGTGGAGGACGACCCAAAGCCTTGGGACCCTGCACTTGCGTGGGAGACCCAGAAGAGGCTCTTGGCTCCTGGCTCTGGATCAGCTCAGCTCTGGCCATGGCCATTTGGGAAGTAAACCAGTAGACAGAAATTCTTCCTCTCTATATCTCCTTTTTTCTGTAGATCTCCCTTTGCAGTAAAAATAATAAACAGATCTTATGTGGAAATGATGATAGCAAGTGACTGGGTACACATGGAAACCTTTCCCCCCTCTTGAAGAATTTGGTTTTTTTAAATATGTAGTTATGATTCGAAAGGCAGAGTGACAGGAAAGACAGAAACAGAAATCTTGTGTCTGATGATGGTTCACACCCCAAACTCCCACAATGGCTGCGGTTGAGCCAGGCTGAAGCTAGGACTGGGAACTCCATCCAGCTGTCTCCTATGGATGGCAAGACCTGCCTACTGAGTCTCACCCAGCACTCCCAGCATGCATGTTAGAAGGAACTGGGATCAGAAGTGGGGCTGGGACTCTAATGTAGAACCCCGCAAACACCTACCCCCTCCCCAGGCATCTTGTGTTTTGTTTTCCTCTTAAGAATTCTTTCTTTATTTGAAACACAGAGAGAAATGGAGGAAAAAAACATCTTCCATCCACTGTTTCATTTCTGGCCAAAGCCAGACTCCAGGGGTTCTAGCTGGGTTTCGGATGTGGCACATGGGCACCAGAAACCCAAGTCCTTGCATGAGCTGCCATCTGCTGCCTTTTAGAGGCATCAACAGGAGGGTGGATGGGAAGCAGAGTAGCTGGGACTTGAATCAAGCACTCCAGTACAGGATGTAGGCATGTCACACAGTGGTTTCCCAGGCCCTGCTCCCAAACCTCTCTCTGACGTCCATGAGCCATGAACTTAGTGCATGGTGCCTGTGGAGCTGAGCAGGGCACAGCCTGCTCGGCCACACCTGGGTCTGAGTGGGAAGTCCTTCCGCAGGTTGCCCATACTCTCTACGCTCACAGTGACGCAGGGTGGGGCCATGAACACTGGGCCCTGTTTCACACACAGCGAAGCACAGTGTGTACGGAATTCCCCCAAGTACACACTAAGGTAAGTGGTAGCACCGAGCCCTCTGGCACCCAGGCCCGTGCTCTACGCCACAGCATCAGGCCAAGTGCAGATGGGGAAGGCCAGAGAAAGGTCAGGATGGCAGGTGCCAGGTGTGTGCATCCACCGCAACGGCGGGCAAGAGTGGCTGCGGGCAGCGCGCAAGCTCCTGATCCTGCGCCCACTTCTCCAGCTGAGCAGCTCACCGTGGTGGGGAAGATTTCTTTCGACCCCAAGGACGTGCTGGGCCGCGGGGCCGGCGGGACTTTCGTGTTCCGGTGAGTGGCAGCAGCCAGGAATGGGCGGCCCCCTGGAGGAGGCCACATCTTCAAAGCCGCCCCCAGAGGAGGTGTGGCTAGAGGCGGGTCTCCGGCGCACCTGTGGCTAACCCATTCCCTGAACTGTTCTTTCCACTCAGGGGACAGTTTGAGGGTCGGGCGGTGGCTGTCAAGCGGCTTCTCCGCGAATGCTTCAGCCTGGTGCAGCGGGAGGTGCAGCTGCTGCAGGAGTCCGACCGGCACCCCAATGTGCTCCGCTACTTCTGCACCGAACGGGGACCCCAGTTCCATTACATCGCCCTGGAGCTCTGCAAGGCTTCCTTGCAGGAGGTGAGTGGAGCGAGCGGTGGGGTGGATGGCCCGGAGGGAGGCTGTGGCCTGAATGGTGAGTGGCAATGCTTTGCTCCTCAGTATGTGAAGAGCCCTGACGACACGGAGCGCTGGGGGCTGGGGCCGAAGATGGTGCTGCAGCAGCTGATGTCCGGCCTGTCTCACCTTCATGCCTTGCACATAGGTACCTGCCATGTCCCTGCCGCCTCCCCAACCTCCCTCCTTCCTGTCTTGGCAGTCAGCTCTCTCTCTCTGTATCGCTCTGCTTCCATAGTGCACCGGGACCTCAAGCCAGGTAACATCCTCATTGCTGGGCCTGACAGCCAGGGTCAAGGCAGGGTGGTCCTCTCGGATTTTGGCCTCTGCAAGAAGTTGCCTGCAGGCCGCCGTAGCTTCAGCCTTCGCTCGGGCATCCCTGGCACAGAAGGCTGGATGGCACCCGAACTCCTGAAGCAACCCCCGGGCAGCCCAGTGAGTACTTCCACCTGCCCCAGGCTGCAGGAGCCCCTTCCTGCTCTCCTGTTCCCCATCCTTCCCCGCCCCCCCCCCCAAAAAAGAATGCCCAGGTCCTGCTCAGTGGGTCTGGCTAATTGGCCTGGGAGAGGGGACCAGTTAATTGTAACGTGGAGCTGTGGCCAAGAGCCACTGGTGTTAAAGGTTTGGAGGAGTATCAGCCCACAGCAGTGTCTGACTTCTACAATATGTGGTTGCATACTGAAGTTACAGGCATAGGAGACGGCTGCTAATCCAAGTTTACCCCATTATTAGCATTGAAGAAAACTGCACATGGTGGCCGCCAGGGGGAGTTATGAGCCTGTACTGGCCGTTTATGCTGGGGAGATGCCATATCATGGTAAATCAGCTCTGCTGCCCTGGCAGAGACCCCTGGGGCTAAGGCCCACTTGCCCCCAAGGACAGGGCCGGTGTACGGTCACGACTGTCCTCGCTGTTGTCCACTGCCACATGCACAGCTGGCTGCCTGTGCCTCTGCACGACTGAGGTTTGCTAAGCTCAGCAGGGGCAGAGGTATGGGATGGAAACCACGAGGGGCCTTGAGGGGCTGCAGAGCCACGGAGATGCGGTCCAGGGAACTTCCTCAGTTCCGGTCAGCACCCACCCTGTATGGCTGCTGTTGAGGCCCCTGGGAGAACTGAGGCTGAATTCCTGGGAACCGGGATTCCTTCTCATGTACACCCACCTCCCGGCCCCCAGACCAGCGCCGTGGACATCTTCTCTGCAGGCTGCGTGTTCTACTACGTGCTTTCTGGCGGCAGCCACCCCTTCGGGGAGAGCCTGTATCGCCAAGCCAACATTCTTGCAGGGGCACCGTCTCTAGTTCACCTGGAGGAAGAGGCCCATGGTGAGAGACCTGGGCCTGGCAGAAAGCAGGAGGGAGGGGCAAGAGCCTGAGTTGGGCAGGTCTGAAGCCATCGGTTTCCTTCTGTCCCCCACCTCCCCACCCCACTAGACAAGGTTGTTGCCCGGGACCTGGTGGAAGCCATGCTGAGCCCGCGGCCCCAGGCGCGCCCCTCTGCCTCGCAGGTGCTGGTCCACCCCTTCTTCTGGAGCACAGCCAAGCAGCTCCAGTTCTTCCAGGTCAGAGGCAACCCTGGGAAAGACCCCTCCTTTAAAGTCCCAAGTTGGAGGTCCTGAGAAGAGGGAAGCATGTTGGCCCTTATTCACTCCTCAGAAGGGAGCTAGGTCCCCAATCCCCACTCTTTAACCTAACCCTAACCACCTTGGGCCCTGTGGTCCACTCATTCACCTGCTTTCCCAGCCCTCACTGCCTGCTTCTTGGCTGGAAAGCAACCCCTCTCTTTTCTACCCTAATGTGTCCCATGTACTATGCCCAGGCTCAGATTGTCCTTTCCATCTGTGACTTTGAGCACCACACTTTGCGCCTTTGAGCCTCCAGTCCACGCATGCACAGCGTGGGAACAGCAGAGGTTGGTGGTCCCTGGCCCAGAGGGGCTGCCCCCTTCCAAGAGGCCAGGATCTGTACCATCGCAAACCAAGCAGGCTTTCACTGCTTCACTCCCTCAAGCCACACATGACACTCAGCCTCCCTCGTGGCCTCTCTCTGGTGGTCCTCACGAGGCTTAGGAGTTCTGGGGGTCCTAGGACGTCAGCGACTGGCTGGAGAAGGAGTCCGAGCAGGGACCGCTGGTGGCGGCACTGGAGGCAGGCGGCTGCGCGGTGGTCAGGCACAACTGGCACGGGCACATCTCGGTGCCACTGCAGACAGGTAGGGAGGGGCGCGGCTGGGGCACAGGAGGGGCAGTGAGGGGAGCCCCATGGGGACGGCTGTGCTTGAGAATTTCTGGCCCGCAGATCTTAGGCGGTTCCGGTCGTATAAGGGGACGTCCGTGCGAGACCTACTCCGTGCTATGAGGAACAAGGTGTGTTCTAGGGCCTCTGGGTTGGGGAAAGCCCTGGGGGTCAGGCAGACCAGGCCATGGCTGAGCCAGGACTCTGTTCTTTCCAACCCCAGAAACATCACTACAGGGAGCTCCCCGCAGAGGTGCAGCAGACGCTGGGCCAGGTCCCTGACAGCTTCGTGCAATACTTCACAAGCCGCTTCCCCCGCCTGCTGCTGCACACGCACCGGGCCATGCGCAGCTGTGCTTCCCAAAGCCTTTTCTCGCCCTATTACCCACCAGCCTCAGAGGCCGGGGAGCCATGCCCAGGGGCTGCCGGGAGCTGACGCCAGCCAGAGGACAGAAGCAGCCTCTGTGCCTTTGGGCCCAAGAGTTGAACCTGTGGTGGATGCCGGCCCCACTGTCCAAAAAGGCTGGCAGGGGCTTTTGGACAACCTGGGGCTGCTGAAGTGAAGACACACCCTGGAAACAGGGATGAGGCACCCACTCAGGAAACAGGAGAAGCGGAGGAAGATTCATAAACATTTAATGTATATAAAGTCAAAGAAGGACAGTCCCAAACTCAACAGGAACATTCTGTACAATTCATACAGTGGGGTTGCGAGGGAAGGGGAAGGAGAAGCAGGCTACAGAACCCGCACCCAAACATATACAAAAAAATAACTTATGCAGCAGCCCCACCTCCGGCACGCTGTAGCTCTTGGCCCAGCCCCCAGGGCTGAGGAGGAAGAGGGGCACGTGGCAGAAAACAGCACCATGGGTGCCAACCAATGCAGGCCCCAGTGCTGCGGGGGGGTGGAGGGCACCAGTCCAGAGGGGATCAGGGGCCTAGGAGGAAGCCTTGAGGCGGTTGTTGGCCGAGCGTGAGCTCAGCAACTTGTCCACCATGGTGCGGGCGTAGCGCAGGCGGCTGGCCAGCTCCTTGCAGCAGCCGAACTCCTCCAGCAGGCTGAGGCGGTACGTACGGAAGTCCCGCTTCTCGTCAATGTAGGTCACGGCCGCCATCAGCGGGCACAGGATGAGCTTGGTATGATCCTGGAGGGAGTCGAAGACCCCAGCTGCAGCTTAGGGTATGTGGGGGAATGAGACACCCACCTGCAGCTGACAGAGAAGGAGGAAGGCTCCCCCCCGCCGTCCCACCTGCTGCCTGGGCTAGGAACTCACACCTCCTGCGCTCCAGCCCAGGTGTGGCAGGGGGGGTACTGCCAGGCACTTCATCCTCCCACACGCTGGCTCACCTGGAAGAAGTTGATCTGCACGGTGCCATTGCTGAGATGCAGGATGATGGCACTGCGCGTGCGGAACCAGGTGCGCAGGTAGGGCAGCCTGGCCAGCTCATCGCCTTCCCGCGGCGTGATGTTGGCGCCCGCCTTCAGCAGGTGCTCGCTCATGTAATTACGGAAGTACTTCAGGAGGGTGATCTGGTTCGGAGAGCAGCGCAGGATTCCAGGATTAGGGGGCCCTGACCTCTGGCAAGATCCCCAAGAGCAGCCAGCCCGGTGGCAAATCGGCACTCACCTTCTTCATCAAGGAATTGGGGTGGGAACTCACGGTGAGGTAGGACTCAGTGCCATCCCGCTCTATGTACTGCAGGCTGTCGCCGTCGTTATAGAGGATGAGGCGGGTGGAGTCATTGAAGAGGACCCCTACGCTGTTGTCACACAGCTGATAGCCTAGAAGTGAGGGGAAGGAGGGTCAGAAATGGAGTGGGGACAGACATGGGAGTGAGGGAGACTGGGAGGCCAGGGACAGAACAGGACACTGTTGACGAGACCCACAAGCCAGGAGGCCGGAGCCCATCACAGCTGAGCCACTGACCCTCGGGAGGCACCTACCGAGGCCGTACTTGTCCGAATAGTCCACCCACTTGCTGACCCAGAAGATGGGGATACAGGCGGGATCCTCAGCCTCCTCTGCGAATTGAAAGAGACAGATGACTTGTCAGAGAAGCTTGCTGGGCACTGCCCCTGGGCTCAGCCGGGGGGCGCTGGGCCCAGGAGGGGCCAAATGGACCTCTGTGACCAACAGCTCTGACGTCTGAACAAGACACGGCCCACGGCTCACTCACCCCTTCATTCAGTTGGTCAGTTTATCTGGAAGCTACTGTGTGCCATGCACATCATAGTGCAAGAAGAGAGGGGAAACCCAGGTTTCGTGGCACTTACACGCTGGTTGTAAGGACAAACACTAAATCAAAAGTCCGGATGGACAAGATCGGCAAGCTATTTGTATCCTGGCAGCACAGCAGGAAACCTGCTTGGAGTCAGTAACAGTGACAAGATGGATTGTGGCAAATGCACTAACATGTCACGTTGGGCACCTGCAACCAATTCCTTAGGTGAAACACAATAAAGAAGGCCTCGCTGGCAGAGACGTGTTACGGAGAACTGTTTTGGTCGGGTGGGAGGTTGTGATGTGCTGCTGGAGAGGGGACACTGGGACAGACATCTAGAGTGGGTGGCAGTGAGCACATGGCTATCTAGAGGAAGTGTATTCAGGGCAGGGAACGGGACGAGTGTGCAGGGCCTGGAGCACGTGTGCACCTGCTGTGTCAGCACTACGGAGTCACAGGGGAGAGGACACAGCCCATTCGTGGCCACACGTGAGTGCACCTCCCGGCGCTGGAAGACATGCCTCCCACGTTGTGACAGCAGGAGCCACACCATGGTGGGCCCTGCACGGCCAGGACATACAGACACAGGTGCCAGAACTGGTTACTGAGGCAGTGCTGGGTGAGCCCCTTCCCGCCCTATTCTCCCCTCCCTTGGCCCGGCAGTGCCCACCTTGCCGCACCAGGCCCCGCTCGGAGGGCTTGGAGGCGTTGACACTGTGCAGTTGCTGCAGCATGTCGCCGAGGTGGCACTCCAGGACCTCGTTTGTGTCCCGGAGCACTGGTTCCTCCTTCTCCCGAGGGCGTTCGGGTAAAGGGTTCTCCGTGCCTAGAAAGGAGACGGTTATTAGCCACAGCACAGAAAATGGGGAGAATCCTTGCCGCAGCTGGCATCCTTCCCAAGAGGAAACCTTCTAGCTACCATTGTTTTGGACAGTTTGTGCCAAGCTAAATTAGGGCACCAGATGCCACACTCACGCCGACAGGTACCAGGTGGTCTCTGGGACTGAACAGCATGGCCCCGTGAAGACACCGCCTGGACCTTCCCAACTCCAGCTCTGGACAGCAATTGGGAACAAAAGCTTTTTGTTTTGTATCTTTCTTTAAGAAACAAGATAACAAGAAGAAAAATCAAAGATTACTTAGAAAGGCAGAGAGAGAGAGAAAAAACACGTTTTCCATTCAGGGTTCACTCCCCCAAGGGCTGTAGCAGTCCCGGATCAGGAGCTAGGCACTTCACCCTGGCCTTCCCAACATGCGAGCGGCAGGGACCTAAGGACCTGGACCATCCTTTCTATTGCCTCACAAGTGAATTAGTGGGAAGATGGATCAGAAGCCAAGTATGCTGGACTCAAATGAGAGGCCTCGTGTAGGTTCTATCAGCATTAGCTTAACCCACTGCACCACAACACTAATCCTCCTATACCTATCAAATAAAACTAAATACATAGAAGTTTATTTGAGGGCTTGGCGCAGTGCCTAGCGGCTAAAGTCCTCGCCTTGAATGCCCCGGGATCTCATACGGGTGCCAGTTCTAATCCTGGCGGCCCAGCTTCCCATCCAGCTCCCTGCTTGTGGCCTGGGAAAGCAGTTGAGGATGGCCCAAAGACTTGGGGCCTTGCACCCACATGGGAGACACGAAAGAGGCTCCGGGCTCCTGACTTCAGATCGGAGCAGCATGGGCCGTTGTGGTCACTTGGGGAGTGAACCATCGGATGGAAGATCTTCCTCTCTGTCTCTCTTCCTCTCTGTATATCTGCCTTTCCAATAAAAATAAATATTTTTTTTTTTTAAAAAAGAAGTTTATCTGAAGTTCCTTTAATATCCCAGAAGTAGGGATGTTGAAGGATGCATTGAGCAGCTTTTCCATGAACATAGGAGCTAGTCCCACCCGCAAATCTGCCTTACACATTTATGCATGACCCAAAGGAGACTGGAATTTTAACACTGGTTCCATTGGGGTGATAATAAGCCCAAGCTTTACTATCTTTATACTTCAGTGTAAATGTTTAAGTCTTTCCCCTACCAGTGTGTGTTAGTTCTCCTGAAATATTTCCTCAAGAGAAACCCTATGCTGTGAGGACTGGTGCATTCACTCAACTGGCTAATTCTCCACCCCCAAGTGCTGGGATCCCATATGGGCGCCGGTTCATGTCCCAGCTGCTCCTCTTCCCACCCAGCTCCCTGCTTCCGGCCTGGGAAAGCACTCGGGACAGCCCAAAGCCTTGGGACCCTGCACCTGCGTGGGAGACCCAGAAGAAGCTCCTGGTTTCTGGCTTCGGATTAGTTCAGCTCTGGCCATGGTGGCCATGTGGGGAGTGAATCAACAGATGGAAGATCTTTCTCTGCCTCTTCTCTCTGTAAATCTGCATTTTCAATTAAAATAAACAAATCTACAAAAATAAATAAAACTATGCTGTGGTAGGTATCTCTAAGTGTGAACTAATGATTTTCTTTAAAAAAAAAAAAAAAACTAACAAAAAAAGGGGGAGGGGATTGCGGGAAGTGAGCCCAGGGACAGATTAAAGCCAAACCCGGCTGCATGTGGGTAACTACTGACAAGGCCGATGACCGTTCCAGACCACACAGTTCTCCCTGCCATCGGGTAAAGTTGAAAATGTCCAAAACAAAGTAATTCCTAAAGTAACAGTAGCACATTATGACAGCCCAAAGAACAAAAGAAACGTGCCTTGAGTTTATTACTGACATAAATAAGCAAATAGGAAGGTGGAGAGGTCTCCTTAGAAGAATGTCAATTAAAAAAAAAAAATGAAAGGTAGCCTGGTGCTAAAGTTCTCACTTAGTGCTAAAGTCCTCGGGATCCCATATGGCGCCAGTTCATATCCCAGTGGCCCTGCTTCCCATCCAGCTCCCTGCTCATGGCCTGGGAAAGCAGGCAAGGTCAGCTCAAAACCTTGGGACCCTGCAGCCATGTGGGAGACCAGAAAGAGGCTGCCGGGCTCCTGGCTTCAGGTTGGCTCAGCTCCGGCTGTTGCAGCCACTTGAAGAATGAATCGACAAAAAGAAGATCTTCCTCTCCGTCTTTCTTTCTCAATCTCTCTCTCTCTGTATATATATATATCTGACTTTGCAATAAAAATAAATAAATCTTAAAAAAAAATTAAAACACCACTTGAACCAAGTGATCTAGACTGACACCACCAACAGAAAGATCGGTATGTACAAGATGCTTGCCAGGCATTCTCACATTCTCACCAGAAATGCACAGCTCAGGGGCAGCCTGAAGAACTTCAACTCCAAGTTGAAGGGCATCACAGAAGAGGACTGACCGGTGCTCTCCAGGGTGGCAAGGTCAGAAAGGCAAGCTTGGAAGGCGAAGTGACAAATATCACGTAGGGTCCTGCACTGGATCATGCTACAGAAACAGTGGAACTACGGAAAAACCTGAGGAAGTCCCAGTGAAATGTGGAGTTTGATGAAAGCACCGCTCTGTGTGTGGTTCGTGTGGTTGTTCTATGGTTACACGATATGCTGACCTTCCAAGAAACTAGCGGAAGGCCATACGGGAACTTTCTTTGCAGTTTTCTTTTACAACTTTTGTATAAGCCTTAAGTTAAAAGTAACAGAAATCAGCAAACTTTAAAGTGTATATTAAATTGGTGATATACCCAGAGAAAAAAATTGTTTCAAACTGCTTTTTATTAAACAAAACAAAAATGTACTATGGGCTTGGCACAATGGCTTCATTGGCTAATCCTCCCCTTCAAGTGGTGCATATGTGTATCAGTTTGTGTCCCAGCTGCTCCACTTCCCATCCAGCTCCCTGCCTGTGGCCTGGGAAAGCAGAGGAGGACAGCCCCAATGCCTTGGGACCCTACACCCGCGTGGGAGACCTGGAAGAGGCTCCTGATGGAAGATCTTTTGTCTCTGTCTATTCTTCTCTCTGTAAATCTGACTTCCCAAAACATAAATCAATCTTAAAACAAACAAATAATGTACTAGGACCTATGCTGTGGCACTGATGGTAAGGCTACTGTCTGCAGGGCCATCAACCCATGTGGATGCCGGTTCAAGACCCAGTGGAGGTCGGCCCAAGGTCTTGGGAGCCTGCACCCCCCGAGAGGAAGCCCCTGGCTTCAGAAAGGCCCAACTCTGGCCATTGTGGCTGTTTTAGGAAGTGGACCCATGGCTGGACAACCTCTCTGTTTCTGTAGCTCTGCCTTTCAAATTATTAAAATAAACCCTTTATGAAAAAGAAAATATCAGCTATATATTTCCAGAGCAAAGAACAAATTGAACTGCAAATACAGTAAGAAATAATTTAGTTACAGGAACTAGTTTATATAATGTGGGGGAGATAAGTACGCTAATGAAAAGCAGTAACTCTAGCAGAAGATGGCTGGGAGACTGCCACGTGTGACCCGCGCCCTGACGACCGTCGTGCACTGTGGCTCTGTCAAATCATCTCCGATTTTAGGAAACACACACTGAATAAGGGTAAAGATGGAATACTCACAAAACATGTACTTTCAAACGATTCCAGGTATGTACACATCACACGGTGTTGTTTTCAAAAAGTTAATGACAAATCCGTATTATAAAAAAATTACAAATTTCAATTTTGCTGCGAAAGAAACTGATCCGTGAATCACAGACATCATTATAAATCTGGATTTTTCCCTTTAAAGTAGTATTTGCTAACCCTGTCCCGGAGAACAGCTCAGGAAGCAGTGTAAGTGGTGCTAGGGTTTTCTATGGTATAAAATGGCAAGAGGTATGAAATTAACTTTAAGAATACTTTAGAGAGGCAGGTGCTGCTCCACTTTTGATCCAGCTCCCTGTTAATCACCTGGGAAGGCAGTGGAGGATGGCTCAAGTCCTTAGGCCCCTGTATCCACATTGGAGACCTGGAAAAAGCTCCTGGTTCCTGGCTTCAGACCAGCCCAGCTCCAGCCATTGTGGCTTTTGGGGAGTGAATTAATGCACAGGAAATCTCTCCCCTCTATTCTCTCTGTATAATTCTGCTTTTCAAATAAAAATAAAACAAATCTTAAATAATACTTTGGAGAGTGGCAGGCGCTGTGGCAGTGAGTAAAGCCATCACCTGTGACAGCAGCATCCCATACCCAGCACTGATTTGACTCCCAACTCCTCTGCTTCCCATCCAGCTCCCTGCTAATGATGCCCCTGGGAAAGCAGCAGAGGATAGCTCAGGTGCTTGGACCCCTGCGCCCATGTGGGAGACCTTGAAGAAACTCCTGGATTCCGTCCGGCCTAGCCCTGACCACTGCAGCCATGTGAGGAGTAAACCAGGAGTAAAATCTTCGACTCTCCTCTTTCCTCTATAACTCTACCTTTCAAAAAACAAAACACATGAACAAAAAACTTAAAAACAACCAGAGAGGCTCCCTGAGGTAGGTGTACAGTAGCTTGATGACCACATGTGGTCAGCTCCCCCACAGCAGACTCTCTCTTGTATGTTTCTGAAATTATTCTTGTTTTATTGTATGAAACATGGAACACATCTTTGCCCTCCCCTTGGTTTACCTTTGTTAAGGACCGTGAGAGGTTTCCGGTTGCTGGGGTCCAGGCTGCTGGGAGCAATTGAAAACCTGGGCGGGATGGTAAGGCAGGTGATGGGCAGGCGGGTAGGGATGTAGCCGGAAGTGAAGAACTCGTCATTGAGCAGCTCGTGGATGGTCGGACGGGCAGAGGGGTCCGTCTGCAGCATCTTCTGGATGAGGGAGGCAGCCACCGGGTTGATGTGCTGGAGCAGATAAAGAGAAAACCCTGAGCGGGCTGGGCATGGGTGCGGACCTGGACAGCAGTACTGCCAACAGGGATGGCAGCCCCCAGGCTCAAACAGACCAGGGTGTCAGGACTGTGAGACCTGTCACACTCTCCTGCACGGAGTGTCAGCCTGTTCCTTTCCTCTGAAGACTCAAACTTAAGGTGGACACTGGCCCCCTCCAACCCCAACACATGCCCTAGCATTCTTGAAGCTGTTCATCACTAGTACAGCATCTGAGAATATGGGCTTTGAGGTCCTGCGGAAACCCCATTTCTGACCTCACACCAAGTACAACAAGCGACCTGGACTTTGCAGGGTCGCCAAGCTCAGGGTCCAATCTGAAAGCTCAGTGGGAGAGGGCCTCGTACGGGCAGCTGCAGAGTCCCAGCCTAATGCTCGCTGGTCACTCACTTATGTGTCGAAGAGATGCTCCAAGCACTGCCTGGACAGTAACCCACTGAGCTCGCAAAACACCCATGGGGCAGGGCTCTCCCCTGCCTTTCTTCTTCCGTGGGTGAGGAAATCAAGGAGAGAGAGGGGGCATGCCTGGCCTAAGAATGCCCACCAAGAAGCCGGCACTTACACCCATGTCTGACCATGAGCTGATGACCCCTTGGGATGTATTCAAGCACCTGTCCCCTCCCAGAGTCAAAGTCCAAGACCACCACATGGGAAAGCAGCCAGGTGCCAGGCCTCTGAAGAAACAGGCCATCCCGGTAATGCCTTTGTGCCAACAGCTGTGATATTCTATGTATGATTCTGTGGGCACTCAGGGCACACTAGAAGTAGCTCCACTCTACAGATGGGAAAGTGCAATTTAGGAGGTCCAGGCCATTTGCTTAACGTGGAATGGCTGCAGAACCATTTGAATGAAAACCACTTCCTGAAGTGTGAGCTGGCCTGGGCGCCACTGCTTCCTGTTTTCTCCCCTGCTGTTTATACATCTTTTGGGTTATCTATCCAACCTTTGGGAACCCAGATTGTCTCCCACTAGCCAAAAATGTTTAAGATTCTGTGTTTAATTCCAGACCCTTTACAAAAGCTGTCAAGTTGACCTATGTCCTCAGGATTTATATAGCTGAGCTCAATAGTTTATTGGGGGGGCGGGGGGATAAATCATCATTAGTCACCTTGGGAATACTGTATTCATTCTTCTTGATCCGGAGGTAGGTCTCTTTTAGGCAGGATGTCTCAAAAGGTGGTTTGCCCACTAGCAAAGTATACCTGTAAGCACAAGGTGGGATTTGACTCAAGACTCCAAGTGAAACTCAGACTTAGGTCCAGCAGAAGGGGCCAGCATCCTGTGGGCACTCACGGACTCTGGGGGGCCCTATAACACAATCCCCAAGTCTGCTTAGCAGCCCAGGGGCCAGGACACAAAGGCTGGGATGAGCCTTCAGGGGCTCACAGTTGATGAGGCCTCAAGCCCACAGGTCAATGGTTATTTCCACTACAGCTGAAAGTCAGCCAGGCCTCAGAGGCCACCAGCTACACCTAGCAGCTCAAAGCAGCAGCACCTTGTGTGAACCTGAAGATGTCAGAAACGTGAAATGCACTGATGTACCCCAGGACCCGGGTCAGCAAGAAAAGGGACAAAAAGCCCCTCTTGGTGGTCTGGATGCAGGCAGGCCCCAAAGTACCTGCTGCTAAGCCTGTCCACCCAGGACAGCCCAGTGTTTTTAAAAACACGCTGTGCGCAGGAGAAAGGCAAGGGCCTGTTTAAATCCAGGTTCTGTTCCAGGAAGTAGTCTGGGTTCTGAGATTCTGCATTTGTAACCAAGTTCCTAAGGGATGCTGCTTCTGCTGGCCTGAGGGACCCCCCCCCCCCACCCTCACACTGCTTTAAGCAGCATGGGAACTACAGGACAGCTATAGAGGTCTTCCTGAAGCCCACAGCCCAGGCCACAGAAACCCTATAGATGACACCAAGAGTGACGACGGTACCAGAAAGCCGGCTTTGTCTGGGGGCGACTCCTTTGCAGAAGCTTAGCCACGGACTGTCCCAGAGGGCACCGTGCTGAGGCCAGCAGCTCCCTACTCACATGATACATCCAATGGACCACACATCCACCTCGAAGCTGTGCCCTTTCTTGCTCAGCACCTCTGGGGCTATGTAGTTCGGAGTCCCACATAATGTCTTCTTCCGTTCTCCCTCATATTCCACTTTGGTAGCCAGCCCAAAATCCCCTGGGATGGAGGGAGAAAGGAACACTCAGATGCAGGTGGCTGGTGTGGGCCTGACCCACAAGAACCACGACCATGGGATCCCACAAGTCCTCGTTCCCCGCAGACAGTAGGCAGGCCCAGGAATCCTGCCACAAACAAGGGTCCCAGAGAGGGGCCTGGCAGTAATCGTCCCTGTCCCCTTCCTTGGAAAGGAGGTCCAAGCTTCTGCAAGGGAATGGGGGATGACAAAACTCAAATGCCCCTCCTGGCCCCCCGGGTCGGGGTCAAGCAAGTCACCTCCAAGACTGTGAAGAGGCAGTAGGGAGTGGTGGAGGCTGTGTGGCAAACCTGAGGAAGGCTGAAAGGGGCAGCCAAGGGCCACCCGTGGGAATGTTGCCCTGTGTTGCTGGAACTTCCAGGTCAAAAGTCCATGTAGTGTACCCCAAATTCAATACACAAAAATGAACTCAAATTATTATTTTTGTAATGCTGTGCTAAGGTATAAAAATAACAGCAGGTATGGCAATGGTTTGTGGCCTGTGTCTCAAGCGAAGAGGACCCCTCAGCCAGCAGTTTGGCTCCCTCCCTCCTCCTGGAGTGGCCTAGCACCTTACCTATTTTGACCTCCAGGTCCTCATTCAGGAAGAGGTTGCCCAGCTTGAGGTCCCGGTGAATCACGCGGTTGCGGTGCAGGTACTGGCAGCCCAGCACAATCTGCCGCAGGTAGTAGCGGGCCTCGGGCTCTGTCAACGCTTTCCTCCTCTTGTGCAACTCTAGTAGAGACTGGGGCAGAGGAGGAGAGAGGGTGGCGGGAAGGTCCAAGGAAAGAAAGCACCAGAGTGGCTGCTGGGCCCTAGTCCCGGGGCCCCAGGGTGGCACTGAGGAGCGAGCAGCCTTGGCAGGTTCCTCTTCTGCCCGAACCTTCCCCAGGTTAACTGCCAGCGGGATCCGCTTCCACCCTTCTCGGGATGCCCGGCTCAGCTCCTTGCAGGAAACCGGGACCTGAGGATTCCCTTTCCCGGCCTTAACAGAGGTCTCGTCGAACGGCTCTCTTCCCCGGAAACTCCACAGTCTGGACTCAGCCCGGACCAGCCGTATTCCGGAAGCTCCAGCTCCATGGCACCGCCAACCCGGGCTCCTCCTTTTGCAACCTCAGGGCTCTAGCGTCCATGACCGCCCTCCCCCATCCCGACTCGCTCCCCAAACACCTGGCTTCCAGGAGCTGCTCTCCGCAGCAGCGCCGTGCCTCGGGCTCCATTTAACCGCAACTCCCTTTCCTAGCAGCTCCAAGCCCCGGCCGCCCCTTTCCCTTAGCACTGCTTCCTTGCAGCTAAAGTCCGGGGCACCCCCCCCAAACCCGGACCCTCTCCACCAGCCAGCAGCTCCAGCAAGCGTACTCACTTACCCTGCGGCGGCAGAGCTCCAAAACTACGAAGACGAAATCACTGTCCTCGAAAAAGCCGTGGAAGCCCACGACGTGCTGGTGGGCAAGGCTGCGGTGAATGGAGATCTCCATGGACATTTTCTCCTTCTGATGCGGCTTGAGCAGTAGCGACTTGGACACGATCTTGCCGGCGAACACCTCCTTGGTGTCTGCATCTGAGATCTCGAAGCATTTGGCGAAGCCGCCCTTGCCCAGGAAGCGGCCCCGCACATAGCGCCGCCGGCTGCGTGGGTCCACTAAGACTTCGGGGATCTCTTTGGTCGGTGGAGTAGCTGCCGGGACTCCGGGAGCTGCCACTCCAGGGCCGCCGGCCTTCCCTGGCTCGACCGGTGCCCTCGCCAGCTTGGCTGCACCCAACGCTGCACTCATGCTCCCAGGGCCACTCGGCCGACCTGGCAAGGGGTCCGGGGAGAGGCTCTGCACCGCTCTGCTCCTGCCCGAATTCAAACGCGGCGCTGGGAACGTTACAGAAGCCTGCGCGCCACTGATTGGCCGCGGGGATTTAAAATCCAAACCCGCCCGCCGCGCGGGACCATGGGAGCGCACCGCCCCGCGCCGCCTCTCCGCCCCCGACCCCGCCTGCAAAACACTTGATTGACAGGAAGGAGTTGACCGCAGACACGTGGGCTAGCCTAGGAAAAGCGTCCCCAGCATAGAGAGAGGCCGAACCCCAGCCCAGGAGACTTGGGGGGAATTCGTGCCCGCTTCTCCCTTTCTGTGGGCGGTTGGGAAGCTACTGCCGTTCACAGATTTCCTGCACTCCCACGCCGCGAGCTAAAGACGCACCTGCCGGCCAGGTCCTGGACCCTCTGCAAGCCACCCCAAATAAACTAAAATAAGTAAAAACACGAGGTTGGTCGAGTTAAGCGCGCCTTCGCGGCGGGCGACTCTACTGTCCCTCTTAACTAGCATAGCTGGTCCCGAGCCCCTGGGTTATCCACCGCCCAGGAACCGACGGCATCGCCAGCACCTGCGGGCTTGTTAGCAAGGCCAAGGCAAGTTTTCAGGCCCCAGCCCAGACCTCCCAGGTTGGGTTCTACTGCCCAGGTGATTCCTGCACGTACTGAGGTTTGGGGAAGCTCGGGAGCGGAGCCCCCTCAGGACCCAGGAAAGCTGCCCGGCTTGTTTTCTCAGCTCCTAAAATAGCGAGCACTGAATTTTTTTTCCCCATCAGAGGAGAAGCGGGAAGAGCTGAATGGAAGAATGCCTGAAAACTGTCAGGTCACGGCCACATCTGACCTTTCGAGGGGTGTTTTGTTTTGCTTCTCTTTTTGGAATCTTAAGTTTATTCCCAGCAAAAGAGAGCTCAAGCTGGCTTGGGGTTGTTTGCATCCTCCATCAACTTGGGGTCAAGTTCCACCTCCACTTCCAACCCAGCTCCCTGCTAATGCGCACCCTGGGAGACTCAAGGACTTGAGTTCCAGGTTCCTCCTGACTTCAGCTTGGCCCAGCATGGCTGTTGTGAACAAGTGGGGAATGAAAACAGGATGGAAGTGACTGATCTCTATGCCTTTCAAATAAATTTAAATATACTTTTTTTTTTTTTAGATTTATTTTTATTATTTTTTCATTGGAAAGGCAGATATACACAGAGGAGAGACAGAGAGGAAGATCTTCCGTCCGATGATTCACTCCCCAAGTGAGCGCAACGGGCCCATACTATGCCGATCCGAAGCCAGGAGACTCTTCCGGGTCTCCCACGCGGGTGCAGGGTCCCAAAGCTTTGGGCCATCCTCGACTGCTTTCCCAGGCCACAGGCAGGGAGCTGGAAGGGAAGCGGGGCTGCCGGGATTAGAACCGGCGCCCATATGGGATCCCGGGCGTGCAAGGCGAGGACCTTTAACCACTTGCGCCACCGCGCCGGGCCCTAAATATACTTTTTAAAAAAGACAGAGCTAATACAAAATTTCAGATTTATAACTTTTTCTGAAAAAATCCAAAGCACTAACCATCCTGGGCTTACCTTCAACCCCAGCTTGCCATGGGTCCCAGGTCCCTCCTGTTCTCATCTGCCTGTCTGGCTTCTGAAGGCATTTGACTCGCAACCCCTGGGATGACAAAATAGCAGAGGCAGCAGCTCTTTCTCTGTGCCCTTCTTGCCTGCGAAGGTTTCTGAGTAAAAACAGATTGCAGGGCCCAGCGCGATAGCATAGTGGTAAAAGTCCTCGCCTTGTACTCCCAGGATCCCATATACACGCTGGTTCTAATCCCAGCAGCCCTGCTTCCCACCCAGCTCCCTGCTTGTGGCCTGGAAAAGCAGTAGAGAACGGCCCAACGCCTTGGGACCCTGCACCTGTGTGCAAGACCTGGAAGAAGCTCCTGGCTCCTGGTTTCGCATTGGCTCAGCTCCAGCCATTGCGGCCATTTGGGGAGTGAATCAGCAGACAGAAGATCTTTCTCTCTTGTCTCTCCTCCTCTCTGTATATCTGCCTTTCCAATAAAAATTAAAAACAAACAAACAAACAGATAAACCGATTGCAAGCATCTCTTCACTGATTTCTCATTCGACTGAGACAATGAGGACAGCAGTGGGAGTTGCCCACCCCATGCCAACCAGCAGTGCAATGCGTGTGGAGGGCAATGCAATATACCAGAATGCTATGACTTGTACTGTAAGAGGTTTTTGCTCATGGTACCTCACTTCCTAAAAGGAGTTATAATGACTGTTTATTGAATGCTTAGTGTCACGGGATCAGTACCCATGCTCTGCTTGAATAAATGCAGACGAAGCTAGCAGGTGGCAGAGCTGGGATCTGACCCACATTCCTTACCACCACAGTGACTCTCAAAATGAACTTCTCAGGCCTCCAGCAGAGAACACTACTCTTTCCTTACCTTTCTTCTTTCCTAAGCTGTTAAGATCCCTATGGCAAGACTAGCTGCATCTTATCCTGCACTCTCTCCCTAGGTCCTAGTACACGGCAGTACATGGCACCCAGGAGCGTCTAAGTAAGTGAAGACACACCTTTTCTCCTTGGAGCGTGTGTTGGTCAGGGAGCCAGGAGACATGAGCTCTCCAGAAATCACGATCCCATTGCTGGGGGCTCCAGAAGTGTTTCTGTGACCCTGAGAACTGGCAAGAACCTGGCCGAGCCAGGGCTTTGGACTCACGACCTCAGCACTGCCAGCACCATTTCAAAGGCCTTGAGGGCCCACAGAAGCCCCTCCCTGAGATCAGCCAGCTGGCTTTGACTGCCCCTGGCAACCACACGGCGGGCCAGGTGCCGATCTGTTTGAGCAACTGGCAGGGGCTCACCAGGATGTGGCTGGGGAGCACTTCTGGGCTCTCAATGGTCAGAACCCGGAGACAAACCTCCCCAGTTACTAAAACCTCTTTGGGATAGCTAAGAAACTTCCAAAGACGTGTTAAAAAGAAGCAGTTTGGCTCTTATTTTTTTTTAAAGATTTATTTATTTTTATTGGAAAGTTAGATATACAGAGAGGAGAGACAGAGAGGAAGATCTTCCATCTGATAATTCACTTCTCAAGTGTCCACAACAGCCAAAGTCAGCCAATCCGAAGCCAGAAGCCAGGAGCCTCTTCAGGGTCTCGCACACGGGTGCAGGGTCCCTTCTTCTGACGGTATCACTCCCCTTCACAACCTTTGGCCACCACATGTACCATGTGAGTACATGCCCAGCCCTAGCCATTCGGTGTCCTCTGTTTTCCCGGCCCCAGTGACAGCTTAAGACTGGGTACCTCACTGGTGAGGACAGATTAGAACTATAGCCAGAGCATTTCACTTGCCCACCAATAACTGGGGTTACAAGGCCACACCACGAAACTTGAGAACAAGGCCAGCTCTAAGGAAAGGGAGAGCAGAGATGAGAGCCAAAGTGAGGCACAGCCCTGACAACACAATGCCCTGGGATCCAGTATGAAGACCATCTCCCGTGGTCTGTGTCGTGCCAGGAGCTAAACCCCCTGCAACTCCGCAATCCAACTTCAGCCAACTGGACAGAGTTTCAGTCGAGGTTTTCCCCATCCTCCCACTCTTCTGAGAACATTCTGAGGACCAAAAGGTTTCTCCTCGGGAAGTGTAAGAGCAGTTCTCCGATGCCAGACCGGCCCCGGGGTGAGAGCCACCAAGGAGACGGAGTCCAGCTAGCCTTTGCTAGGATACACACTTGGAAACGGCATCAGCACATAATTGAAGACTCGTTCACTGTTTGTGGTAGCTACAGTTTTATCTTTCCAGCCCCTGTTGCAGTAGTAGACTGCTGAGTCCCCACCACGGGGCACAGAGGAAAGATCATGACCCAGATTAGCTTTATAACAGGGTGAACATTGCCGGACACGTTGATTCAACTGGCAGGATATGGAATAACCCACAGCAAACCACTAAGAATTTTTTCTTAGATTTTCTAAATTAAAACTGGAAAGGAAAAAAAAAAGTTTCTTTTAGGGTAAGATAGGAGGATACAGGCCTGTGGCTGTCAGCTCTCGTGTCCCAGTTGCAGGAGGATGGAAGGAAGCCAACACAAGCAGCTGCTAAGGTCCTCCCCGCTCCCTCTCTCCTTCTGTTAGGAGAACTTTCTTCCTCAGAGTTTTGGTTCCAAAGCTGGCATCTAGATTTAAAGTTTCCCTTGTCACTGTGACCACCTATAAGAAGTGGGGTACCTGATGACATGACCGACTTCTAGTCACTTACTTGCCTTGGCCCACTTGCCGCTCTCCGGCCTACCTGCCTAACTGTGTCCCTTTAGTTGAGCAAGAAGGAAACTGGCCTCAGCCAGATGTGTCTCCATGAAGCTGCAGCAGCCCGGGCGATACTGATGAGAAGGTGAGACACAGAAGTCAAAAGTCAAAAGATATATAAATCCCTGATGGGGTTTATACCTTTGGATATCATTAGCCCACAAGAATTTGAAGTGCCAGGAACTGTCCTTTGTGTTTACCTATAGTTGCTGTTTAACTTATGTCAACTTTCTGAGGTGCCACTGTTGTTCCCATTGCATAGCTTAGGTATACCAGGGCATAGAAGAATTAAGTAATTAGCCATGACTCCTAAAAAAATAAAATACGTTGCTGCTCAAGCTAGTCTTTTCCATGAATTTTACCAGAAAACAAAGCCCTCTTTGTGCCTTAATTGCCTTAAGCTGGATTTCCTACAGCTGCAACAAAATAGGTCTAACTGGATTTGTGCCAAACCCAGCTTTCACATTTCTCAATTGGATGGATGCAGGTCATATGGAACAAAATTATAAGACACCATTTAGGGGGCCTGTGCTATGGCATAATACGCTAAGCCTCTGCCTGCAGTGCTGGCATTGCAATGGACACCAGTTCCAGTCCTGGCTGTTTCACAGCCCCTCAGTCTCCCTGATACTGTCCTGGAAAAGCAGCAGAGAATGGTTCAAGTCCTTGAGCCCTGCATGCATGTGGGAGACCCAGAGGAAGCTCCTGGCTCTGGCTTCAGATTGGCTCAGTTGCAACCATGGCAGTCATCTGGGGAGTGAACCAGAGGATGGAAGATCTGTCTTTCCTCACTGTGTAACTCTGCCTTTCCAAAATAAATAACCTTTTGTTTTCAAAAAGACACCACAGAATGATATGGTACAATTTTCCCAGGTACTGCCTGCCTGAGAAGCACAAGATGTCATTTCTTAGCTTCCTGTACAGGGAAGGCTGGCCCGCTGGCACAATTCAGGCCAGTGACAGCTATAACACAGAGGGATTCCAGGACATGCCATGACAGTTTGGCCTCTAGAGATGACATGTCTACACTCACGGTCACCTCAGCTTCAAGAAACTTTGGCAGCTCAATGAGCCTTGTTCCTTGGGGACAATAACTGAAGCCACCACACAGTTAATCCAGGCTTAAAATTAAGACATGTAAAAAGCAGCGGGGAGTACCTGGCACATGGTTGAGCACCCTAAATGTTTGCAGTTGGTCTCCTGGATTGTGCATAAGTGCTAATTTGGAACAAACTCTGTGACACATGAAGAAGGAAAGTGTAGAACATCACACACACTGCTCCCACGCGTACGAGCACGAGAGGTTGGATTTGCATCTCCACCTGCATACATGAACAGCCACCTTTGGTAACGGGGATCAAGGCGAACCGAGAAGTTGCCTCACGGAGTCGAGGTGGGATCAGGCACTGGGATCATCCACTTCACTTTATTTCCCTTCCTTACTAATTCGATGGGCTTTCTGAAATTGCTTATAATTTTAAAAATTAGGTTTTTTTTTTAATGCTCAGGAAAAAAGACCACCTTTCTTCTACTTCCAGTAGTCTATGCAAAATGAATAGTCAGATACATACAGTGGCAAGCTTCCTGCCAGTGTATTCAAACATAGGCTGCTTGGGATCTGTTATATGTATATACGCTGGAAGAAATCTGAGGTGAGCAAGAGGTTAAGATGAGAGAAACTAAACTTGGCCAATTCCCAGATTCTCTCTTTTTAGAGACACAAAATGAGAAAGGACCTGGTGGATACGACCCTACACTTGCAACCAATACAGATTTCTGGTATGAGACAAGATGCACAGCAGGTGTGTGCCAAGGGCAAGGTCATCTCATCTTTTCAGGACACAGAGAAGCCGCCAGGCTGCGGAGCCACACAGTCACGGTGGGCTACTGCTTTTCCATATGGATTGGACCGAGTATCCTGTGTCCCATCTGTGACGCAGGACTCCCATGCATGTCAGAGTGTGTGAAGGAGAAATAAGCTGGTGAGGGAAGTTGACGCCCAGAGCATTGCCCCAGGCATGGCATCAAGTGCCTGACAGACAGGAGTGGCTATGGTGCAGGTGGAGTGCGATCACATTCAAACGACCTGCTCTGTGCATCCCTCTCCCCATTAAAATAGGCAACCCCAAAGCAGCATTACATTCAACTAGTGCAGATGATTACACAGCTGTTTTTGCAAACGCTACAACTGGAAATCAAGTCTCCAGACTGACCTGTTCTGCCCTATTCACTCAGAGCAGACGACAGCATTAAGTGAGGCCAACCTTATCTGCCTTCTCCCTTCTCCCCACAACAGAACTGGAAATGTTCTGCTGGCTTCTAGAAGGAAGTGGTATGAACGGCACCAGCAACTTTAATTGTTCCTCCTTTTTATTTCTGCAAGATGATTTTAACAGCCTCTCTTGTGATGAGGGTTATGTACAGGTATTCTGGAGGCAACTTTGGGGTTTATGGCAGATACAGGCAGAATGGCAGATACAGGCAGACTGAAAGGGACTGCCTGACTCAAATCTGGAACCTGACAAAATGCAAACCTTGGACTGTTGACTCCTTCAGCGGAAGCCAAAGACCGAGAACAGAATACTAGAATATCTTCTGTAAACCACTCTAGGACAACTGTGGTCATTTTGGGAGGAGAAATGCTAGTCATTCCTCTCTTCAAATTGCAATAGCCAACAGGAATCTGGGCTCTGAAGAGGCCAAGTTTCCCCAGGGGTATGAGTAATCCTGGCTGCAGGCCATATGTCAGCAGCAGGACAGCTGAGGGCGAAGTGTGCGAGTGGCGCGGTTGTGAGAAGCATGCCTGTGACAAAATCTCCACGCGGGGAGGGGGCTCTGCAGACCCACAGCAGGCAGGATCCTGCCGTCCACAGGACCAAGGCCGTGGAGCACGGAGAACAGGCGATTCTGTGTTCTGTAGATAAAGGTATGCAGTGACTGCTGACAGATAAGGTGGCAACACAACCTTTGAAGACAACTCCTCCAGATGTTCTGTTATTAAATTCTTAAGAGCTCAGAGCTCTGGTGGATTGGAAAATCCTAAAAGAACTGAGTAACAACAACAACAGAAAGGAGGGTGGAAGATGTCAGCTCTGTGCAGATGCCAACCAGCTGACTCGGTCTCCAAGTTCATCTTAGAGTTCAAGAGAATTCAAGGCATGGAGCAGAGACACTAAACTTGTGTCAGGGGCAAAAACTTCTGGTAGTAGCTCTTGGTGACATCAATCATCAGCTCCTGGGTACACTCCGGGAGCTCCCCTGAGAAGAGTCCTGGGGAAAGAAAGACCTGGTCAACCATGGGGGTCCCCGAGGAGCCTGCAGCCGCAATTTCTGCCTAGCCTCCCAAACAGACATTTGCTTTAGCTCGAGTATCTACATACTAGGTTTTCTACCAGCAGTAACAGAACATTCTACTAATCGTATCTTCTACACAAGATGACATTTCTGCAGGGAGTAAACAAACACAATTCTCCAAATGAACAGAAATATTCCTGGTTAAAAAAAAGAAAAGTTAGTACATTATTGTACACTCTGAAGATCTGAAGCCTCCCTGACAGCTTCGGATTCATTCCAGACAAAGGTTGGCTGCTACTGAGCGGCCACGGTCAGCCACCCTGAGCTAAGAAACTGCTCTTCTATCCATCCTGTGAAACTGAACCCAGTGCCCTGTGCAAGACACAGCTAAATGCTGGAACAGAGTACAACAGAGTCCCATGCACAGACAAAACATGCAGAACTCAGTCAGGAGTTTCTAGGAGAGACAATCTCAGACGCTGCAAGTAGAATGTGTACACCAATGTGACTGCTTTGAAGGACACTCTGGAAGGATCTAGCAAAATTTAAGGTTCATAGCCTAAGACCTGACAATCCAGCTTCTAATAATTCATCCCACAGAAAATCTTTTGTTCAGTTGTACAACATATAACAGTGTCAACGTACTGGTTTTTTTAGTACTGAAAAACCACGTACAACTTCTAACAATCCACTCTACCACAATACTGGTTAGATACAGTATGGTGCATTTGCCTGATAAAAAAGTCTGTAACCATTAAAAGGGGTAAGGTGGAGCTCTATATACTAACAAAAAAAGACGCCTGAGTTATATTAAAGAAAGCAAGTTTCAGAAAAGTAGAAAGAGTAATCATACAGATATATAGCATACATATATACTCTTATCTATACGTTCATATACATGAATGAACATAAATTTGCACTTTAAGTGTTTGCATGTATATACACAGAATAACTGAAAGGATAGGAAAACAATTTTTTAAGTGTATAATTCACAACCCTGTGCAAATTAGTATCTTATGATAGACTTTAAAACATGTTTGCTATACACAGTATGGCATCATTTTTAACAATTAGTAGACAACGTTCAGAAGTTCAAAGACATCACGGAAAAAGCCCACTTTCCAGTAGCTCACAGACCACTGGACACGCACATGGTGGTAGGTGTGGCCCAGCAGCTACTCCTCGGTCATTTCCATGATCTGCCTGCCCGGATCGACATCCTTTCTGGATAACTGCCTTATCACTCTGTCCTATGATACAGGTTTGTGCTATGCAGTCCTCCCTGGATGCGCTAGTTGTCCTGGGACCCTAGGCCTCAGAACTGAAAGACGGAAACCGCTAATAGGAATATCTAAATAGTACTTACCTGCAAAACCACATAATATAAACACAGGAAGTATCCTGCCAACATGCAAAAAGCAGAGGACTCTACGCTAGAGCTTTGCCAAAAGGCAGGGTAGTGATTAAAAACAACCAACCAACTAACCAAACAAACAAAAAATCCCAAAAAACAAAAACCATGGGACTCTGAATAATGGGCCTACGTGATGGTCAAGATCTCCCCACTGATCAGCTTTGAAACCCTGAGAAACCTACCCTCTCACTTACTTAATTTTTTTCTTTTTTCATTTTCTCATTACACAGTGACCACTAAGACCCCACTGGAGCTTGACTCCTTCACCACGACCTCTAAATAAAACTCTTATTTGAGTTTGAAATACCAAACACTTCCCTCTCTGCTGTTATCTATGCTGAATGGGCATATAAATTGGTACTAAAAAACCTGAATAAACTGGATGAGGCTGAGATATTTCTCTGGGAGGGCTTTGCAGTGCAAGAGGTTAAGTACATCCCACATCAAAGTGGGATCCCGGTTTGAGTCTTGTCTGCTGTGCTTCCAATCCAGTTTCCTGCTGATACACTTGAAACGCAACAGATGATGGTAGGGCGGGCCTGGCCTCCTGCCACCGTGTGTGAGACATGGCTGGAGTTCATGGCTACAGGCTTTAGCCTGGCCGAGGCCTAGCTGTAGGGAGCATTTGGGAAGTGAAACAGAGAACAGTAGATCTCTGTGACTTTGGTACTTGCGTTTTTGTATTTTTCCTGTCCTCCTGGCAGAAATCTGCCCCCTCCTTAAGGGTAACCCTTTAAGGGCGTTTGCTGTATCATTCATCCACTTGAGCATCACACCTCAAGCCACATACTGTGAAGACACGTGCCTTCTGTACCAACTTACAACTTGGGGTTAGTGTCTTTGTTTTTGACCTTTGGTAACTTCCTTACTTTCTTGTAAACCCAGTAATGCATTTTGAAAGGTACTGTATTTTAGACTGAATTCCTAGGCGTTTTTTAACAGCAGAGTTTTGAAATAAGTTACATCCACCTACTGTCAGAGACAAAACTTGCATGACTCTGGTAATGGAAACTAATCTTAGTCCTAAGGAAGTTAAAATGATCAATGGCCATGGTTACCTGGGCAGCCTGAGAAGACGGTGAACGGGGGCACCACAGTCTCGGGTGGCAATACTGTGTTGTCAAGAATTTTGCAGCAGTCCTTCAGCACACACCGGCGCCCCTGTAAATTAAAATCCTGTTAACAGAAAACAGCTCCCAGGATGTCAGTGAAGCCAGTCTGGTTTGCTGTGTGGAGGGCTGTTTTGTAACTCTGTCTCTCAATATTGTATAGCAGCCGGTGACAAAAGAAATCTGGCTGCAATGCCCTGCTTCGGGTGGTACCTGAAGAGGACAGTGAGAGAGATGGTGGAGCAGGGTGTCTCTTTGAGAGAAGGGCTGCACCCAAGGGTAGCACAGCTTCTCTTAGGCATTATAATCACATGAACTTCAGTCCTGCAAGAGTGTTGCTTAACCTTCTATTCCATTTAGGGAACGCCTGTTCTTGTCACCTTTTCCAACATCCGCAATCCCTGTGTACTGGTTAGAGAACTTGCTTTTTCCTCATGAATCATCCTTATTCCCACTTCCCATGCTTCACCTTGGAGCCCACACTCTGGACCCCAATCCTGGCCACAGCTACTGGTGAAAGGGAGTTGGCAGGTGAGCCAATGTCTGACGGGTCTCAGCTCGAGGGCTTCTGTTGAGATGAATGGGAAAAGCAGCGGTTTTGACTTGGGTCTCCCGAAGGTCAGCCTTCACATGTGAGACTCAGCCTTCACACAACAGCAGAGAAGTGATGCCAACTGGACCCTATGGAGCCACTGGGCATCAAGTTAGGACCTACTGCAGTCCTACTAGTTTATTCTAGCCCAGACTGTGCTTTGCACCTATCAGTTTAAGGTTTGTTTACTGTTTGCTCTTTTTTTTGTCAATTCCAACTGGAATTTGGATATAAAATTATTAGTTCATCTGTTCTCCCACTGGCTAGTGGTAATTAATGTGAAAGTTTGGGTCAACTTTATCCACACTAGTAATGCTTTATTCACATTAGTAACACTTCCCAATCTTGCCATGGTCCGCAGCACTTTGATAGTTAAAAATAAAGTCTGGGAGACCAATCCGAGACTAAGTTAAGAGAAAGCAGGCTCTTCCTGCCACACTAACCAGGTAGCTAAAGTCCTTGACTAGCAAGCACCAGGATCCTAAATGGGCTCCAGTTTGTATCTTGGCTGCTCCACTTCCCATCCAGCTCCGTGCTTGTGGCCTCGGAAAACAGTAGAGGATGGCCCAGAGCGTCAGGACCCTGCACCCATGTGGGAGATCTGGAGGATGCTCTTGGCTTCTGGCTTTAGGTCGGCTCAGTTCCAGCCATTGCAGCCACTTGTGGAGTGAACCAATGGATAGAAGACCTTTCTCTCTGTGTCTCCTTCTCTCTGTAAATCTGACTTTCCAATAAAAATAAATTAATTTTTAAAAAAGCAGGCCCAGTTTAAGACAGTTTAAATTTTGCTTCAGAGGCCCAGCACTATGGCTCAGTAGCTAAATCCTCATCTTACATGCGCCAGGATCCCACATAGGTGCTGATTTGTGTCCTAGCTGTCCCACTTCCCTTCCAGCTCCCTGCTTGTGGCCTGGAAAAGCACTGAAGGATGGCCCAAAGCCTCGGGATGCTGTATCGACATGGGAGAACCAGAGGAGGTTTCTGGCCCCTGGCTTTGGATCAGTCTGTCCAACAAAAATAAATAAATAAATCTTAATTTTTTTTTTTTTTTTTTGCTTCAGACTATCAAGTAGGTGACAGTTTGTCTTTTTTTGTTTTGTCTTGTTTTTAAAGATTTACTTATTTTTATTGGAAAGGCAGATCAGATCTATGGAGAAAAGGACAGACACAGAGACAAAATTCTCCCATCAACTGGTTCATTCTCGAAATAGCTACAATGGCCAGAGCTAAGCTAATCCAAGGCCAGGAGCCAGTAGCTTCTTCCAGATCTCCCATGCAGGTACAGGCTCCCAAAGTTTTGGGCCATCCTCTACTGTTTTCCCAGGCCATAAGCAGGGAACTAAATGGGAAGTGAAGCAGCCAGGACACAAACTGGCACCCATATGGAATTCCAGCACTTGCAAGGTGAGGATTTAGCCATTGAGTCATTGTGTCCAGCCCAGAAGCAACTTACAACTACAGTTCTTTGCTCCTCTAAGAAACCTATCTTCTCTGTGTTTTCTGGCTCTGTATTTGAGGGGATATATAACACAGTGTAGCAGAGACTGATGTGTCCAGATGTGGAGACATAGTGCAGTATATCTCTCTGCATCGAGGCCAAAGATGGGCTCCCAGTGAAACGGTTGAAAATATCCTGACAATGGAATTCCTTCAGTGTCGGGAAACACTTCAATAGCAGAATTATGGACTTATGACTGTCCACAAAGGATTACCTACTGTAACACTAGAGTGGAAATCAATGGGCAGGGGGTACTTGGAGAAGGGGACAGAAAGTCCAAGAGTCTATGGAACTGTATCATAAAATAACAAATAATAAAAAGAAGAGAAACTACCTTCTAAGAAAGTAGCTACTTACGGCCATTTAAAAAATGTGGCAGCTGGCTCTCTCTCCTGGTCACTCCCAAATTAACATTAACCGAGCTCTAAGAAACAGCAAGTAGTTCAACCGTGTAAAGCTGTAGTTGGATACAACGAGTGGGGCTTACCTGTGAGCCAGGAACTGCTGAGCACAGGGCCTACTTATATTCAAACTCTCTACAGTTCCCTTAATGCTATGTAAGCCCTTTGGTATTTCTGACTCTTACACAGGCCATGTACTCTAAAATGCTAACTTTTTCCCAGTCTGCTGGGTCAATTTCAATTTATTCTTCAGGTCCCCTCACTTCCATCAGATACACATTTAATGAGGTAAGGCAACACAGCAGATTACATTGCTGGGAATGAAATCCCGGCTTCACCATCTCCAACTTAACACCTAAGGTCCCCAGTCTTCTCATCCGCAAATAGGGATTATGTATACCATGAAGCATCTAATAGGCTCAGATGATTAAAGAAGGGTGAAAGGAAGGGGCTTACAGCAGATGGAAGAAGTTCTATAACAGTCACTGGGGCAGTTCAGATGCTGGTTAAAACACCCATATCCCACATTAGAATGTCTGGCTCCAATTCCTGGTTCTGGCTTCCAACTCCAACTTCTTGTCAATGTGGTGATGGGTGCAATAATTAGAATGCTGCCACTCATGTGGGTGACCTGGTTGAGTTGCCAGCCCAGGCCACTGCAGGCATTTGGGGAGTGAACCAGCAGGTGGGAGTGCTCTGATTTCCTTCTCAAAAACAAAAGCAAACAAACACCTGGCAATTACTAAAGTCAAGAAAAACTCCAGATATAGCAAAAAAGATCTATCCTTGGAAAGCTGAGAAACAGCTACCCTGCTGGGTTATGGCTTTGAGGGACTGGAGCCAGAAGGCAAGGGAGGGTGCTCGGCCAGACAGGGCCCAGTACTCACAATGACACAGTTCTTGCCAACGTGAACGTAAGAACCAATCTGAGCTGCGTTGACCACACAATCTTCCTCAATAAAGACGTGGTCCCCAATATGTAAAGGAAAGAACGCAACACTAGAGAAGAAAAAGAGAAATAACGAAAAGCCAAGGTGAAGTACGTGGGGTCAAAGTTTAACAGAACTGTAATTTCAGTTACTTTGTCTTAATAAGGAATCCTTAGGTAAAGTCTACATATTGGATGAGATAAATGACTAACAGTTCAATACCAGAGATAACAGACCAAAAAGTGTACAGAAACAACAAAGCAAAAGAGACTTTCAAAGCCAGAAGAGCCGACATGAAATAAAAATGAATGAATGTGGGCTTGGTGGTGTGGCCTAGCATAGTGGTTAAAGTCCTCGCCTTGAACGCGCCAGGATCCGATATGCGATATGGGCACCGGTTCTAATCCTGGCAGCTCCACTTCCCATCCAGCTCCCTGCTTGTGGCCTGGGAGTGCAGTTGAGGACGGCCCAAAGCCTAGGGACTCTGCACCTGTGTGGGAAACCTGGAAGAAGTTTCTGCCTCCTAGCTTCGGATTGGTATAGCACTGGCCATTGCGATCACTTGGGGAGTGAATCATCGGACGGAAGATGTTCCTTCCTGACTCTCCTCCTCTCTGTATATCTGACTTTCCAATAAAAAAAAAAAATAATGAATGAATGTGTGCTCACTCCCGTTTCCTTTGAAACACTCATGGATCACACCTTGAAGGAATCATTCTAGGATGTTTTAGGGACTGATATCAGCTTCAAAGGCTATATTTTCCAGTACCCAATATTCCGAAAATTTATTCACTCACTGATTTTACTGAGTACCCATTTTGTGCCAGATGATGCCAGAGCAGGGATATCACAGGGAGCAAGGCACACAGTTCTGTCCAGGAGGAACTTAGAGGCAAAGAGAGATGAAATCAATGCTTACAAAAGTACTTACAGCTGTGGTAAGCACCACAGAGACACCATATCAAATAGGAGACGTCATGCAGACCAGAGGTATAGGGAAGGCTTAGCCATATTTAAGACAAGCCACGAAGGATGAGTAGGATTTCTCCAGATTATCCCATTACCCAGGATTCCACAAATGCCATTCACTGCACTGATCAAGTGATCTCCCAGTCTTTTTGAATGCAGTATCCTTGGAAACCAACGAATAGAAAGTAGTGAGATGTTCACCAGTTGCCCCCTGCATTATTATGTCATTATGTCAGAAATATTTTGTCAGAGATGAGGCCTGTCTTCTTTCTGTGACCTATCACCTATTTAAACACTCCTTCATCCAGCAGGTATTTTTAGTGTGGGCCCCTCATGCAGCTGGACATTTCCTGATCTTATTACTCTCTACTGTAACACGGACAGTTCTTCAACTTTAGACCAAAGATTTCTCATGTTTTGTACTTTTATACTCATACGTTTATACTTGTACATTTTATACTCATACATTTTGCACATAGGCTTTACCTATCCTACCATTCATCAAGAAACTTTGTTCATTCTTGGTGTCTGGACTTCCTACAAGCCAGTAATGCCTGCAGCAGAAGGTGGAGACGATAATCCTAGTAGAACATCAGGTACTGCGTGAACCCACCAAAGGGTAGCACGAAGTTGGGAGGCTTTCCCCAAAAGTCTTGTGGATGAATGAATGGATAACTGAGGGTGCCTCTGTGTGACCCCATCCCCGTAGGCAGTGGAAAGCCTGAGTTTCCACACCATCACAGGCAAAGTGAGATGATTCCAGAGGACAGGCTCACTTAATTTGGGCTGTTCCCCTCCTTCTTCTCCCTAACTCTGTTATATAACAACATATCCTATTATACAGCAGATGTTCTGCTACAATTTCATTTTATATAGTAGTTCGCTGTTCCTGTAATTGTTTCTCTTCTCCTCCCTAACTCTGTCATATAACAACATATCCTATTCCACTACATTATCACATTATATATCATATTATGTAGTCGTTCACTGCTCCTGTAATTGTTTCTCCCAATAGCTTTGGAGAACCTTGAGATTTGTAGACCTCTCTTTTATCTATCTTAATATGTCCAGCTTATAAACCCAGTGGCTGGCAGAAGAAAGCTCATTACTAAAATGTGCTCTAATTTATCACACGAAATGCAGGTTGGTCCCCTAGGACAGATGCACGGAACAATCCCGCAAGGAGGAGACACCACCACAGTGGGCCTCGGTCAGTTTTCCTGCTCTGCTCACAGCTTTTCTTGGACAGTCCATATCCCAACAAGGGATCTGACTTGACCTTGACCTTTGGCTTTAGACCAGGAGTGAGCATCTAATGTAGTCTGAGTTGGTCAGATTCTCTCATCCCAGAGTCTGGTCACAAGCTCTCTGGTCATTATCTGTTGGAAGCCTGAATGGAGAAGTGACATAAATATGGGGCTGAGACAGTAAGGTGGTTCCCATTGAGAAAATGAGACAATGCAGCCAGTGAGAGAGGAGAGGAAAGCAGAAATACACAGAGAACAGTAGAGAAAAACAATATAGAGAAGGGCAGACACACAGAGTAGCTACTGTAACTCTGGCTAGTTGTCTAGTTGCAGGTTCCAGCCCCTTGGGAGGCAGCTCCTTTTGTAAGTCCCAAGTTCCACCAGATGTGCCTGTTCCTGTCTAACCAGACCACTTGATTTCTGCCATTGTAAGTGGAATGTTTCTGCCAAGTAACCATCAGCCAGACTAGGACAAGCATGCCAAAGCTGTGTTCATTATGGCAAACACCACACTACAACTCAACACAGCGGTCCCACCACCAGAAACTACATCTTGCTCAAGATCAAGTCATTAAATTGCATACCCTTTGCTGAATTTCTTGAATGGTGGCCTTATGACACTACGGCTTTTCACAACACAGTGGCGTCCAACTCTTACGTTTGCCAGATCTCCTCGGATAATACAGTCATTCATCACAATGGTCTGTGAAAACAAAGTATATATTTTAAAAATCACCATGATAATCTAAAGTATAGAAGCCAGGAAGCCTGGAACTCTCCTTGGGTCTTGCACACAGGTGGCAGGGGCCCAAACACTCGGGCCACCTTCTGTTACTTTCCCAGGCCATTAGGAGGAACTGAGTTGGAAATGGAACAGCTGGGACTTGAGTCGGCACTCCATATAGGATGCCAGCATTGCAGGCAGCTGTTAAACCCACTGTGCCACAACACCAGCCCCCAAAGGGGTGTGTTGCAAGGAAAACAAGTTCTTGCAACATTGATCATAGTCAGATTTTGTTCCAGTATATCACAAGCTCTTCCTTTTACCCACCCCATAAATAGGACTCACTTTAGAAACACCTAAGCAGGCCCATAGCAGACTAAGTTCCCAGCATTTCTTTGGATTCACACAGTTCGACCTGCCCTCCAAGCTTTGGCTGTGTGCTTGCTCAGCAAGCATCCTGGCCGCCTCTACCAGCCTCTCGCCTCCTAACACTGCCAGCCGTCTCCAACCTTGGGCTCCCACAGGCGGGTCCGCCAGAGCTCTGATCTGCCACCCAATTTTTGCACTCAGACTAAGTATTACCCGATAGGTCTAAGATTTGGCTTCCTCAGAAAGTTCCACGGGGGAGGGGGACTAATGCAATCCAAAGGTCTGGGGGGCTGTCTCACACGTGGTAAAGAGTAAGCATTCTCAGCCTGGCACGGTAGCCTAGTGGCTAAAGTCCTCGCCTTGCATACACTGGGATCCCATTTAGGTGCCAGTTCTAATCCTGGCAACCCTACTTCCCATCTAGCTCCCTACTTGCTGCCTGGGAAAGCAGTCAGGACAGCCCAAGGACACTGCACCTGCGTGGGAGACCCAGAAGAGGCTCCTGGCTTGGGCTTGGGATCGGCGCAGCTCCAGCTGGTTGCGGCCACTTAGGGAGTAAATCAGTGGACAGATCTTTCTGTCTCTCCTCTTCTCCGTATATCTGACTTTCCAATAAAAATAAATAAATCTTTAATGAATGAATGCATAAACATTAAAAAAAGAATGACCATTCTCAAAACGTCTGTTCAATAAATGAAGTGGTTTTTTAAAAAAAAAATTGAATATTTCATGAATTTGCCTGTCACCCTTGAGCAGGGGCCAAGCTAATTCTCTCTGTATTGTTCCGATTTTAGTATATGTGCTGTCGAAGTGGGCATGAAAAAAAAAATTTAAGTGTATGTGGCTGAAGTTGCAGGAGGGGAAATAAGTAAGGGACCCGAGACCAGAAAGAATTATGTATCTGAGCACAGATGCCTAGACTTCCTCCCCGTTCCCCCCGCCGGAAGAGAAAAGTCATCACTGACAGAGAAGGAACACAAATGATTTTCCTTTTAGAAACACCATTCTGAAAGCAGTCCAATAAAGTTAAGGCCTAACGTTATCATTCAGGTTCTAGATACTATTATGTATTTTTTTCCAGCATGAAAGAGACTTACAGTTATTCGATCATTTTTGCCATCAGATAAACTGGATTTGGATTTGTAAATCCTATGGGGAGTTCGTGAAGGTCTGCGTGCCCGCGGGAGCAGGGGTCGCCCTTTACCTTGCCGTTGAGAACAATGTTCTGGCTTCCACACAGCACCGACTGCCGGCTGACTTTGTTCCCAGAGGCCTGAAAACAATGGAAAGCCAGGGTGAGCTCCGGGAGTGGTTCCCGGCTTCCACCAGAAAGCTCCTTCATGCAGAAAAGGGAACGTGAACTGGGGGGTCGTCCACCATGGGATGGGCCCGGGAGGGGCAAAAGAAAAGAAAAGCAGCGATGGATTAGGACAAACCAGGCATTCAAGGGCCAGATCGCGAATTCGGATATCGTGGGTCCACCACGGCTTAAGGCGGCTGACTAGACTGTGGGTTCCACACAAAGCAAAGTAAGGAATTCACTAATATCAGAGTTGTGAAGCCTCACAGCGAAACAGCAGCACCGAGTGCACAGACAGCCCGTTTCCAGCGTTTCGGACACCTACTAGCAAGCGATTACTAGGAACCTAGCAGTTTCGAACATATTAAGAGTAAAATTGGAAATAACAATAAAAGAATCAGAAATAAACACAAACAGCGTGATCATTCAGGGGCTAAACAGCAAAGCCTGGAAACGCACGAAGGATCCCTAACTCATCCCGATCACCTGCCAAAGGGTTCTTGGATGGGTGGCTGGCTGGGTGGGGCAGGGAGAGGACGGGGCGGAGGGCCGGGCTCCCAAGAGACACGGGGTTAAAAACGGGAGGGCAGACGCCGGGACACGCGCACCGTCTCAATGTACTCGGACTTGTTGTAGAGCAGCTCGCCCAACTCCATGACCGCCGACTCCTTCTCACAGCTCCGAACCGCTGTCAAACCCCGACGGAACAACCAGGGCTCAGGATACTTCCGGCTGCTCCTCCTCTTCCGCTTGTGTGAGCAGGCCTCCGGCGTCCTCATCGACAGCTCGGCGCTCCCCCAGGCGGGCCTCCACGCGATAGCTCGGCCGTCCCCGGCTGCGCGTGCGCACATCGGCGCTGGCTTTCACTGGCGGGGCTGACTGGTGCGCGGTTCGCTCGAACCCTCCAGACCGCTCCTCGCGCTGAGGGGGAATCGCTGTCCCCCATTTTGTCGGTTCGCTTCTTGCACCCTGTTGGATCTCCTTGTCCACAGGCCCGTCGGCGCCGGCAGCTCTTTACGTTCGGCCTCCGGCCCGATGGAAGAGCCTCCCGCCAAGCCCCTCAGCTGTGAAGAGAAGGAAAAGGTGCCAGGGGTGCGCGGGAAGGGCTGACGCGGGTCACGGAACCCCGCTTTCCCAAAGATGTAGGGCTTTTCGTTTGGTTTGCTGTTGGAGCAGGGCAGCCGTATTCTCTCCAACCTGTCCGCAGCTCCCTTCAGGTCTGAGGGATGCGGAGAGTAAAAGTGTCTGCTCGCGCGTTTCCTTACCACATAACACGTGGAACTTGGTGGAAAAAAGCCGAAATCCCCCCCCATTTTAGTCACCGATTATTTGAAAGGCAAAATTAAAACGGGAAGGAGATGTTGCTATCCGCCGGTTCGATCTGGATGGCGTCAACGGCCACTTCATCCGGGTCTCCCGTGTGGGACACGATCGGGAGCGGGAGGGAGACCCGAGGCGCTGGCTGCGGCTTAACCACCGAGCACACGCCTCCCTGAGGTGCGAACCTTCTCTCACCCTTCCCACCCACTCGGTCTCGCCCGCTCGTGCTTCCGGATCGCTTACAACTGACGCTTCCACACATCTTTTTGTGTGTGTGTGTAGAATATCCCTGACTATCCAAAAGTAATAAGTACCTAGTAAAAAAAAAATTCTTTTTGAGACGGGCATTTTCCCAGATGTTACGATCTTAGCGGTTCTGCAAACTTCCGGGTTTTTGTTTTGTTTTGTTGTTGTTGCTTTTCCCGTCACATGTTTCACAGCCGCTTTATGACCGACTGATCTGCCTTAAATTCTGTGTAGTATTGTGTGGTTCCGCCGTGCCCGCTCGTTGTCTTTAGCTGTTTCTGGACTACTTGACTTCCATTTGTAGAAGTAACTTAAAGAAGTCCGTAAAGCCCAAACAAGGGCAACTTTATAAATGTGTCACTTAATGATTATTATTTTGTAGACAGGTGTTCGATAAGTGCTCTAGAAACTAGAGGAAAAACTAGACAGAGTTGGCAGTTTGTCTAGTATATTAGACAGGCAGGAGTTAGCGAGGAAAGCGATCATGGTGAGGTTTTATTGGCTGAAAGATGAGTGGCCCTAAGAGCTTCCTATGAAAAGAAACACACAGGGTGACTTTGCTGCAGAGAAAAGTCCTTTGAAACACAGAATCCAGAGAGATGGCCGAGATCTATATTCAGACAATAATATTGTGACTGAATGCGTTTATTAAATGAGTCTCTGGTGAATGCCTACTTGGTGCCCAGCTGGGAATTCAGCAGTTTCAAGCTCCAACTTCCCTGGTGGTTTGGTCCTAAACACCCTTTTAGTTGTGTTTGCCATGGATCTTCTGTGGTTTCCTCTGTTCGTGCCAGCTTTCCCTCTGATCTTCCCACAGCTGGCTCTTTCTGCTCCCAGGGCAGGTTGACTAGTCCTCAGAGATGCCTCCCAAACCACTCCAGTTAGAGTAATCTGTAATCACATCACCCTCCTTATCTAGGAATTTAGTATCTTGTGAAAGGATCTTATCTGTTCATTTGTGGTGTTTGCCCTATCCTTTACTGAGGGGTAAAATGTGTTGACTTCCCTGAATCTGACACCTAAAATAGTGTCAGGGATCCTTGCAGGTGCTGGAGAAACCCAGGGCATCGCCTCACCAGATAGTCTTTTCTGAATGACTTGAGGAGAGTAGCTCCAACTGCCTTTCAAGGTCTCGGGGCCAGAGAGAAGATACCTCACAGTGTGGTCCAGTAAATGCTGGGATCTGGTGTCTAATCTAGATTTGGGGAAGGACCCAGAACCCCAGGGAAATAAGTTTCAGGCGAGGTTGGAGGATTCAATAGGAATTAATAAGGGGAGGAAATAGAGACAGATCATGGGATGGTACCGAAAGAATGAGCAGATTGGTGCTTGGTGAGAACTGAGAGTAGGTCTGTGGGCCAGTGGCCGGTGCCACTCCCTGCCCAGCGCCTTGCTGAGGAGCCACTCCGAGCACTGCGCAGTCCCATGGGAAAAGCATTGTATCCCTTCCCTTGGAGTCCTCCTTTCCACCTACTTACTTACTCTTGTTTTTTTTCTTCCAGCTAAAGGAAAAATTAGCATTATTGAAAAAGGAATACAGCAAGACTCTAGCGCGGCTTCAGGTAAGTGAACTGTCAAAAGAAGGTAGTACACTACAGACTAAATGAAAAGATTTTCTGGATAAGAATCAAAATGTTAAAAAAATTTTATTTCTTGAGCTGCTTTTTTTTCCTCTAGCGTTCCCAAAGAGCTGGCAAGGCTAAGAATTCTAACAAGACAGCAGAAGAACAGGAAATCTTGCCACAAGTAAACCGCTCAGGTAAATACACCTCCTCACTTGTATTTTATTATGCATATCCAGGGTATATTTGGCTGCCGTTTTGCCTACAACCAGAAGAAAAGAACTAGAATAAACTCTTAACTAATATTAAAATTCATATGCCATAACATTGACTCAAGAAACCATGTTTTAGTTGGATTGTATATTTAGTTGCTCATTTTCCCTCTTGTTGTTTAGAACTTATATTGAATGCTTAAATATTGGCAATATTTTTAAAACACTTAGGTATCGTTGGATCATCATACATTCACAGGAAACATGTCTTAGGGACTGATGTTAGACAGTGATTAAGACACCACTTGTGCTGCCCAAGTCCAGTAACAAAGGGCCTGGATTGGAGTTCCGGCTCTGCTCCAATGCAAGATTCCTGCATATTGTGCTCTTACAAGCAAGGCAGCAGAGAATGGCTCAAGTAATTGAGTCTCTGACACACATGTGGGAGAGTCAACTTGAGCTCCTGGTTCGTGCTTCAGTTTGGCCTAGCCTTAGCTGTTGCAGGCATTTGGAAAGCAAGCATCGGATAGAAGATCTGTCTCCACCTGTCAAATAAATAAAAACTTTTTTTTTCTTTTAAGGTTTATTTATTCTTATTGGAAAGGCAAATCTGCAAAGAAAAGGAGAAACAGAAAGTTCTTCCAACTGCTGGTTCACTCCCCAGCTGGCTACAACGGTTGGAGCTGAGCTGATCCAAAGCTAGGAGCCAGGAGCTTCTTCTCGGTCTCCCATTTGGGTGCAGGGTCCCAAGGTTTTTGGCCATCCTTTACTGGTTTCCCTGGCCACAGCAGGAAGTTGGATGGGAAGTGGAGCATCTAGGACATAAAACGGTGCCCATATGGGATTCTGGCATTTGCAAGGCAAGGGTTTAGTCACTGAACCATCATGCGGGCTCAAATAAATAATTGTTAGATCACCTTTTCAACACGGTTCTGTTTGTTTACACCTACTTAAAAGTCTCTAGCTTGTTTAAAAATTTTAAAACTTGGGCTTTAAGCCCGGTGCAGTAGCCTAGTGCCTAAAGTCCTCACCTTGAAAGTGCCAGGATCTCATATGGGTGCTTTTTCTAATCCTGGCTGCTCCACTTCCCATCCAGCTCCCTGCCTGTGGCCTGGGAAAGCAGTTGGGGATGGCCCAAAGCCTTGGGACCCTGCACCTGCATAAGAGACCTGGAAGAGCTCCTGGCCTCTGGCTTCAGATTGCCATAGCTCTGGCTGTTACAGCCACTTGGGGAGTGATTCAACAGACAGAAGATCTTCCTCTCTCTGTCTTTCCTCTCTTTATATATGACTTTCCAATAAATAAATAAATCTTTAAGCAAAAACAAAAACAAACAGAAAAAAAAAAACTCGGGCCTTGATCTGCCTGAATGAAATGCCATTCTTGAATAAATGTTTGATAGTATTTACATATATATAATATTTAAAAATAAGAGCAGAGTATTGCTTGTATTGTTTTAAAGCAGAAATATAATTACATGCTTTTTCTTCTCCTCAGAACCTAAAAATAGAGTGTCACCTAATAACAAGTTACAGATCAATACCCATTTCGGCCAAGAAACCAGGGCAAAGGCATCTGTCGCACTTGATGTTGAGCCCGAGTCCTTCAACCCTGGAGATGGCCCAGAGAAAGCATCATATCCTCAAGAAGCTGGTGATACCCCAACACATTTTCCTTGCGGGGTCAGTGACCCTGATGGTGAGAAACAGCAGAATAAGCTGCTAGGGCGAAGAAAGCAGCAACAGAAGAAAATCTTCTCTCAGAAGAGAGAGTATTTTGACACTGATCCACCTGTCGTGTCTGAAAAGAGGCTAAAGGAACTGGAAAATGACCACAGCAAGAATCCCGGGTCACCAACTGAGATTAGAATTCAACTTTCAAGTCCGAAGCCTGAACTCCTTGATTCTCCAGTGCCAGTTACAGGATCTCACAGCGGCGGATTCATTGCACCAGCTGCCAAGCCGAATAGAGATGCTGATCTACTCTTAAGAGGAAATATGTGCTGTGATCAGCATCTTGAACGCCTGCTTCCTACAGATAACTGTGAACATTTTATTCCAGGCTTCGAAAACAGTAGCCCTGTTTCACCTGTTTGCCTGAAGGCGCAAGGCAAAAAACAGACTGACCTGACAGATAACCCAGGAGTAGGTAAAGCTGTAAGTCCAAGTAGCCAGCTGCCCAAAAGCACTAACTGCCAGGCCGGTAATTCATGTCCTAAGAATGAAGTCACTGACAACAACTTACAAGCAAATAGGAAGCAAAATGTAGAACAGAACCACGCACAGAATTCTGTCAGCTCTCCCGGTCACAGTCTGGATGGTAACAATGCAAGTCTTCAGGAAAATGACGCTGTGACTCAGTCGGAGAGTCCCAGCTCAAAAACAGCTTCTGCTTCCACAGAGAATCCCATCGATTCATGCACAGTGGTTGAAGGCCTGCCGTTTCCTGCAGAGTACTATGTTAGAACAACACGAAGCATGTCTGCTTGCCAGAGAAAAGTAGCCCTCGAGGCCGTAATTCAAAATCATTTAGGGACCAGGAGGAAAGAGTTTAAAAGCAAACGTAAGGAAGCAACGGATCGTTTAAAGCATTCCTGTAAAGCAACTGAGCAAAGTGAAATCAGGATGTCAGACGCATGCGCAGGAACAAGTTCAGAAAGTCCTTCACGGAAGCTCGTGTCGTTAACTGCGGCTAGCTCTCCCACGGGACGCGTTGAAGGCAGTAAGATCTCTAGGAAGGCAGTTACCCGACCACCTAATAGACGGCACAGGAGAAAAAGAAAACTGGTCTGTACCCCGCCGTTGGATCATGAATTACCTTTGCCAACTTGCAACATATCAGATGTTAATGGGTCCGAGGAGGAAGTCACCTCGCACAAGAATCGGGACAACAAAGCAATTAATCATGGTGACAGAGTTAAAAGTAAGTTAAAGCAGCAGTTACTGTGTGCTTGGCATGTTGGAAATGCTGTGTATTAGCTCGTTGAATCTCCACAGCAGTCCTTCGGGAGCTAGAATCCTCACTTTCTAGAGAAAGAAAATATGGCATAGGGAGATTAAAGTGACTTTATTTAGCCAGGATTCAAATCCAGCAGTGTAGTCTCAGAACTCAGGAATGTGGCTGAAAAGTTGATCTTAAAAGGAAAATATATATATTGGGCGTTACCACTAAAGTTACTATTTACTCAGATGCAGTACAGTCTTTTTTTTTTTAAGGTTCATTTATTTATTTTTAAAGGTTTATTTTTATTATTTTGTTTTATTGGAAAGGCGGATATACAGAGAGGAGAGACAGAGAGGAAGATCTTCCGTCCGATGATTCACTCCCCAAGTGAGCGCAACGGGCCGATACTATGCCGATCCGAAGCCAGGAGCCTCTTCAGGGTCTCCCACGCGGTGCAGGGTCCCAAAGCTTTGGGCCATCCTTGACTGCCTTCCCGGGCCACAGGCAGGGAGCTGGAAGGGAAGCGGGGCTGCCGGGATTAGAACCGGCGCCCATATGGGATCCCGTGCGTGCAAGGCGAGGACTTAACCACTTACGCCACCGTGCCGGGCCCCATTTATTTATTTTTAAAGATTTATTTATTTTATTGCAAAGTCAGATACCTATAGAGAGGAGAGACAGAGAGGAAGATCTTCTGTCCAGTGATTCACTCCACAAGTGCCAATCTGAAGCCAGAGGCCAGGAGCTCTTCCTGGCCTCCCATGTGGGTGTAAGGTCCCAAGGCTTTGGGCTGTTCTCAACTGCCTTCCCAGACTACAGGCAGGGAGCTGGATGGGAAGCAGGACCACCGAGATTAGAACCGGTACCCATATGAGATCCTGGCATATTCAAGGCAAGGACTTTAGGCACTAGGCCACCACGCCGGGCCCTAGATGCAGTACAGTCTTTATCTTAGGTAGAATGCTGATATAAGTAGAACAAAATGTAAGCAAAAGAATTCCTTGGAAAACTTAGATATGACCATATAAAACTAAGGCCTGAACAACAACATGCATAAAGTAGGATCTCTTTTAAGTCCATGGAACAAAACATTTTGAAGAATATGTTATAATTCAGACTGTATTCATTATTCATTACTGTAATCATATCTAATAAAATGAAATCATACCTAATAAAAATACAAAACTTGGGCCCGCATGGTAGCCTAGCGGCTAAAGTCCTTCACCTTGCACACACTGGGATCCCATGTGGGCACCGCTTCTAATCCCAGCAGCTCCACTTCCCATCCAGCTCCCTGCTTGTGGCCTGGGAAAGCAGTGGAGGATGGCCCAGAGCCTTGGGACCCTGCACCCGCGTGGGAGACTTGGAAGAGGCGCCTGACTCCTGGCTTCGGATTGGCTCAGCTCCAGCCGTTGTGGCTTCGATGGAAGGTCTTCCTCTCTGCCTCTTCTCCTTGCTGTATATCTGACTTTGGGAACAGTTCAGTGGCATTTTAGAACACACAGATTTGTGCATCCCTGTCTAAGGAAGAAACCAACAATCGGGCTCTCCCTGTGTTTACCTTTTCTGGATTTTTCGTATTAACTGATGATATCAATGTCTGGGCTCTTTTGTGTGTAGCTGCTCTCACGTAGTGTTTTCCAGAAACGCCCACCATACCGTAACCTGCGTCAGTGCTGCACGCCTTTTTATGGTTGAATAGTGTCCCTCTTTGCTCGAAAGGGTAACTGACAAGAACAATGTGATAAGAAGCATGTACCGTAGACTGCCCAATGGTCACCTGTTGCAATTGGAACTAGCATGGACTTCAGAGGTTGAAAATCTGTTTCCTTTAGGAGGGACAAAGAGAAAGGAGGGAAAGGAGAGGAATCGACATGCCCGGGGTTATGCAACCGGTAAATTTGAGCCTGAACTCAGTTCTGATTTTCTTTCCTTCCCTCACTGAATGCTGCCAACACTGCCGTCTCGAACACTGCAGAGGGAAAACTGCTTGTTAATGACTGTGCTATTTGTTGAACCCTCAGCCCGATTTCAAAGCAGTGGAACTTTTTAGTGATGTTTGAGTTTCAAAACTCTTTGTTGCCCGTTAATGTTTCTGGTTGCTTTTTCACCATTGCTTATGTTTCTGTTTTAGGGAAGGAAAGTCATTGTGAGACCGAGGACTCTCGTCCTCCCGTTAGCAACGCTTGTTTAGCTTTGGGTGATGATGCTGTCGGTGATCGCCTCCCACACATGAGATGCCAAGTATAACGGAACTATTCTCTTGTCCCAATGCCACAGGGTGTGAACTACCTGCTGAAGACTTTGGGTGCCTTCAGCTGGAGAACCTGAAGCTGTGCTCAGAAGCAACACGTGAGCCTTTTGGGTCAAAACTGTGTCGGGAGAGGCTTTTCCAAGAAGATAACTGTTTAATGGAGGAACTGACTCCGAAGCCAATAGATACAGAAATGGAGGACGTGCAAGAAGAGCATGGTCTGTTTGGAAGAGCGCACCCTAGCGAGCCAAAGCTTCAAAACCAAAACGGCAGGAAGGGCCTTTCTTCCTCCATTCTGCTTTTCACTCCCTCAGATACCGCTGAGCCTGATGCTCCTGACAGGGCCGCTGCAGATGTGTGTTCACCTGTTTTGCCCATGTTAGGTACTACTCCAGCTTTTGGCTCCCAACCGTACTGTGAGGAGACGTCTAGAGAGGGTGCTGGGCAGGCCTGCTCTCCACCCCAATTTTCTCAGGTGAAAGGCCCAGTCAGTCCTGAAGGTGATAGTAAGCACCGCGACAGTTCAGCCCGTGTGTCAGGCAGGCAAGGACAACCCACCTGGGACTGCAACTCCGGCCCCTCGGCCACACCTCCGCCAGTGGAGTCACTCAGCGTCAGAGAAGATCCACTCTGTGGAGACCCATGCCAGGAGCGACATACACGTTTGGTGGAACAGGTGCAATCTGATTGTGATTCGTAAAGGGACGGAGTGTCTGGGTGACGGGGGAGAGCGTGATTCCTGACACGTCGGCCCCTTGCTCATGCAGCGTGTTTGAGCAGGTTTTCTTGATGCTTTGCACTGCAAACAGTAAGCTCATTCTAGGAAACTTAGAGTTCATTTTAAAAATGTTGCTCAGGTGCAGGAGATTTGTCCACACTGAAGCAGTTGCATTGGAGCTTTGCTGCTGTTACTGGAAGAATTAAAAACAGGAAGTAGACATTTTGAGGAATGAGTGATGCAGACAGATAGCATCTAGTCAAGTATAGATTAACGGTGTGACTTTTGTCTCCACAGACGGAAATGGCAGATCCTTCTGCTTGTGATGACTCTCTAAACTCCCACGACCTACAATTGGTTTCAAAGTTAAAGGTCAGAAGAATATTTGCCTTATAGTGTATATTATATCTTAGATGTGAAAAACTTAATGAACTGAAAAAACATTGTTTTGGTTTCAAAACCATTATTGTTCAATTATTAGAAAGGCAGAAAGAGAGAAAGCAAGCCTGGGCTTCCCTCCACTCGTTTCCCCTCTAGATGTGTGCCAATCGCCAGGGATCAGGCAGGCCAAGACTGAAGCTGGGAACTCAGTCCAGTCCCCCACACGGGTAGCAAGGGACTCGGCTGCTTGACCCATCCCTGTCGACCCCAGAATGCACATCAGCGGGAAGTGGGAACTGGGAACAGAAGCAGGACTGCAACCCAGATGTTCCTATTCGGGATGCAGGTGTCTTCATTTCTACACCAAACACTGCCACAGCAAATTAAAATTAAAAAGAAAAAGTTGATCGATAGCCTCTCCCTCCTAATATGATCAAACACCCTGGTAAACAAATGCAGAAAAAAAGATTTGAATTTGAAGTTTATATGAAGCTGTTGCCAAGAATAACGGAAACTAAGTAACTCTACCTAAATTTAGACCAAGCACTTTGGAGAAAGAGTCAAACTGGAACCATTTATGCCTTCCTATCCAAAAAAGAATGTATGTCTAAAGTAACCAATGCAAAGATTGGATAAATAAAAGGGAAATGCAAAAGGATGTTTAAAATGGTTGAAATAGTTTTATGGGTCTTACATTATAAAAAAAAACTATATACAGAGTTACGTAAGACCCATAAGACTGTTTTCAACCATTTTAAACATCTTTTTGCAATTCCCTTTTATTTATCCAATCTTTGTATTGGTTACTTTATATATATATATATATATATATATATATAAAAGACTTTTATATATATAAAAGACTTTAGCTGCTAGGCTACCGTGCTGGGCCCTATATATATATATATTCTTTGCATATAATATCTGTTATATGTGTGTGTGTAAAAGGAGACTTCTTCCAGTCTCCTTTTAAAGTAACTGTTGATGTCATTCTGAGTCAGAGTGCTTCTGGTTCCTGCTCTGTGGATGTGAGTGCCATGTGGTGGGAAAGAGCTGGTGTCAAAGAATCATGCATCATAACTGCCTGTGAGTACGTCGTGGCTCTGTGGAAACCTCTGGATGCTAAGCGGTGGAAAAAAAATTATACGTGGCACTTCAAAGAGGTGAGTTGGAATCTTAGAGCTGAAAGAAACGTGGGCGAGCAGGTACTGTGGCTGGTTAAGCTGCTGCATGTGATACTGGCATCCCACGTGGGCGCTGATTCCTATCCTGGCTGCTCCACTTGTGCTCCAGCTACCTACTAAATGCACCCGGGAAAGCAGCGGGAGGTGGCTGAGCGTGCTTGGCCCCTGCTGCCTATGTGGCAGGCCCAGAGGAAGCTCCTGGCCTCAGGGCCAGCGGGGCCCAGCCCTACACCTGGTGATCATTTAGGGAATGAATCAGCAAGTAGAACACCTCTAGCTCTTGCTTCTCCGTCTTTCCCTCTCTAACACTGCCTTTCAGGTGAAAATAAATCTTTTACAAAGAAATAAAAAGATGTTTACATTCATTTTTGTGTCAACGGAGCTGGACAGCTTACCTTTACCAGGATCTGTGACCAGGTAGGGCAGAAGAGAGAGGAGAGGCTCTTCCATACCTCACTACCCCGGGCCAACATTTTATTATTATTTTTCTTACATATCTATTTTTATTTTTATTGTAAAAGCAGATTTACAGAGATCAGAGAGGAGGATTGTCTATCCTCTGGTTCATTCCCCAAGTGGCCACAACGGCTGGAGCTGAGCTGATCCGAAACCAGGAGCCAGGAGGTTCTTCTGGGTCTCACCCTCGCCAGGGCAGGGTCCCAAGGCTTTGGGCCGTCCTCTGCTGCTTTCCCAGGCCACAGGCAGGGAGCTGGATAGGAAGTGGGGCTGCCGGGATACGAACTGGTGCCCATATGGGATCCTGGTGCATGCAAGGAAAGATTTTAGCCAGCTGAGCTATTGTACCAGGCCATTTTTATTTAGCTTACTTTATTATTATCTTGCAGTTTATTTATTCTTTCAGACATACAGAAAAGGTGTCCTGGGTGTATTTGTAAGCCCAGAATCTAGACTCTCCTGTTAGCACCTTGTTGTATTGTATTTGCATGAGCACCTGCATAACCAGGAATAGGTTTTTATGCTGAATCTCTTGGAGTAGCCTGAAATTTCCTGTCCATTTGACTTCTAAACTTGCTGGGTTTTTTTTCTACTTTTCTGTGTTTATATCACTCTGGGCTTTTTCCACTCTCATAAGTATCTTACAAGGTTGCAGTCCTAGTATGCTTCAGTGTTAAAAATCTGTCATTTGTCACCATACAAACCTTTTCCCTTTGGCTCTACATGTTTTTCATACTTGTTTGTGCTTCCATCTTGTTCTCTGCGGTAGCCATGGCTTCAGGTGCTGTGCTTTGTGCAAGGTGCTCGTGAATCAGCGTGCATAGTCTTCCCTTCACCTGCCAGATGGATGACTTGCTAACTACCCAGTTGGTGGAAGTGTGGCTGCCTTAAGGAAGTAATTAGTAAACAGTTACGTGTACAGCTTTTGGGGATTTACAGCTTGTAGGCTGTTTTTTTTTTTCTTTCTGAACCTTCTGAAATGTGCTCTAATATTAGAAACTACCCTGATACAGTGAGAATGCAGAAATATAAACGAATGTAATACATTTTGGAAATTTCAGTTAAAAGTGAAAACCAACTGTAATGTTTGGCTACTTTGTTTTATTTAGATTCCAGTTTTACAAATAGTTCCTGTGCCTGATGTCTGTAACCTAGTGTGTGTAGCTTTAGGAAATTTGGAAATCAGAGAACTCAGGTATGTAATACGGAGGAGTGGTTCAGGCTTTTCTTCATCATTGTCTCTGGTGAGCTTGTTCTGAGTGCAAGTTATACTAGTGCTGGACAGTAGTGTCCAGATTTAAGTCTTGAAAGAATCTAAACTTAGGTGTAAAGAGAAATTTGCTTTGTTTGGTCTGATTTGGTTTTAAGAAGTATAGATATAAAAAGGGGTTTTTTTGTGTGTGTGTTTTTTAAAGATTGATTTATTTTTATGGAAAATCAGATTTACAGAGAAAAGTAGAGACACAGAGAGAAAGATCTTCCACCTTCTCGTTCACTCTCCCAATGGCTGCAATGGCCAGAGCTGAGCCAATCCAAAGCCAGGAGCCAGGACTCCCACACGGGTACAGGGTCCCAAGGCTTTGGGCCATCCTCAACTGCTTTCCCAGGCGACAAACAGGGAGCTGGATGAAAAGTGGGGCCTCTGGGATTAAAACTGGTGCCCATAATTCTGGTGCATGCAAGGCAAGGGCTTTAGCCGCTAGGCTACCATGCTGGGCCCAATAAATTTGTTTTAAAGAGAAAATTAGAATGACATGTTTGAAGTTTCCATTTTAAATTTGAAACTGTTCTTTTACTGTAAAAGTCTTTTGATTTTAAAGATTTATTTATTTTTGTTGCAAAGTCAGATATATAGACAGAGGAGGAGAGACTGAGAGGAAGATCTTCCCCCTGTTGATTCACTCCCCAAGTGATTGCAATGGCCAGAGCTTCACTGATCTGAAGCCAGAGGCCAGGAGCTCTCCCAGGTCTCCCATGCAGGTGCAAGGTCCCAAGGCTTTGGGCCATCCTCCACTGCTTTCCCAGGTCATAGGCAGGGATCTGGATGGGCAGCAGGGCTGCCAGGATTAGAACCAGCACCCATATGGGATCCCGGCACGTTCAAGGTGAGGATTTTAGTTACTAGGCTACCGTGCCGGGCCCAATAAATTTGTTTTAAAGAGAAAATCAGAATGAAATGTTTGAAGTTTCCATTTTAAATTTGAAACTAATCTTTTAGTATTAAAGGCTTACTCCTGGCTTTACCTCATTTTCCCTTTTATTTTATGTAGGGCATTACTTTGTCCCTGTGATGATAAAAGTGACAAGCAAGTACTACTGAAATCTGGAAACATAGAAGCTGTGGCTGGCCTGACCAAGAGGAGACTAGTCAGTAGCAGTGGCACCCTGGACGACCAGCAAGTGGAAGTCATGACATTTGCAGAAGATGGAGGGTGAGAAAAGTGTTGGATGATTTTATTTTACTTTTTTTTAATTATTAGGGAATGATTTTCTCACAGATTTCAGACAAACTGGGTTCCTGGGATCTCGCTGTTCTGTGCGTGGAGCTGGCATGGCAGGCATGCCTCAACACTGGGGTATGAGAGAAGCGAGCGAGACAGTTGGAATCCAGACACAGCACAGGAGGTGCCAGGGTTGTGACAAATGCAGTCTGCTGGTTCTTCCATGGTCTGCCCCTCCTCTGTGGCTTTTCGGTACCTAGCCCCTTTCCCCAGGGCCCCACTGGCTGTCCGGGCTTTGGTGACCGTTAAGACGCTGACTGTGTAAGCATACCTTTCTAGCTCTGACCTCTTTCTTGACCTTTTGAGCTGCGTGCCTACCGCCTAGGTATCCTGTGGCTAACTCAGATTATCCATGTTGACAGCTGCGCTCTTATCACAGCTCCTTCTCTGTCTTAACTCTGCCTTTCAAATAAGTAAATGTGGCACAGTGCTTAAGCTGCTGCCTGTGACACTGGCCGCCCGCATGAATGCTGGTTTGAGAGTCCTTGCTGATGGCTCAGTGCTTGGGTCCCTCATCTCCACATGGGAGATCCCGACAGAGTTCCAGGCTCCTGGCTTCTGCCTGTCCCAGTTCTGACTGTTGGAGACTTTGGAAAATGAGCCAGCCCTGAAAAGATCTTTTTCTCTGTCTCTCTCAATATATAATGCTGTCTTTCAAATAAATAAATCTTTTTCAAAAGTAGAACACCCGAAATGAGCATTCTGTTTATGATATACCCATTATATTTTATTGCTGTCATTTCTGTCTTAGGAATCAAGGCAAGGATCTTGTCTTCCTCAGGGCCTGTTGCCATAATGCAGGCAAGAGTGCAATACTGGTTTGCTTAAATTTGGCAAGTGTTAATGAACATGAGAGGAAGCAGGAAGATTGGTGGTGAGATAATAAAATCACCAGGACTTGGTGACTGGCTGGATTGGCAGAAATGAGACAGGAGAATGGCCAGGTTTCCGGACTGCTTGCCTGGGTAGATGGTATGCAGTTGATTTATTGAGATGCAGAAAGACAAGATTCAAAAAGGAAAGCTGTGAGTTTCATGAGGAATTTAAGGTGCTTGCAGAATCCTAGTAGGTGATATGAACTAGTATATACTTAGTGGATAAGGTCTAGACTGTACAGGATTACTAGTTCAAATATTTCTCAGAGGTTTGGTTAGTTTATTGTATATTGTTCAATAATATGGAGAAATGCTTACAAGCTGCTTTAGTACAAACTCATTTTGAATGTTGCTTTGAATGCAGAATCAATGAGAAGCACTTTTTGATGCCTCCTGAAGAGGCCGTAACAACTTTCGCCGAAGTCCAAGGGATGGAGGAAACCCTGCTTGGCACAACGGGGATGAGCAGTATTGTGATTTGGTAAGTTTCCACTCTGGGTACTCCATCTCCTCTGAAGGACGCAGACATACCTCCAGCTTTGTAAGTCTTGAAATTTAGAGAAGAGAATATATAAACAGGATTCTAGGGTTTGGTTTTGTTTTAAAGATTGTTTATTTGAAAGTCAGAGTTCCAGAGAGAAGGAAAGAAAGAGATCTTCCATGTTCTGGTTCATTCCACAAATGGAGCATCTTGCCTCTTTTTCCACTCTTTGCTTCCACGCAGTCTTCCATTCTCTATTGTTTTGATCTGCATCTAGTATAACTATATACGGTAGATCACAATTATGAGGATTTTAGGTGAGGTCTCTCATCCACTAAATGTGGTTTCCTGACATTTGTCTTTTGTGTAAAATTTAGGCCTAACAAGAAATGCCAGAAAATCACAATTCTAGCATTGAGTCACTGTTCTGATAGCAGTATATGAGGTACATTTGATTATGGAAAGCTTTTGTCAAGCAAGTCGGAGAGACTCACCCTTAGCGATGTAACAGATTCAATCTAAAGTATCAGACTCCTGGGAAAGTTGACCTACAATTCTTTTAGCTAAATTTGTGAGGAAACAAAACTAAGATAGTATCTTCTTAGTTTATTCCTGCATCTCCTATAAGATGCCATGATGAATAAGAAAATATTATGGGGCCCAGCATGGTAGCCTAGTGGCTAATATCCTCCCTTACACGTGCCAGGATCCCATATGGGCACCAGTTTCTAATCCCATCCAGCTCCCTGCTTCTGGCCTGGGAAAGCAGTCGAGGACGGCCCAAAGCCTTGGGACCCTGCAGCCATGTGGGAGACCAGAAAGAGGCTGCTGGCTCCTGGCTTCAGATCAGCTCAGCTCCAGCCGTTGTGGCCACTTGGGGAGTGAATTAGCAGATGAAAGATCTTCCTCTGTCTCTCCTTCTCTCTGTATATCTGACTTTCCAATAAAAACATAGATCTTTAAAAAGAAAATATTCTTGAAAACCAACTTGTTGAGAAAATCTGATATGCTTTTGTTTATGTTGTTGTTTTCTAAGGAATTTAAAAACTGGTCAACTCCTGAAAAAAGTGCACATTGATGAATCTTACCATGGTTCAGTCTGTCACAAAGCCTATTCGGACATGGTAAGTAACGACCAAGGTGACACCATAGTTTGGTTCTGTTTTTTAAGATTTATTTATTTTTATTGAAAAGGCAGATTTACAGAGAGATGGAGATACAGAGAGAAAGATCTTCCATCCACTGGTTCATTCCCCAAGTTGCCACAATGGCCGGAGCTAAGTCAGTCTGAAGCCAGGAGCCAGGAGCTTCTTCAGGGTTACCCATGCAGGTGCAGGGTCCCAAGGCTTTGGGCCGTCGTAGGTTGCTTTTCTAGGCCACAAGCAGGGAGCTGGAAGGGAAGTGAAGCAGCCAGGACACAAACTGGTGCCCATATGGAATACATGTGCATGCAAGGCAAAGACTCTAGCCAATGAGCCATAGCGCTGGACCCCTGAAAAACATTTTTTCCAAAAGATTTATTTATTTTTTATTGCAAAGTCAGATATACAGAGAGGAGGAGAGATAGAGAGGAAGATCCTCCGTCCGATGATTCACCCCTCAAGTGGCCGCAGCGGCTGGTGCTGCACCTATCCAAAGCCAGGAGCCAGGAACTTCTTCCAGGTCCTCGACTACCCTCCTAGGCACATCAGGGAGCTGGATGGGCAGTGGTGCCGCTGGGACCAGAATTAGTGTCCATATGGGATCCCAGTGCATTCAAGGTGAGGACTTTAGCTGCTAGGACATCGTGCCAGGCCCAAAAACATGCTTAACTTGTAGACTGTGCACAAGTAATTTTGGAGTAGGACTTATCTTCTGCACCATGGTTATATGTGTGACATTTAACCTTTCATAATCTGGCTTTTTTTGAGTCTGGCACAGTAGCCTTGTGGCTAATGTCCTTACCTTGCATATGCCAGGATTCAAAACGGGCACTGGTTCTAGTCCTGGCAGCCCTGATTCCCATCCAACTCCCTGCTTGTGGCCTGGGAAAGCTGTCAAAGACAGCCCAAACCCTTGGGACCCTTCACCCACGAGGGGGACCCGGAAGAGACTCCGCACTCCTGGCTTTGGATTTGCTGAGCTGAGCTCCTGCCGTTGCAATTGCTTGGGGAGTGAATCATCGGGTGGAAGATCTTCCTCTCTCTCTTCCTCTCTGTATATTTGACTTTTCCAATAAAAACAGAATAACTCTTTTTTAAAAAAATTTAAACTCTGGCTTTTTCTAAATATGAAAGTATTTAGGCATTTGAAAAGAAATGTGTTTACTTATATGGAAGGCAGACATAGAGAGAGAGAGAACGAGAGACAGAAAGCTCTTCCATGCTGATTTGTTCCCAGAATGATGGAGTCAGCCAGGGCTAAGCCGTGCTGAAGCCAGGAGTCAAGAGCTTCATGCAGGCCTCCCACACGAGTGCAGGGTGCAAGGACTTGGGACTTCTGCTGCTCTCTTTGCAACACTGGCAGGGAGCTGCCATGGGAAGTAGAATGGGCAGGACACAGACCGGTGCCCATGTGGAATGCCAGTGCTGCAAGTAGCAGTTGAACCTGCTTTGCCACAGCACTGGCCCCGAGTTAATTTTCTTCGTAAAAAGTTGCTGTTTGAGGGATAGAATTCTGATTAGCTCATTACTCCCTAAATGCCACACTTGGGCCAGGCCAAAGCTGGGAGCTAGGAACTCAGTCCAGGTCTCCAGTAGCAGGAATCTAGCCACGTGAGCTATCAGCTGCTGTCTCTTAGGGCCTACATTAGCAGAATCTGAAATGAGTCGCAGAGCTGGGACTTGAACCTGGGCCCTGGGGTATAGGAGATGGGCATCCCAATCACCATCTCCGTCATCAAGGCAGATAGTTCATTTTCATTGAAGACCTCAGTCACTATAAAATGTAAAAGATAGAAGTGAATCCTGCTAATTCTAGAATGGCCCTGTAGTTTGATTTTCCCTGTATTATTCCAAATGAGAACTTTCTCAGCTCCCCTTAACACACACACACACAAACACACACATACATTAGAACTTGTCATTTTGAAGCTGGGAGAGATCTTCCATTTTTTTTTTTTTTGCATAAAAATCACCATAATTAAATCGTTTTTGTCTTCTTAATGTAGAGTGACTGTGTCTAAATCCTAAGTCGGCTTTTGTGGGCTAGCCTAAGAATATCATTGCCATTCACAGGATTGCGAATTTCTATTTGAAGGACTCCATGCATGTTTTTATCAGTCTTCTTTCCCTGTGCCAGCATCTCCTCAGATGGAATGCATGAGCTGTAGTAAGGTGTAAGGTGAAGAGAATGGATGGGCAGCTGGCTTCCATGCCTCCGAATGGTGGTGGGAGAGTGATGATGTGAAAACTTCCTGCTTGGGTGGGACGGGAGTGGCAGGGGCGGGAGTGGCAGTGGCAGGAGACCCAGAAACAATGATTTAATCTCGGATGCTTATAAACCTGGTGGTCTTTTCTGTAATTCTTTGATTTTTGTCTCTACTTGTCTTTTTCTTTTTCCCAACATGCTCCTGATAGCCTGATTGGTTATTAACGTTTTTCTCCTCAATCAGGGGCTCCTGTTCCTTGTTCTGAATCATCCTTGCGCCAAAGATGGTCAGTCACTCGAAAAGCCTGTGTTCCAGCTGATTGCGATTAACCCCAAGACGTCGCTGAATGTGGGAGTAATGCTGTACTGTCTCCCTCATGGGCAGGCTGGCAGGCAAGTGTGCGTGGCCCCCACTCGGAGAGAGTGACATTGTGCAGGGCGTAGTGCAAACCCAGGACCTAAAGGTCACTGCGACGAATGGAAACCATGAGATAGAGCAAGACTCAGTCTCTTGTACAAAGACTGGCCAGAAGGATGACGTTTAGTGGATTATAGTCAAGTTCTAAATTCCCTGTATCTGGATCTCCATTTCAACTTCTGTTAAAAAGCACTATAACTGAATAGCTTTCTTGTTATTTTCAAAAGATTTATCCATTATTTTGAAAGAGTTACAGAGTGAGAGAGACAGAGACCTTCCATCTGCTGATATATTCCCCACATGGCCACATGGCCAGGGTAGGGCCAGGCTAAAGCCAGGAGCTTCATCTGGGTTCCCAAACGGATGGCAGGGACCCAAGCACTTGGGTCATCCCCAGCTGTTTTTCCCATACCATTGGCAGGGAGCCGGAGTGGAAGTTGAGAAGCCAGGTCACAAACCAGACCAGAGCTCACTTGGGATGCTAGCATCACAGGCAGCGGTTTATCCTGCTTCATGACGACAGCAGCCTCGATTGGTTAGAGCTCTAGGCTCCTGACTTTAGCTTGACCCAATTCTAACTGTGGCAGGTGTTTAAAAGAGTGGTCTAGCAGGTGGGGGGCCTCAATTTGTATCTCCTCTCCCCTGCCTTTTAAATAAGATGTGTAGATGTGTGTACATATTATAAACTAGTTGTTTTGCAAATAGCTTTTCATATGAGATCTGAATTGTCTTCTCCGCTTTGTGTCAGGTTCCTGGAAGGTGACGTGAAAGACCACTTTGCAGCAGCAGTCCTGACTTCGGGAACCATTGCCATCTGGGACCTGCTTCTCGGTCACTGCACTGCCCTTCTGCCTCCTGTCTCTGACCAAAATTGGTCTTTTGTGAAATGGTCAAGCACAGATTCTCATTTGTTAGCTGGACAAAAGGATGGAAATATATTTGTGTACCGCTGCACGTGAGGCAGGGCGAGACGAAAACAGTCGTTGGTTACATTTGACATGTTAGTATATTTTTTTCAGTTGTAACGGTAAGAGAGAATATCTTGAGAATACCGAATAGTTACTTTTGATCATCAGAATTAATTTTTATTCTGATGGCAGCACTACTGACCTTAAATAAGTTCATTTGTGCTTTCACTGTGAAAAGGGGTTTTGGGTTGATTTTTGTAATTCTCTGCATTTGCACTTTCAGATTAATTGTTTCAACTCTCCACATTTGTACATTTACTTTTAAAGTTGTACAGAAAGTTTTAAGTGTGAATAAATATTTATTGTGACACATTTTGCTTAATGTATTTTTTCCATTTGATTCAGGTCATTTTCAGAAAAAAAAAGTACTTTTTTTTATTTAGATGGACTACTTTGTCAATGCTTGTACACAAGAGTAAATTCAATAAATGTATACTAATATACAATATGGTTTTCTTAATATTTGAAAAGCAGAGTAAGAGAGAGGGAGAGGCAGAGAGTTTGCGCATGTGCTGGTTCCCTCCCCAAATGACTGTAAGAGCCGGGTCTGGGCCAGACCAAAGCCAAGAGTCTGGAACTCCCGGCCGATCCTCCACATGGGGAATGAGGGCCCAAGAACTGCCACTGCTTTCTCAGGAGCTGGGTCAGACATATAGCAGCCAGACTCAAACCGGCACCGATACAGGAAGCTGGCATGGCAGGCAGTGGCTTCACTCACTGTGCCACGACTTAACCCCTATAATGTACTACTTTTGTTTTTACAATATACATTTTTTTTTAAATTGGAAAATCAGATATACAGAGAGGAGGAGAGACAAAGAGAAAGATCTGACTGCTGACCCAATGCTGCTTTTAATACTTTGTTTTCGCAGATGTAGCAAAAGCAATGTGAATCCTATTAAAATGTCCTAACATGGAGATCCCGTTGTTCTTTTCTGTCCTCCATGTCTTCCTGATGCCGCTGCCTACAGGGTCACTGTAGCCACGTTTGAGTCCGTGGCCCAGATTTCCTGTTTGCCTTAACCTAAGTGGTTTGAGACAGGTTTCTAGGGTATTGGTGTGGTAGTGTGGTTTCAAGTTTTTATTTGCCTAGTATATGTAGAATCTATTTTTTTCCACATGCTTTTTATGATATCTGTTAGTGGTTTTGGTATTACCCTTTGATCCATTTTCTTCTTCTTCTTTTTTTTTTTACATGAGTTGCCAGCACAATAGTTCAACTGCTTCATCCTCTTACCTGTTAGTGCCAGCATCCCATATAGGTGATGGACCCTGGCTGTTCCACTTCTGATCCTTTTTAGGCCTGGGAAAGCAATGGAGGATGGTCCAAAACACTGGGATTCTGCACCCACGTGAGAGACCTGGAAGAGGCTCTTGGCTACTGGCTCCTGGCTTTGGCTCAGCTCAGCTCCAACTGCTGCAGCCATTTGGGGAATGAACCAGCAGATGGAAGATTTTTATCTCTTCATTTTGCCTTCTCTCTGCAAATTTGCCTTTGCAATAAAAATAAGTCTTATAGGGCCCGGTGTGGTAGCCTAGCAGCCTGGCACACACTAGGATCACATATGGGTGCTGGTTCTGGTTCCGGCAGCCCCGCTTCCCATCCAACTCCCTGCTTCTGGCCTGGGAAAGCAGTTGAGGATGACCTGGTTCCTGGCTTCAGATCAGCTCAGCTCCAGCCATTGTGGCCACTTGGGTAGTGAATCATCAGATGGAAGATCTTTGTCTCTCCTCCTTTCTGCAGATCTTACTTTCCAATAAAAGATAAATAAATGTTTAAAAAATAAATAAATAAGTCATATTAAGAAGAGCAGTCAGGATAGGCTCAGTACAATAGCGTAATGGCCAGAGTCCTCACCTTGCATGCGCCGGGATATCGTATCGGCACTGATTCATAACCCAGCTATTCCACTTCCCTTCCAGCTCCCTGCTTGTGGCCTGGGATCACAGTAGAAGGCGCCTCCAAGCCTAGGGACCCTGCACCCACGTGGGAGAACCAGAAGAAGCTCCTGGCTTCTGGCTGTGGATCACCTCAGCTCTGGCCATTGCGGCCACTTAGGGAGTGAACCAGCAGACAGGAGACCTTTCTGTGATGACGCGCTGGTAGTGTCTTGCAGAACAAGCTGGTAGAAGCGGAAAGGCACCTTCACCGAACGTGCGAGGTAGAGACATCTCAGTATGGCAGGTGTCTTCCTGGTGCTGGGCGTGCCCTCGGAGCTGACAGCCCGCCAGCGACCCTGGACTAGGTGCTTTGGGTCGTCCTGGACTGCTATCCCAAGCCACAGGCAGGGAGCTGGATGGGAAACGGGGTTGTCAGGGTTAGAACCGGCGCCCATTTGGGATCCCAGAGCATGTAAGGTGAGGGCTTTTGTGACTAGGCTGCCGCGCCGGGCCCCCAGAATTGTCAAAGAAGCAGTCCGTTCCAGCAGTGTCCTTGTGTCCCGACTTCTGTCACCAAAGCAGAGTGCGTGGCTGGGCGCAATGCCGCCAGGGGCCGCCAGGGGCCGCCAGCGCCCGCCTGCGCCCGGCAGCGCCGCTCTGGGCGCCGGCCGCGAGAGGACGCCGGGCCGGGGCGCCGCGCAGTGCATCCTGGGTCGGCGTAGCCATGGCGGCTCGTGTCCTTTCCTCTCGTGTCCGCCGCCTGGCCGTGGCCTTCGCCCCGCTGCCCCGCGTCCCCGCGCTGGCCTCTGCCCGGCCTCTCAGCACCGTCTTGTGTCCTGCTGCGACGCGGACGAGGCTCGGGGCCCCGCAGGCGGCCGCGGTGCTCGTGCAGGTGACGCGCCGTGCGGGTGGAGGGGCTCGGCAGGGGTCAGGAGTCGGGCGCGCTCGGCGTGCGACGGGAAGAGGGCCAGGCGGCCCCGGGGCAGGCCGGGGGTGACTCGGAGGACACTCGGCTGGCCGCGTGAGCCGCTGACCACGACCAGGAGGTCGACTCCCCGACGTGGCGGGCAGGGCCAGTCCCCTAAGCCTGCAGTCCGCACCCGCTAACCCGGGGTGCCCGTCTCTCCCCTTGTGGGGTGAGAGCGGATGACCCACAGGCCGGGGTGAGGGACAGCAAGAAGCCACCGTGGGCTGCGGCCTTCTCGAATATTCTGCCTTCGTTTCTCCCCGCGGCACCTTTGACCTGTCCCTGGAGGACTGGGAGAGGAGTTGCTGCAGCTTTCTTGTCCGATGGAGCTCGTGCGAGCGTGCAGCTCCCCGAGGCACCCGACTCCCACCCTCTCTGGGCTTCCCGCCATCGTTCCAGCTGACGCTTCGGAAATGGTGCTCTTGTTGCCTTAACTCCCAAGGTCAAGTTAGAAAAGCAACAACGAAAAGCCTCTTCGCGCTCACTGACTTAATACAGTAGTGGTTTGAGTAAGATCCAGGGATACCCAGGGCTGGGCTGCAGAGGTGGCACGCGAGGGGCTGCTTCTTAAAGCTCTCCGGTCACTCTTGGTGCAGGCAGTGTTGGGATTCATGTAGAGCATTGCTGATCTGGTGGTTGGTGGCACAGGGCCACCATGATGGGAAAGGTTCAGAGAGCAGCGAGTCCCGTTGCTGGGTGGGCCCTGAGGTGATGGCGAGGTGAGGCTGGAGTGCCCAGTGAATAAATGTCGCTGCTCTCCCACGTGTGACTCGTGCCTGCGGGTCACTTGGGTTAAAACGTCAATTTAAGTTCCACAGGTCTGAAAGGGCAGCCCCCAAGGTCCTGCTGCAGGGGGCCCTGGGCCGTGTGTGGAGCACTGGGGTGCGTGCAAGGTGGTCCCCCACTTCGGCTCACTTGGCGGATGCAGAAGGCCCGTCGTGCGTGTTTACGAAGGGAGTCATGGTTCCTTCAGAGATGCTGGGGGCGTGCTGGGCGCAGCCAGGAGCCCCCCAGCTCTTAACGGGTCTCCTGGGGCTGCAGGAACCCAGCTGCTTTCTCTGAAACACTAGCAGGGAGCTAGATGGGCAGTGAGTGGGATTTGAACCAGTGCCTATATGGCAGCACGATAGGCAGAGGCTTAGCGTCCCATGCCAGAGCCCAAATCCCTTGGCTTTTTCTCAAATCTTACTATGTCCCAGACTTTACTGCACACACTCCACCGAGTGCTGTCTGCTCTCTTGATTTCTGTTAAGGACATAGCCCAAGTCTCCAGCCGTGGCTCATCTACATGGGCTCATTTCATCCATTTCCTGCTGTCATCATTTTCCCTCTTTAAGGCTTCCAGGATGCTAACCCCGGAGCAGCTAACAGCGGCTTGCATCCTGACTTTGCCCTTTCACTTGAAAAGGTTAACTAAGGCAGTTTTCCTGGGTTTTAAATACAAGATGCCAGAAAAGGTAAGAAGAGCAGAAACCAGGGGAATGGCTTCCCTTGGGGGTCTTGACTGGATCCAGACCAGCCATGGTTACAGAACTCCTGGCCACTAGAGGGCAGAGCTCTGGCAGTTCCGCTGGGCACAGTAGGTGATGGCAGAACCTAGCACAGGACTGGGCTGACCCGTGCCACCTGCAAGTTGGGCATCTCTAATGCAAAAATCTGAACTCGCGTCTGAAGCTCTTTGAGGTTTGAGTTTTGGGGCATGTTCAGATGAGAAATGCGCAAGCATCATGCTCTGCTGATGCTTCAAACACTGAGGAACTCTAACCAGAAACACTTCTGGTCCCAAAGACTGGATGAGAGATGCTCAGCCAGCTAGGACCAGCCCGATGGTGACAGAGATGCAGTCAGGGCTGTGGTTGGTCTTTGTCGTGCGTTCTCCAGTAAGATAGTCCTAGGCCCCACCTCTTAGTCTCAGGGACAGACATCCATGTATGTACCATGTGTTTTAATCTCCAACAGTGTAAACTGTTACCCCACCCCAGCTTGCTCTCCTCACCCACCAAGCTCCTTCACCCCCTTACTCATTCATTCATTAATTTATTTGTTGGTTCATTCTTCTCCATGTCCCTGTCGTGGCAAACTCCTGAGGCTGGCATCTCATCAGGGACTGGATGACAGCTGGTGGCAGGGTGCTTACCACGCAGATGAGGGGTTTGGTCTTTTCTGTTAGGTGTGGCCACTGCTCTTCATCTCTGTTTTCAGCCTGCTGTAGCGTGCCTGGCACGCAGGCTGCTGAGACAGCCATGTGAATGATGAGACGGTGGCCCGAGGCTGGCGGAGGTGAGAGCTGTGCCGAAGCGGCTGGGGCTGGACGTGCCCTGCAAGCCTGTCGGCTCTGTGGAAGGCAGGCTTGTGTCCAGGCTGTCGGGAACCTCTGAGGTTCTCTGCCACTCAGAAAGTAAACGTTCGGGTCTTGGAAGGAAAGACTCATTGATGCCTTTGTACACAGCCAGCTAGCCAGGCAGGCGGCAGGCTGGCTGAGCACACACTGCACGAGAGAGAACACAGCAGGAGTAAGGGTTGGCCGGAGAGCCCCAGGGGTGCAGAAGGATCAGGGTCTGTGAGCTGCAGTGAGGCAGGCCAGGGGTGCTGTCCGAGCTGCCTGGGTGGAACTAGACAGTAGGCGCTCTGTCCAGATGGTCTTGGGGAGCTTCGCCATGGCTTCCCTCAGTCCAACATGGACCCCAGTGCTGAAAGGAGCCTTCTGCTGGGTACTAGCAGGTGTGAGACAGCAGCCCAAAGGGCATCCTCTCACTTCATGGGGAAGGACAGTTCACACCAGAAACAAACAAAAAAAAAAACCATATGTCCACCCTGTGCGTTGGGGCTCATCACACATCTGGCAATAAAATCTGGTCCAAACTCTGATAGCTAGGTGGTGATTGTTCAGCAGGCAAATGTTAGTAGACATTTGCAATATTCCTCCTCCGTGGTTGGGGAGAAAAAGGCTCATGAAAAGGCTTCCAGTAGGGGACACAAGGCCACCCGGCCGTGCAGTGAGAGCCATTGCAGGGTGAGGGCTGTTGGGCCCTCTGTTTTTCCCTCCTTCGGGTTGAAGACCAACTTCATTTGCATGGCCCAGGTCACACTCACACTGCTTACTGCTGAAGCCAGACTGTGAACCTTGAGCTCACTCCGTGGGGACTGCTGTGGCTGGGGCCAGCCCAAGAGTGGTGGCAGTGCTTTGTGCAGGCCCCAGGGTGGTGCCGCTCAACAGGGAGGGCTTCCAAGACCACCCTGGCCAGTGCCTCGGGGTGTCCTGCTGGCCAGCTGGGAAGAGGAATTCGGCTGTAGGAAGCCCCGAAAGCTTTGTCAAAGGCATGAGTAGGCTTGCGCACTTCTGTGGAGGCATGTTAGACTCATGGACCATGTCTCCTCGCTGTCCATGCTGCAGGTTCCTGGGAGCATCACGCAGCTGTGCCGCCAGTATAGCGACGCGCCCCCTTTGACCCTGGAAGGAATCAAGGACCGTGTTCTTTACGTCTTGAAACTCTATGACAAGATTGACCCGGAAAAGGTGAATTGATGGCAGTTTCCTTGGAGTACTTTAGCAGGTGGCATGAAAGTCAGTGTCCAAGAGGGCGCTCCGACTCCCAGGCTCCAGGCTGCGCTGCTGGGAAGCAGCTTGCAGAACCTCAGTGCTGTGTTTGGGGGTGCATGTCTCCCACCCTTCCTTGGGAGTACAGACGCTCCTCATGTCCTGCAGACGTTGTTCAGCTGTGCCTTTGGAGCTTGACAGTGCCTCTCAGAGTTGTGTGTGTTGTGTTTGTTTTGTTTTCCTCCACAGAGGTCCTTAAAAAAAAAAAAAAGCCTTTGGGGGCAGGCATTAGGCCCATGCTTCAGCCGCTGATCAGGCTGCCCTTGCACCACCTGGGTGCATGAGTTTGCTAGCCTGCTCCAGCGGCTGACTGCAGCATCCTGCTGATGTGACCCACATCAGCTGTGGCCCCCGACATGGGGCGGAGCTTGGTTGTAGATGTCACAGGGAGTAGGTAGGAACTCTGTCCCTTGTCCTCTTGTCCATTTTAAAAATGGAAATCCCTGGGGGTGGGTGTTTGATGCAGTGGGGAAGATGCCACCTGAGATTCTTGGGTTTCCTTTTGGGCCTGGGTTCGAGGCCTGGCTCTGCTGCCTGCTGGGTTGCATCCCGGGAGGCAGCAGGTGGTTGCATCCAGAACTTGAATCCCTGCCACCCACGTCAGAGATTCAAATTGAGTTCTGGGCTCTGGCTGTGGCTTGGGCTGGCCTCAGCTATTGCAGGCATTTGGAAGGTGAAGCACCAAGATAGCTCTTTCTGGCTAAAAATTCCTTCTTGGGACAGACACATGACACAGCAACCGGGGTGCTGCCTGGAACGCCTGTATTCCAATTGAGGCGCCATTTCAAATCCCAGCTGTCCTACCTCCCCTGCAGCTCCCCGCACATGCAGGAAGGCAGAAGATAGTCAAACACACGGATGCTGGGGCCGGCGCTGTGGCATAGCAGGTCAGTCCTCCACCTGCAATGCCAGCATGCCATACAGTCCTGGCTGCTTCACTTCTGATTTGCCTCCCTACTGATGTGCCCGGGAAATCAGTGGAGGATGGTCCAGGTGCTTGGGCCCCTGAACCCACGTGAGAGACCTGGAAGAAGCGCCTGGCTTCTGACTGGCCCAGCTGCAGCTGTTTTAGTCATCTAGGGAGTAAAACAATGGCTAGAAGGTATTTTCCTGTCTCCTTTCCAGATACAAATGAAAATAAATAAGGATTTAAAAATTTTTCTTCTTATTTGTGTTGTGTGGCTATCTATGATAGTATGTTCTTGATGTGAGGTCTGTGTTTGGTTTTATTTTTGTTCTGAGAGGCGGAGAGGAATCCTCACTGGCTGGCTCACTCCCCCGCTGTGTGTCCGCAGCAGCCAGGGCTGAAGCTGTGAGCTGGGGCTCAGGTCCGGGTCTCCCCTGCGGAGGCAGAAACCCACTGACTTGATGACCTGCCTCCCAGGGCCAGTGTTTGCCAGGACGCTGGGATCAGAAGCCAGAGTCGGGAATCAAATGCAGGTGCTGTGACGTGGGACCACAAGGCTGAACACATGCTCTGCAGTTGGCTGTGGGCGATGGGAGCGCCACTGGCTAGTTGCGGGGCCAGCTCCAGCACTTGTGCTTCAGAGCAGTTATTAAGGAGCTTAACAAAATGTGTCAAATGAAGTCCTTTCCCTGCAGTTAGGTACTTTCAAACTGCCAAAGTAGCAAACATATACCAATACCATGTATGTGCTAGCATTGTTGTTATATACACATATATGTGTGTTGGTTATGGCCTGTATATACAAGAATAATCTTTTGTATAATGATGAAGTGGCACTGTACCTACCTGTCTGTACTGAATTTTGTCTGGTTTCCTTTGCAGCTCTCGGTAAATTCCCATTTTATGAAAGACCTGGGCTTAGACAGTTTGGACCAAGTGGAGATTATCATGGCCATGGAAGATGAATTTGGTAATACATCAGGCTTGGTCCTGGATCTGCACATTGTGGCTTTTGATTCGGGTGGCTTAGATGGAAAGCAGTGCTGGGAGTGGAATGAAATACTAACAAACAGCAGAGCAGCATCCACCTGCCCTGCTCGTCTGCTAACCCTTAGGCCGACTGCAAGCATGCACAGTGCCTCTGGTGTGGGTCTGGCTGTGTGCCCAGGGTAGTGCCCAGTGCAGCACCACGGTGCCAGCCCCAGGACTTGGATTATTATTAAGATTGATTTGTTTTTATTAGAAAGGTGTGCAAATTTTCAGGGAGAAGCAAAGACAGAAAGATCTTCCATCTGCTGCTTCACTCTCCAAATGGCCACAGTGGCCGTAGCTGATCTGATCTGAAGCCAGAAGCTTCCACCATGTCTCCTTAGCAGGTGCATGGTCCCACAGCTTTGACCCATCCTCCATGCTTTCCCAGGCCACAAACAGAGCTGCCTGGGAAGTGGAGCAGCCAGGACACGAACTGGCACCCACTTGGGTTCCCAGTGCATGCAGAGTGAGGGTTTAGCCACTAGGCTATTGTACTGGGCTGAGGACTTGGATTCTTGAGATAGGGTTTCAAGAGGAAAGGTCAAAAGTTCCCCTCTAGGCAGTGATGGTGACACTTGCTCAGCCCCCTTCATGAACAAGGGGAGGAAGTGAGCCGTGTCTCACAGCCCTGCAGCCTTGGTTTCATAGACATCCTACGCCCACACCACGTGCTCTGTTGGGAGGGGCATCTGTCGTGCGAATGAAATCTCCACAAAGGCCCGTGGCTGAAGCCAGGCGCCTGCTGTGACGTCCTGCCAGGTGGATGGAGCACCAATGGGCATGGAGGCCCGGCTGAGTGAAGGAAGCCTTACAGGGGTGACCACCTTAGCGAGGGTCTGGATTCCTGAGGGGGCAGTGGTGAGGACAGCTGGGAGCGGCTGCTGACCAGCAGCAGCTGTGCTACAAACAGCCTTGGGCTGTACCGGAAGCCACCGGCCTGGGTGCTGTAAAAGGGGGGAGTTTTCTACATTGAGAGTGCTATCCCACCAGACAGCTGCAGTGCCCAGCACAATACACGGGTAGTCTTAGAACCTAAGCTAAATGGGATCGAGTCGCTGGGAACTGAGCGGAAGGAGCAGGTGCTCGTGGTTCTAAAGGGTTTGCTTTTGTTGTGCATTTGTCCTTTAGGGTTTGAGATTCCTGATATAGATGCAGAAAAGTTAATGTGTCCACAAGAGATTGTAGATTACATTGCCGATAAGAAGGATGTTTATGAATAAAATTAGCAGGTAAGTGACTTACAGAATTCTCTTTCATATAATTCATCTTTTGATGGCTCTTCAATAAAGCAAGACCCAAGAAGAAATTATAAAGACACAAATGTTCACTGCCTTATAATGCAAGCCCGCCCAGGTAGCTGTGTGTCACAGCTGCCCAGCACAGCTGCCACTGTGCATCCTCCGGAGAGGCTGAGAGCAGCTCCTTCCTAGGCCAGCTCCCTCCATCACCAGGGAGGGACTCGGGGGCAAGAGCACGGGGCGTGCTCGGGCATCACAGAGCACCAGGTTTATCCTTACTGTGCCAGTCTGCCAGCCACATGCCCAGCCAGGCAGCCTGGCCCTGTTAGTATTGGGGGGATGGCAAAGGGCCCTGTGTAAGCTCTTGTGATTGCAGACTTAATAAGGTGAGCTCACCCCTGAGTGCAGTACCTGATACAAAGAAACCTCTTAAAAAGGGCTGGGGTTAGGGAAGGCAGCTCTGGCTGAAAACACTGGGCGAGCAGTGTCTGCGCCTTTAGCTTCCCTGAATTTCGCATGTTAAGCACGTCACTTGGGTCAGTGCTAACTGCTGATCTCCTCTTGTCTTTGCTAGGCGCCTTTTTTCACCAAGGAAGGACTTGGAAGATTCTGGCAGAGATCTGCAAGCGAGAAGGCATTCTAGCATCTCGCTGGCTTTGACAGAGTGATTCTGTCGGACTTGTATTTAAATTGTTTGTTTTGCCCTTTGAAAATAAATCTGTAAAGCCACCACTCTGGTAGTCTTTTCATGAGGTCTGTGAAGCGCCCTTGTGTGTTGACATTGCAGAGTATCTCTCAGGGTTCGTCCCCTTTGTCCTTGGTGTTCCTGCCTGTCAAACACGCATGGCTTTTCCAGCAGTGTGCCTGGAACAGGTCAGCTTGACATTGCGTCTGTCAGCACTGATGACTGCTCCTAAGGGCTGGTCTAGCTCGGAATGAGATTCCTACCCTACAGCTGCTTGCTCTGTTGCTGAGGGTCTAATCTGTAAAACGGGAGGGGACCCAGGGCCAGCAGTGCTAGTGTCACCCAGACAGGGCCCAAGAATTTTGCGGCTGAGGGACTAGGAGGTAGGACAGAAGTCATCCGTGGGGTTGGGTCTGCCCTCAGCGCCTTCCCTTCCTGGAGGGGCCTGGCTGCTGAGCGCTCAGTGACCCTGGAGTTCCCAGACATCTATCTTCCTATTGTTGAGCTGCGCCTTGCTCTGAGGCAGGCAGAAATCTTCCATCTGTAGTTTATTACCCAAAAGCCTGGGAGACCTGGTGTTGGGCCAGGCAGAAGCAAGAGCCCAGAATTCACCCCTTGTTGCCCCCCCCCCAGGGTATGCATTGGCAACTGGAAGCACTCCTAGGAGTTGATTGTGGCATGTTAATTACTGAGCCCAAATGTCCACCCCTATCTGCTTTTTGCAATACTTAAGCATCTTAGATGGCTGGTGCTGTGGCATAACAGCTTAAACTTCCGCCTGCTGTGCCAGCATCCCATGTGAGCATCACTTCGAGTTCCGGCTGCACCACTTCTGATCCACCTAGAAGACAGTGGAGGATGGCCCAGATGTTGGAGCCCCTGCACCAATGTGGGAGACCTGGAGGAAGCTCACGGCTTCTGCCTGGCCTGTGGATAGTTGGGATATGGTGAACCTGGGGTCTTCCTGGGACACCTGAAGCAAGCAAGCAGCAGGTAATGAGCCAGGGCTCAAGCTAAGCCAGATGGGAGCATATGGGTGCTGCTTCATGTCCCGGTAGTATCGCTTCCCATCCAGCTCCTTTCTTGTGGATTGGGAAAGCAGTGGAGGATGGCCCAATGCCTTAGGACCCTGCACCCACGTGGGAGACCTGGAAGCAGCTCCTGCAGCCATTTGGGGAGTGAACTAGTGGATGAAAGATCTTTCTATAAATCTGCCTTTCCAATAAAAATAATCAAAGTTTGTGGCTCACACCAAGCGGAAGGCACCTGGTGTGCCTCAGATGCCCATGGCTAGCACGCCGGTGGAAGCACTGGAGGCAAGGTAATGGAAGCCTCCTCTAGTGCTTTCACTGGAACTGTCCGGCAGAGGGCAGGTTTCTCCCCTCCCCGGGGCTGAGTCTCAGAGCCCAGAATTACATGCCCGTGGCTGGCCCTGGGCACCTGCATAGGCTGAACTCCTTTGCCGATGTCCTGTATGTTCAATTTGTTACCAAAAGCCACAGCAATTCTGAGTTGTGGGTCAGACACCTGGAGCCTGTAAGAGGCTGACATAGATGTGGGAGGGGAGCCAGAGGGCTAAGTGGTCACGGGGCCCTGTCCTCTGGGTGCCAGTTCCCCTGACCATGTCTCCTGAGTCACTGCCACTCCTGGGCCTGCAGAGGCCCTGACATTCAAGAGAACATGACTCGGAAAGGGCCCAAGAGTGAAAAGTCAAAAACCCACAGTGTGGGGAAGGCAAGCCCACTGACATTGCCCCAAAGCAGAAGGCTTGTATTTAACCCCCTCCTTCAGCTCAATTCATGAGGTTTCTGCTGCAAGCGCGGGAGACCAGGCTGGAGCCCCTGGACGATGGCTTATGCCCCGCTGTTGTGGGCATGTGGCCATGTGCAGCAAGATTACTTTCTTTAAGGTTGGAGGGAAAAGCCATGACAAGTAATCATGGAAAAGCTAAAGTACAAGAGAACTTTAAGTTCATGGAAAAGGGGAATTCAATGTCTACAGGGTGCAAGAAATTTTGAACTCCACTCCACAGCACGTGTCTATCTTGTGCCATTTTGCTAACAGACCTACCTGCTCTCTCCTGCTGGGACCTGGCTGCCTGAGGGTGGAGCCAGACCCCTGTCCTGGGTTTTTCTGAAATGCGACCTGGAAGGCTACGTGGCTGTGGAGGTCCCCCAAGGCGTCTGGATCCAGGGTGAGGCCAGAGAAGCAGCTTCCCTTCAGCCCTGTAGGCCGCGGCAGAGCCTGTGGGGGCCTGTCCTGATAGGGGTATGGCTGACTGCTCTGGGCAGCCCAGAACTGACTATCCCAGGGTAAATAAGACCAAATCCCTGTAGCCAGCTTTTAATAAAAAAATAAATGTGGATACATTAAAGCTGAGTAAATAACACCAAAACTGGAAAAAAAAAAAAAAAAGGCTCTGGGCCCGGTTGCACATGTTAGTAAATACCCATTGTGACCAAATCAGGTGCATGAAAAATGAAGGAAAAGGAGACACAGTTATTTATCAAACTTTAATAGATAGACTAATCTTACAGGATAAACAATAAGACAGCTAGTCAAGGTTACACTTTGAAAAAAAAAAAATCCAGCAGCGCAAAATCTAATAGACTAAATACGTTCCTCTCCTCCCAAACAGGCATTGACTGAAAAACAGAAAGCAGAACAGAGCATACACCACAAGAGAACATGATACCTACATACACTGTCAAATAACTGCACAACTTTGCAAGAAAACAGAGAGGTTCTCACAGAGTCGCAAAATAGTGGAACCCCCCTGGGTTGGCAGGTCCACCCACAGGACGTTCTGCCCGTCACGGGGCTGCTGACCACCTGCCGTTATGGAGGTGCCAGGCCCTAGGAGGAGGAGACAGGTGCAGTCCTGACTGGAGATGACTTCCTCACAAAGCCATAGGACAAAGGGACCATCCTTTTCCGAGACAACAGGCAGGATGGAAGCTAGGAGCGAGACAAAGAGGTCTCCTCGGCGAGACCAAGGGACGCGAGGCTGCCCTGGCCTGGACCTGGGCACACCCAGTCTCCCCCCTTTCCCTTCTCAGCCCCTGGCAGGGCAAGGCTGGGACGGGTGCCAGAGCCTAGAATGGTTCCCCCAGGCACAAGGTCAAGGTAAGAGGAAGAGGAGGGAAACAAGCCCCTGGCAGGTGAACTATGGCAACACGGCAAAGTGAATCTCTTTGGCCCTCAAAATGTAAAGCAGCACCTAAGGAGCCTGCGGAGGGCCTCGCCTGGGCCCCTACTCTGTGCACGGGATTAGAAGAAAGTGCATCCATGGCTCAGATAAACCTCACTTAGAGCGAACACTAGCAGCCTGCGAAAGGCCCGTCGCCGATCCAAGGACTCCAGCCCAGAGCTTCAGCAACGCCAGCGTCCAGCGCTCCGAGTTCTCATTTGAGACTGCTAGGGCGACACCTCCTGCGGCCACATCACCTCAAGGGAGGGAAAGAAAGGCAGAATGTCTGAGAGCAAACAGCTGGCAAGGAGCCCATCAGGGCAGGGGTGTGTGATGGCAGCCTTCTCTGGCCCAGCAAAGCTTGCTTCAGGGACATGCTGGGCAAGGCCCTGTCTTTGTCCACTTGCGTGCCCCTGCCCCAGTGAGAGGGAAGAACAGTCCCTTTGGCAGTGAGGAAACTCCAGAAAGAATCCTGAGGAAACACAGATGCAGGGAATGCTACCCACAAGGAAGAGGATTTCCATCTGTGTGCACAGGCCATCTGCTCCGGACTGCAAGAAACATGTGTACATGGACACTGCTCACCGGACTGAGGGACAGAGGTAACAAATACCGCTCGACCCTTCTCCCACGGGCAAGGTCGTCCAGGCAGCTGGGGTCAGGAGCCAAGGCTCAAGACGTTTGGACTTGGTGAGCTGGACAAAGCAATATTCAAAACAGCTCCTAGGACGAGGTGTCATTTACATTATTATTTATAGATAGTATCTCCAAGTAAGGAAAGAAGCACCATTGTACTGAAAAACGCGAAGGCTCCCGCAGGTGGCGGTCCCTGGGAACCGACCCTAGCCTGGGTGAGAAGCGGTTTGGCCCTTGGGCAGCAAGGAGATGACGGAACGCAAGCTTGCACGCGGGAAGAGACGTCAAGGATGTTGGCCTCCCTGGTGGGAGAGGCCTGGGTGCAGACTGGAAGCTGAGACACCTGCTTTCAGGGACACATCTGGAGGTGCTGGTGGCCCAGAGGGTGGTCCTCCACCACAGCCCTGTGACAGCAGCAGAGGGCGGCTGGGCCAGGGACCATGGCGGCACTCTGCTCTTGGGGGATGGCTGCCACCAAGAACAGAAAGCTTGGTGACTTACTTTCTTTCAAAGGGACTGCTCCTTCTTTGAGGGTTGGAAACCAGGCAGGTTCTTGGATGCTGCACGTCATCACAAACAGAGAGTACATTTTGCTGCACGGACGCACTGACTTGGCACCGACTACACCACAGGAAGCCGGAGTCTGTCTATGTGGGCTGGATTCCCCAGCTACAGCCCGGCAGGGAAAGGCAGGGAGCACTGCCAGGAACTGGCTCACAGGGAAGAGGCGCAGGAGGCGAACACATGCTACCACGTTTTCACAGAAGGACAGGGTGGGAGGGCGGAGAATCCAAAGTGGGCTGTTTGGAAAACTTCTCGCCAGACCTTACTACACAAGAGCCTACAACCAGCGAGGGGAGGATTGCAAAGACGGCAGCAAGGGAAACAGCACATAGCACAAAGGAGTTCATTCACCTAGAAGACGTTCCCCCGTTTCAGAGTCAGCCAGGCCACCTGGCGATGACACAAGAGCACGTGACTGAAGACATGAAGGCTACAATGCAAAGAGAGTGAGCGAATCGTGAGAGCAACCTGTCCCGCTGGCGTCCTTCAAGCACCACCTGTCACCATGCCAGGCCAGAGGATATCCAGGAAGGCAGCAGCTCCGATCTCGGGGGTGAAGGACACTTGAACTGAATGCATGAGCGCAAGGACAAGTGGAAACACATGATTGAAATGCTCATTGGACTGCTTCGGACTTTCTAGAAAATGTCCCCCAAAACACAAGGATTTGGATCTGTGGCTGCCTGGCTCCTGCTCACATGGGGCCCTCGTGTGACCAGGAGCTGGGGCTTGGGCACAGCCATGGAGCTCCCTGGTAGCCCTCTGCTTGGGCCCAAAAGTTCAGGCAGGAGTCACTAGCGAGCCACACCACCGCCTCGTGAGTGTGACAGCTGCTTGACCAGAGCCACCAGCTCCTCCTCCTGTCGTGTGCCCACACGGCAGTGGCAGCTCCACGACAGGTGCCTGGAAAGGAAGTGGTGATGAGGTACCAAAAGAGGAAGTGACATCTTTGGGTTTTTTTTTTTTAACATAAAAACTCAAATATGGGAAGTGAGAAAATTCGTAAGGGGAAAGAATAAAATCAGAATCAATGAACAGCAAAATATGGCTTACTAAACCCCTCATTTTGCATACAACAGAAAAAAGAAACCCACCCCAACTCATCACAATGCAGTCCAAATTCTGCAACCAAAGATTTATGAAAATAGCCAAAATCACTGAAATCACTTTAAAAAAAAAAAGCATCAAATCATTCCCTTCTAAACATAATTGGCAGATCTACTCTCAAACACACTTAAGAGTATTCCACAAAACATGTTCTGAATGAAGATTTATTGATTTCCACCATATTAACTTTAAAATGGTATGAAGCTGACTGCAAGGAAGGGAACGGTGATTTTTAAGTTAAAAGGAAGCTAATGGTGAAAGTACATCACCTCTGGCTTCTGTCAGCATATCACCTTAGAGCGAATCGAGATTTTTTTTTTTGTCTGTTTGAAACAAAGTTCCACAACTCTGCAATCCAGGGATGCTGCAGGCTCTCCCGGCAATGTCCTTCCCTTTGGGTCAGTCTCCTGGGCCAGAGGTGAAAGTGCTTTCAAAAATACTGCCATTTGCCCAGCACAGTGTCTTTGATTGCATCCACATATTGAGTTGGAACCCAGTACACCCAGTAGTAAGAGGCTTCTGTGGGACCCAATTGAAATGCCTGGAAGGGAAAAAAGGAAAACCAAGCAGCACTTAAAAGGCTGGCAGACCAAGCAGGCAGAGCGACAAATGACAAACACCGGGAAGGGCTGGGAAGGGAAGTCACACAGCTGCACAGGGGAGCATCCTCCCAGTCGGGGTGCAGGTGGGAGACAGTGGCGCCAGCTCTGAAGCAATGGTTCTCCAACCCGACCGAGCGTGCAGGGAACAACGCTGGAGGTGTCCACTGACACGGCCTGCCTGAGCCCATCCTGAGGCACTTCTGCTCACGGAGGTCCCAAGGGCCCCCATGGCTGAGGACCGCTGGCAGCCCCAGCACCTGGCACGTAGCCACCACAAGCAGGACTGGCTGCTGCTCAGCATGGCACCCTTGCCAACACCCGCCATATCCATCAGCAGGTCAAAAAACACAGCCCGTCTGTGTGTACACATGCACGTTAAAAAGAAGAGAATGAATTAGAACCATACGTGCCTGGGGCTAATCCTGAGCCTTCACAATTTAAACCACAGACACAGGCTCCATGATATATAACACCATGTCACCATTTAGGAAAACCAAACGCAAAACAGTGCTCAGCCTTGCCCATGGCCATGGGAGTCAGCAAAAGCTTGGGGACCCAGGAGGGTGACGGGGGTAATGACCAGGGATGGGAGGGAGGGAGAGACAGAGAGGACACCAGCACGGGGGCTCAAGTTTATTTCTCAACCAATGTTTCAAAAATATTTACACTCGGTATCTCTCAGTGATGGCTATGAGGGTTGGTTACGGCAGTCTCTAAGCTGTCCTCAAGTTTTTAAGCCATTTCTCTTAACAGTGAGAGGCCACAGCCACACTCTAGCACTTCTGAGCTTTGACACACGGATCCATCCGCAGAGAGGGGAGCAAGCACTTCCAGGAGGACCAAGGTGAAGGTGTTATACTTCACGAGGTGCACAGCAGCCAAGGGGGATGCCAGACCTCTGCCGACAAGGGCTCCTGGGGGACATGAGCAGCTCCCCCAGATGGCAGGCTGCCACCTCTGCACAGAAGGGCATTCTTAGCTCAGCAACCTAGCCCCTGTGTGCCCAAGCTGGCAACACAGACATTTCCACAAGAAATGAAGGACCTTGCTAAGACCACTACAAATCCAACCACTAAAACAGAAAGGAAGGACTGAGTGGCCAGAAGAGAGCCTGCCTGTGACTCTTGTCTCATAGAAAGCAGAGAAGCAGGTGGCAGAAGGGCCTCGGGAGGGCCCGAGAGGCGCCCCAGTGACTGCCACTGCCTGGCCATGGCCTTGCCCCAACACCACCTGTGCTCTGCCCACACAGGCCAGCAGAGGGACCCTGCTGGCTGCCTAGCTATCAGGCTCTAGGTCCCTTCGACAGTTTCCCTATCAGCAGGGAATTTTCTGTCACCCAGTCTGTAGCCCCAACCCACAGGATGGACCCGTGGCTGCTCCTTTTCTGGGACCACAGTGGCCTCCCTACCAGGTGTGTGTGGAAGAAGCTGTCTGCTGGAGGGAGAACAGCCTCACACTGGCCCCCATCCCCCAGGTCAGTGAGAGCTCAGGTAGCCACTGGGCCCCTCCAGACAGGGTTTCCACCTCAGTGGTGCAGCTGCTGGGACAACTGTCCTCACTACTTTGCTCTGAGCACCCGCGGCCGCCAACACCACCCTCTGTCTCAGAACAGGAAGGTCCTCCCCGTATTCCCCATGCTCTCCTTGTCACACCACAAGGACAGCCTGGGGCCACTCCAGGAAGGATGCCTTGTCCTCCCAAGCACCAAGGCCAGGGGAGGTTCTGTTCCGACCCACCAGACAGCTTGCTGAGGGAACTTGCCTTTGTATTTATTTTCCTGGTCGAAAAACACAATGTTACAAATCAGAGGGTGGTAAAAGAGATTTCCAAAAGACAGGAACAAACACATCCCCTTCTCAAGGGCTGCAAGGAATGTAGGGGAAGGCGGGAACTGCAAAATAAATACAATTAGGAACAACTCCCCGGGGCCAGGGAGCTGCAGGCCGCTGCTACTTACCATCATGTGGTAGTCTTCGTGTCCTTCGATGGGTTCGCTGACCACATTTTTAATGGAGCCCATGGGCAATTTCTCAGTCCGCTCTAAGTCGAGAGGGATCACAGAGGTTATTCAGCTGCCCTCCTTGCCTACTTCCTCTGTCCCAGCAGTCCCCTGGGAGAGCAGTGGCTCTGGGGGCCTACAGGACACTCAAGTGATGAGCAACTGACCCTCTCACAACAGTGGGACAATTCCAAGGGGGCAAGTGGAGAATGGGGCGTGGCAACAGCACGGGAAGGGTCTCTGATTTCTAGACACGACAACCATTCGTAACGTCTGCCCAAGCCATATCTTCGGGTCCTTCCTGCCCAAGGGCTTGGGCACCTTGGCTAGGAGAGTCCTGATCCCAGATGCACAGAGCGACAGCATCCCCACGCTCTCCGAGGGGTGGGGCACAGGCGGGCTTTGGGGCTACCGTCTACACTGTCATCTGGCTTTCCCCAGCCTCCGGCCCACCATGAAACTCCCTCAACACCAATATGGCTTCTCATGATGAACCCTGGAGGGACCATTGGTCACGTGGGGTCAGACGAGGTGCAGCAAGTTGGAAGAATGGCAGGCAGGAAAGAGGAGGTGGCGAGGGAGGCTTGCAGTGAGAGGAGACTGCTGGGGTCATGGTGAGGTGGACGCAGCCGGGCTGGCTGTGAAGACAGAGGGTTGGGGAGAGGGGGACCTGCACTGCAAGAAGTGACACCCAGCCCCTGCCGCAAGCAGATGCCCGAGGTGCAGGCAGAGGTTTCCAGGCAAGAGTCAGGCCAAGGTAAGGAGGACACGTCACAGCCTTTGCAGAAGGAAACTATCCTGCCCTGAAAATAGGTGACGTGGCTCAAGAGTGCCGGGCCTGAGCTGTGAGTGGCTCCCAGGCTGTGGCTTTGGGGAGAAGGGCTCTGAAGGGGCTCTGGCAGCCTCTCAAACAAGGGCCAGCCGCTGTTTCCCACAGGAAGACTTCTACAGCACCTTTCACCTTGCAAAGTCTGCAGAGATTTTACAAAAATCAGGTACTTCTGGCTTCTCTTGAAAACTCCCAACAGGAGTGACTTGGGCGCACAGCCCTGGATGACGCTATCAGCGAGCTCAGAGCTCGCACCCCGCCTCCCTGCTCCAAACAGGGTCGTCGCTCTCAGGATGGCTCCATCACGGCTGCAGGATGGCTGCCTCCTCCACAGACCAGCACACCCAGTGTCCAAGCGCAGGAGCTGCCCTGAGCGTGGCTAGTCCAGCAGAGGACCCTATGGAGTATGGAGAGGCCACCTCACTGCTGGGATGCTTACTCCACAGGCACTGTGTCTCAAAACAAGCTGTCCCCCCCCGCCCCCCCGCCATGGGCTCGTGACCCTCAGGTGACAGGGCAAAGAGTGCTTGCCCTCAAAGTTCCCCAGAGACCTACGTGCTCGCAGGGGAGAGAATAGAACTCTCGGCCTTGGCCAGCCTGGGTAGATAAGGTAGGCGGCTTCAGGAGCTCACACGTAAATTCCTGAGCTCAGGCTACGCTCCAAAGCAGCAAAGGAGCTGCCCCTGACAATAAGATAAAGCCACGAACCAAGAGATAGCAGGTCCTTGTTTGTCCCTACATGAGCTAAACACACAAAAGGGCCCTGAAAGACCCTACAAGGAGCTGGACCCATGCCCACAGCTCTCCTTGGAGGTGTCGGGGTCTTCCCTAATCAGCCTTGGCGAATGCATTCCATTAGGCTGCCCATAAGCCAAAGGAACCTTCCAGCAGGCAGCAGCAGGACGACAGAGGCAGGGCGCAGGGTGGATTGGGCAGGCTCTGCGACAAAGGGTCCCTCGGCTGAGGGCTCTAGGGCCCTCAGGAAAGCCAGGGAGACCCCAGGACTGCAAAAAACTTGCTTTGACCATGCAGTTAGAGTTGAATGTGAAATGAAGAATACGCAGCAAGTTATCACCGATTTGTTAGAAAACTCAAGCATTCTTGGCATTTTAGTCTTTGTTCATTTTAAGAACTGGTGTGGACTGACAGTGAAATAACTTTGTTTTCCCCATGCTGGAGTTTTCCTGGGTCAGGTGATAAGGAGCTCACTCCCCACCCGCTGGCCTGATTCCTTTCCATCCAAGCTCCTTCCGGCTTCAAGTCAGGTAGAATCCCTCTAGACGGTGTGTCCCTGAAGTTGATGCGCCGCGTGCGATGGGACCCCCTAGGCCTCTCCTTAGCGTTTACCTCAAACACTGAATACCTACAGTGCTGGCCAGAAACAGGTGAATTAGCCATGGTCCGCTCCCTCCAGGAATCTAACGGGGGGCAGACAAGTCAGAGAGTAATGAGTGCTCTGGGGAGAGCTTGGTGGGAGCAGCGGCGGCGGCTCATGGGGAGGGCGGGGGAGACACTGGGGAGGGCTGTGCTGGGGAGGACCCCTCGGGAGGGCACAGGAAGAGTCAGTCACAAGCGACAGGAAGAAAGCGTGCCGGGGTGGGCGGCACGGCAGGAGCAGAGACAAGGACCTGGGCAAAGCATGTCGGGAAAGATCCCTAGGGGCACAGTGGGGCTGATAGGGTCGATGACACAGGCAGAAGGCGGGCCTGCTGTTAAGATCACTGAAGGCCACACGGAGGTATCTGAGCATGGAAACAAATGACACAGGCAGCGTGGGAGACAGGGAGGACAGAAGAAACAGCCGGGGCACGCAGATAGGCGGGCTTGATTTTAAGACTAAGTTGCAAGACAAACAGCCTTAGCTGGCACACAGGGTGGCAAAGAACGGGAACACAGATGGCTGTGCTGTGTCACTGACCAGACTTTGTAACCATCCTAGAGAGGGAGGGCCCTGGAGCAGAGCTGTCCCAGCAGGTAGCAGGGCTGGGGGAGGGGGACAGGGCGGGTGGCAGGTCAGAGGGAGGAGGGCTGCACCTATACCAGGGGCGAAGGGACAGGATGCACAGGGCCAGGCAGGGCACGTGAACAAACAAGGCGGGCCACGAACGAGACAGGACCCAGGCGGCAGGCGCGTGGCCTGCGGGCACTGAGGACTGCTCTGCTCTAGCCGAGCAACACCAGGGGAGACCCCAGGCCAAAACAGCCAGACCTTTTGGTTATTTTCAAGAGAAGCCCCTTCTCCACCCTCCTTAAAAAAGAAATCAAGAAATCAAGAAAGAGGTGAAATCTCCTGATTTTCAGAGTGTGTGTGTAAACTGATAAAACCCTTCCCAGGGGAAGGGCTGGGCCCAAGTGGCACACGCGTCACAGGCTGTGGACACGGGGCCCAAGAGCCCACGGTCACTGGGCTGATCCCCAGCTGAGACTGAAGGGAATGAGGAAGAGGGGTCTGAACAGGAGGCAGGTGTCAGAGCAGATCCAAAAGCCAGGAGTGCACGCAGTGCAGTGAGGAGCGGCGCAGCTGCATGGACGGGGAGGGGGACGAGGAGCGTGGGGACAGGCCGGGGCCTGGGCAGGCGCAGGGGGTGAGGGCTGGGGACATACCTTTTGTGCCGATCCACAGCTGGTCTTGTTCTAGCTTAAAGGTGAGTCTCACTTTCCCTCCAGACTTATTGTACATGCCAGACAAGGGGACCGTGGGCAGGCGCTCCTGGGAGACATAAGAGCACAGTGGGATGGGGTGCTGTCAGCAAGGGCTGGGTCTAGCAGTGGAGGACGAAAACCCCAGGCAGCCCCAGAAAACAGCAGTTCTCAGAAGGCCAGCTTACCTGGGCACCCTTAACAGACGGCATCACATCTTCGGGTTTTCCTTTATCCAGGACTTTCCTGTGTTGCTGGGACAGAAGTCAGACAGACAGTTAAAAGACTCAGCTGCGTCTCAGCGCGCTGCTCCCTGCAGCCGGGCCCTCTGACTCCACAGGGCAGTACTATGCCACCTAGCCCCTGGGAGGCTGGCAACGCTCTGTCACCATGCCAGGCACTCACCCCTCATGCTGGAAAGACAGAGGGACTAAATTCTTTACCAGTCTCACCTAACTGCTGTGGTAAATGGTAAAGTTCCAGAATACACAAAATCTCTACACCGCAGACTCAACAGACCCCAATGCTTATCTTCCCATACCACTACCGACAGCATTAAACATCATGGAGGTCCTGAGGGATGGCCCTCCCGCTGGCAGAAGGTGACAGTCACTTCTGTCAAGTTACCACCCTCCTGCCCTGCCCCCAAATACTAGAAGACACTGGAAACAAGCCGAGTGGCCCATAAGGGGCGTCTTCTTCCAGCATGGAGTGTCAGCCTGCTAACCAGAAAGCTTAGGAGCTTGCTTTCTAAGCAGATGCGACAACGGGCCTAGCCCTGACACAAATGCTTCAACCCTCACCAGCAGGGCAGACGCACTCGGGTAAGAAGAACCTCAACGCTGCCACACTGCTGGCCAAGGGGACCCCTGTCGCAGGCCCCAGATTCCTAAACAAGCTCAGCAAGGCCAAGGGCCCAGATCCCGGTCATTAGGGCCAAGTCACGTGCCACTGCCGGCATCCATGAAGCCAGGCCACACAGGCTACAGGGGCAGCTTGAGTCACAAATGCTTTCTGAAGCATTTGCCCGCCCCGGGGAAAACAGCTTGGAGCCTGGTAAGCCACCATTATGACTCCAGACGTGTACTTAAGCAGCATGCTGTGCCCCCAGGGTGTGGCCAGAGCACACAGGCCCTCCCAGCAGATAAGCTCTTACTTCACCATCTTACAGGGAAATGGAGATGGGAGTTGGGGGTGGAGAGTCTCCACCTGACCCCTCTGAGATGGCAGCAGGTGGCAAGCCCTCAGGTGAAGCCTGCGCACCGAGACTGCAGTGCTGCGGGAAGTGACAGTATGTCCCCTCTGAGGTCCAGAGCACACCACGACCTTCACCGCCCAACGGGCCTGGGGCAGGCTGGTCACGGGCAAGCTTGGCTGTCTACACAAACTCTTGCCTTTTCCAGATTACCTGTGACTTTTAGAAACACGTGTGGGATGAAGGATTGCTAAGAAGAAGAAAAATAAAAGGTCGTCGTCTTCTGCAGCTGACCACATCTCCTTCATCCCCGGCTACTAAAAGTGATGTTGGCTTCAGAGGACCTCCTCAGTTCTCCTGGAACACTTGGAGGACAGCTCAGCAACAAGTGGGGATCCACTGTGGGCCTGGATCCCAAGCCACCATTTTCTAACCACTCGTCCCACAGTAAAGTATCATTAGTTCCCCAAACAGCGACAATCATGTAGGTGGTATAGTATGTTAAGCCCCTGCTTGAGGACTTCCCTGGCTACCCTGCTTCCAATTAGCTTCCGAAGCAGCCCAGGGAGCAGCAGATAAAGACCTGAGTCCTTGGGCTCTGGAGGGCCAAACCAAACCCTGGGCAATTTCCCTCCTACTCAACCTCACTTGGCTTCCTGAAATGAAGCCAAAACTGCTTCCTGCGGATCCACTCAAAACTGCTGGTCTCGCCGAGTGTCTACAGCTGAGCTCTGCGACTTGGGATGGCAGGTAAGCACTTGATGGCAAACAGAAGTGTAACGTTCAGTTTAAGGGGAATGGTCTTCTCCGGTCTGTACAGCACCTACTTGGAAGCTTTCCTCTACCAAGGCCTAGTCCTAAAGTAGGTAGAGTAGAGGCGCACTGAGCCACCAGATGAGACCAAGCTGCCAATCTCAGGTGGCTATCACCTCCACCCTGCCGTCCATCATGGGCCCTGCCTGGAGAGGAGGCGTGACGCAAGGTTCTCAGCTTCTCAGGTCGGAAGCAGCCAGCCGACTCACCTTCTGTCTACACAGGGGCTCCTTCCTGTTCTCGTCCGCCTTCGCGTCCTGCTGCGCAGCGTCTTTGGGCGTGTTGACCGCTAAGACATCATTGATCGTGGAGCCAACCACCATGATCTTGGCTCCACTGGTCACTTTGATTTCTCTCAACGTCTTATCCTCGGGGACAAGTCCCTTATACATGACTTTCTGCATGGCAGGTGGGAGACCTTGGGAACACGTGGAAAGGAAGGTGGGTGGGTAACAGACCAGGAACCGAGTACTGGCTCAAGCCCTCAGGGCTCCGCAGCCGTACAGAAATGACAAACCTGGAGCCTCATGTTCTAGAACTTTCTAACAAGGGCCGGTTCTAAACATTAAAAAAACAGAATACACACAAGGCTTGTGGGACAGCCCTTGATATTCAGCAACTGTACAAGAAGCGTCACCCATCATCTGTCTGAGTTGTTCATCACCACATCAAATTTAGCAGATATTGGGAATAGAGGGTCTGCTCTTCTGGGGATTGCACATACGCGCACGCATGCACACACACGAAGGCTTCAAACAGTTTCAGACAGCAAAGCTCTCTACACAACGCCAAATTAAGGAATACAGGCCACTGTCAAGCATCGGTGACAGTCAACAGCAGCGTCCCTTAAACTTCCCTTTGGTGAATTACCTAAGACATTTGCTAAAAATAAACTCCTGGCTGCCTCCCAAATCCACTGATTCAGAATCTCCAAGGCAAGGGCCTGGGAGCTGTAAGGTTTAACAGATGTCTCAGCTGAGATTTTTGGGCGCGACGTCAGACTCGGATTTGTAAGTCAGTTTGGGCCACTTGGCAGCTCCAAGATTCTTGGGTGTCGGTCCCCGCCCTCCCCGCGGCTAATTACAAGCCACTCAAGTACTCTGTCGAGGGATCGCCGTGCGCCCCGGGAGCTGCCCGACGGCCAGAGGCACCGTGCCCAGCACCGTGCCGGCCGCGCCGGCTTGGCTGCCCCGCTTCTCACCTGTAATGGAGTGGATCTTCTGCTTCAGCTCGGAGCCCGTGCTGTCCAGCGGGAACTTCACGTCGTGCTTGGTCTTGTTCCAGATGATCTTCAGGTCCACCAGCTCCTGGCCCGCGCCGCCGCCCGCGTCCTCGCCGTTGCTGACCGAGGCCTGCGCCGCGGGGTCCCCAGGGGGCTGGGCCGGGGCCGGCTGCAGGCTGCCTTGCGCGGCGCAGGAGTCCTCGGCCGCCGCTGCCGCCGTCCCCACCACGGCATCGGCCTCCACGCAGTTCAGGGGCCGCGTGGACTCGTCGGTGGCCACGGTCTCGGCCCCCGTGTCCATGCCAGCTTCCTCCATGCCTGCAAGAGGTTGGGGGGTGGGGAAAGGAGGGTGGACGCTCACGCGGGGCTGGGCCCGGGACGGGACTCCCTCCCTCCCTCTCTCTCTCTGTCTCCCTACGGCGCCGCCGAAACCCCAGTCCCCAGTGACCACCTCGCTCCTCCCCTCGCAGTCCCAGCCGCGTCCACTTCCAGGGGGCCTGCCCACAGAGCAGGGCGCCCGCCAAGCCCGCAGCACTCACCATCCGGGGCCCCGGCCGCCGCCATGATGATTGTGTACAACCCCCAGCGCTCCCGCACGGGCCGTCGGGAAGAGACGAGCTGGCGTAGATTGGCCCCGGCAGCAGCCCCTAAGCTCGCCCAGCCTGGCCGGAAACAGGTGAAGGTTTCTATGGAGACCCGCCTCCTCCGCTTTGCCCGGCCCGGCCCCTGCCACGCTTGAGCTTTCCCGACCGCTTCGGGTACCCTACCACCTAGTGGCGAATGGGAAGCCAGGAGGCCTGCGACTTTAAGGGGTGGGGCTGAGGGCTGCTGTGGCGGAGGCGGATTGGCTGTGAAGGACTTCCCCGGACGTGACGCAGGGCGCACACACAGACACACATGGCGGCGCACATTAGACCCCACATGGCGGCGTTCTCGAAGAGGCTGTTGCGGCCCCCGGCTTGGGGCCGCCCTGTGGGACGGCGCGAGGGCAGCCTGGGCACCGATGCCGGGTCTGCGGTGCGAGTGCGGTTTGCCCCTAGTCCCACAGGTAACGGTGGTGGGATGAGGCTTACCGTCGTGTCCCCGCCCCCCTGGACGTTGGCGAGCCGGTCTCTTCCGGGGTTGTCAGGCCAGTGGGGCGTCGCGACGAACGCCCCGAAGCGTCCACCCCTCGAGACGGAGGGTCGGGTGACAGTGATCAGAAGGCGGTGTGAAGTGAGAACCAAGGGACAGGAAGGAGGCCGCTGCATGAAGCTTCCGGAGGAGCCTGCCATGCAGAATGGCGGCTCCCGCGATTGGTGCTGCAGGCAGCCAGGCAGCCAGAGGAGGCGTGGGGAAGCCCGAGAAGAGACACAGAGAAAAATCTTATTCTTTTTTCTCCTTAAGACTTGCTTGTTTTTATTACAAAGACAGATTTAGAGAGATACAGATCTTCCATCCGCTGGTTCACTCCCCAAGCGGTACTAATGGCCAGAGCTGATCTGATCCAAAGCCAGGAGGTTCTTCCAGGTCTCCCGCACGGGTGCAGGATCCCAGGACTTTGGCCCGTCTTCCACTGCTTTCCCAGACCACAAGCAGGGAGCTGGATGGGAAGTGGAGGAGCCGGAATTTGAACTAGCACCCAAATGGAAATGCTGACATACCTACAGGTGGGGGGTTAGCCTGTTGAACCACGGAGTTGGCCGCAAAGAGAGAACTTCTATTCATTGGTCCACTTCCCCACGTGGCTACTAAGGGTTAAGGCTGGCCCTGGATTCCAGCAGGTCATCTGGTTCTCCCACAAGGGTGGCAGGGGCCCAAGCAGTGCATCAACAGGGGAGCTGCATCAAAAATGCAGTTAGGTAGTACTTGAATCGCCATGCAAAGAAAATTTCCAAAGTAAACAATGTACGACCATTTCTTTCTCAGAACTCAACCACTTATTCCATGAGCGTGCTGTGAATTTCTGTGTTTGTGCTCAGGGTTCTGTACTTGGCTGTGAACTGGCCCCAGGTTGTGCAGGTTGCTTGGAGGCATCTTTCCGCAGGATGCCGAGGCCTGGGACTGTCTGGATTCTGATGTCTGTCACTGCCACATCCTAGAAGTGCATCTTGAGCCACCAATTACTTCATTTTTTCTGAACTTCAGTTTGACAGCGCCAGTAGGTTTGGGCTGACGCAGCTGAGCAGCTACTGAGCAAGATGTGACACACTTAGAAAGTCCATTTAGGCAGCAGTTAATCTTCTTTCTTGAAACTCTGCGGAACCAAGGTCGTGGGGCTCCTCCGCTGAGGTTTGTGGCGGCCCTGCCTGTAGCTAACTGAAGGTCACCTGCGTCATCAGGGTTGCAGCGGGAGGTAATGGTCCCAAAAGGGTTTACTCCACCCCAGGCTGCCTCCTGCATGTGCAATGGCAAATGAACTAATCTGTAGAGCCTGGCCTCCGGGAACTGGATGAAGGAAGGTAGAATAAGGGGGCAGGGAATGCCTGCCTTTGGGAAAACAGTTTAGTTTTCCTCTTCATTCAAGAATGATGGAAGAGCAAATATCGAATGAGGTTTCAGCTTGGGTGGAGAGACTTCTAGGTTGTGTCTCTAAGCTCCAGGCTTAAATACACCTGTCATTTTGCGTTCATGTTGGAAGCCAGCCCTCAGGGTTGCAAAGATCCAAGAAGGTAGAATTCAAAACGTGTGACGAAGCTATACAGGCCATACAGTGTACATGCAAAACGTGACTTTACAGCATTTCAAGCTGGTAGTTTTGTCTCCCCAGAGAAGATTGATTTTTTCCCGAGTTAAATGCTTGGCAGATGTTCGGCTCCTTTGCCTTGGGTTGAAAACTTGGCCTTGAGATAGATGTCGGAGTAGAGTGAAAGGGGGCAGGTGGAAAGAATTGGAGCCCTTTTCGACAAGCTCAGTCTGAAACCCAGCAGGCTGAGGAACCAAATCCCAACTTTGATTTTGTGACAGTTTGGCTGTGTGGGTGTTGGCCATCTTGTGCTTTCCAAGTGGCTGTGATGTTTTTGTCGCTGGTAGTGGCCCTGTGAGTGCTGACTTCCCGACTGGGCTGAGCTCCTGTCTCCCTCCTCCAGGCTTCCTGCACCTGGGCGGGCTCCGCACAGCACTGTACAACTACATCTTCGCCAAGAAGCACCAGGGCCGTTTCATCCTGAGGCTGGAGGACACCGACCAGACCCGCCTCGTGCCCGGGGCAGCTGACAACATCGAGGCCATGCTCGAGTGGGCAGGTGAGCCCAGCAGGGGAAAGGCACCTTGACTATGGAAGGGGCAAGGTGCTGGGGCAGGAGGCTGGATGTCTTCCCGGGGGCACAGGGTGGAGGATGAGGATTTCTGGGAAGAATTAAATACTTCTAGGCTGGGATGGAAGGTGCCATCCTGAAGATTCCTGCCCTGATCTCAGAGTGTCTGGTCTGTGCCCTGCAGTGCCCAGGAAGTGAAGGAGGTGGTAGATAAATTGGCTCACCCCTAAGCTCCCTTCCCGTGTGGGAATGCATCCAGCCCATTTAGTCTTTGGAGTTCAAAGATAGGCCAAAGATCCAAACTTTTGTTTTGTTTTGTTTTGTTTTGTTTTGTGTGTTGTTTTGTTGAAGAATATTCAGTCCTGGGTCAGATTTTTTTTTTTTAAGTAATGGGTTTGTTTTCTTTCTTTTTAAAAGAGATTTATTTTCATTGGAACAGTTGATTTATATAGAGAAAGGGAAAGATCTTCCATCTGGTGATTCATTCCCCAGTTGGCTGCAACGGCCAGAGCTGAACTCAAGCAGGAGACAGGGGTTTCTTTAGGGTCTCCCACACAGGTGCAGTGTCCCAAGGCCTTGAGTCATCTTCTGCTGCTTTCCCAGGCCACAAGCAGGGAGCTGAATGGGAAGTGGAGCAGCCAGGACACAAACCTGTGGCCATATGTGATGTTGGCACTACAGGTTGCTACACCATTACACTGGCTGCAATATATGTAATATTATATAATATATATATTATATATATTATGTGGTGATGTGTATATCACTGTAGGAGCCAAGCTTGATGTGTACAATGTCTCCATTTGATCTTTTTTGTGGGAAGTTTGATTTTGAGGATAGCTAGATCAGGGCGAACAAACCCGTAGACTCCTGTAGAGACAGGTGTGTCCACTAAAGGTCAAAATGCCAAGAATGTCCTGAACTGTGTATTTCAACCCAAGCGAATGCTTTCCTAGGTTCCTGGTCCCTGAGGGCCACCTGCAGTGTCACTGCCGTCTTCTGCTCTGGAAGGTGTTGGCAGGCACTCTGCTGAGGTTCCTCGAGTGAGAGGAATCTTTTTAACAAGGCTCACTCACTGTGATCTGGGTGCTGGGCACACTGAGTTAAAGAGCTAGCTCCCAGTGGGAAGGTGGAGATAGGCCGGTTCCTTCTCAGTGGGCTGGCAACATTGTGGACAGAAGGAACCAGGTCAGGACAGTGCGTTTTAGGTTGACTAGGCTCTTCTGAAGAGGTCATGTTGGAGCAGAGACTCACGTGAAGTTAAAAGAAGAAAAATTTCTCAGAAGAGCACATAACACATGATGCTGTTGACACAAACTGTGTGGGCCTCCAGGTGGGTAGCAGAGACCGCAAGTCCTTGAGCCTTCACTTGTCCCCCTAGGTGTACCTCAGCTAGAAACTGGAATCAGAAGCAGGACTAGGTCTGGAACCAAAACTGTTATGTGGGCATACCACATTTGGTTTAGCCATACACCAGTGGATGGGCCTTCAGGTCGTCTTGCTTTGGGGTTGAGGAGTAAGGCTACCACACACCTTGGTGTGCCTGTTCTCATGTGGGCATCAGGTTTCAGGTCTCCTAGGGGAGTGGCTGTGCAGCCCTTGGCCACCCCAGCAGGTTACTCCGTCAAAGACACTTGTTTCAGGATAAGTCAGAAAGTATATGTGCTCCAACCCTTTTCTCTGTGACAGAGGAATTTGAATGTGTTATTAACCCCAGCCAAAATGTGCTGAGTACTTGGCATGTGCCAGGCAAGAAGCCAAGTTCCCCCGTGGCTTGAGGATGAGTTAGGAGGAAGGCGCCTACTCGCGGCTGGCCCAGGGAGAGGCTGACCAGAGAGGTGTGTGCACCTGCTGTCACTTTCCCAGAGCGCTCACCCTCCCTGTGCTTTATTGTGAACCTCGGAAATGGCTCTGGCCTCGCGGTGCAGGAGTCAGAGAGGTTTAAATGGACAGTAATCGAGTGCCTGGGAATGCATGCTAGCCAGCTGTTATGTGTTGCTTCTCCATGTGTGTTACAGGCATCCCCCCCGATGAGAGCCCCCGCCGGGGCGGTCCTGCTGGGCCGTACCAGCAGTCCCAGCGCCTGGCACTGTACGCCCAGGCCACCGAGGCGCTGCTGGAGACTGGAGCTGCCTACCGCTGCTTCTGCTCGCCCCAGCGCCTGGAGCTGCTGAAGAAGGAGGCCTTGCGGAACCACCAGACACCCCGGTGAGCATGCTGGCCATCTGGGTCACCCAGTGCTGCTGTGTCACACATAAGTCACCACGTCACCTCATGCTTTTGCTGCCACCTGATTCCCTGGGTTATTCTGCTGACCTTGCAGAATCCTTCCGCTCAGGCTGCCTCTCAAAGCGGTCCTCAAATTCTTGGCCAGGTGTGTAGTTATCTCAAGGCCAGGATCTGCTTCCGTCTATGAGTGGTCTCGGGTCCTGTCCCTGCAGGCCTGGACAGAGGTGTTCCTAGTCCCTGAACCTCTCCATAAGTGGCTCACAGCATGGCTGCTGACTGCCCTCATGCCTCACGGTGGGCTGGAGAGAGAGAAACTGGAGTGCACCAGATAGTGGCTCCCTTTTATTTTCATTTTTTAGAAAGGTTGCTTATTTTTATTTGAAAGGAAGACTTAAAGAGAGAGATCTTCCATCCTCTGGCTCACTCCACAGATGGCTACAGCAGCAGAGCTGGACTGATTTGAAACCAAGAGCCTGGAGCTTCTTCTGGGTCTCCCACTCATGTGCACAGGCCCAAGGACTTGAGTCATCCTCTGCTGCTTTCCCAGGCCATGAGCAAGGAGCTGGATGGGAAGTGGAGCAGCCAGGACTTAAATCTATACCCATATGGGATGCCAGAACTACAGATAGAGGCGTAACCTACTATACCTGCGTTCTGACCATGTTGTGTTGTTTACAAGGCAGTCACTAGGTACAACTTGCTCTCAGAGGGGACAGAGTCATCAGGAGGTGGAAGTCAGAGGGCTGTGTCCCAGGCCTGCCTGTGTGTCCCAGGCAGGACCACAGAAAGCCGTTGAGGTCACTGATACCGTATTGCTCTGTGCCGTAGGATATCTCTGCTCACTTGACCGTGGCCGCTTGGCTTGCTCTAGGCATGTGTAGTGGTAGAATTGGTGTCCTGACATTTCAGTTCCTGACCAAGCAGCCGTTTGGACAGGTGCTTGCATGACCTGCACTCCTGCATTGCTTTGATTATTATTATAAATGATCTCTCTGTCCATGGTGTGGTCATTTTTTACAAACACTTTGAGCACTTTGCTGTGACAAGGACTAACCTTACAAGCTTTCCATCTGCCTCTGCCTCGGTACGTGTAATTGAATACTCGTGAAAAATAACAAGCCAGAACTCATTTTCTAACATGCAGACTAATCGCCTGGGTCTGGAGCTAACCTGCAGGTTGCAGGGTGGAGCCTGGTCCTCTGTGTTGCTAGTGGCCCCTTGCAAGGGCTGACGCTGGGTGTGCTCAGACCACACTCAAGCAGCCAGGAGCGAAGCCACACAGATGTTCCTCTTCCCATTCCGTGGCTCCTGGAGGTGGGTGATTCCAGGAGGAGACCAGCAGAGCTCCTCTCTGCCTGTCCCTGGCTCTCTTGCTTCTGCTCCCTGAGCCACAAGTCGCTGTGGCATGGCCCAGCATGCCACTTCCCTCCCTGCACCATCACACATGTGTCAGCATCGGAGGAGGACACACAGGAGAAATTAGAAACTTCCGGAGATTTGCTTCCTGGAGCCCTCTCTTGCCTGTGTTTGAAGAGAAAACTCCTTTCTCTATACTTTGTGTGTGTGTGTGTTTAAGATCTATTTATTTTTAGTGCAAAGTCAGATATACAGAGAGGAGGAGAGACAGAGAGGAAGATCATCCATCCAGTGATTCGCTCCCCAAGTGACCGCAATGGCCAGAGGTGAGCTGATCCAAAGCCAGGAGCCAGGAGCCTCTTCCAGGTCTCCCACATGGGTGCAGGGTCCCAAGGCTTTAGGCTGTCATCGACTGCTTTCCCAGGCCACAAGCAGGGATCTGGATGGGAAGTAGGGCCACTAGGATTAGAACCAGTGCCCTTATGGGATCCAGGCACGTTCAAGATGAGGACTTTAGCCACTAGGCCACCACGCTGGGCATTTGCCTATACTTGGACCCTCGCTTACCACTAGCTGGATGGGTGCCTGGGCACAAGTCTAATCTGGACTGGTCGCTGGCCCAGGGCAAGTGGATTATCCTGTACCATGGATCAACCCCTCCGGCCAAGCCTTTCATCACTTTCTCACTAGTAAGGAGGTAGGACTGGGCTGATAGGCAGACAGGCACCTGTTCATGCCATGCTGTGTGTTACATTGCTTAGATTTCACACATGGCCTTATTCTCTGTATTCCAGCCTTGGGAAACCGCTCATGGAGATGAGCGATTGCCTGTGTGTAGCTGTGAGACGAGGGTGGGACTCAATGTCCTTAGCTGCACTCTAGCTGATCTGCTTCCTGGCAGGTACGACAATCGCTGCCGGGACTTGAGCCAGAACCAGGTGGCCCAGAAGCTGACCAAGAACCCCACTCCTGCCATCCGCTTCCGCCTGGAAGAGGAGGTGCCTGCCTTCGAGGACCTGGTGTATGGCTGGACTCGGCATGAAGTGGCCAGCGTGGAGGGAGACCCGGTCATCCTGAAGAGTGACGGCTTCCCCACGTACCACTTGGCCTGCGTGGTAGATGACCATCACATGGGCATCAGCCATGTGCTACGGGGCTCCGAGTGGCTCGTGTCCACCTCCAAGCACCTGCTGCTCTACCGGGCCCTGGGCTGGCAGCCTCCTCGCTTTGCCCATCTGCCCCTGCTGCTCAACAGAAATGGCAGCAAGCTGTCCAAGAGACAGGGGGACATCTTCCTGGAACACTTTGCGGCTGTGGGCTTCCTACCCGAGGCCCTGCTTGACATCATCACCAACTGTGGCTCAGGGTTCGCGGGTAATGCCCCTGCCTGGGTGGTTGCAGGTGCAGGAGGTGTAGCATCTTATAGCCAGGGCTTTGGTTTAGGGAGCCCAGATCGGTAATTCCAGTCTAGCTGTGCAGTCTTGGCAAGTTCTTTATTCAGCATGTGCTGGTGGAGCCCAGGGCAGGGTTAAGTGCTAAGCCTCTGAAGTGAACACAGCCAGGCCAGAAAGCCTTGGAGACTCTACTGCATTGTCTGTACAGTGAGGAAAAGCGACCACTTCACTGGCTTCCGTTAGGGTTCTCTGCAGCTGCCACTGTGGAGCCTGCCACTCATACACCCCAAGATTGTCAACGTTGGCGTCTAGTTTATTCTTAGCCAAGTATTATCTTTGGGCCAAGATGAGAGAGCCCAGACTCAAAGAAACACCAGCTGGGATTACCTCCTGTGGCAGGGGTCTCTGACATTGGGACGTAGGCTGCTCTCATTGTGTGGAACCCTGCAGGCTGCCTCCACAATAGGTGCTTGCTATCATCACTACAAAACAATTGTGGGGTTTCATGGGGTTGAGTGACTTGCCAGAAGCACTCAGAGCCTGGGGACCTTGCCTGATCATCATGCCTGCCATCGGCATTGGTTGGAGCTGCCAGTCGTGGGAAGCAGCTTGCAGCATGCTGGTTCCTGAGCAGGGCTGAGCATTGGGAATAACACATACTCACCCAAGTACTACCCAGAGCTCGTAGAATCAGCACCTGGGTTACACCTGGCAATGGGCACCCTAACCCAACCCCAACAGCTCTTACCTTTTCTGTTGGGACCTGGCTTGACTTAATTGTTTCCAGACTTTCCCCCCCTACTCAGCAACAGAACCTCTTCTGAGAATGAAAGTTCATCTGGGCCCTTGATGTAGACAGGAGCAAGTGTAGTAGTTCGGTCGGAATGGAACAGGGTGCCCTTGACACCCTGGATGTTGGCCTTGACATCCACCGGGAACATGGGAGCTTCTCACAAGGCTGCGGCCAGACTGCCCACACATGCGTGACAGGCAGAACTTTCTCTGGCAGCCTGGGGACACCTTTTAGCAGGGCCTTTTTGACCTCCAAAGCCTTTGCTTTGACTTCTGCTTTGGGAAGGGCAAGAGCTTCCTCCTTCGCCTTGGGCACCACCTCGGTGAAAAACCACTTTTATAAAATCTGTTGGATGGATACTGGCCTGTGTCTGAAGGGAAGGCAGGAAGCTTAAAGGCTCGGGTGCTTTCCCTTGCAGAGAACCAGATGGGCAGGACCCTGCCGGAGCTGATAGCACAGTTTGACCTGAGCCGGGTCAGCTGCCACTCGGCCCTGCTGGACCTGGAGAAGCTCCCAGAATTCAACAGGTGAGTGAGGAGCATGGAAGTCCCCGGGGAAAAGAGCTGCTTGGTTAGGATGCAGTCCTGGGGCAGAGCATAAGCAGGCTCTTGAGTCACGTGCACCTGACCTTGACTTTGTCTAATGCTGAGTGACAACGAGTCAATCACCTAACTTGTGAAAGTCTCTGTTTTCTCCTCTCTGAAATGGGCCTGGGCAGGCATGCAGTTTTGCACCCATGTGGGAGACCAGAACAGAGTTCCCACCCCGACTGTGTGTGTTTTGGGGTATTCATTCATTGGCCCTTCAGGCCCATGAGGTCAGCTGTATAATTCTGAGGTTTTTTACACAAAAGGAAGTCACGACGTGGGGAAGATAAATTAGCAAACTCAAGTGTGTGCAGTAAGTGGTGTGCGTCTTTTTGCATGGGGTGTTCAGTAGTGGGTGTAGTGCCTCAGGAGAGAATCCTGGCAGCCCCGCTTTCCGTCCAGCTTCCTGCTTGTGGCTTTGTGCCGTCCTCAACTGCTCTTCCAGGATACAAACAGGGAGCTGGATGAAAAGCAGGATCACTGGGACAGGAAGCAGCTGCCTGTATGGGTTCCTGGCGAGTTCAAGGCGAGGACTTTAGCCGCTAGGCTACCATACTGGGCCCTCTCCTGCATTTCTGTTTTGTGTGAAGGGTTTTTAAGAGATTTTTTTTAAGGATTAATTTTTAAAATCTGAGCTATGGAGAGAGGGAGAGAAACAGAGATCTTCCATCTGCTGATTCACTCCCTGGATGGCTGCAATGACCAAACTTGGGCCTGTCTGAAACCAAGAGTCAGGAGTTTTCTTCTGGGTCTCCCATGTGGGTGCAGAGGTTCAAGGCTTTGGACCATCCTCTGGTTCCTTTCCAGACTTTCAGCAAGAAGCTGGATCAGAAGTAGAGCAGCTGGGACTTAAACCGACACCCGTATGGCCTGCCAGCATTGCCAACAGAGTTAGCATGCTAGACCGGTGCACCAGCCCGCCCCTGCTAAGATTTATTATTTGAAAGGCAGAGTTAGAGAGGAGGAGAGTCAGGATGATCTTCCATCTGCTGGTTCATTCAAATGGTTCCAGTGGTGAGAGCCGGCCTGGTCCAAAGATGGAGCCAGAAGCTTTTTCTAGGTCTGCTACAAGGGTGCAGAGCTCAAGCACTTGGACCATCTTTTGCTTTCCCAGGCACTTAAGCAGAGAGCTGGATTGGAAGTGGAGCAGCCAGAAGTTGAACTAACACTGATATGGAATGCAGGTGCATTATACCACAGCACACACTGGCCTTGATGCCCCAGGTTTAATGCAGGCAAAACTGTTATCTTCCGATATTTCTGTCACCCAGGCAGTTTGACATTTTAGTAATAGTGGTTGTCGTGGTTGTGGTTGTACCAATAGTGGTGGAAATAGGAGTGATACCCACCATTTATTTAGCACTTACTATGTCACTAGACCTGACTTGGAAACATAGCCATGAGGTCTTTGGGTTTACTCCCTCCTGCTATCCCATCTTAATACTAAGGAGGTCCTAGAAAGTCTCAGCACCACTTTCACACATTTTTAATGCCTTTTTAAAATAAGCAATTGCTACGTTGACATGTTTTGGCCAGTCTGAGTTCCAGGCAACTTCCAGAGTGTTATGTGTCCATGTGCAGTCAGTCCATAGCGCGTCTTCAGCTGTGGGATGTTGCGCTCATGCAGGCCTTGCTCCTGGGGCTGTGTGCCCGCTCCCTCATCCTCCTCACAGTCACCCTGTGTGTGAGCTGCTCCTATGGGCCTGCCATCACGACAGGGATTCTCTGCCTCCCAGGAACTGTGGGGCTTCCTGCCAGTGCCTGGCAGGGCAGGCCTCCCACTTGGGGCTGTTCTGTTCCAGAGCTTGTGGATGCCCACACACACCTTGCCATCTGCCTGACTTCTGTGTCTGAGAAAAGGAGCCTAGCCTCTGAGAATGACCCCCAACCCCCACCTGTTCCCTCTCTGCTTCCTCTCCTGGTAGCCAGGGGACAGAGTCTAATGTGAAGGTTCCACTCACAGGCCTTGCTGCTTCCTGAGGAGGACTAGGTAGAACTCTGGAAGAAGAGGATTTGAATGGACAAAGAAACCCAAACTTTTTTTTTTTATATTAAGATTTATTTATTTTTATTGGAAACTCAGATATACAGAGAGGAGGAGAGACAGAGAGGCAGAGAGGAAGAGCTTCCGTCCGATGATTGACTCCCCAAGTGAGCGCAACGGCCGGTGCTGTGCCCATCAGAGGGAGGGCTCACATGATGTGCTGTTCTTCAGTCCCTCCGTCCGCTGCCGCTTCCCTGCAGAGTGACTTGGGGTGAGCTGAGGGTACCAGCTGAGCCCCCGTCTTCTCGCACAGGGTGCACCTGCAGCGCCTGGTGAGCAGTGAGAGCCAGCGGCGACAGCTAGTGGGGAAGCTGCAGGCTCTGGTGGAGGCAGCGTTTGGCAGCCAGCTGCAGGACAGACGTGTGCTTGAGCCGGCCTACTTGGACAGGATTATGCTGCTGAGACAGGTGTGGGTGTGGGTACTCTAGGGGTCAGAGGGAGAAGGTGGGCAGGCACCCCTACTCCTCCCTTCTGGCCCCAGTGTACTGAGCAGCCGCCTCCTTCCCCCAGGGTCACATCTGCCGCCTGCAGGACTTAGTCTCCCCCTCCTACGCCTACCTGTGGACTCGTCCTACCGTGGGCCGAGCACAACTGGGGGCCATCTCAGAGAAGGTAGACACAATCGCCAAGCGGGTTCTGGGGTAAGTACTGCATGCTGAGTTCAGGGGCCCATACCTGCCTCCTTTACCTTGTTCCTCTCTTAGTCTCCTAGAATCTGGTTTTTGGGGTTACGCAAGACATAATGGCTCCAGGCTGTCTTTGGAGAGGGAGCTTAGCCAGCGGCCCAGGTAACAGGTGGTATATTCAATGGCTCCGACACACCTTCACTGCATCCCAGGTCGCCACCTAGCCAGTTAGTTCAGGGGCTTCACTTTGGTCAGGTTGCCAAACATCTTGGAGCTTCCGTTTCCTCATTTGTAAGGTGAAGGGGTACTAATTCCACCTTTTAGCATAGCTCAGTGACAAGGCCAGAAAATGCAGCTGAATTTGGCTAAGAGGTGACCGATTGCTGTGGATTTTACTGAGGCCAGCTTCAGGCAAGCCCCCTCTGTTTAAGATCTCCTTTCTGGCTCTTGCCTTAGCTTTTCCTGTCCCCCTCCACCTTGCTGGCCACTCTGTGCAGAAATGCTCTGGAGGAGACGGGGAGGGCTGGATTCTGCTGTGGGCGGTGAGAAGGAGCATACATGCAGGAGCAAATCGGAGCCACGCAACCTGGACTTCTCTCATGAGGGCTGCAACCCCAGGCTTTGCCCCTGTCTCTGTGGGCCACTGGGATTCAGGCTCTGTCAACAGTGCAGCCAGAGGAGAGAGGAGGAGAGCACATGGGACACTCTGTAATGGTCTCTTTGAAGTATGGCAGGGGCACAGCCTGCCCCTGTGCTGCTGGCCACAGTGCTTTCTGCTCTTCGCTGCCCCTTCCCTAGACAAGCCTGCCCGCAGCCGTCCAGAAGCTGCCTTTCCCATCATTTCCTGGCATTGCCCATCCTTACAGCCTGTGTCTAACCCTTTAAAGATTTATTTATTTTTATTGGAAAGTTGGATATACAGAGAAGAGGAGAGATAGAGAGGAAGTGCTTCCGTCCGATGAATCACTCCCCAAGTGACTGCAATGGCTGGAGCTGTGCCGGTCCGAAGCCAAAAGCCCAAATCCTCTTCTGGGTCTCCCACACAGGTGCAGGGTCCTAAGGCTTTGGGCCGTCCTCGACTGCTTTTGCAGGCCACAAGCAGGGAGCTGGATGGGAAGTGGAGCTGCCAGGATTAGAACCAGTACTCATATGGAATCCTGGCACGTTCAAGGCGAGGACTTTAGCCACTAGGCCGCTAGGCCACCAAACCCCCTACGTTTCTTTTTAAGAGACCCTTGCAAAGCCTTTTAGCTCTCAATGTCACAAATCTTGGCTAATTTTTCAAACTTGATATCAAGATGCAAAATCTAGTCATTCTGCCTGTTTCGCCTGTGTTCAGGCTCTGTACTTAATGCTTTACAAGTTTTTACTCTCCAGAACAGCCCTGAGCTGAACAGATAACTGTTATCTTCTCCACTTTACAGATGAGAAAATTGAGGCATAGAGCTTACACGATGCAGAGGTAGTAATTAGTCAGCCCTGTTCACACAGTGCCCTCTGAGTTCGCTCACTTGTTTGGATGACGTCTGAATTTAGTGCCACGGTTGTCTTGCCTTTCCCAGCATGGCGGCCGGGGGGCAGTTTGTAGGTCTCCACCTACACAAGGTTTGAACCAATGAATGGTTTTGCTGTTCAGATGGCAGCTGATTGAAAGTCAAGTTCTGCCACCAGCGTTCCATCGGCCCCCTGCAGGACCCTTTGAAAGTGCCTCTCTTCTAGGCTTCTGGAAAGATCTGGTGCAAGCTTAACCCAGGAGGCGCTGAGTGGAGAGCTGAGGAAGCTGTCAGAAGGTCTGGAAGGCACCAAGCACAGCAGTGTGATGAAGCTCCTGCGTGTGGCCCTCAGTGGACAGCCGGTGAGTCTGCGTCCACGCAGGGTGCTGAATACCTTGGGTACAGAGCCGACAGAGCGCACCTGTCCCTGCCGTTGACACGTGGGTGTCACAGAGAGGCTCAGAACAGGGACCTGTGCTCATCCATAGGAATTAGAGGCCATTATGGGGCATACTTTGCTTCCCAGGAGTGACGGTAGCAGGCTGGGCTGACGCTGACGCTGCCCTATGTTCCTGGATATTCTGAGGCAATTCAGCATTATTTCTGCTTTTGTTCTTAGCAAGGACCCCCTGTAGCTGAGATGATGATGTCCTTGGGACCTGAGGAAGTCCGGGAGCGAATCCAGAATGTACTCTCCAGCTAGAAGGAGCTGTGTGCCACAGAGGAGGGGCCCTGAGGAGCTCACTGCTGGGATGCTGACTGCGTTTGGGGCAGGAGGAGGGCAGCCTGAGCCCCACCAGGAAGCTTGCTGCAGGAACCAAGAAGAGAAGTGGAATCTTGGGCTGCACGCTTCATGGCTGTCGCTCCAAGGCACTGGGCCAGGGAAGCCCAGATCACCTCACCTCCTTGGCCCTGGGAAGGAAGTCTCTGTGGCTGGGGCTTAACCCTACAGTGCATATTCAAGGTTACAAGTTGGTTCATGCCAGAGTTAGCATCCACAAATCCTCTAGACAACGTGGGCTGCCGGACCAACACACGTTGTCATCCTCATGGTCTGCATGCTCTAAGTGCAAGACGCAGGTGTGCACAGGGCTGACCTCTGCCACTGAGATGGCTCCCGGGACCTGTGGCTGACTGTCCCCTCACTGTGTCCTCATTGGGTCTGTCTGTGCATGTGTTCCTGACTGTTTCCTGTGTTTCCCCGTCTGCCAAGGACCTCGGACAGATTAGATTAGGGGGCCACCACCCAGCAACCTGTGGTATCTTAATCACCTCTTTACGGGCCTGGTCTCCAAACACAGTCTGGGATACTGGTAGTCGGGCTTTGATGGAAGGATTCAGGCTAGGGGCCGGAGGGAGACTCAGATCAGTCCATCACAGTTCCACAGCAGTGTAGACTTCCCAGATCCCAGTTCCAAGGATCAGTCTGGACTGAGTGAAGTAATGGGCTTGTAGCAGGCAGGGCTGACTGGACATCAGTCTCTGGGCAGGTGTAACAGGAGTTTACTCATTCACCAACTATAAGCACTGCTGTCTTAGGATGTGCTTTGTCCTGGGACCTTGGGCACCCAGGGCTCCTCAGCTTTAAAGGTCATTTCTTCCTCTCGATGTGGTCCTGGACTCAGAAACTGTTCGCTGTCCAGCAGTCATGGCCTAGGTGCACAGAGCCGGTAAGAATACATGTGGCCTACTGACTGATGGTCAATAGCTGAAGTTTATTAACAGCATCAGACTTTTTTAAAGACAGGTGATCATGTAGGCATCAGGGAGAGGGGCTTGAGGAATTTACACTTCAACAATAAGAAGAAGTCTCCTAATACACAATTTGTTCATCTAGCAGGTTCCTCTCCTCAGTTTGTCAATTCCTGTTCCCCTGCCTGGGGCGGGAAGTACCTCTCTTTGATGTGTTATCTAAACCTGCGGACTATGGAGTTTCTTGCCTATTCATTTCAGTATTAACTGCTCCCAGGGGCCTTCCCGGCAGAATTGCAAACTAGCTCTGGCTCCACACTGGCAAGGATTCCCAATGTCCTCTCTAATCAGTTGTTTTCCTACAGATCTGGCCAGTTGTCCTCCTTCAGGGAACCTTTACCCTGCTCATCATGTCTTCTGCTTTATTTTTCCTCTTCCTTCCTCCATCACTCCTAAGCTGCAGTTTCTGCCATGAAGTGTTCTTGGGGTCTTGGGTAAATGGGGACAGCTCAAGTGAGCAGAGGATGTTGGCTGGGTACAGGAATCGCTCCCAGGCTTCAGGGCTTTCCCTGGTGGCAACTAATCTCCAGCAATCCCCACCTCCCACTGGTCATACCCTCATGCGCTTCCTTACCATGCTTGGGAGAGTTGACTTGCATAACGAGTAGGCTACTTGGAAAATGATAGATCTTGACTTCTGAGCCTAGCTCATAAACTACCTCATGGCTACCATCTTGTTCTCTCGGATCCCTTACGATGTGGGTGGCCAGCTTGTAGGTGGTGACAGAGCAGGCCTGTGTAATAAGGACTGGAGGACCCTCTAGTCAGCAGCAGCCTTGTCAGTACATCACCATGGCAGCTGATGTTCCGGGCTCAGCCAAGCATCAGATGACTGCATTCCTGCCTGACCTTTTCCTTTGCTGTGACCTCCCTGAGAGACCCTGAGCCTGTTCCACCCAATGAAGCTGGGTGTAAATATTTGTTGTGTTAATCTGCTAGGTTTCGGGATAATTTGTTACCCAGCCACAGGTAACTAACAGACTGTCCTTGCCCGGGTGTAAGAGAGCAGGATTGAAGAGTGGGTTGAGTCTTAGAAAACCCTAGTCTTTGCTTTACAAGGACACTGGACAAAGTTCTTTGATTGCAAACAATAGAAACCAACCCTGCCTCACCAACCCAGTTGACTGGAAAGTTTGAGAAAGCCAAAGATTGAGAAATCTGAAGAACCAGGTCTGGAAAAAGCCAGGAAGCAGGCCCCAGCGCTGAGAGCTGGTCCTGTCCGCGTCCCTCAGCAAGGTCATGAGGACTCTGCTGGGGATTTCTCTGGGTTTTCCCCTTCCCTTCTGGGTGAGCAAGCTGTTAAGATTCAGATTGTAAGGGGAGAGCTGGTGGTTGACTAAGGATGCCTTACTGTGCCTCAGCCCAGTAATGGGATTATATCCAGGGGAGGAGAGGTGATGTCCAAGGAAAACTGGGGGCTTTTTCTAGAAAAGGGGACCATGGACCTCGGGGAAGAGTATAGAATAAGAAAATTTGGGATTTGGCACTCCCATGAGCCTCGGTAGCCACGGGCAAGCATTTCAGGTCGTCTTCTCTTCAAATCCCACAACCCCATGAGAAAGGAGTTTTGTTTGGTGGTAGTTTTATTTTGTTTTTAAATGAAGCCAGGCCAGGATTCAAATTTGGGCCTGTGACTATCCAGAATCCGTGGTCCACTCTTTACTGTCCAGTGGCATCAGAGCTTCTGCTTTGAAGACATGAATAAACATCAGTTACAAAACTGGCTTGTAGTCAGGGAAGAGTGGATATTTTTGATGAAGTGCAGTGCTGAGGCAGGGTGCGTGTTGGCGTGGGACACCTGCCTCCCATACCAGAGTACCTGATACGCTCTCGTGTCTACCTTCCTACTAAAGCAGACCTTGCAGGAGGTTGGTAATGACTCGAGAGTCCCTGTCACCGGATGGGAGACCCAGATGGAGTTCCTTGTTCTTGGTTCATGGCTTGACCCAGTCCCAGCTGTTGTGGGCATTTGAAGATTGAACTAGCTACATGCTGGGTCAATAGGCGCTCTCCCTCTCTCTCTCTTTCTCTCTCTCTCAGATTAATAAGTATTTTTGAAGTGCTAAGTTGATTGTGCAGCGTGCTACAACATGGATAAACCTCAAGGAGATAATGTGAAGTAAAGTATTAGTGACAGGGTACACACTTTAATCTGTTTCTGTGCATTACTCAGAAAGTCCCACCGCTAGAGACAGGAAGCACAAGGCTGGTTTCCAGGGTCTGAGGGAAGGCCTGCTTCCTGTGTAAGGAGTTGAAACTTTTCAGTCTTACAGGATGGGAAGTGTCCTGGAGCTGGAGGGGGTGTGGCCTGCCACAACACAATGATGTATTTGACAACACTGAACTGGTTTCCAAAAAATGGCTCAGCTGGAAAATTTTATATTTGTGTGTATTTTGCCACAATTTTTTTTAAAATACATGAAGTTATTGCTTCTTCCATGGAAATGGACTCGAACAAGCAGCTGTCTTTCTTGAGGCTTCTGCTTAGAATTTCTAGCCATGTTTGATGGGACTTTATGCTCTTTTTTTTGGTAAATATTTATTTACTTTTATGGGAAAAGGCAGACTTACAGAGAGAAAGATATTCCATCCTCTGGTTCACCCCCAAAGTGTCCACAATATTCCGAAGCTGAGCAGTCTGAAGCCAGGAGTCAAGAGCTTCTTGCAGGTCTCCCACGTGAATGCAGGGTCCCAAAGACTTGGGCCATCCTCTACTGCTTTCCCAGGCCATAATTGGAGAGCTGAGTGGGAAGTGATACTGCTGAGAGAAGAACCAGTGTCCATAAAGGATGCTGGCACTTGAAGGTTGAAAATTAGCTTGAATCACTGCACCACCTCCAAAGAAACTACTTTTGATTAAGACTTGAAAGTGAAAAAGGGGTCCGGCGCAGTGGCCTAGTGGCTAAAGTTCTCTCCTTGAATGTGCTAGGATCCCATATGGGCACCAGTTCTAATCCTGGCAGCCCCACTTCCCATCCAGCTCCCTGCTAGAGGCCTGGGAAAGCAATCGAGGACAGCCCAAGCCCTGGGACCTTGCACCCACATGGGAGACCTGGAAGAAGCTCCTGGCTCTTGGCTTCAGATTGGTGCAGCTCTGACTATTGTGGTCACTTGGGCAATGAGTCATCGACGAAGATCTTCCTTCCTATATGTCTGACTTTGCAATAAAAAAGTGAATAAATTAAAAAAAAAGTGAAAAAGTTGGGGAACAGATGGGGTGGTTGAATATGGATAGGATGTATGTTTAATGGGGCCTAAAATTAGATGTTAATCTTTTTGACTTGGGGTAAAATTCTCTACCTGGCCAGGAACCAGGATAATAAGTACTTAGCAACTGAAGACTGTGATTGAAGAGTCCAGTATAGGATGCTGTGCAGGCCTATCAGGGGCCTTTGCAGGCTCTCGGAGCTTTGGGTTGAGTTCTAAGATAGCAGAAAGAGTGTCCAGGTAGTGAGAGCTTTACCAAGTTGGACAGGACTGTGACCCAAGCTGGGAGCTGGGGAAGAGGCTGAGGTGGCTGCTGGGCATACAAGCTGAGGCGACAGCCCAGGAACCCTGCTTTATATCAGGGTGCCATCTGATGCCAGTGGCCAGCTCTCAATTCAAGAGATTGACTATCCCGTCAAACTGGAAGGTCAGGGTAAAGCAGACTGCAGGCTTGGGTAATTATGCATTGGGTGGCGCCAGTCAGAGCTCAGGGTCTCTCCATCTCTGCTGCCCTCAGCAGTACAGCAGTCCCAGGTTGGTTCTGCTCCCAGTCGGCTGCCAGAAGCATTCAGACCCCTCTTCACTCCCTCCTCCTCCAGATCTGGTCGGTGGAGGGTGACTTCCTATGGCTGTCTCCAAAGCAAGAACTCTCCTGTAAGCACCTTCCCTGCCTCAACTTCCCCCTTTCTGATTCCATAGATTGCTGCTGGGAAAGGGTCCCTGAAGGTCGGCCTGACGCAGAGCTCAGCAGATGTGGGGTCTGCTGTTTCTTGACTTGGGGACTGATGGACACCTGGACAAAAGTAAGGACTTGCTCAATGAGTGAAGCCAAGGAGCTGCAGAGCCCCTGGAACATTGTAAGCAGGGATGTGCTATGGCGGTATTCTTGTTGGGGCAGGCCTTGGGTGCAGCAATTGCCCAGGTCCAAGTCCCATCTCTGCTTTCCATCCAGTGTCCTGCCATGTACACCCAGGGAGGTAGCAGGCGATGGCTCATGTACTCGGTACCCTGTCACCATGTTTGCTCAGCATGGCCCTGCAGAGCTGAATGAGGGCTCCCCAGGAAATGATTCAGCCCCAAACCTCAGACCAGGGGTGGTAGAGGGCCTGCCTGTCCCATCTGTAGCGATCGAGGCAAGTTCATTTACCCTGCCTCCTGTTGTGTGACTGTCTAACTCAGGCCTTCAGGACTGGGGGAGGCCTCCAGCAGGACTGCCCATCTTACTCCTACCAGCCCGGTGCTAGTCTCCAGAAACAGCTTCACAGTGGCAGCCCAAGAAGCTGCTCAACCAGCTCACCATGATCCCACCAGGCGGACACATGGAGGTAACGGTGACAGCAATAGTGATGGCTGAACCACATGACCAATGTATTTAGCAGTGCTGAGCCTGACACTTAAACATGAGTAAGATGATGAATTGTACATATATTTTACTGCAGTTTTTTTAAAAAAGAAGAATATTAACCATCAGGGCTGAACAGATCCCACTCATGTCGGTCTGTTCTTCCACACTTGTTCAATCTGTTGATGCATGGTGTTCAGCCACAGCAGCTTTTTCTGGGTTCCTGGGCATGCTGTGTCCAGTCCTGCTGCAGTCCACATGCTCTCTCTAAGACACTGTGTCCTCTCCCACTGGCCCTGTTCTCTGCTCCATTTATCACATCCCCAGGGAGGCCCCTGGGGCCCAGTTAGAGCCCAGTAAGTATTGACTGAAGGCAAGACCGGACGTGCACCTGGTTGGATCTGGTGCTCTGGCTGTGCAGTGAAGCACGCAAGAGCTGGTTGCCCTGAAGCCACCCTACTTCGTGAGAATACTGATTTGCATTGTGGAGGAACTTCGGATGGTTTGTGGTTCTTATTTTTGCAAGTGAGGCACGTGATGTAAATGTGAGTGACAGTGTTTTGCATTTAAAAGGCTGTGCAGACTTAGCACTCGATGCTCATTACTATGTCCGGGGGTTTTCAGCTTTAAAACAGATCTGGGCACAGCGTTGGCGTCCTGGTCTTTCCTTCCAGGCCAGTGTCACTCGAAGCCCTGCCCTCCACCCTTGTCCCAATCTGATGGCCAAAAGGACAGCCCTGCCAAAGGGATGGGGCTAGAGAACGCCTCGTGGCTAAGGCCATACAGTACTGTCTTTATTTATCCATCTGATACATGTTCACTGTGTGTTGGGCCATGGTAGGCTTGAGGGTACAGAGGGATAGGACTGGACATTGATTTTGGGTGCCCAGTCCACAGTTGTCTGTTACCCCTATTTATTATTACTTGCTAAGCCTGTTAAGTGGGCAAGTGTCAGAGCAGCTGAGATGTCATCACCTGGGCCACCTGCAGCCCCCGTGAGAGTGCCCGATCTGAATGCTAGCTTCACTCCAATTCCAGCTTCCTGTTCACATGCGCCACGGGAGGTAGCAGATGATGGTTCAAGTACAGGAGTTCCTGCCACCCACACGGGAGACCTGGGTGGAGCTCCTGGCTCCTGGCTTGGGCCTCACCCACCCTGGGCTGTTGTGGGCATTTGGGGATTGAACTAGTAGGTGGAAGATGTCTCACCGTCAGTCCCTGTCTCTATTTCAAATAAATAATGACATTTTGAAATAGTGAACAGAAACTTGAAGGCTGTGCCTCAGAAAGAGCCTTTTTTTTTTAAGATTTATTTTTATTGGAAAGTACAGAGAAGAGAAGAAACAGAAACGAAAATCTTTAGTGTGCTACGTCACTCACTAGGCAGACGCAACCAGCTGGAACTGAGCTGCAACAGCTGAGCCGATCCGAAGCAGGAAGCCCAGAGTCTCTCAGGTCTCCCATGCAGGTGCAGGGTCCCGAGGCATTGGGCTCTCCTCGACTGCTTTCCCAAGCCACAGGCAGGGAGCTGGATGGGAAGCAGGGCCGCCGAGATTAGAACTGGTTCCCATATGGGATCCTGGCACATGCAAGTTGAGGACTTTAGCTGTTAGACTACTGTACCAGGCCTCCAGAAAGAGCCTGTTACTCCTAGACTATAGTGACAAGTTGGGAAATGGTGAGGCTCAGAACAAACTGATAGGCAGATTTGCTTATCCTTGGACGGGTCAACTAGGGGAACACTCCTTTCATTTGAATTCCATTTTCTTACATAAGCATGTTCCAAGCAATATTTGGGATACAATTAGGCTAGAAATAACATTTATCTGGGATTCTGCTATTTTATTTGCTAAACCTGGCAGCCTAACCCCAAGGTGCTGGGAGGACACAGCATCCAAAAGCATAGAGTGGGAAGAAGAGGTACGAACTCCACATGACTTCCAGCTTCGAGCTGGGCAGGAGGTCCAGGAGTCAGGCTCCGTGCATCGGTATTTTGTGCCTGTTAGGTATTAAATGTTTGCTCTTAGACACTGTCCTGTCTAAGAATTTGGTGAGGCAGGATGCAGACAACATGAAACAGGCAGTGGGAACAGACAGCAGCGTGTATAGGCAGGGGCATGGGGACCCAGAGTGCCCATGGGGTGCCAAGGGTGGCCTCAGGTCAGCTGTGCCCGGTCAGGCCCAGTACTGGTGCTGGTGCTGGGGATACAGGCTTGAGCAGCTCCAGGCCTTTGTATATGCTAATCTCTGCCTACCCTTTCGTAGACCTCAGCTTTATCTTTTCTTTTTTCAGATTTTTCTTGGAAAGGCAGATCAGATTTACAGAGAAAGATCCTCCATCCACTGGTTCACTCCCCAGTCATGCGACGGCTATTGCTGAGCCAATCTGAAGGCAGGAGTTTTTTCTGGGTCTCCCATGCCAGTGCAGGGTCCCAAGGCTTTGGGCCAGGGAGCTGGACAGGAAGTGGAGCAGCTGGGACAGGAAACAGCACCCATTTGGGATCCTGGCGTGAGAAAAATGAGGATTGAGCCATTGCAGTGGGCCCTGTCTTCATTTCTTCATCCAGTGGGCTCCCCATCTTTCTTGGACTGGACCAGGTGTCCTTGTGCATTTGTGCTCACCGACTGGACTGTGGTCCCCTAGACAGGAGCCACATCCATGCTCTCATCTCCCTGTGTCCCCATCTATGAAAGAGAAATGTGTGTGTTAAGTTAATCAATGAATGAACTCCTAGGTTACTAGACAACTCGGGTGCCTGGCAAGAGCCAGGCAGGCAATGTAATGAAAGATTAACTTTGGCTCCACATGGTAGCCTAGTAGCTGAAGTCCTGGCCTTGCATGCGCTGGGATCCTGGTGGCCCACCTTCCCATCCAGCTCCCTGCTTGTGGCTTGGGTAAGCAGTCAAGAATGACCCAAAGCCTTGGGATCCTGAACCCAAGTGGGAGACCTGGAAGAGGCTCCTGGCCCAGCTCAGCTCAGCTCTGGCCGTTGTGGCCGCTCAGAGAGTGAATCATTGAACAGAAGATCTTTTCTGTCTGTCTGTCTTCTCTGTATATCTGACTTTCAAATAAAAGTAAATCTTGTAGGAAAAAAAAAAGATTAACTGTCCGCCGTGCCACCATTTTATTTGGTAGCCCCATTTCCTCCAGGGAAGAGAGGGGGTAAGTTTTGCCAGGTTAGCCTGATGGGATGCAAGGAGACCTGCACTGCACAGGTCGGAGCTGGGGGGCGGAACCCGTTGGTAGGCGTGGTCAATCGCGCCCCCGCCCCGTCACGTGCCGGGCTGCGCCTGCCGCGTCGGCAGCCGGGGAGCGCGCAGGCGGCGGCAGCTGGAAGGCCGGGTACCGGTGCTGGCCGCTGCTGTGGGGCTGGGCTGATGGCGGCGACGGCGGTGGCGGCGGGGACGGGGGCGACGGCGGGGACCGAGTCATCCGGGGGACCCCCGGGGCCGGCGGCGGCGCTGGAGCTGTGGCTCAGTGAGTAGCCTGGGCCGCCCCTCGGCGAGGGTCAGTGCGGCGTGTGAGGCCTCCTTCCCCGCTGCCCGGGGCCTGCCTCCGGCGGGGAAGGCCAGCCAGCGGCCTCGAGCGCAGGATCGCCAGGGCTGCAGACCCGCCGCTGCCCAGCCCCGGCTCCGGCTGCACGGCGGCCGGCGTGTGTTCGCAGGGCTTTGCCCAGCGCTGTGCCCAAGGCCCTCCTCAGGACCCCGGGGTAGCACCGATTGTCCGCCGCGGGTTATCGGGCAGGACACGCAGGCGGTGCACGGACGCTGCTGCCTTTAATGTCATAACAGGCCTTTATTCCTTCTGTGTGTGTTTCTCCCGCCAGACTTCTTAGGTTGGGCTTCCCGGAGCCCTAGGGGATTGGGGTTGGCGTGTTTGTGGCCCCCTTTACCAAGGAGGAATTGAGAGTGGAAAGGGATAAAATGCCCCTCCCCGCTACACGCGCACACTTTGTGTTGGGCTGTGGGAGGGCCTGGGGATGCTGAGACGCCTAACCCAGCCCGGCGATGTCCTTGCTCACCGACTCCGTTTGGACACCAGCAGCAGCTGGTTAACGGGATTGGGGGAGGGGCGACTGTGGTGCTGGGGGTGGGGAGCTGCCGGTCACCGTTGCAGGCTGAGGATGAACAGTTCTGAGGGTGCATTCTGGCCCCAAGGAGTCATCCAGGGTGAAGCCCCGAGAGTGGGGAGTGTGTGGAGAAGAAGGTGCAGGCCTGACTGGGGCAAGGGGGGCTGGCATCCCTCGGGGGTCAGCTACAGGAAGGCGGTTCCTCCCTGTTCTCTTTTGGCGTGGGGGGGGGGGGGCTGTTGGGCCGAATCCAGCCAGGGCAGTGGGATCCGGCAAGCTTGTTAAAGGCGCCGCCTGTAGCCCAGAGGAATTGGTTTTGGAGAGTTGTACTGAGAGGTGATTAAAAGCTCTCTTGGCGGTGTTTACCGGCCGCAGCAGGAGAGCAGGGACGAGTGGTAGGGCTGATTCTTGCTGGAGCTCTGGAGTGGAGTCTGGCGGGCTTCCCGGGTTTCAGGGTCACATAAATGATTGTTAGGGGAGCCTGGGCTGGGAGGAGGAGCCTGCTGTGTGGCTAGCACGGCTGCAGCTGCAGCTGAGAGATGCTCCCCAGGCAGTTTCGGTCAAAGAGGAGGTTTGGGAGTCTCCGGTTGCCTGGCGACACTGTATTCTTAAGATTTATTTATTTGGGAGGCAGATACATCCCATTTGCTATTCACTCCCCAAATATCCACAATAGCCAGGGCTGGCCAGGCTGAAGCCAAAAGTCAGGAACTCCATCCAGGTCTCCCATAGGGGGAGACAGGGCCCACCAACGCTTCGACCTCCCAGTACATTGGCAGGAAGCTGGATCTGAAGTGGAGGAGCCAGGACTTGGACCCCAGCCCCTGTGGAAAGCCCCAGTATTGATGAGCAGATGGGAAGAGCAGAGGAGGAAAAGGGGCTGGCATGGTGGTACAGTATGTTAGACCACTGGTTACAATTCTGTCTTCGCATATTGGAGCCTACCTAGTTCAAGTCCCAGCTGCTCCACTTGTGGTCCAACTCCATGCTGATTTTCCCATGAAAGCAGCAGAAGATGGTCCAAGTGCCTGGATCTTGTCCACCCACATGAGACCTGAGTGGAGTTCTGGGTTCCTAGCCCTATGTGAAGTGAACCTGAGATGGAAGACCTCTGTCTGTCCCTCTTGCTCTGTCATTCTGCCTTTCAAATACATAAAATTGACCTTTTTTTTTTTGTTGTTTAAATTTTTGAGAGTGAGTAGGGAGAAGCTGGAGAGCAGGGAGGTGCAGGTGGGGTGTGGTCGGTACTCTGCTTATGGATGGAGCGTGCTGAGAAGGCACAGCTCTGAGCTTGGGAACCAGCAGGTCACCCGTGAGTTCTCTTGGAGTTGGACCCAGACAGTTGGGAGGCAGTGTGAACGGCTTTGACAGGTCACATGGTAACAGCTCATCCAGAGGGAGGCCAAGAGGAAGTGTCTGGACTGAGGTGGCCCAAGCAGCTCCAGCTTCTTTGGGGGGGATGCTGTCCAAAGTGGCCGGCCCCTCTGGTCTACGAAGGAAGGCTGGAATGTGTATGCCTGTGGGAAGGTGTGCTTGAGTGTGGGAGAGGGGAGAAGGTATGAGGGGGAGTTTGAATATAAAGGAGTTTGCAAGGAGGAAGGATCAGGGGGTCTTCTACCGGGATGTTCCTTGAGGATGATGGTGTTGGTCCTCTGCAGGGGACGTCCAGGTGCTGGAGGAGAAGGAGGCCAGAGCTGGAAGGGCTGCCCCAGGCAGAGGGAAGGCAGTAGTTTTGAGTATTTAGGGAAGGAGATCAAGAGGACTGCACGTGGAAGTGAGCTATCAGTTCCACAGCCCCAGTTGCTGAGCGCTGGGGGCTGAGGCGGAAGTTAGCAGATTGGAAACAACTTGTGAGAGAAACTGGAGTCTCCCTCCCCCAAGTATCGCCCAGCCTCTGCGCCCCTGACCCTGGGAGCCTGCTCATTCACTGCCTCCCCGCCAAGACCACTAGATGCCAGTAATACATCTCCCCTTCCAAATCTTCCTTTTTAAGCTATTTTATATACATTTTAATCAAAACATCAGATTTACAGAGGGAAGGCGAGACAGAAAGATCTTCCATCCACTCACTGGTTGACTCTCCAAATGGCTGCAACAGCCGGAGCTCAGCTGATCCAAAGCCAGCAACCTGGAGCTTCTTCCTGGTCTCCCATGTGGGTGTAGGATCTCAAGGCTTTGGACTGTCCTCGACTGCTTTCCCAGGCCACAAGCAGGGAGCTGGATGGGAAGTGGAGCAGCCGGGACACAAGTGCCTGAGGATTGGTCAAGCCCGGCTCACTGACAGATCTTACCTGAGCACGCAGGGCAGTGGTGTTATTAAGATGAGAACAGAAAGGCTTGGAGTTGTGGAGCATCAGAGGTGTGAGTGCATGTAGCGCCCTTAAAATAGTGCCTGCCAGTGGCAGGGCCAGTCAGTGCTTGCTGTTCTTATCTCTGTTGTAGTTTAAGTGGCTGAGCACTCACTTCTGGTTTAGCCCAGACATCAGGAGAAGGAAAGAAATGAATCCCTGTGGTGGACTGGGCTCGCCCAGGAGCCCACAGTAGGGTGGAGATTCTTGTCCTGTCTTGAATTTGCTGTCTGCCCTGTCCTTGCTGTGTAGCCAGCAGAAATCGTTTATTTTTCCCATTGACTGACAGAAAGCTGTGGTTTTCCTGCCTGTTGGTCCAGGTTAGACCATACGTCCATATTGGGCTTTGTATCCATGGGGGGAGGGGGCGGTGAAGATGGCCAGGAGGAAGAAACATGGGGATGCAGACCCCTAGGGTGGGTACAGAGTGAAAGTACACCCACCTAGACTCGCCCATGGCATTCCCCCAAGGGAACATCGAGGGGTGGGGACTCTTTAAAAATACGCTCAGCAGGGCTGGGCTTGTGTATAGTAGGTTAAGCCTGCTATGATGCCTGCATTCCATATGAGCACTGGTTGGTGTTCCTGCTGCTTCACTTCCCATCCAGCTTCCCGCCGATGGCCTGGGAATGCAGTAAAAGGTGGCCCAAGTGCTTGGGCCCCTGTCACAAGTGTGGAGGCATGAGAGAAGCCCCTGGCTTCAGCCTGGCCCAGCCCTGGCTGTTGCAGCCATCTGAGGAATGAACCAGTGGATGGAAGGCCTTTCTCTCCCCCTCTCTGTAACTCTTTCAGTGTTTTTGTTTTTTTTTTTTTTTAAGAAGTAATAAACAGTACAAACAGTGGTTCTGTGCTCTCTGCTCACTGCCTCTCCTGCCCCAGCCTCATGTGACTGCAGGTAACACTGCTCTCCTCCCTGGGTGGACGTGCTGGAATTCACTAGCCCACCCTCTCTTGTGCTGTTTGTAAAAGCAGTGATTGGTCCTCCCATTCTAGTATCTTGCCTTTCTCCAACCCTACTTTCTTGCTTCCCTTGAGGCTCTGGGAAGGCCAGGCTTGCAGTCTGTTAATAATACAAGTTTTTTTGTTTGTTTTGGTTTTTTTTTTTAAGATTTTTTTTTCCTGGAAAGTCAGATTTACAGAGAGAAGAGAGAAGAAGATCTTCCATCTGTTTGTTCACCTTCCCAGTGGCCACAATGGTCAGAACTGAGCATAAGCAAAGCCAGGAGCTGAGCCGATTTGAAGCCAGGAACCAAGACCTTTTTCTGGATCTCCCACATGGGTGCCGGGACCCATGGCTTTGGGCCATCCTCTGCTGCTTTCCCAGACCACAAGCAGGGAGCTGGATGGGAAGTGGAGTATCTGGGATATGAACCAGTACCCATATGGGACACTAATGCATGCAAGATGAGGACTTTAGCCAGCTGAGCCCTCACACCCGGCCCTGTAATTCGAGTTTCTTGCAGACTGAGTGTGTTCTCTGGGAGCCAAGCCTGTTCTCTGCATGCACCCCTAGGGAAGCACTCTGGGGTGCGCTAGCTGCTGAGGGCATGAATCCTGCAGCCTCAGGGCTCCCCCATGCTGGGGTCATGATCCTGGGAGTTGCCAGCTGCCAAGAGATAAGTTGGCTACAGAGCTAGTCACAGTCCAAGGAACCATTTCACATACAACCAGAGTTCTCAGTTGTTGGCTTAATCCTCTGACTTGTAGCAAGTACCATGTGAATCACACACATGTGGCTGTTATTAAGCATGTGTGAGGGGCTTTCAAAAAATTTATGGAGGAGGAAAAAAAAAGTTTGTGGAGAGTCCAGCACAATTTAGCCTAGTGGTTAAATCCTCACCTTGCATTAGCCAGAATCCCATATGAGCGCTGGTTTATATCCTGGCTGCTCCACTTCCCATCCAGCTCCCTGCTTGTGGCCTGGGAAAGCAATCGAGGATGGCCCAGAGCCTTGGGACCCTGCACCCACGTGGGAGACCTGGAAGAGGCTCCTGGCTTCAGATTGATTCAGCTCCAGCTGTTGTGGGCACTTGGGGAGTGAACCAGCAGATGGGAGATCTTTCTCGCTCTCCTTTTCTCTATAAATCTGACTTTCTAATTTAAAAAAGTTTGTGGAAAATGGAATTAAAATGATTATTTTGGTGCAAAAAATATCTTGAAATCTGTTTATATAATGGGGTCTGAATAGTTCATGGAAAATGTATATTGAAGAAAAAATTATGCACAGACTCCAAGATTTTTTACACTCAACTACTTTTTCTTAAAAAACGATTTTATTTTTATTGGAAAGTCGTTTACAGAGAGGAAGATCTTCTGTTGGATGATTTACTCCCCAAGTGGCTGTAACAGCCAGAGCTGAGCCAATCAGGAGCCAGGAGCTTCTTGTTTTCTCTGAGCTTTGTGGAGTCCCCTTGTGTAGGGCCATAGAGTAATACTTGGGACCCCGTGCCTGCTTTCTCCCACCCCTGCAGATGCACCCTGTCTTCTCTGGTGGCAGTTTCTCCTGCAGCAGTGAGTGGGGGATTTCCCTGCAAGGCCTGTGGGGCCCTGGCAGCTCCTGGGAGCAGCAGATGGTGTCAGCAGCCTGATGGGACCCAGCTGCTGGGCCTCCAGTGGCGGTGGGTGGGGGTGAGGGCTGTTGTTTCCTGGAGTGTCTCACAGCAGACTGTGTGTGTGGAGACAGTTGTTTCAGAAGTGACACAGCCACCTCCTGGCAGCAGCCATGTGTCCAGCCAACTGGGCAGACGCTGCGTAGTGCATTCATTCCAAAGATAGCAGTGCCAAAGATCCCGCCCCAGATCCCCCCCCCCCCCCCCCCCCCCGCCAAGGAAGCTAGCAGTGCAGCTAGCAGCGTTCCTGAGAAACTCTGGGCAGGAAAGCAAGGCCAGTTCCCAAGAGGAGGCCCCCCCTGCTTTTGTCAAAACAAGCCGAGTAAAAGGAAAACAAACAAAACCCTGCCTCCTAGGAACTGTGGAGACCTTGGGGCTTGGGGGCTGAGTCTGTTGTACTCTGCAGTGGGCTGGGATTGTCTCTGTGTAAAATGGGGGCGGTGGGAGCCCATATAGTGGTGTGCTGTGACTCAATGGCTAAATCTTCGCCTCGAACTCTCTGGGATCCCATGTGGGTACCAGGTCGTATCTTGGCTGCTCCACTTCCCATCTAGCTCGCTGCTTGTTGCCTAGGAAAGCAGTAGAGGATGGCTGAAAGCTTTGAGACCCAGAAGAAGCTCCTGGCTGCTGGCTTTGGATCAGCTCAGCTCCGGTCATTGGGGCCACTTGGGGAGTAAACTAATGGACAGAAAATCTTTGTCTCTCTGCAAATCTCCCTTTCCAAGAAAATAATGAATCGATCTCTAAAAACAAAAGTGGCCCCAATGTGTCAGTAAAGGTAACAGTGATGTTTCCATATTCAATGACAAAAAAAGATGTGTTGGGGTGCTCAATCCAGCCCCAGTTATGCCAAGAACATGGCGTGGTGATGGCCCACAATAAGGAATCTTCCAAAATGACACCTGTAACTTTTTTTTTTAAGATTTATGTATGAAAGAGCAAGGGAGAGACAGAGATCTTCCAGTCTCCAGTTCACTCCCCAAATGGCTGCCTTGGTTCGAACTGGGCTGATATGAAGCTGGGATCCAGGAGCTTCTTCCAGGTCTCCCATGTGGGTGCAAGGTCCCATGGCTTTGGGCCATCCTCTGCTGCTTTACCAGGCCATAACAGGGAGCTGGGTTGGAAGTGGAGCAGCTTGGAACAGGAAGTGGTGCAAATATGTGATGCTGGCACCACAGGGTGGAGGATTAGCTTGCTACACCCCTGTGCTGGCCCTATAGGTCTGGCAGCTGTTACTTAGTTTTGAGCTGTGTTGAAACTTCATCAAATCCACAAGACATAGATTCTAGCAAATAAAAAATAAAAGAAACTGATTTGCAGTTAGGAGACCTCTCTGCTGCTGTTCCTTGACTTGTTCAGAAAATGACCTTGGAGGCCGCTTCTTTCTCTAAAGGCTGGTGCCTGGTAAGGGCCGGATTCTGGCAGGTGAGCTTGTTCCCACCCCCTTTCTGAACTGGACTTGTGTTTACCTGTTGCAGTCAGAATTCCTTTGAAGTATCAACCTTGACCTAACCAGTGTAGAATTACTTGGTGGAGTTGAAAGGCAGATTCTAAGACCTACAGCTTTACATAAATGGTGTGGCAAGTAGCCACTGGCAAGTCTGACTTCTAGGGGTCCAGTTCTTCTGGGAATATCAAGTGTGTTTGTAACTTAACAGATTGGGTTTATGGGGACCTAACTCCATTGTAAGTCACACACAGCTGTGGTTGTGTGGCTTCTGCCTTCAGGAGTTTTATTCTTGGCTTCTGTCAGGTATGGAACAGTAATGAAGGGTTATCGATTACTTACCACATACTGCCATAGGACACTCACTGTCTCCTTTAAATCATAGTTCTGGGCCCGGCGTGGTGTCCTAGTGGCTAAAGTCCTTGCGTTGAACACACTGGGATCCCATATGGGCACTGGTTCTAATCCCGGCAGCCCTGCTTCCCATCTAGATCTCTGCTTGTGGCCTGGGAAAGCAGGCGAGGACGTCAGCGAAGGCTCGTGCCCTGGGGTGACTACAGTCCTTGATGACCAGCAGGGAGGGAGGGGCCAGGGCTGGAGCTGTGGGGAACCGTCTTCTGGTGGAGATGGAGGAAGTGGCTGTTTGGGCACAAGGAGTAACAGCCCAGCGCCTTCACTTCCAATTGCTAGGACAGGGCTGCATGGTGCAGACTGCAGGCCAGGCTGCATGGAGGGTATCGGGAATTTTATGAAAGTCTGAGCAACCTCTGGATAGTCGTCGATTTCTCCCATCCACCTTGCGGGGCTGGGGTGGGGGCATCCTGCCCTGGGACAGTGAGGAAGGCACGTGCAGGCCGACCTCTGCTTTGCTTAATTGATTCACTGGCTCACTCGCTCGCTCGTGGCAGACGCGGTGCTTGGTGGGTGGCCCAGGCATGGTGGCCGCAGTCATGATCTACCTGCCTCTCTGTGACAGGTGTGTGTCATCACAGATGGAGAGGAGGTCGTATGTGTCTTTGTATCACGTTTTAACTACGGTTTTAAATTTTTTTCTTGACAGACAAAGCCACAGACCCAAGCGTGGCACAGCAGGATTGGTCAGCTATCCAGAACTTCTGTGAGCAGGTGAACACTGACCCTAACGGGTAAGGCGAAGCCTCCCACACACCTGGCTTTGGGGACCCCCTAGGCTGCACACAGGCCTGCATCTCAGGGCTGTGCTGGGGGTAGACTTTTCTTCCTACCTTCCCTGTTTCCAACAATACAGTGGAAACAGTAGTTTTCTAAGATTAACAAGTTTATATGTGTGTGTGTGTTAGGATGGTCATTAGCAACTCTCAAGTACTTATGAGTATTTTGCGTAGTATAATAAAACACTGCAGATTCCTGCTGGAGTGTAGCTGGGGTATGTAAGGGTACATATCATAATAAAACCTCGTCCTTTTTGTGTCATAAAAATGAAGGGAAAGGGCTGGGTTTCATTTGAGATGTTTCCCATACAGCTACATTGGACCTGAAGTATTTGGGGCCTGCGTGCAGATGTTGCCTCCCCGTGGTACTGAGTAACTGAGCTCTTCTGAAGTGATCCCAGAGTTGGGGCATACTGCCTGCCTAAGACCTGGCTCCACGTGGGCTGTGAGGCTGGACCCCAGGCACAAGGAGGCCCTGGCCACGTCAGTGAGGGCTGTGGGAATTGGTCCTTGGCTGGGACGCATGCGTGGGGCCGTGTGCAGTCATGTGGCACCTGTGCACTGGGACTCCTGCTCCTGGGGAGCGGCGGTGGAGTGCCTGCCTGTTCCTCCCTGCCCAGTCCGGGTCTGTCTGTTTTCCTTCAGTTCCACACATGCACCCTGGCTCCTGGCCCACAAGATCCAGTCTCCACAGGAGAAGGAAGCGCTGTATGCCCTAACGGTGAGTTTGATTTGCCTTGTACTGATGCTCTGAGAGGGAGTCTGCCTGTAGCACTGTCCTGCTGGGGGTTCACCCTCAAGCCTCGCACAGCAGGCTAGAGGGAGACTGGGGCCAGGCAGCCCGTCCTGGAGTAGGGCTGGGCCTGCTTTGGGAGATGGGAAGAAAGAAAGGAAGGGTTTCTTCTAGGCAGAGTGACAGAAAAGGAGAAATGTGAGGTCTTGCATTTGCTGTGGTTCTAAATGGCCACGTGGCTGGAACTGAGCCAGGCTGAAGGAAGCTTAGCGCCTAGAGCTCTGTCTGAATCTCCGACCTATAGGTGGCAGGAGCAGAAGCCCTTGGGCCATTTCCTGCTAGTTTCCTGGCTGCATTAGCAGGGAGCTGGATCAGAACCAGAGCAGCTAGTAGTTGAAATGGTGCTCCAACACTGGGATATAGGATGCTGGCATTGCCAGTGGCAGCTCAGCCCACTGTGCCACAACGTCAGCCCCAGGAAGACTTTACATTCCTATGTGTCCTTCTTAGACCAAGACTGACAAGTCCAGGTCTAATAGGGACAAGTTGGTGACACAGATGAGCGAAATCATTGGGCAAAGACTGTAACACCAGAGAGCAGTGCTCTGCCTGGGTGGGTGCTTGTGTTTGAGGGGAGCCTGGATGCTACCAGGCGTGAAATTGAACCTAAAAATGCTAGAATTTGCTGTTTCCCTGCTCCCCCCAAGAGAAACTGAAATCCAGAATTTCAAATGAATTCTTTGGTTTTTAAAAGTTGATCACAAATTTGACAGGTTGAAAATCACAGCAGCAAGTGCAGTGGCTCAATGCAAGCACCAGATCCCATCTGGGCACCAGTTTGTGACCTAGCTGCTTCACTTGCTATCCAGTTCCGTCCTTGTGTCCTGGGAAAGCAGTGGGAAGATGGACCAAGTCTTTGGGACCTTACGTCCATGTGGGAGACCTGGAGGAGGCTCCTGGTTCCAGGCTTCGAGTCGGCTTAGCTCCGACTGCTGCAAATCTGCCTATGCAATAAAAATAAAATCTTTTGAAAAAGAAAGAAAGAAAGAAAACCACAGTGTGGACCTGGTGGGTGCCAGTGGGTGAACTGGTAGGGCTCCTCTCAGGTGCCAGTACCAGGTGTCTGCCTTTGGGGAAGGGCTAGTTTTGCCTACCCACAGGATCTTTTTCAAAGGCAGGGTGACCTCAGGGTGCACACATACACACACCCCTCTCAGCTCTTCCCTGGGTGCTGCAGCCCTGTTGATCTCTGCGTGGTGGTGGTTTTCATGGGTAATGGGCAGGGCTAGCTGTGGCCGAGTGGGGCGGGCAGCAAATGCTCTTCAGCTCTGAGGTGAGCCCACGCTGCCAGCCCTCCTCTCACGGGGTTCTGGGGTTGTGCAGGTGCTGGAGATGTGCATGAACTACTGTGGAGAGAAGTTCCACAGTGAGGTGGCCAAGTTCCGCTTCCTCAATGAGCTGATCAAGGTGTTGTCCCCAAAGGTGAGTACCCGGGCTGTCCCCGTCCTCTGTGCCATCCCTGTACCCAGCCTTCAAACTCCTGTGGCGTTTCTCAGGCCAGGGGGCAGACTTGGGCGTGGAGAGAACCTGCCCACCTGTCTTAACTCTTGGAAGGAGGTCAGGCAGGTGACAGTGCTCTCCTCGTAGGCTAGAATGACCCCTTCCCTCCCGCGCTGGTGCTTAAGCTTTGGGTCTGACTGGCAGAGGAGACGGGGTCAGGGGATGTGAGCTTGGAGGCACAGGTTTCCTGGCAGAGCTGGTGACAGACATCAGGTGTGACTTGCTATGTCATACCCTCCTACCTTGTGCTTGGCATCTTTCCTCCTGGCCCTCTCGGCATGCCCCAGCTTTGTGTGAACCCACCATTGTTGCGTTCCAGCAATGTTCCTGACACCTTTTGTGCCTCCCACAACTCAGTTCAGCTCACACTAAGGGCTCAGTCCTGTCTGAATGTGAGGCAAGCTATGAGACTTGGGAGTCTTTGTGTCCCCCTGTCCCCTGCAGCAGCTGTGATGTGCTGCCCACTGCAGGTGGCAGGGTCCCCATGACCCCTCCTCCTGGCTCTGACCTTCCCTAGGATGTGCCACAGCACAAAGGAAAGCCGGGTGCTTTCTTCTATTCTATTGTGAAGACTGCAGAGGGAAGTAACCTAGAGGGCAGGGTGTTTGTGCTGGAGACATGGGGCACAGTGCCCACTGACTGACTTAGCCCCCTATGTGGTGGATTTTATTTGGGGGATTATTATTATTATCATTATTATCATTATTATCATTTTTAGTGAGGACAAAGAAAGAATATATGCTCCCACCCACTAATTCATTCCCCAGATGCTCTTGGAGTAGACAGGACTGCGTCCCTGTCTGAAACTCAGTCCAGATCTCCCACCGGAGTGAGGGGACCAGCCACCTCTCAGATTCTGTATTCACAGGAGACCTGGGATCAGGAGCCAGAGCTGAGAATTACACCCAAAGCACTTTGAGGAGGGACTTGGGTTTCTTAACCAATGTTTTCATAGCCAAGCTAAACATCTGCCCCTGTGTGGGCTCTAATTAGAACAGCTCTGGAAGTTGATGGCTTGAAAGCCAGCAGGGGGCTGGGGCTGGGGCTGTGTGCCATATGCTCTGGCCCTTGGCAGCTCTTGCCTCTGGAACTTAACCAGCCCAGAAGTGGAGTGCCAGTTTGCACGCTTTGTAAAGTCACGTCTGCCTCTCTTCCTTTCAGTACCTAGGTTCCTGGGCCACAGAAAAGGTTAAAGGAAGAGTCATCGAAATTCTCTTTAGTTGGACAGTCTGGTTTCCAGAAGATATCAAGATCCGAGATGCTTATCAGATGCTCAAGAAACAAGGTCTGACTCTGGTGTTTGTTATGTTTCCTTTAGACTCTGTGTCCTTTCTTCTTGCTTTTTTATATGCCTTGCAATGTTTTGTCGAAAGCTAGACATTGTGCTTGGAACTGTGACTAAGGGAGGGAGTCTTTGTTTCTGTGAGCAGACTTCCTTTGGGCAGGCAAGGGGTAAGCTGAGTTGGAGATTTTGGTTGCCTTAGCTGCCTTCGTTATTAGCAGATCCCAGATTCCTGTGGCTTAGCATGTGTTTCGGTTGGGCCTGATTTCCTGCTCTGCTTTTGGCTGTTAGTATTCCTCTGTTGTGCTCCTGGAAAGGGGATCTTTCTTCTTGCTTCTGCCTCTCTACACTAGACAGCTCCGGCGGGGTGGGCCTCTGTTGTAGTTGTAGGTCTTAGCTGGATGTATTTATGATCCTGTTCCACCCCAGGGAGGCCTGTGCTGGGGGCGTAGTGCCTGCCCCACCCCAGGGTGTTCTTTCTCAGCTACAGTGGGTTTCCCCCAGTGCTGTAAACGCTACAGGATCTGGAGCCCCTCCCCAGCAGGTGAACGCTTTTGTTCCTTGTAGAAGGAGTGAGAGAGGGAAGGAGGGATTTAGCTGGGCTTCAGGCCTTTTCTGTTCTCGGTGAGTCCCTGGCAAGGCCCATGGGGAAAAGAGCTTAGTTCTTTATATTGCGTCCCTCTGAGATTCTGTGTATTCTCCGAGGCTCACACCGGGCTGTCAGCTGTTCGTAGACAGTCTGGGCTGAGTTATTCCTAGAAGTGTTGGTGCTTGCCTCTCCTTGGTGGCGCTTTTCCTTAGATTTCAGAGTTGTTTGTTCTTCCTCAGTCTCGGCTCTCCGATGGGCTCAAGGGGGTTGTAGGTTCGCAGGTGGTCTGGCCTTGGGCCCCTGTCACCTGGCTTTGTGCATCCTGTGAAGGAGCTGGGAGTATGCGTTTCTTTTACATTCTGCTTTTCAGAAGCAAAACTCAGCTTCAGGGTGGGCTGTTTTCTTCTGCCGCTTGCAGTCAACAGCGGACACCTGATTAGAGATCCCGTGCTCTTTCCCGGGGCCTGGGTGGTTGTGCAGCTGCACACACTATCAGTGCCTATGAGGCCCATGGGGCACAGGCCGTGAGTCTCTGGCTCTGTTCTCACAGGTTTGGCTCTGATGCCCCTGACTTCATGATGGTTTCTCGGATTCTCTTGAGACAGAATGCTGAGCTTTAGTTACACCATGGGCCTTCTGCCGACGCTACAGTGTTTTCCTAACTGAACTTGCCCTGTGTCCTGCTGGAGACTTTAGATACTCGTGTCAATAGCCTAATTTTGTGAATTGCATGTTTTAGGGATCATCAAGCAGGATCCTAAACTGCCGGTGGATAAAATCTTACCCCCACCTTCTCCTTGGCCCAAGAGCTCCATCTTCGATGATGATGAGGAGAAATCAAAGGTAAGGACTCCACGCTGAAGGCAGCGGCTGCATGGAGTGGGATCAGAGACCCCTTCTCTTAGGGACTGTCCTGAGAAAGCCCCGTGATCCTGGCCTGAAGTGTTGGGCATGTGTGGGGAGGTGGGCTGGTGGGTTTTCCACATATGGTCTGCGTGGACTGGCTTGCTGGCATGTTCCTCTTCCTTGTCTGGGCAAGGGTTTTCCTGGAGAGATGCTCCCCAGGATGAGCTGGTGGGAGAGTGGCTCAGCGGCCCTGGTCAGGTGCCATGTGGCTGGCACTGGGCTGGGGAATGCAGGAGAGCAAGGGACTGCTGGTATGTTGGTTCAGCTCTCCCCCCCTGCCCCCTTCATTTGGTGGGCAGAGTTAACACACAGAATCTTTTTTAAAAATTTTTTAAGATTTATTTATTTTTAATGGAAAGCCAGATATACATAGAGGAGAAGAGAGAGAGAGAGGAAGGTCCTCCGTGTGATGATCCACTCCCCAAGCGACTGCAACGGCTGATGCTGTGCCGATCCGAAGTCAGGAGCCAGGAACCTCCTCCAGATCTCCCACGCCGGAGCAGGGTCCCAAGGCTCTGGGCCATCCTCCACTGCTTTCCCAGGCCACAAGCAGGGAGCTGGATGGGAAGTGGAGCTGCTGGAATTAGAACCGGCACCCATGTGGGATTCCGGCACGCTCAGGGCAAGGTCCCCAACCACTAGACCACGCCGCCGCACCCTATACACAGAATCTTCCATCCACTGGTTTACTCCCCAAATGACTGCACTGGTTGGGGTACATAGTTCGAAGCCAGGAGCCAGAAGCTTCTTCTAGTTCCCCAGGTCCCTCAGCTAAAACTTTCCTCCAGCTCTTCCAGATGTCCCCCAGGGGATATGATCTTGCCAACTCTTCTCACTGCCCCCTCCCTAATGAGCACCAGTCACCCGTGTTGTGGCATCACTGTGACGGTCTGTAAGCTGATGGTGGGAGAAGCGTGGGCTGCTGCTCTGGGCGATGTCTGTGTGCATGACGCCACTGCTCAGACCAGAGGCCCCACCTGCTTTTTCTGTGTTCTCTCCTCAGCTCCTGACCAGGCTGCTCAAGAGCAGCCACCCCGAGGACCTGCAGGCGGCCAACCGGCTCATCAAGAACTTGGTCAAAGAGGTGGGCATCCTCCCCTCAAATCTAGAGGACCTGCACGTGACAAGGACTGAGGGGCAGCGCGTGTGGCTGAGCATGTGGCTGAGCAGTTGGCTGGGAGCAGAGCTCGGGTCTGGGGCTGCCTGCAGGCCACCTAAGGGCACAGCTTCCTACACAATCACGCTCCTGTGCCTCCCAGCCACTCGCCGTGGTGCCTGGGCACCTTCTGACTGGGGCACTTTTGTCCACTGTGTGAGCACCCCCCTCACCCAAGTCTCCAGACTTCCGTGTGCCCACCCGCCCCCCACTTCCTTCTTCAGGCTCTGCCCAGGGCTTTTGCTCCCTCACATTCTCTTCCTTCCACCCCCTCCCAAAAGGAGCAGGAGAAATCGGAGAAGGTGTCCCGGAGAGTGAGTGCGGTGGAGGAAGTGCGAAGCCACGTGAAGGTGCTGCAGGAGATGCTGAGCGTGTACCGCAGGCCGGGGCAGGCACCCCCGGACCAGGAGGCCCTGCAGGTAGTGCCCCGCGGACTTCAGAGCCCGAGCAGGCCTGTCTCCACTTGCTCACAGCTGGGAAGCTCTTGGTGCTATCGAGAATGCAAACCAGGCTGTCGTGTGCCATAACTTCCTGTCATCCTGTCATCCTGCCTCCGCTCCTCTGCTCCCCAACCCCCCGCCAGCAGATACTGTTTTGCTTTCTTTTTCAGTAACTCCTACAGACAGGGATTGTACCCCGTCTGTATATGTGTCTCCAACCTTGAGCTCTGTCTGGCTTCTTTTTTTTTGTGGTAAGATCTGCTCACTTCTTTTACTGTGGCGTATGATTTGCTGTGACCATGTGTGTATGTCTGCTCACCTGCTGGTGAACGCCTGGCTTGTTCGCAGCCTCGGGAGAGTTGACAGTAGGATGCTCTATAAACAGTATGTGCAGAATCTTCAGGTCTCAGTAAATGCTGGTGGCTGTGGCATGTCATATGCTAAACGTAGGGTTAAGCTTTTTAGATGGCCAAGCTATTTTCCAGAGTGGTGGTACATTTTACATTCCTAAGAGCAACATGTAACAATTCTAGTTTTTCCACGTCACATAAATGTTGTTTTTGTTTTTAATATTGGATATCTTTGAAAGGTAGAGTTATAGAGAGATTGATCTTCCATCTGCTGGCTTGCTCCCCACATGGCTGCAATGATTGAAGCTGGTGAGTCTGGAGCCAGGATCTCATGTGAGGGTGGAAGCCCAAGCACTTAGGCACTCCTGCCTCCCCAGGCACGTCAGCAGGGAGCTGGATTGGAAGTGGAGCAGCCAGACTCAAACTGGTACTCTTTTCGTGTACTATGCTGCAGTGGCAGCTTTACTCGCTATGCCACGGCACCAACCTGAGGGTATTTTATTTTAATGTAACACCCTTTTGGAGATTTTCATACAACAGCCGTCATCACTGTCTAACTTGAGAACATTTTCATCACCCCCAACATAAATCCTAGAAATCCACCTGCCCTTATCTTCTTACCTGACCCGCCTGCTGGGTATGGACTTAGCTGTTGGACACTTCGTGAAAATGGACTCTGGTGTTTCATGTCTGGCTTCCATCACTCAGCTTCCTGTGTTCAAGAACCATTCCTGTTTGTAGACCTGTTGGGGCTCCCCTTCCTTCTCATGGCGCAGTCACACTCTGTTGAACAACTGCACCTCATCGTGTTGGTACATTCATCAGCTGAAGGGTGTTTGGCTTGTTCTGGTTGTTCCGCTGCTAGGACTAATTCAGGTTTCTCCGTAAACGTTAAGTCTTAAGTTCCCATGGGTGTCTGCCCAGGGGCGGAATTGCTGGATCATGGGCTAAGTCTATATTTACCAGACTGCCTTATGATCTGTCCCCACCCCCCAGCAGTTCGGGGGGGGGGGGTCCCAGGCTCCATGTGCTGCCAACACTTGTTCCTGTCCGTCTTTGGTGACAAGCCACCCTGGCTCGTGTGCAGTGGTGTCACAGTCCCATTCTGTCCTTCCCCTGGCCATGTTGAGCCTACTGAGCATTCTTTTGTGCACTTACTGGCCACCTGTCTATGGGAGAAACGCCGGTCTTGTTGTGGTACTAGTGAATTTCCTCCCTTCCCGTGGGCCGTTGGCACTGTCTGGCACTGTCTCAGTAGTATCGTTTGAAGTGCAGAAATGTTGAATTTCAGTGCAGTTCAGTGCAGTTCTTCTGTTGCTGGTGCCTTTGTGTACTTGCGAAGCCCGGTCTGGGTCGTTCTGTCCAGGGAGGCTGTGATGCTGCCCTGCCTGCCCAGCCAACCTGGCTCTCTTGCCCTGCATGCAAGCTGCTCTCTGCCTCCCCCTGCAGGCTGGCGTCAGCCTTCTCCATGCTGCAGCCTGTGCTGTTTGGGTGTGGGAGATCCCACAGAGCTCCATCCCACAGACCAATGGAATTCCAGATTCCAGTCTGTCTGGCAGCATGTCTCCAGCGTGTGCTGGCTGGCCCAGGCAGCTGGGACAGGGACAGGGCTGGGGGAGATTCTCGCTGAACTTACCCTCTGTGGGCAGGTGGAGGGGACAGTACTTGGGGGCAGAAAGATTGGACCCGGTGGATATTGCCGAGTCCACTCCCTCCTGTGGTGAGACGGCAGCAGGTGCCTCAGGAGGGCATTGGCGTGCTGAGCACTGTGCCAGCCCAGCTCCCTTGCCCACAGAGAGGACAGTGAGCAGGAGAGAGAGGCCGCCTTGAAGGAGAGGACGCGCAGCTGGGCTGGCTTCAGGGAAGACAGTGTGGGGTGTGCAGAACAGTGTCATCTCCCTGGCAGTGATGAGGATGGAATGACCTGGGGCGCACTCTCCCTGGGATGAGGAAGGTGGCACAGGCTGGGTGTGGCTGAGGGAGAACCTGAGGTGGGCATCACAGGAGTGTTGGGCCCAAGAGATGCTGGCATGGGTAGATCAGGGAGTGTGGGTGTTGGTGGCGAGAGTGGACACTGTCGTGTTGCTGCAGCAAGGGGCAGGGCGGGGAGCCGAGCGGTGGATTCAGAGACGGTGGGCTCTTTGCTGAGCTCAAGTCTTGTATCGTGTTTCTTACCTGCTTTACTTTTCCAAACTCGGAATGCTTGCAGCCCAGATTTTTCCTGAAACTCCCCATCACCTGTCTGCAGGACAGACCAGGGAGCCCTCCTGCCCCCGCTTCCCAGCCCTAGGCCTGCTGTAGTTTGACTGCATTGCGGGGTCCGGGTGCATTGTGAGTCAAGTTTCCCCTGCCCCACTGCAGGTGGTGTATGAAAGGTGTGAGAAGCTGCGGCCCACGCTGTTCCGGCTGGCGAGCGACACCACGGATGACGATGACGCACTCGGTGAGTTTTCTTCCCCAGGTGTGACACGGGTATGGTCCTTGTGGGCCAGGGACGGGACAGAGGGGCTTCCGGGTGGTGAGTGGGCATGGGAAAGGCAGGCCTGCCTGACTCAGAAGAGCCGTCCAGCAAGATGTAGGCTGCAGCAAGCAAAGCCTAGAGAGACATCCCCCAAGCCCCAGCAAGACAGCCAGGCGTGTGGGCGCCCAAGGTTTCTCCAGCATGTGAGAGACCCAGAAGAGCCAGACTGCAGGGGAACTCAGGGGAGCTTGGGGCGGACACTAGGGAGTTGTCCCTCTTCTCCAGTCTCTGCACTTTGGCCCCTGGCCTGCCTGTTTCTCTCCTTGTACCACCACACAAATTCCAAACGTCCTGAAGCAGTCAGGTATTAGTGTGTAGATTGTCCTGATCATTTCTCTAATCATGTGTCCAAATTAGACTGGGACATACTATGGCATCATTTGTTGGTATTTCTGTAGTCTTTTTTTTTTTTTTAAGACAGACAGACAGACACACACACAGGGAGAGAGAAAGAGACTATCTTCCATTCCCTGATTTACTGTTCTGACAACTGCGGTGGCCAGGCTGGGTCAGGTCAAAGCCAGGAGCATCCTCTGGATGAAGGGGTCCAAGCATCTGGGCCGTCCTCCAGTGCTTTTGCAGGAGCATTAGCAGGGAGTTATATTGGAGCTGGAACAGCCAGGACTCGAACGAGTGCTCATATGGGATGCCAGCACGGCAGGTGGAGGTTTAACTTGCTACAACACAGTGCCAACCAGATCTTTATTTTCTCGCGTTCATGCATACGTATCGTTGGTCTGAGTTGTCATGTTTCCTTGGTTTCAGTTTTGCTGACTGCATCCACCGTGGTAGTGATTAATGCCTCTTGCTCCCACTTTTGGTGATTGCCAATTAGATCAGGGGCTTGATCAGGTGCAGGAGCAAGAAGAATTCAGGAGGCCCCTGGCATCTGGTTGTCTGTGGATGGAATTACAATCAAAACCCCTCAGTTCCTTAGGGGCTGCGGTGAGGTCAAGGACAGCCAAGTGGAACTCGGTAAACACCTCGTGCATGCCACAGAAACACTTGGCCCCGTGAGAACCAAACGACAGAAGGTGCTCACTCTTGAGGTCCTCTCCCAGCACGGTGCCCGAGGGAGTCGCACACACCCAGCCCCGGCCCTGCCACCCTCCACTTTCCTCTAGGAGAGGTTCATTTGCAAGTAACCCAGACCCTAGGACACTCACATGCGTTTTCAAAATTTAGTACTTTTTTTTTTTTTTTTACATTTCAGTTTGAATGTCAAATTTTCATTGAAAATATTGATCTACGTTTAAAACTTTAGGAGACTCAGAAATTAAAAGCAGATTTGCATGCCAACTGATTCCTAAATACTCCTAAATAAATTTTCAGTGACTAAATCAAGTACTAAGAAGTTACTTTTTCCAAATTTGATTTTTTAGGCAAATAGAGACAGACAGCCCCAGCCACATGTTTGTTCCCTATAAATTGCTTCAACGGCTGAGAATGAGTCTGGCTGAAGCTAGGAGGTCAGAATTCTACCCACAGCACCCATGAGGCTGCCCAGGGACCTGATTTCCTGAGCATCACTGCTGGCTTTGGGGGCCAGCATTAGTAGGGAGCTGGAGCTGGATGTCCACCTGGGTGATCCTTAACTGACACGGCTAAATGCCTGAGTTAGGAGTCTTTCGATTGTTTGCGCCCAGGTTGACGAAACAGCTCTAAATTTCAATTTTAGATTAATCCCCGGCAATTAGAATTCCTGTATCCCAGAGTGCTTGGGTTCAGTTCTGGATTCTGATCCACAGTTTCAGCTTCTCACCGTTGTAGACACTGGCAGCAGCATGTGGTAACTCAGGTGGCTGAGTCCCGGCCATGTGGGAAACCTGGACTGAGTTCCTGGCTCCTGGCTCCGGCCCAGGCCTTTGGAGTGGTTTACATATTTTAAAGTCTCATTGAAAGAACCACATCTCAAGCATGTCATGTTGAATAATATTAAATGTACCTGTGGAAAAAATGTTTCCTCCTCCCTTGGGAACTAAGGATGTCAGTGTTTGTGAGATGCGGTCTGGAAGAGGCAAACGCACCTGGGAAGACAGTGAATGATAGGCCACCTGGGTGGAATTCCTGGCTCCTGGCTTTGGCCTGGCCTAGCCATTGTGACCATGATGGAAAATATTTTCTCTCTCACTCATTCTACCTCTTAAATAAGTGGGATTCTGATTGATTTCCTCAGCGGAGATCCTGCAGGCAAATGATCTGCTCACACAGGGAGTCCTCCTCTACAAGCAGGTGATGGAAGGCCGTGTCACCTTTGGGAACACAGTGTCCAGCTCACTGGGGGACATACCTGTCTCCAGAGGTAGGTGCTCCGAGCCGCATCCTGCTTCTACCTTGGGGCAGCCTGCAAGTCGCACAGGAGGAAAGGCCCCCCCAGAAGTGGAGAGGGTGCAGAAATGAGCTTGCCTTCCATCCTCCCCTGTGAGGACAGCTGTGCAGGTGTCCTTGTACACTGCCTCCAGGCTGGACCCCAGCTCCAACCACACACAGAAGCTATGACTGTGTTGTGTCTGGCCCTGGTTCTCCCAGGTACATCCTGTGGTGCCAGACAAGAGCAGCAGTCTTTAGCATTGGCTCATGGCGGCCTGGCAAGCCCTGTCACTTGGTCCGTTGAGCCCTTGGGTCCATGGCCTGGATCTCTTCAAACAAGTCTCATGGGGGTAGGAGGAGGGGAAAGACAGCTGGGCCTGCCATGTTGTGGCTGTTAGCCTGGGAGGCAGCCATGCTCAGAAACCTCGGAGCTGGCAGAGATGCCCATACTGCTCCTTCCAGGGGTGATGGGTTTTGGCAGGGGGTGAGGAGGGGAGGTTCTCTGAGCACTAATTGGGCAGGAAGTTCTGTGGCTGCTTCAGTATCCAGATGCCTGTTGAGTCTGGGACAGGGCACACGGCAAAGGAGGATGCCTGAGGGAAGTTAACGGGGTATCTGGGGAGACTTGGCTCTCACCTGATGGCCTGCCCTAACCCTGCCTCTTGTAGTCTTCCAGAACCCAACTGGCTGCATGAAGAACTGCCCCCTGATTGACCTGGAGGTGGACAGTGTGACTGAGCAGGCTGAAACTGTGGGGCCATCTTTGCTTCATCAGGACCTGGAGGCCTTAGGTGCGGGGAGTGCTGGCGGGGGCAGGCACGATGTGGGCTGGGTCAGGAGAGGGCAGGGAGCAATGCGTGCTCAGTGTGCCTGGCTGCTCAGGTGTGCACATTCATTCCAGAGCTGAGAGAGGTCTTGGCACGGGACCTTTGGTAGGCCTCTGGCTGGTCTAGTCTTTCTAAATGTCTTAGAAACAATGGGCATGGCCTTGATCTCCATGTTGAAGCAGGTCAAGTTACAGCTGTGCATCCCTGTTGCTTTCTTACAGGGATTGGTGACCCCCCTGTTGGAAGCAAGGTAAGAAGAGGGAGGAGTGGGGAGCAGAGGGAAGGGTCCTTCAGACCTGCTTTCCTGGGCAGCACCATCTAGGGGTGGAGGGTCACTGTACTGGGTCTGTGCTTGCTGGGGGGTAGGGGAGAGTGTGGGGGTGGGAGAGGGTGCAGAGCTTTCCTCACCATCCTGTGTGACTTGAACACCCCAAGGGGTTCACATCTTACTTGTTTCGGGCCCCCACTCGCACAGGGCCTTGGAGCCCTGTACTCTTGCCCTCTTCCCCCCTGCTCCAGGACACGTGTTGAGCCTTAGCCTAGTTGGTTGTCACCCATCCCCTGGCCTACTCAGCCATTCCTGGTTTGACAGGTCCCTGGCCAGCACACCGCTAAAGAAAAGCAGAATCCCACTGGTGGTGGTGCTCAGAACCCTTCTACGGACAGGAACCTGCTGGATCTGCTCTCGGCCCAGCCGTCTCCAGGCCCGCTGTGAGTGGAAGAAGCTGCCCACTGCTGCTGCTCCTCAAGCGAGGGCCAGGGAATGGCTCTCTTAAGTCGGCCCACTGTTGAGTTGGCTGCCTCTTCTCCTCCTCCCCTTTTATCCTGGGTTACTGGAACACATCAGCTTTGGCCTGGGGAATGGCTGTGTTTAAGGATGGGCAGTAGTCGGTGAGGATGTTGTCACGTGACGTTAGGCAGATTCATTCACAAAGCTTCAGTATCACTGCCTAAACACAGTGTGGGCACTCCTCTTTCCCATTTGGTGTTGTGGTCTCACACAGGGCTCATAATTTGCAGCGTGTTGCAGGCTAACTTATTTTGCAAAATGTTATGTCTCAGAGTTCCCTTGTGGGTTTCTAGACATGTGCCTTGCTGTTTTAATAAGCACATTATGAGTCGTTGTGGGGACATGTTTGAGCATAATCTGCTTGGCGATGTCCACAGTTGCCAGGGCGAGGTACCCAACAGTGTCTTTACAGTGCGTACCCAAAGGTCCCTGTGCACTCATAATGACCATTAGGGGTATTCTTGGCTTCCGGAGGAGCCCCAGTAGTTCACTGTGCACCCAGAAGCCTGAGGGTGCCACTGTCCCTAACCATGACCCCAGAGCTGTGCCAGGAGCTCATACCTATCAGCTGCCTGTTGGTGGTTTTGTGACCATGCCAGTCATCATTCTGACTTGGATGGGTTACTCCCCAGAGTTCCGTAGAAGGTTTTCAGTTTGTGTTCCCAGTGGGCATAGTCATGCAGTTTAGCATGCCATTAATCTGTGTGTCCCCATTGGGGACGGCATTTGAGAAACGACCTGAGCCAGCCACTAGTCCTCGGGGATTTCCAGACAGCTACTGCTGAGTCACCCTCCCCCCAGTAGCTCTAGGCTGTTGCTTCTTTGTATGTGCATTCTCATTTGCAGTCCCCTGAGGTAGACTGTTGTGTTGTCACTTAATAGATGAGGAAACTGGGGCTAGATGAGATTCCTTGTCTGAAGTCCTACGTGTGTGTTTCCTTCCCAATCTTGTCCTGAAAGCCTAATTAGATTCCTGCATTTCTCTAAAGTTCTTGCTAGTCTTCATGTGTGTGTGTGTGTGTGTGTGTAAATATATATATATATATATATATGTAATTTTTTAATCTTTCCAGGAATTATGTTCCACAAAAAACTATTCCCAAAGAAGTTCCACCCGGCACTAAGTCTTCGCCAGGTTGGTCCTGGGAGGCCGGCCCATTGGCTTCTTCCCCAGCCTCGCAGAATACACCTCTGGCTCAGGTGTTTGTCCCGCTGGAGTCAGTCAAGCCCAGTAAGTGATGTTTGCTGTCGCCTTATCTGTTAGACTGCCATTCCTTCCCCTCCATGTGGGTGGAGTGGCCTTTCAATTTGGAAACATGAGTGGTGGAACTTTTCCTTGGAGGTGAGGGTAAGAATTGGCTTCATGGGTGTTTTTGGTTGGGCTGTTTATTTGATAAGATTCATTTACTTACTTGAAAAGCAAAGTTAGAGAGGGGCCCAGCCTGGTAGCATAGTTGCTAAAGTCCTCGCCGTACATATACCAGGATCCTATATGGGAACTGGTTTGTATCCTGGCTGCTACACTTCCTTTCCAGCTCTCTGCTTCCATCTGTAGGTTCACTTCCCAAATGACTGGGAAAGCAGCAGAGGACAGCCCAAAGCCTTGGGACCCTGCCCCTCTGTGGGGGACCCAGAAGAGGCTCCTGGCTTTGGATTGGCACAGCTCCAGCCATTGCAGTCACTTGGGTAGTGAATCAGTGGACGAAAGATCTTTCTGTCTCTGCTTCTCTTTGTATCTGACTTCCCAATAAAAAAAATAATAAATCTTTAAAAAAGGAAAAAAAATACTAAAACATAAAAAGCATTTGGTACCTGTTTGATTCCAGGAGGGGACTTAACTCTATGCCACAATGCCAGCCCCCGAAGATATATTCTTATGTTGTATTCTTACATTTGCATCTGTCCTTGCTCCATTTATTTATTTATTTTTAATTTATTTTTAATATTGTTCACATGTCACATGCATGTCCACGTATGCCTCTGATTAGAGCAGGGAGAGTCAGGTATGGAGGAAGGTGGGTGGGACACACATTTCAGTCTTTTTCCTCCTGTGCACAGAGGAGGAAGGGGAGGGGGACGTGGTGACGCCCAAGAGACCCTCATGTGAAGAGTGTTCTGAGGGTGTTACTTGAGTGGTTTTGATAGCCCTGAAAATGTTGTCAGTTTCAATGCTCTAAGGTTGAGAAAATCTTTCCAAGGTCTGTTGGTTGACAAAGTGCACCTTGGTGCATCCACAGGCCTGGGAACAGGCTGCAAAGCTTGGCCAGGAAAATTGTCCAACCTATTCTGCGTTCCATCTTCTGGTGAGGCAGTCAGTATCCCTTGCTGGCCTAGATGAGCTTGCCATCATGTCCCCCGTATGTATCTGGACGTGCTGTCCATTGTACAGGCATCGGCAACTGAGGAGGCCCGGTCCCAATGCATACGCTCCAAGGTTGGACGACACCTTTTGTAATTTTCCCTGTGGCCAGCGTCCCTTGCCCTTCAGCTTTCTGTTAATGCTGATAACCCTACCCCTCTCGCTCCTCTTCTCATTTTGTGGTGTCACATATCCTGCCCACCCCTCCAGCTAATGTTAGAGTGGCTTAGCAACGTAATTTCTGGGTACATTTTTAATTTTACTCTTTCTGATTTCTTGTGTTTCCTTTGTTAACATTATTTTAACCATAATCACATCTCCCTCCAGAAAAGTCTTATTTTTAAAACTTGTAGAATGCTGCTTAGATGGTGGGGAGAAGAGAATCTGGAGTGTCATGGGAGGCTCCCAGAAGAACCGGGGTTGTTGCACCACGGAAGGGTTCAGGCCCAACACTGTTCTAAATGGAGCAGCAGCAGCATTCGCTTATAACACGCCCGTTCTCTTTTAGCCCTGACTGTCAGGGTGCTTGGCAGCAGTGTTAACCCATTTGGTTGGATCCCTGTCCGACAGGTAACCTGCCTCCTATTATCGTGTATGACCGGAATGGATTCAGAATTCTGCTCCACTTCTCACAGACGGGGGTCCCGGGCCACCCAGAGGTGCAGGTGTTGCTGTTGACCATGATGAGCACTGCCACCCAGCCTGTCTGGGACATCATGTTTCAGGTGGCTGTGCCAAAGGTGAGTGTACCTGCTCTCGCCTGCTCCTTCTGACTTTGCACTTGGTCATTATTGGGTACTGGGTCACTGGCCGGGGCCTTATCTTTGAGGTATAAGGGATGGAATCTTCGCTTATATTAACTTCATATGAAATGGGGAATTTACTGGCTCACTGGCTAGCATTATTGATTATGTGACGTCAGGTGCCAGTCGTTCCAGGTAGGTTATTGATGATTCCTTATCATCTGTCTCTTTCCATCTCTTCAATCAACTCTCCTCCTTGGGTCTATTCTCCTTCCTCAAAGCGGCTCCATGGTTATGTGGTCTTTCACTTTTTTATCTCAGAAAGAAATTCATTGGCATAGGATGTGTATATGTTATCCACAAATGGGCTTTAGTTGGCCTTTTTGATGTTTCTTGCATTTGTTGGACCAGTCACTTGTGTCTAAGACTAGAGGCACCTGGCCAGTCAGGATAACCTATCCACCCATTTTTAAGGGCAGCAGAGCCATAGCAGTCACAGAGGGAGGGGCTTTTCCAAAGGGAAAAGACAAAAGATATGCGTCTGTAATCCTCATGGTAATCTTAAGGTTTAGTATTTTTATAAACTCTAAAACACCCTATTTTATGAATTATCAACACAAGGCTTAGAAGTTGAACATTTTGTCCCAGGTTACAAAGCCAGTAAGAAGCAGTTAAAATCCAATCTGATATGCCCAGCTCCTTATGCTGCTTCTCAAATGCCAACTGTTGAACCCCATTTTTAGATTCATTCGCTGCATGGATGGAAAGCTTTTTGGGTACTTCCCTCAGTCACTGGAAGACATCTGGCTGGACTCCTGCTGGTGCCTTGGAGTACCACATTTCCCGAGAGCTCATGCCCTGTTGGGGGGTGGTGTGGGGATGAAGCCCATTTGTTCTCGCTCAGTGAATCTGTCGTCTGTTGGGAATGAGGTTTATGTTGGGTTTTCCCTCCCAATAGTCGATGAGAGTGAAGCTGCAGCCGGCATCCAGCTCCAAGCTGCCTGCGTTCAGTCCCTTGACACCTCCAGCTGTGATTTCTCAGATGCTGCTGCTCGACAATCCACACAAAGTATGTTCTGGCGTCTCTGGTGGCAGGGAAGTGTGTGTGGGAGGGTCACTTCCTGGCTGGAGAGGCTTTCTGAGGCCTCCATCCAGAGCGTGGTTGGTTCCAGTGGAGGGTGGTGGTAGAGCAGCCCTTGCCGGCATTTCTTGTCCTTGCAGCTTATTGGAAGCAGGTCTGTGATGGGTTTCCTTAGTGAGGTACTGAGGGAGGGCCACATGGATTCTCCCTGGCCAGGACTTCAGAGCCGCTCATCCCTCCATCTCGGCTAGACTCAGGGCTGTCTCACGGGGCGAGGCCTCTCTTTGTTAGCCAGTCTCTTGGAACGGCAGTTCATCTCAGGTCTTCAGAAGGGCAGAAGGGGCTCCTGGGGGTGCTGATCCACGATGTGTCCTGTTGGTTGGTTGAAGGCCTTGACTGGGTCAGGTATACCCAGTCACACACACGCACGCACACACTCACAGTGCTCCTTGGTGACTGCTGGGTGGGTGGAGGCCTTTTTCCTGGGCTCTGTGCTGCTGCCCACTAACATACTGCTCTTTGTTGTTGTTTCACATTCCAGGAACCCATCCGATTACGGTATAAGTTGACATTCAACCAAGGTGGACAGCCTTTCAGCGAAGTAGGAGAAGTAAAAGACTTCCCTGACCTGGCTGTCTTGGGTACAGCCTAAGTGCTCACAGGATGGACCCCTCAAGTCAAGCTTAGGCCAAGGTTACCTTTGCTCCTGAGTCTAGACAGGACTCGTCACAGTGATTTAGTGCAGAGTGCCAAGAGTTCTTTCCTGATGTCAGGCTCTGAATGCCAACTTCTGACTTAGTTCTACAGATACTGTGTGTGTGTGTATGTGTGTGTGTGTTGTGGGGGCCTGGGGGAGGGCAGAGCAGGGCTTGGGATGTGGGCAGTGTGGGAAATGCCGAAGCGTTTCTGACCATCATCTCTGCTGTAGTCATATCTGTGCATGTTCCTGGACACCGCTGTCCCTGCCTCAGCTGGGAGGCTTTATGAGCCAAAGTTTCTCTCCGTGTTATCGTCACCTTTTCATTCATCCACTGTGTGCCTTGTCAGCCTCCGAAAGTCTTGTTGCTCCCAGGCTGCTGTTCTCAGGGACCTTCCAAGGGACCTGGTTGGTCTCGGGGCAGAGAACAACCCCCCTCCCTGGGGCACTCTTTGCCAAGACAGACTTCGTCTCCACTTCCATCCACAGTTGCTGCTGCTTGTGTGTATTCGAAAAGATCTCCATGGCAGGCTTGCTGCACTGTGTCCGGGCGAGGGGCTGCCTGTGAGCCCAGAGGACCACGCCGGGTGGGCCAATCATGTCCTTTACCACTGTGCCTTAGAATCGCCTCTTGAGGGACACCCCTGGGGCGGAGGGGAGAGCAGCTCCTGGACCTGCCTCAGGTTTCCGTGGGATGGGCAGCCTTTCTGGGCCCTGCCGCAGGACCCTCCTCCCTGCTCCTACTTTTTGTCCGTAAGCATTTCTTCTGAGCTCTTTGTGCCGTCGTGTCAGTCAGTCATTATCAATCACAGCCAACAAGCTAGCCCGGGCTGTGGCCTTCCCAACCCAAGTTGGGGAACCATGATGCAGAGAGGTAAGGGAACCTAGCAAGGATCTAGGTGGCCACTGTATACACAGGAAGTCGCTGAATAAACATCGTGTAGCCAATCTGCTTTGTGGAGTGTTGAGTCACTAGGCTCCTCCATGCCACTTGGCACTTAGAGGGTGACAGATGTCTTCCACTGAAAGGGGAGGGCAACTGCATGAAGGATAAAGAGTCCCTTACCCACCTCAGTGACAAGAAGCCCTGACCATTGGAGGATGGGGGATGTCTTAGGTTTCATAGTCTGCAGGGGACACTGAGGCCTGTGATCACTTAGCACTCAGTGAACACCTACTGCTTGCTGAGAACTGGGATGTGCATGGTTCAGCAAGCCATGCTCAGCCTCATCAGTGGGAGACAGAACCCGAAGCTGGCTGAGACGACTGCATGTGGGGCTCTGACGTTGGAGTAACTGCCCTACCAGGGCATGGTTCTGCCTGTTGGGAGCTTTCCTTCACAAGATCTGGTACTTCTGTCTGTGGTCTAATGGCCTTGTGTTGTAGGCAGTCTGCCAGCACTCACTGGGTGGGTATGTGACACGGCATAACAGGTTAAGGTATGCTAGTTTTCCAGCAAATGTGAAAATTTGTTAAAACAGATACATGGTGGGATTATTTCTTTGTTTAGCAGAATTCACATAAGATTTAGTCTGAAGTCCTCCGCAGCTTTTCCAGGTTTTGTAGCTGTTAGGTGCAGTCTTTAATAGGTCTCCATCATTGTGTCGGTGTCTTCCTATAAAGAATGCCGTCACAGGCGGTGAGTGAGAATTACATGCTGAAGGACAGGCAGTTCAGGGTGCACATATGCACGTGTGCTCCAATGGTGTGTTTTCCAGGAGACAGACTCGCAGAGGGCAGGGAGAAAGGTGTCTCGAAAATGGCCCTGGTTTGTGTCACCAGTGCTGTCTAACGGAACGGCCAGGAGTCCCTCCTTTATTCCACAGAGCTAGTCACGGAGCAGCCGCCTTGAGCTCCTGCATTGTCCCGTCGGCTGGGACGCCAAGGTTTACTCCTCCCCCGATCTCTGCTGGGACCCTGGGCTGCCTCTGTGTCTGTTCCCATCCTCTGTCCCTCGGATGTGGTGGGCACTCGAAGGTCTGCCAGTGAAGCCTGGTGCCCGACAGTTGGCTCAGGCTTGAGACTCCTTGCTGCCATCCCATCCATGTTTCAGACTGAGTGGGTACCTGGATTGGGAGGTGCCACGGTTGCTTCCCGTTCTGAATTCTGAGTCTAGAACATGTCCTTTGACCCTCTGCTGCTACATGCTGTGTTCTCCTGCAAGCATCTGAGACTGCGTGGATCCTTGTTTCCTGCATTGTCTACATTGCTAAGGAGCTTGGTCCTTGTGTGCTCTGTCTCCTGCAGCCCACTACAGCCTGCCTTCCCTCATGTTCTCATTGCCCTTGCCCTGGTTTGGGCTTTCATCCCCTTTTTGGATAGTGTAGAAGCCTGCCTTCCAATGCTGAGTCATTCTTGCTGCTACCAGAACTCTGGCAAATCTGAGCCTTGAACAAATGCAAATCATTTCCGCCGGCATTCAGTGCCCTCCTAGCACCTCTGCCAGGAGTAGAACACACTTCACCACAGCCACAATAAAGTCCTTCCAACTTTGGTAATGCTGTGGTTTCATTCATAACCTTCTCACTACATAGAGTTACATTCATGGAAGGATGAGGAATTAACACTGGGCTTAAAATGCTGCCTTTTCTCTTAGTCACCATTTGAAGATAAATGGAGATGATAAACATTGAAAACAGGATGAATGGAGACCAAAGAAGGTGGCCATTGCTGTGAAAGACAGCTAGTGTAGGCTGATGGGGAGGGGGCTCCGGCATCGTGCTGGATACGAGTGGTGCCTGGCTGCTCGACTTCAGCCGCACGGTCCAGCCAGTGTGCCTCCCTAGCCCCGTTGTAGTTGTGATCAACTAAGAGCTGGGTTTGTTTTTGTTGTTTAAGGAAATGGGACAGAATCCAGTGATTCTTACCATGGTTTTTATTTCTTTAAAAAGTGCAGCCTGATTGTTTTCACCAAGAAAGAGGTGGAGCCAACTGAAACTGGAAAGTGTACTCCAGTGACTTCAAGAAGTTCACCAGAGTAGGTTGTGAAAACTAGCCACAGATTGCACTTTTAACCACAAAAAACTATGTTTTCCATGAATTTATTGTTTTTAGCTTCTATTCTTACTGGAAAACAAAGATTTATAGAGAGGAGAAACAGATCTTCCACTGGTTCACTCCCCAAGTGGTAGAAGCTGAGCTGATCTCGGACCTCTTCTGGGTCTCCCATGCAGGTGCAGGGTTTCAAGGCTTTCGGCCATCCTCTACTGCTTTCCCAGGCCTTAAGCAGGGAGTTTAAAATGTATGGGAGATAGTAAAACGGTGTTTAGGAGACCTTTAGCTACCCCATACACAGAAAGTGAACTCGATACGTGTCATAGGTCGAAACTGTAAAAGCTAAAACTTAAAATTTTAGAAGAAAACCTGGAAGCAATTCTTCAAGATTCTGTCAGGCAAAGATTTCTCTGATACACCACCAAAAGCATAAAAATGGGATGATGAACTTCACAAAAATAAAAGTTTTCTACCTCAAAAGACATCATCAAGAAAATAGAGGCTTGAGTTTGGGAGAAAGTACTTAGAAACTATATATACACACACACACAGTCTTTTCCTTCTGCTGGTTCACTCCCCACATAGCCACAACAGCCAGAGCTAGGCCCATGTAAAGCCAGGAGCTGCTTCTATCAGCACTCCCACATGGACCATCTTCCACTGCTTTTCCATCCCACAAGCAGAGAGCTGGATTGGAAAGGGAACAGCTGGGGTTCAAACCAGCACCCATATCGGATGCTGGTGCTGCAGGTGGAGGTTTGCTCTGACACGCCACTGGTCCAGGCCACAAATAAAGAAAACCATGAGTCCGAGTACGCCTGGGGAGGGAATGGAAAGAGGGCAAAAACGATTTCCAATTACAAATGAAGAACGGGACGGTAGTGTGGCCAGAATACGGAAAGGCCACATCAGGAAGGCAGTAAAACGCGGTCTTCCATGGCCAGCATGCCTGTGTTCAACCCCTGAGAGTGCCACCTGCTAGCTACCTGCCTGAAACAGTTCGCCAACTGCCTCAGGTCTTACACAGCAGCCTTCAGGAGGACAGATCTCAGTGCGCTCATCTACACAGATTTTTATAGGAAGCATAAAGTTTAGTGCTCAGCAAATGTGAACACACGTGGGCTGGCCATACCTGCCCGGAGTTCGCAGTCTTGGACGTTTATACAGTGCTGGGCTGTATAAATTTATACAGGTGGACTACATCCCGGGAGCCGAGCAGTCGCCGTGGTAACGGCCAGCCACTTCCGGGAGAGGTACGGCGTGCGACGAGGCTCAATCCCCGCTGCCTGAGCGGCGTTCTGACTGACGGACGGACGCTTCGCCCAGGGGCTGGTCACCTATCCGGGCTGTGAGTTCCGGCTCGCCCGGTGTCCTCGCACGATCGCCTGCTGCTTTATCTTCTTTGACTTCCAGAGCCAGCCCTCCAGGCCTGAGCCCCCGTGAGGGGGTGGGGCTGAGGCCCGGGCGCTGCCATGGACTTCTCCAAGTTCCTGGCCGAGGACTTCGACGTGAAGGAGTGGATCAATGCGGCCTTCAAGGCGGGCCCCAAGGAGACGGCGGCGGCCGGGAAAGCGGACAGCCACGCGGCCACTCTGGTCATGAAGCTGCAGCTGTTCATCCAAGAGGTGAACCACGCCGTGGAGGGTGAGCCGCGCGGGGGGCTGGCCGGTGGCGCGGGCCGGGGTGGGCGTTTGGTGAGAATGCCTGAGGTGTCCCCATGCAAGTCCCAGCTGGGTGTCCGGCTGTCTTCGACACCTGCTCCTTGAGGGGTGCTGACTTTCTGCCTCTGGCAGTGCCAGAAAGTTTCCTTTTAAAACTCGAGGGCGTGACTCTTGAGAGCGACCAGAGCCGGCAGAGCCTTGTGTTCGACAACAACACACTGGAAATGTTGGGGCGAGAAGCTAAGGATACTTTGTTTAATGGATCTTACTGTCTGCTGAGGAAGATGCGCTGGCCTGAATGGAGTCGTTAAACACTTGGATTTGATGTTGTTTTGAAGATTTATTTATGTATTTGAAGGGCGGGATGGGGAGAGGGAGAGAATCTTTGATCTTCTAGTTCATTCTCCAAGTGCCCCCCATAAGTGACTACGTTGGACCAGGCGGATCCAGGGACCCATGCGTTTCCCATGTGGGGGCAGAGGCACGAGCCCTTGAGCTCTCCTGGCTGGTTTCCCAGATGCATTAGCAGGGAGCTTGGTTGGAAGTGGAGCAGCCAGTGCCTTGCAGGCGGCAGCTTTCCACGCTGTGCTGCAACCCCAAGTCCATTTGTGGTTTTAAAACGATAATTATGAAACACAACACAAAGCAGCAACTAGTTCGTGAAACTCTGCAACTTGTATGACTTGTACGGATGAGTTGATTCAGTACAGACTGTTCCCCAGTCTCCGCAGGGCTCTGCTGCAAAGTTGGGGCACACGCTGTTTCCATGGGAAGCAAGTGAACCAAACAAGTACAACTTGACTTTATCAGTTTTATCAGCATGCCTGTTATTGAAAAAAAGGGCTCTATGTCCCTGCATGCTTTCTTCTATTTTGCATCTATTGCCATCCTCCATGAGCATCTTCTATGTATGTATCAAGACATTTATACTGGGGAGTGGGCTTTCGATGCCGGGTTATCTTCTGGGACTCTTGATCCCGTATGTGAGTCCCTGGTTACTGTGCCCTTTGCCCATGGCCAGCTCCCTGCTGGCACACGCTGTGGGAGGCACATGATGGCCCAAGTGGTTGGGTCCTTGCCACTCAGATGTGAGACCCAGCTTAAGACCCTGGTTTTTCATTTTAGCCTGGGCTAGCCTCAAATTGAAGATATGGTTAGCCCAGCAGCTGGGAGATATTTATCTATCCTTCCTTTCAAATAAATGCATAATTTTTAAAAAGGAGATGGAAAGCTTAGAAAACTGAGAAAAACGGGTGCTGAGAATGAGAAGTTGGCTTCAACTTGCTGCCTATGGGGAAGATGAATGAACAGTTAAGTTATAATAAGAGAGGCTTGGGGTCAGTGCAGTAGCTTTTCATGTTAATCTTCCATCTGCAGTGCTGGCGTAACATGAGTGCTGATTCGTGTCCCAGCTGCTCCATTTCCCATCCAGCTCCCTGTTTATGACTTGGGAAAGCAGTGGGGGATAGCTCAAGTCCTAGCGCCCCTTGCACCTACATGGGAGACGCGGAAGAGACTTCTGACTCCTGGCTTCACATCAACTCATCTTTTGGCTCATGTGGCCATTTGGGGAGTGAACCAGAGGATGGGATCTGGATCAAAAGTGGAACAGCTGGGCCTGGTGTGATGGCTCAATGGCTAAGTCCTTGCCTCACACGTACTGGGACCTCATATAAGCACTGGTCTGTGTCCTGGCTGTTCCACTTCCCATCCAACTTCGTGCTGATGGCCTGGGAAAGCAGTGGAGGATGGCTCAAGTCCTCGGGGCCCTGCACCTGTGTGGGAGACCTGAAAGAAGCACTTGGCTCATGACTTTGGTTCAGTTCCAACTGTTCTGGCTGCTTGGGGAGTGAACCAGTGGATGGAAAATATTTCTCTCTGTCTCTCCTTCTCTCTGTAGATTTGATCTGCATTCCCAAAACATTTTTTTTAAAGAAAGTGGAATAGCCGGGGCTTGAACCTGTGCCTGTATGGAATGCTGGCATTGCAGGTAGCAGCTTAATGTGCTAGACCATAACACTGGCTCCAAGAGTGATTTTTGAGATTGGCATTGTTGTTATTACTACTTTATGGCTTCAGAAACAGACTGAGAGAAGTGGCAGATTGCTCATGAATATTAGAGCCTTGATTGAACTCAAGCAAAACTGTTTCCAGAGCTCAAGCTGCTACTAGTATTATTATTATTTTAAAGATTTATTTATTTTTATTGGAAAGGCAGATATACAGAGAGGAGGAGAGGCAGAGGGGAAGATCTTCTGTCGGATGGTTCACTCCCCATGCGGCCGCAACGGCCAAAGCTGAGCCAATCCGAAGATAGGAGCCAAGAGCTTCTTCCAGGTCTCCGACATGGCTGCAGAGCCCAAGGCTTTGGGCCATCCTCAACTGCTTTCCCAGGCCACACAGGGAGCTGGATGGGAAGTGGAGCTACTGGGATTAGTACCGGCACCCACATGGGATCCCGGCGCGGACTTTAACTGCTACGCTATGGTGTCGGACCCTATTATTATTATTATTAGTGGCAGAGAAAGACAGAAGTTTATATTGGTTCTGTCTGCTGGTTCGTGTCATATCCAGGTTTCCCACATGGATTGGGTTGCAGGGACCTAACTATTACCTCCCGGGTTGTGCATTCAGAGGAACTAGAGCTGGGCATTAAGCCCAGGCCTTCCAACGTTGCACAGGGAGTCTCAGCTAGGGTCTGAACTGCTGGGCTAAACACCTGCCTCAGACCCAAGATTTTTATTTTGCTTGTTTAATTTATTTACTTGGAACTCAGAGAGAAAGAGATCCCTTCATCTGGTGATTCACTCCCCAAATATCTGTGCAGGCCAGGGCTGGGTTGGGGCCAGCGCCAGGAGGAACCCCAGTCCCTCAGCTGTTTCGTCTTCCTTTGTAACTGTCTTCGGAAAGGTGGCTTAATGGCAAACAGCCGTCCACCATCAGGGATGCCACCATTTATGAAAGCGCCGCCTGAACAAACCGGCCAGCTGCTTCTTGCTGCATTACTGTGCAGGCTGTGGCATACACGGTGAAGTGGTGCATGGTGCGATTTTAAAAATTTGTACATTTGAAAGAGTTACAGAGGGGGAGGGGCAGAGAATCTTCCATTCCCTGGTTCACTCCCTAGATGGCTGCAACAACCAGGCCGGGGCCTGTCAAAGCCAGAAGTCTCATCCTGGTCTCTCACGTGTGTGGCAGGGGCACAAGGATCTGGGTGATTTGCAGCTGCTGCGTTTCCCAGGCCATACGCAGGGAGCTGGAAGTGGAGCAGCTGGGACTCGAACTGGTGCTCCTGTGAGGGAGCAGCCTGGTGAATCTCACTGGGCAGCCCAGGTGCCAGCAGCAGTGTCCAGAGATGCGGTAGTCATGAACAACTTGGGCCGCTCCCACATCCACTGGCTACCATGGCCTCCAGCTCATTGCTGGACCACCGCCCATGTACCCTCAGACTCTCTGAAAACGTGTGCAGCATCTCCATGCGGGTGGCGCTCACTCTGTCATCAGCTTCCACTGCGCCCCGGGGGGAGTGGCTGCTTACACCAAGGCTGGCCAGAAGGGGAGGGCTAAGTCAGCCCAGCCAGCATCAGTGGCGTGTGCAAGGCTTGGTGTTGCCTGTAGCGCAAATGTGTCTCTATTCTTGTCCTTGCTCCCCTACCCTCCCAAGAGTTCAGTTAGATTCAGGATGGCCCAGGGCCCAGAACCCAGAGGGAGGTCAGGGGCCCGGCGTGTGTGCTTGGTCACTGGAATGCCTTCCTGGCAGCTGAAGTTTGTAAGCAGGAGCATTGCGTGGGCTGTGTCACCCATTGCTGTCTCTGCCAGGTGGTTGGAAGGTCCCAAGGTGACTCACCCGTAAGAGTTTTCTTAGCTCAGTTTCATCCTCAGAGCAGCTGGAAACTGTTTTCCAAGGTCACCCATCAAAGAAACTTTTTTTCTTCACAACATTGGGTAGACCTGCAAAATAATACTTTCTCACTCCTCATCCTGTAAACAAGGAAACAGTCAAATCTGTTTCTAAAAAGTGTTGGAATGAGTAGAAAAACCAGCCTCGAAAAAGCTCACAGAGCCAGAGGATCTGGGCATGGGGCTGGAAGGCGCAGGACAGAAAGGCTCGTGGGACGCAGAGCTTGGAGCCAAATCCGTGTGACGCTTGGTCTCTGCGCCGTGCCAGGCGGGCTGGGGAGCCTCCGCCCGCTGCGCCTCAGGCCTCTCACCCCTGGGAGGAAGCTGGTGATGCTGGCATGGACATCGAATGAGACAAGGACCAGAAAGCCCCTGGCAGAGCTGGCCCCTCCCCGGCCTCGGCTTCCCGGGCCTGGTTTCCTGTCGGTCACCGGTGACTCTTCTGATTGTCACCCGTCGTGTTGTTCCGGTTTTGTTTGTTTGCGCTGTAGAAACAAGCCACCAGGCCCTGCAGAACATGCCCAAGGTGCTCTGTGACATAGAAGCCCTGAAACAGGAGGCGTCTTTTCTGAAAGAACAAATGATCCTCGTCAAGGAAGACATTCAAAAATTTGAACAGGATACGTCGCAATCCATGCAGGTATTTTGGCTTCTGTCTTGAACGTTAGATTCTTACTTTCAAAAAAAAAAAAAAAGTCTTACTCTCCTAAGGGATTTAGGACAGAATATCATGCATGGGAAACCCATCTTAAACCCGAAATGTTTTTGTGAATGTTCATTTTTATGTATTTTCATCTATTTGAAAAGCAGAGAGAGAATCTTCTGTCCTCTGGTTCAAAGCCCCCGAAGTTGGCAGCAGCCAGAGCTGGGCCAGGCTGAGGTCAGGAACCTGGACCTCCGTCTGGGTCTCCTGTACGTGCAGGGGGACCAAGCACTTGCGCCATCCTCTGCGGCCTCCCAGGATGCTGTGGCAGGAAGCCAGATCAGCAGCAGAGCGGTGGGGATATGAACTGGCACTCACCTATGGGTATATATGTGCCAAGCTGTGGTCCCAGTGTGCTGCAACATGATGCTTCTTTTTTTAAAGCCTTATTTATTTTTATTAGAAATTCAGATATACCAAGGGGAAGAGAGACAGAGAGGAAGATCTTCTAACCACTGATTCACTCCCCAAGTGGCTGCAATGGCTGGAGCTAAGCCGACCTGAAACCAGGAGCCAGGAGCTTCTTCCAGGTCTCCCATGCGGATGCAGGGTCCCAAGGCTTTGGGCCATCCTTTACTGCTTACCCAGTCCACAAGCAGGGAGCTGGATGGGAAGCGGGGGCACTGGGACATGAACTGGCGCCTGTATGGGATCCCGGCACATGCAAGGCAAGGACTGTAGCCACTAGGCTACTGCGCTGGGCCTGGTGCTTGCTTCTTATTTCAGAATCTTACCAGCATTCACACTCTTCGTCCCCCGCCTCGATCTTTTAGCTTATTGACCATTCAAGACCTGATCAATAAACAGAGTCTGGTGACTGGTGTTTTGGGGGATGCAGAAGCTCCATAAGAGAGGGGCATGCCGCGATGCTTGTTTTATGTCGCTGATGGAAGGATTTGCCCCACGGTACCTCCCCCCTCGTTTCTGTCCCAGGTGTTGGTGGAAATTGACCAGGTGAAGTCCAGAATGCAGTCGGCTGCCGAGTCTCTGCAGGAAGCGGACAAGTGGAGCACGCTGAGCGCGGACATTGAGGAGACCTTCAAGACTCAGGTGGGTTTCTCATCGACGGGAAGCTGGGGAATTCAGCTAGGTGGAGCCATTGGTGAGACCAGTGGGGAGAGCCAGCAGCTGCACACAGCAGCCCTCCCGCACGGGCTGGGGCCGACGGGACCGACTCTGGCTCCAGCTCTGAGCGCTCCTGGTCCCCTTTGGTTTGTTCCTGCTGCCTGACTGGGAGTGCTTTTAGAAGCCTCACTGAAAATGCCCAGCTAGTAACATGGGGCTCAACGAGAGTGTGAGCCACGGGTAGGAGGGGGCGACACACCCCCTGGGCCTGCAGAGGAGGCAGCAAATTTACATAGAGAGAGGTGTTCCATCCACTGGTTCACTCCCCAGATGGCCATAATGGCCAGAGCCAAGGCAATCCAAAGACAGCAGCCAGTAGCTTCCTCCAGATCCCCCGCACAGGTGCAGGGTCCCAAGGCTTTGGGCCATCCTCCATTGCCTTCCCAGGCCACAAGCAGGGAGCTGGATGGGAAGTGAAACAGCCCGGATTGGAACCGGTGACCATATGGGATCCTGGCAATTGTAAGGCAAGGATTCAGCCATTGAGCTATTGCACTGGGCCTGCTTGTTCTTTTTTTTTTTTTTTTAAACGACGTTTATCTTTTTTTAAATTATAAGTCCAATATATATGTGCCTTAAAAAATTTAGAAATTATTTAAAGAAGCAAACAAAATGATTGATGCTCCTGTGTCTTAGTAAAATACTTTTTGTATCTCTTAGGTATTTTTTTCCTGGATGTCCATGTTTGTGTTTATGAATATATTTTGTATGTATGTAAAGATTATAGGTGCATGTACATTGCATGAAGCAAAGTTGGAGCTCTAGTGCCTATTTTTATGGCATTGATTTTACTTAATAGTAAGTTATAAGAATTTTGTTATGTAATTCTCTTCAAAAGCATAACTCACCATTTTGACTTGTAATTCCCATTTGTTACAGAAAATTCTACTTGCTTCTGAATTTTTGTTATTATACCACTAAAATCACACTAATTTTAGTACCTCAGTAAGCCTATCTCTCTGATTATTTTCTTAGGCCAGGGTTCTAGCAAATACCAAGAAAAAGATGTGAATATTTTCAAGACTCTTGAACCTGTTAAGCAGTATAGGGATGATTTGAAAAGCTTGTGAAAATTAAAGATAAATGATTTTGGCACAAAATAGTTTTAAGTTCATTCATAAGAGAGGACCTCACACAGTTAACAGAAAGTTCGTATTATTGAAAAACGATGTAGGGATTTCAAAATTTTTTTTTTGCATTAAAATAGATTTATTTCATTTTCCCACAAGCCTTCTGAAGTTGCCTCGCACGCCTTTATGATACGTGTTTCCTTTCTTTCTTTCCCTGCTTTAATGTGCATGTATTTGGAGACTCATCCTATTGAGCACGGTGGCTTTATGGGCCACTTCCTTATTTTGTGAACTGCTTTTTCTTGTGTTCAAGAAGTTGCGTTTTCTTGAGAACTGCAAGTGGCAGAGGTCTTTTCATAAGACCTCCTCCTGTTCTGATCTTTTCCAAGGACGTGGCTGTGATTTCTGCCAAGCTCACGGGCATGCAGAGCAGCCTCGTGATGCTGGTCGACACCCCGGATTACTCCGAGAAGTGTGTGCACCTGGAGGCGCTGAAGAACCGGCTCGAGGCCCTGGCCAGCCCCCAGATCATCGCCGCATTCACCTCACAGTCCGTAGGTGAGCCTGGGCCCTTCCTCACCTCTGGGCCCACCTCCTCTTTCTGCGTCTTCGGGCTTCAGAGCGCCTTGAAACTGATGAACACATACGGGCTGGCAGGAGCACGTGTTCTGACGCACGTTTGCAGCGTTGTGTCAGACATCTCCAAACACACAGCGAAGTCGACCCCAGGATGATGAGCACACCGTCTAGGTTGGAGCATCAGCCTTTTGCCACATTTGGTTTAGCACGTCTGCCCATCCGTGCACCTGTGTGTCCATCCCACTGGTCCACTAGGAGCTGTTTGGTTATGCTCCAGCCCCTGGTCCCAGCTTCCGGCTTACTCGGGGAGGGCGGCAGGGGTGGTGGCCCACACTGTCGGGTCCGTGCCTCCCACAGGGAGACCTGGATTGAGTGGCCAGCTCCTGAAACGGCCCTGGCTACCGTGGGGGGAGTGAACTAATAGCTGGGAGATCTCTCTTTCTCTCTCAAATAAATGAAATAAACACAAACTTAAAAAAATATCCTTAGAATGTTTACCTAAGTGTTAAACAGTGTTTAACACCATGAAATAAGATCCTAGGCAGTTTTTCTTATTTCTTGTTTTTTGTTTTCTATTTTTTTTAACTATGAACATGCTACTTTTATTGATTTAAAAAAAATATGAACACTTTTGATGCTGACAGTGAGTTTAAAAACAACCATTACTTTAGCACATGTTTATGCGTACTTACTGTTTATTGTGCATTTCTGGAGACAGTGATAGAGACAGGAAAGGCCCCAGCTGTTGCTGAGTTGATGTTTCCGTGGGTGGGAAGGCAATAAGCTACTGTCCAGGTATCTCAATCAAGCAGAGATTACGATTCATTCTAACAAGAGATGATGCTCTACGGAGTGGCAGGGACAGACTGGTGTGGGCTGGCTGATTAGAAGCCAGGTCGTCATAGGCACCGGCGAGACGGCATAGCACGTTAAGCCGCCACCCGTGACACTGGCATCCCGTGTCAAAGGACCAGGGTGGGTTCCACTCCCGATCCACCCCCTGCTGATGTGCCCACGAGGCAGCAGGTGATGGCCCAAGTACCTGGGTCCCTGCCACCCACGTGGGAGACCTGGATGGAGTCCCTGGCTGCTGGCTGCAGCCTGGCCTAGCTTTGGCTGTGGCAGCCGTTTGGGGAGCTCATCAGCAGGTGAGACGCATTCTCTGTCTGTTGCTCTGCCTTTCAAATAAATAAGTACATGTTAAAAACAAATTGCAGGCACAGTAAGTACTTAGGCCCTGGGGCACTGAAGAGCTTGATGTGTCGTTGGCACCACCTGCCTGTTTGTCTACGCGTCTTTCAGTTCATGTGAATATGAGCAGGAGTCACGTGAAAGCACTGCCTTTATAGGTCAGCTGGGCGAACAGCGACATTTCCAGAGGGTTCCACCTGCATTCCGGCCCAGCGGTCCTGCCGCTGACCCGGGGCCACAGGCTCCTCCCCATCACATGAGGAGGAAAGATGAGCTGCTGTGGATACCTGCTACTGACAGTGGCCAGTTAGGACCTGGACCGGCACGGCCCGAGTGGACACCCCGGGCTCCTTCCTGCCCTCGGCCTGTCTGTGGGCAGCGTTACCATTCATATGTAGTGATTACCGAGCAGATGTGTCGTCCTACCTGCAGCAGCAATCACAGGATTTTCACAAGCCAGGGCTTAAATGTCTGCTTGTGGAGTCATGTGTCCTGCAGGTAACTTTACCTGTTTTTCAAATTTCTGATCTCCAAACATGGGCTAGTTTGTTAGCTAGGTAGGAGCTGCTGCTGCTACTTTGAAAGAGAGAGAGAGAGATAAAGAGGGAGAGATAAAGTGTTTCTATTCACTGGTTCACTACCAAGATGCCTGCAATGGTCAGAACCGTCCCCAGAGCTGAATCCAGGAGCGGGGAACTCAGTCCAATTCTTCCATGGGGGTGCTAGGAAGCCAGTTCCTTGAGCCATCCATCCCTGGAGCTCCCAGGGTGTGCCTTAACCAGAAAGCTGGACTCAGGAGCCCGGTCTGAGCATAGAACCCAGATTCTCTGTTGCGAGATGTAGGTATCTTAGCCAGCCTTCTTCCGTGGAGATTAAATGCTCTCCCCCAGGTAGCAGTAATCTTGGCCTACTAGCTAGCTCACCCTGGTAAATCTTTTCTCTGAGAACAACATAACGCATGTCTTCTGTTGTCCCTTAGACCAGTCCAAAGCGTTCGTGAAGATTTTTACGGAGATTGACCGGATGCCGCAGCTCCTTGCATACTACTACAAGTGTCACAAGGTGAGAGGCTCAGGAGGTGAGCGCGCAATGCAGAAATCCCCATCCAGTCTCTGCTTTCTTTCGGCATCCACCAGGGGGTGCTCTTGTCGCAGGCCTGGATTTATTTCCTTGCCTCAGTTTGCTGCCGTCTTTGGTGCTTAGCAGCTGAATCAGGTGCGGGTGTGAAAAGCTGTCTTAGTCTCATGTTTGTCCTTTAATCACGCCTGAAGCGTCCTCCTGCCCCAAGCAAGCTTCACGAATTACTTATGTTTTCTAGGGTTGTGGAAATTGGGTTACTGAAAAACAAACAAGATCTTCCTGGGTTAAGCTCAGTTCCTTCAAGTCTGATGCCTCTGGGTCTTTTCAGCAGTAAGGCTAGGACAGGAGGCCTCCTCGAACCCCCAAAGCCATGTCTGGGGTCTGTCCAGGAGAGGGGGAGAGGGGTGGCGTGCGTGGGGGGTGGGATGAAGCGGGAGCGAGAACGCTAAGTGGGAACAGGGCCCAGCTTCAGACGGTGACCGTGGGTCTTGTTAGGAAGTCACGGGACCTCCGTGGGTACCCGATTGCCAGGACGGCAGGCATCCTGTCTTGGTGTTCCCACTAAGGCCCTCGCTGTGCTGGCTCTGCAGGTGCAGCTCCTGACAGCCTGGCAGGAGCTATGCCAGAGCGACCTCCCCCTGGACCGGCAGCTCACGGGACTCTATGACGCCTTGCTGGGTGCCTGGCACACGCAAATCCAGTGGGCCACGCAGGTAAACAGCTCGCTTGGGTTCTGGAAAGAATAGAGCCTGTGTGGGGACCAGGAAGTGGGTCCTGTTCAGCCACAGAGCCCCGCCTTTGGCAGCCGGCCCCTGTTATCCCTTGCTTCCCCCCAGGTCTCCAAACTTGAGGAGTCCATTGCAGCCCCTCTTATCGCCTCCTATCTGTATCTTAAATGGAATCTAATGGGACGGTGTTGTTGCCTGTTGCTCTGCAAAGGGGCTGGTGGAATTCCTGAAGGCCGCTATCTTCCAATCTCCAAGCAGGAGGCCAGGCCAGGGTCAGGTGGTGTTGGGAGTGAATCAGATTGTTTTTTAATCTTCACGGAAAATTTACCTGGCTTGAAGTTAGCTTTCCTCATTCCCACGGGAGTTAGAGCAAGGGTATCGTTTGAAAGGCACCCATGACCGGGGCAGAGGAGACACGGAGGGGACCCTGGGCGGGTCTGGCGGAAACTTCCATCTCTGCCTTTGCCCAGGGCACCTGCAGCCAGGAGGACTCCGAGCCGCCAGGGGGCGCAGTCGCCCTCTGCTGGGGGAGTGGCCCGCTGCACCTGTTTATGGCCTGGCTTGGTCTTTTCCTCTTTTTTTTTTCACAACGGGCAGTGACTCATTCTTGGGATGTTCATCCCTCATTTATCAGAATGTCCTCTGTTGTCCCTGGAGAGAATTCCCAAGTTACAGGCCAGGTCATTCAAGCTGAATTGGAATATTTCCCTCGGTCCTGCCTTCTTTTCCTTGAAACTAACCTAATAGAGATTTGGGTTTTGGGTTTTTGTTTTTAAAACAACAACAAAAATTCTGTTGAAGTTTCACAGTTTTTGCATAATCATCAGGGTTTTTTTTTTCAGTGAACATGTCCCCATAAATTCATTTATTTATTTTTAAGTATTTTCTTGCCATCATGACCACCAGTGGTTTAAAAAGATTTTTTTTATTTGCTTATTTTTATTTGAAAGGCACAAAATAGACAGACAGAAGCATTCCACCCACTGATTCACTCACCAAATGTCCCCAGTTAACCAGGGCTGGCCCAGGCCTAAGCCAGGAGACAGGGATTCCATTTGGGTCTCCCACCTGGCTGCAGGGGCCCAGTGCCTGAGCCATTGCAGCTACATTCACAGGGATCTGGGTTAAAAGTGGGGTAACCATTAGCCATGGAACTGGAGCCCACGGAGGATCCCAGGCGTACCACAGCACTGGGTGCTCTAGTATTTTAATATAAAAATTTAGCATATATAGATAGGTTGAAAGAATTGTTTGGTGAATATTCTACTCACCCCCTGGGTACTACAAAGACCCTTTGCAGATTCATATTTTATTATATAATTTTGTCACCTCACCCTCCTTACTGCTTTTTATGATTTTTTTTTTCCCCTTGGGGCTGGCATTGTGGCATCAGGGAAGGCTGCTGCCTGTCATGCCAGCATCACATACAGGCATTCGTTTGAGTCCTGGCTGTTCTGCTTCTGATCCAGCTCCCTGCTAATGTGCCCAGGAAAGCTGTGGAGGGCCGTCCAGGTGCTTGGTCTCCTGTACCCATCCAAGAGACCGGATGAAGTTTCTGGTGCCTGGCTTCTGCCTGGTCCAGCCCGGCTGCTGTGGCCATTTTGGGAGAGTGAGCCAGGAGCTCTCTGACTCTCCTCTCTCTGGAGCTGTGCCTTTCAAACAAGTCAAAAAATAAAGAAAGGAATAAGTTGTTAACAAAAAGAGCAAAGGTCGTTCACAACAGGTTAATTTTTTTTTAAAGGTACGTAAGTATGTATTCATTTGAAAGCCTGAGTCACGGAGAGGGAGAGAGACCTTTTCATTCCTGGGTCTGGGCCAGGCCAAAGGCACGAACTCCTCCTGGTTGTGGCAGGGACCCAGACCCTGCAGCCATCATGCATTGTTCTTAGATGCATACAAGCAGGAACTGTGGATCAGAAGCAGAGCAGATGTGTTCCAGCTAGCACTGAGCTGTGGGGTGCCGGCATTGCAAGTGGTGGCTTACTGCATGGCTCTGCTGTGCTGGTCCCACCTCTGCTTGTTTACACCTTCTTTTTTCTATCTCTCTCTCATACACACTCACTCTCTTTTTTCTCTCTTTTCTAAAGATTTATTTATTTTTATTGCTAAGTCAGAAAGGAAGATCTTTCATCTATGTGTTGATTCACTCCCCAAGCAGCTGCAACAGCTGGAGCCGAGCTGATCCAAAGCCAGGAGCCAGACCCTCTTCCGGGTCTCCTACGCAGGAGAAGAGTCCCAAGGCTTATGGGCTGACCTCAACTGCTTTCCCAGGCCACAAGTAGGGAGCTGGATGGGAAGTGGGGCTGCCAGGATTAGAACTGGTGCCCATTAACAAAAAAAAAAAGAAAGAAAGAAAAATCACAGGTGCCCAAATGGGATCCTGGAGCATTCATGACGAGGACTTTAGCTGCTAGTCTACCACAGCAGGCCCTATACCTTTTCTTGTTGATGAATGCTTGATCTGTTTCTTGAGGTTCTCAAGAATGAAGCTGCTCTGGGATGGTGACGCTGTGAAGCCAGCATCCCATGAGGCTGCTGGTTCGAGTCCCAGCTGTTTCACTTTCCAGTCTGGCTTTCTTTTAATGGCCTGGAAAAGCAGCGGAAGATGGCTGCAGCGCTTGGGTCCCTGTGCCCACATGGGAGACCCGGATGAAGCTTCAGGCACTTGGATTCAGCCTGGCCCAGGTGCTGGCTGTTGCCGCCACCTGGAACGTGAACTAGCAGGTGAGAGATCTCTCTCTCTATATATATAAAACTCTGGCTTTCGAGGTAAATAAAATATTTTTTTGAAGATTTCTTTTTAAGAGAGGAAGAGAGAAAGCATTTCCATCTTCTAATTTACTCTCCAGATGGACACAGGGCTGGAGCTGGGCTGGCCAGAACCCGGGGGCCTTGAGCTTCTTCCAGGGCTCCGTGTTGTTCAGGGCCTCAAGTACTTGGGTCGTTTTTCTGTTTTCCCAGGCACATTTGCAGAGAGCTAGATTGTGAGTGGAGCAGCCGGGAATTGAACCGGGGTCCCTATGGGGTGCCAGCACTGCAGGCGGAGGTTTCTCAGGCTATGCTATGGTGCCTGATCTGATAGGTCTTAAAAACCAAACAACAAAACAGAAACAGAAGGAAGCTGCTTTGACGGCTGTCCCGTGAGGTTTTCGGTAGGCACGGGAACTCATGTCTCCTGGGGCTATAGCTAGGCGAGGACTCTGGGGTCACAGAGGAGTATATTTAGATTTGTGAGAGACCACCCAACCCCTCTGCACTCTGGCTGCACTTGTGTGTGAGTTCCCGTTGCCCCACATCCTCGCCCGCAGCACGTGTTGGCACTCGTTCTTTGACCGCGCTGGTGGGTGTGGAGTGCTGTGTGTTAACACTTCCCCGATGCCCGGGGCGCCGAGCCACTGCTTCATGCTAGTCGGCAATTTGCATGTCTTCCTTTGGAAAGTGTCTACTTCGTTCTTTTGACTTTATTTTTTTTTAAAAATGGAATCATTTCCCTCTTTTATTTTTGAGTTGTAGGAGTGTATGTGTGTGTGTGTGTTTCCAGACACCAGTTCTTTGTCACATAGATTTCAGAGCCGTTTTCTTCCAGTCCGTGGCTCAGGCAGAGGTCTGGATTTGGGTGTGACCTGGTGCAGCTGTTATTTCCCCAGGGCTGGCTAAAAAAAGTGGGGAGGATCGGGGGGGAAATGACAGAAGCAAAATGTTAATGATTGGTGAACTTTGACAATACTCACAAATTCAAAATGTGATTTTTTTCATATAGCATGAAAGTAAAGCATTCCGAAGTCAGTGGTGTAGCAAGTAAAGACGCTGCCTGCAATGCCTGCATCCCATACAGGCTCCAGTTCGTGTCCTAGCTGCTCCACTTCAAACCCAGCTCCCGGCAGAAGGTGGCCCAAACGCCTGGGCCGTTGCCACCCACTTAGCAGACCTGGAGGAAGTGACAGATGCAGTACATACTGGCTGAAAGTGGTTCCGCCAGTTGAGTGATTATTATTATTAATATTTCCAATAAATAAGATGTATTGATCTCATTTGAAAGGCAGAAGAGAGAGGGAGAGACAAAGTCCTTCCATTTAAATTTACTCCCCAAAGGGTCCTGACGGCCAGGACCGGGTCAGGAGCGTGGAACTCCGTCCAGGTCTCCCGCGTGGACGGCGGAGGCTCAGGGAACTTACAGCATCTGCGGCCTTCCAGTTAGTGAGGAGCTGGATGGGAAGCGGGACTGGGACTCAAACAGGTGCTCCCATGGCATGCTGGCGTCACAGACAGCTGCCTGACCTGTTCGACCACAACTCCAGCCTCCTGAGCCTCTGTCCCTGGGCTTATCAGCTGTCTGCATTGTTTTCTTTGAAGCCATGTCCAGTCAGGTGGCTCGCTGCTTTTAAAATCAGCTTGGTTGTTTTTATGTTGTTGAGGTGTGGAAGTTCTTCATTTATTCTAGATTTATTTATTTATTCCATTATTAGATACATTACTTGTAAATATATTCCCTTGTTTTATGGGCTGTCATCTCTAATTTATTTATTTATTCATTCATTTATATTGGAGTCAGATCTACAGAGAGGAAAGACAAAGATCTGCTGGTTCACTCTCCAAGTGGCCGCAATGGCCAGAGCTGAGCCGATCTGAAGCCAGGAGCCAGAAGCTTCTTGTAGGTCTCCCATGCAGGTGCAGGGTCCCAAAGCTTTGGGCCATCCTCGATTGCTTTCCCAGGCCACAAGCAGGGAGCTGGATGGGAAGTGGAGCAGCCGGGACATGAACTGGCTTCCATATGGGATCCTTGTGCATGCAAGGCGAGGGTTTAGCCACTAGGCTACCATGATGGGCTCCATCTCACTTTATTGAGAGAACGTTTGAAGCATAAACATTTCTAATGTTGATATAGTTCCATCTGTATGTGAAGTCTCTAGACATGAATACACGATGTCTTGGTTTTGATTTGTGTCTTTTAAAATTTCCTTCAGCAATGTTTTATAGTTTTTGGTATATGCATTATTCAGGTCTTCAGCTAAAGTTATTTCTAAGTGTTTTATTGGTTTTTGATGGAATTGTGAGTGGGATTGATTTCATAATTTCCTTTTCAGATTTTCCCTTGTCAGCATATAGAAATGCTGCTGATTTTTTGTGAGTTGATAGCATGCCCTGCAATATGGCCAGATGTGTATTTATTGATGCTAGCAGCATTTTGATAGATTCTATAGGGTTTTCCTATCAATCATGTCCCCTGAAAGCAGAAATAATCCCGTTTTCAGTCTGGGTATCTTTCGGTGTTTCTTCTTGTTGCCTAGTTGCTCTGGCTAGAACTCCCCTTCCTCCGGCCAACAGCGAGGCCGAAGCAGGCCTTCCCATGCGAAGGAAAACGCGTGGTCTTTGGCCGCTGCGTGCGATGGTGGCTGTAGCTGTGGTGTTTCCGTCTTTAGCTTTTGTCTCTGGTTCTTGGAGGACTTGGGTGATGAAGTTGAATTTCGTCGGCTGCTTCTCCTGCTTCAATCACGAACGTCTGCCCCTTCGTTCTGTGGATGCGGCGTGTTCCAGGCACTCGTGGTGTCTTAAACCGTTCTTGGATTCCTGGTGGAATCCTGCTGCTGGGCTGCCACAGTGGGCTCGCTGGTTTTGTCAAAGGTGTTGGCTTGTGTATTCACCTGTGCCGTTGATCTGTCCATCTCTGCCTAGGGTGTCTATCTGGTTTGGTATCAGGGCAGTGCCAGCCTCATGGGTGGTGTTAGGAAGTATTCTGGGTTCACTTGCTAGTTGCTGCTCTAACACAGTGAGTGCTTCAGACTGCTGAAGTAGCAGACACCATTCCGTCTTAGAGTGTTTGCAGACGTGGTTTCTGCTGAGGCCCTGCTCTGCCAACTTGCACGCAGCGTGCGCGTGTGTGTGTGTGTGTGTGTGTGTGAGTGTGTGTGTGTGTGTGTCCAAACCTCCTGCTCTCATAAGCATACCGGTTCCAGCTGGTATGAGCTTAGACTCCCTCACCTTTTTAAAGATGTTATCTCCAGGTGTACCCATTCTAAGGTACTCGAGATAAGGATTTTAATCTAGGAATTTTAGGGGGACATAATTCAGACTATATAACGTGTTCCCTTTCATTGTTGGGAAACAATTAGATGGCCTGGTATGAACTGCTGAAGTGTTCCGTGGGATTCGCCAGTGCAGCCAGCTGGTTCCAGGCTTTTATTTGTCGGGAGCTTGCTGATCGCTGATTCAGTCTCCTAACTGGTTACTGGTCTTCTCCATTTGTTTTTCTTTAAAAAAGAAAAATCAGTTTTTAAGAATTTGTCCATTTCGTCTAAATTATTCAGTTGGTGATACAGTTATTCCCAGCGTTCTCAGGATCCTCTTGATTTCTGTAAAAATACTGTCTCTTTCCTATCCGAGTTTAATAATTTGAATCCTGTCTCGGTTTAGGCAAATGATTTCAACTTGTTGATCTTTTCAAAGAGCTAACTTCCGGTCCGTCCGATGATGGATTTCTGTTCTTTATTCCTGTTCTTTATTCCTGTTCTAATCTGCTCTAATCTGTTCCTTGGGGGAACTTTGAGTTTCGTTTGCTCTTCTTTTTCTAACTCCTCAGTTTGTACAATTAGCTTCTTGATTGAAGATCCTTCTAGAGAGAGGAGAGAGAGATGGTGGGGAGTGAGGTGAGCGCTGTCATCCACTGGTCACTCCCCAGGAGCTGGGACCTCAGGCCACATCTCCTGTGAGCGGCAGGAACCAGGACCCCAGTTCCTGGGCCACTGCTCTCCCCTGCTCGGGTGGGCCTCCGTGGAATGTCGTAGTCAGGGGCCGCAGCTAGGACTCAGACCCAGGCACGCTGAGGCGACAGATGGACACCTTTTTTTTTTTTAAACTATGCATTTATAGCTATAAATGTCTCTTAGCATTGCTTTAACTTCATTGTATAAGTTTTTGTATGTTGTATTTTCATTTTCATTTGTCTCAAGATATTTCTAATACAGTGTTGAAGGTTATTAGTTTTATAGTTTCAAGACATGTATCTTGTTTGACCTTAGAGTTACCTAAGAGCAGCTTCTATATCTCATTTCATGATTGCACACATATAGGTTAGATTGTAATTTCTTTTAAAAGTATTTAATCAGCACTGGGAATCCCATGGGCCCGGCACAATAGCTCAATTTGTAAATCACTCCCTTGCAAGCGCTAGGATCCCATATGGGCACCTGTTTGTATCCCGGCAGCCCCGCTTCCCATCCAGCTCCCTGCTTGTGGCCTGGGAAAGCAGTCAAGGACGGCCCAAAGCCTTGGGACTCTGCACCCACGTGGGAGACCTGGAAGAAACTCCTGGCTCCTGGCTTTGGATCAGCTCAGCTCCAGCTGTTGCGGCTACTTGGGGAGTGAATTAGCGGATGGAAGATCTTCCTCTCTCTCTCCTTCTGTCTGTAGATTTGCCTTTCCAATAAAGATAAATAAATCTAAAAAAAAAAAAAAAAAGAAAGAACAAACAAAACCACTGGGCATCCCTGAGGATCCCTCAGTAAATAAACTCTGTGATTCACCCGCTGCCTCAGCTGAAGTGTATAGAATGGGCAAGTGAGTGAAGCCTGTTAGCACGTCCGGGTGAGCTGAGAGATCCATCTCCACTGAACAGGTGGGTCTATGGGAGACGTATTTACAGGCCACCTGCGAACTCGCTTGGAGATCCTTCCAGCCCCAGCTCATTGAATTGTTCTTCCTCATCCCATTTTATTCCCCGCTTTCCTTCTTCATCGTCAGCGTCCTCTCTCTCGTCTTTTTGCGGTGACCCTGACAGCATTCTGTAGATTTGACAATAGTGAGGCACCAGGGGCGTAGCTCGTGGGTCTGGGCAAGTCCTAGGGTTCACTTCCGGAGCAGGTCTGTGTTTTCGCCATGTGCCTCTCCCCGACCACAGGTTTTCAAGAACCCGCACGAGGTGGTGACGGTGTTGCTGACCCAGACCCTGGGGGCCCTGGTGCCCTCCCTGCCCATGTGCCTCAGCTCGGCGGTGGAGAGGGCCGGGCCTGAGCTGGAGCTCACCAAACTGCTGGAGTTCTACGACACCACCGCCCACTTCGCCAAGGGGTTAGAGATGGCCCTGCTCCCCGACCCAAGTAAGTGTCCTGCCTTTTGCTTCTCCCTCCCTGGCTGGGCCGGGGCTTATTTGCCCTTCAGCAGACTAAATTCACAGAACTGGGAGGGCATGGGCATTTTGCATGAAAACACTGCCCTGGGCAGGTAGGTGGTGCGTGTATTTGCCTAGCCTCTTGCCGGTGGGTGCTACTGCCTGGTCCGGGCATGTGATGGTTGCTCCTGGTGGCAGCATGGCAGTTAGAAGGAGATGGAGGCCTCATCTTGGGGCAGGGGGCCGTAAGTGGCCAGGAGCAGGCAGCAGGCCATGCTGTGAGGATAGTGTTTGCTTCCTTTAGGGTTAAAACCTCAGAAAATTCACCCTGCAAAGGAAAAGGAAGAGCTGGGTTGGAGGTGCTTTCTGAATGGACAGTGGAGCTTTCTGGATTAAGGCAACCCCGGTGAGGATGCAAGGTGGCTGGGGAGCACAGGCTTTCCCAGGCGCCAGCGGAGGACAAAGCACTCCTTAGTCCCCTGTGGGTAAACAGTGCCTGCTGTGTTACATTTGTTTTTTTCTTCCCAGCTATTTTCCATCCCTGTCAAAAGCACCATAAATTGTTAAATAACTCGGACTTCGTGACGCTGTCAAATCAGGAAATCACCCCAGGAAGGCCTTGTTCTGCTGTGGCTGCTGTGTGTCACTCACTTGGTTTCTTTAATAGTTACTCTCTTTAATTACATTTGTGTTTAATTACCTCGTACATTCCAGGGAGGGTGTTTATTGTTCGGGTTCCCAGTGATTCATAGGAGTTGTTGGCACACTCACCGGTCAGATCTCAGCTGTGGGAGAGGCACGGAGCGTGTGGGTAGCTTACCAGGGGACTCTGGTGCTGTTGTCCATGTGACTCAGGGGCGTGGATGCCGAGCCTCCTGCTGGAGCAGGGTGGGATGCAGGCAGGGCGAGGAGCAGGTGCGTTCCCGCCAGAGGGATGGATGCTGTGGGTCGCGAGCCGGCCGCCTTCCACAGAGCCAGGTGGATGTGACAGTCGGCCACCTCTGATTCCTGCTGAGGTTCTCCCAAGAGGTCTTTTTTTCTTTTTTAGAGTTAATAATATAGATGAAAATTTTAAAAAGAGTAAAAACAATCTGTAATTCATTACTCAGAAAGAGTCACTGGCAGCATTCTGCTGTGTTTCCTCCCAGTAATTCAGATAAAATACACATTTGTTCACATGCACGAATATCCATGACATAAGCTATATAAGGAGCATATAGTAAGCAAATAATATAATAGTTATATATTTATATATATATTATTTTTTAAAAAAGATTTGTTTATTTTTTATTGGAAAGTCGGATATACAGAAAGAAGGAGAGACAGAGAGGAGAATCTTCCATCCAATGATTCACTCCCCAAGTGACCGTAACGGCTGGTGCTGTGCCAAACCAGAGCCGGGAACCAGGAACTTTCTTCAGGTCTCCCACTTGGGTGCAGGGTCCCAAGGCTTTGGGTCGTCCTCAACTGCTTTCCCAGGCCACAGGCAGGGAGCTGGATGGGAAATGGAGCAGCCGGGATTAGAACCGGCACATTCAAGGCAAGGACTTTAGCTGCTAGGCCACCTTGCCTAGGTCCTGTTATATATTTATATATAATTATACAGATTAAATATGTCAAATATTTAAGATATTAGTTGTATACATTTTTGTATTTGTTTTTGCTCATAATAAGAAGAATATTTTCTTATACCATCAGATGTTTTACTAGGCTTTTTTCTTAAAAAAAAAAAAAAGATTTATTTATTTACTATTTTTAAGGTGGAGTTACAGGGAGAGGAAACAAAGATTTTCCATCCACTGGTTCACTCCCCAAATGGCTGCAATGGCTGCGACGGCCAGAGCTGAGCCGATCCGAGGCCAGGAGCCAGGAGCTTCTTCCTGATCTCTCACGCTGGTGCAGGGTCCCGGCTTTCCAGGATATTCCTCTTCATCTTCGTTGTTCTCTCTGGGAGAATTCTTGGAAGTTAAATTGTTATATCATGGAACGTTTATACTGTTGACACGAACGTTTTCAGTTTTTCATGGAGCTGACCTTAGGAATTTCTGGAATGCTTAGTGTACGGGATGTTGTGAGGTCCCAGGAAGGGGAAGATGCTCTCCTGACCGAGCGCTTTTCACCGTAGTAGTTCCTTTTGCTCCTGGCCCTGGTGAGAGCCACTGGATGAGGGGACTTCCTGAGGTTGATGGGATGTGGGGTTAAGAGGGCATTGACAGAGCTTCTGGCAGATTGGTAAGATGTAGTCACCCCAAGGATGGAAGAGGAGAAGTTCCAGAACAGTCCATCTCTCTTGTGGCTTTCCGGCAGTGCTTTCCAGATTCGTTATTCATGGTTGTTTTTTCATTTCTGATCGCCTGAAGAGGAACACAACGTGGTGAAAGTGATGGAGCTGGTGGAGGCCGTGTATGGGCCGTACAAGCCCTACCAACTCAAGTACGGCAGCCTGGAAGAAAACCACCTGCTGATCCAGATCAGCGCTGTACCTTTGGTAACTCACCAAGACCCCCAGGACCCCCGGTACTCTTAAGGCAGCGTTCTGTTATGTGCCAGACCTTCACCCAGTCCTGGCAGGGGGTCGAGGTGGGGGATGGTCGTGGGATCAGGTGTGATGCATCCAAGTCAAAATGAGCCTGGGGGAGGGGGTGCTACCTGTTTTCTGTCTAAAATCCTCAATAACAAAATAAACGAGAATCAAATCTTGGGGGGGAGAGGGGGACCACAGGGGACAAATTGTGTATCTCCTTGATTATGTGTGTGTGCCTACGTTGCTTTTTTTTGAGGAAGCTATGCAAATGGGCCCAAAAGCTTAGCATTCATGGACAATGCTGTAGGGCAGATTCTCTCTGTGTGGGCACCAGCCAAGGAGATCCAGGCCATTTCCATTTCAAATCCTGTTTTGTTTTCAAGTCACCGAAGGTTGTCCAGTGTTGAGTTGATGTCTCAGGCTTGATGCTCGTTAGTTCAACTCTGTTGCTTCCTGCCGTTTCCCTGCTTTCTAGAGATATATCTAGAAACTCAGTTCCACTTCAGTTATGCTCATGCCCCTGAAGGAAACATTTGCCTTTTTCTGAATTCTTTCTTTTTTGTGTAAAATTTATTTTTATTGGAAAGTCAGATTTACAGAGAGGAGAGACAGAGAGGAAGATCTGTCCATTGGTTTACCCCCCAAGCGGTTGCTATGGCCAGGGATGAGCCTATCCTGAGCCAGGAGTCAGGAGCCTCCTCTGAATCTCCCACTTGGGTTCAGGGTCCCAAGGCTTTGGGCCATCCTTGATTGCTTTCCCAGGCCATAAGCAGGGAGCTGGATGGGAAGTGGAGCAGCCGGTACAGGAACCGGTGCCTGTAGGGGATCCCGGGCATGCAAGGTGAGGATTTGACCACTAGACCATTGCGTGGGGCCCTCAGCATTCTTTTAAAAGGGTGTCTGGTATGGAGAATTAGAATCCTAGCCTGGGAGCCAGAGATAGAAAAGGGGACCATTGCAACGATCACAGGCAAATAGAAAGGAAAAGAGAAATGAAAGAATGAGCTGGGCATCTGACCATGACTGTCTTTCCTTGCTGCACACTCTAAAAGAACTGGAGAGTTGGGGCCTGTGCTCCTGATATCCCTGTGATGGGAACCCCAAGAAGAGGGCTTGGAGTTCCTTCTCCCCGCCCCCAAACCTCCCCATGTTAAGGCTGCCTTTCCGGCAATTCTCAAGGCTGATGTGGTTTCTGTTCTGGCTCACCAGGAACATGGAGAAGTGATTGACTGCGTGCAGGAGCTGAGCCACTCGGTGAGCAAGCTCTTTGGTCTGGCCTCTGCTGCCATTGACCGGTGCGCTGGATTCACCAATGGCCTGGGGACGTGTGGCCTGCTGACAGCCTTGAAATCCCTCTTTGCCAAGTAAGGGGGCAGTGTGGGGATGGGGCTGGTTCCCTGGGAGGGCAGGGATTGTCCCCATTAAACATGTATGCATGCTGTATTCTTGCTGTGAACCCTGTAAAAATACTCACGCCCGATCCAAGAAGCCGTTCTTACTTAAAATGTTCAGTGCAGCAAAGTGCCCATCCCTTAGGCAGAGGCCAAATACCATGATAGAGTCATACAAGGGAACTCTATGCAACAGTTAAATATCAATTAAATGGACACTTGTCAATGCCTGTCTCAGAAATGCATTGGCATGTGAAACGAAAGCAAGGTGCAGAGTAATATTGAGGCTCTAACACATTTCCTATAGTTGGTTTGGTAACTTTCCCCACCAAGGGCAGGTGTTGGGTGTTTAGCCTCATGGGCCTTAGGATGTGCGTTGCCCTTGAGACAGTCCATAAATCCACGGGTGTGGCTGTGTTCCAGTCTCACTTTATTTACCGAAAAATAAATTGGGAGTGCTAAACCCTGATGTAGGTATTTTTTTTTTAATACTGTAAAAAGCATCATAGATCTCTCCAGGACAGAGGTGGGCCGTCTGCGGCTCAGGAGTCCAACCTGGCTGCCATCTGGCACTGTAAACAGAGTTTGCCTGGAACACTGCCACACCCGTTCTCTTACCTCTGCCCTGGAACTTCGTTTCACTAAGAGGGCTGAGTGCAGCAGTTGGGACAGAGACCTGGTGACTTGAAAAGCCACAAGTGTTTACACGTAGTTGGCACTAGGCCTGTGACAGAAGTTTGCTGAGCCCTGGTTTTGTGGGGGGACCCGGAGAGGGGCTGTGATCACAGCTTTTACTTCTTTTTTTTTTGGAAAGTTGTTCTAGCCTTGTCATTTTTTTTTTTAAGATTTATTTTTATTGGAAAAAAGAGGAGGAGAGATAGAAAGGAAGATCTTCTGTCTGATGGTTCACTCCCCAAGTGGCTACAATGGTCAGAACTGAGCTGATCTGAAGCCAGGAGCCAGGAGCTTCCTCCAGGTCGTCCACATGGGCGTAGGGATCCCAAGGCTTTGGGCCATCCTTGACTGCTTTCCCAGGCCACAAGCAGGGAGCTGGATGGGAAGTGGAGCAGCTGGTATTAAAACCAGTGCCCACGTGAGATCTTGGCATGTGCAAGGCGAGGACTTTAGCCGCTAGGCTACTGCACCGGATCCAGCTCTCACTATCTTTTAAAATATTATTTGAAAGACAGAGAGAGAGAGATCCTCCGTCTACTACTGGTCCACTCCCCGGTTGGTTGCAACAGCCAGGGTAAGGCCAGGCTAAAGCCAAAACCTCAGAGCTCCCTTTGGGTCTCACCTGTGGGTAGCAGGGACTCAAATACTTGGGCTGTCAACTGCCTCTTTGCCAGGTGTGTGAGCAGGAAGCTGGTTCCGAAGTGGGAGACAGCAGCTACTGCAACTGCTGCTCCATTAGGGGAGGCGGGCTCTCCACAGCAGCTTAACTCAATGCACAGTGCCTGCCCTCGTTGTCATTTTGAAATGTTTAAAGAAGGAACATAGGGACCGGCATTGTGACATAGCAAGTTAAGCCACCACCTGCACCAGCAGCATCCCACAGGTGTGCTGGTTTGTGTCCTGGCTGCTCTACTTCTAATCTAGCTCCCCGTGAGGGACTGGGGAAAGGCAGTGGAAGACGGCCCGGGGACTTGGATCCTTGCCACCCATGTGGCAGGATGGCAGTGCCCAGATGAAGCTCCTGGCTGCTGGCTTCAGCCCAGCCCAGCTCTGCCTGCTGCGGCCATTCGGGGAGTGGACCAGCAGGTCATCTGTCTCTGTAACTGCCTTTCAAATAGACAAAGCTTTTAAAAATATATATATGCAGATTCATATTTTTATGTAATTAAGAATGGAAAAAAGGAAAGCAATGTAGACCGCATGTTCTGGGAGTCCATCTGTATGAGATGCCCAGAACAGGTAAATTAGAGAAGAAAATAGATTTGCGGTTTCCTGTGGCTGAGGGACTTTAGAGGAGGTTGGGGATGGATGCTGAGGATATGAGGTGTCTTTTTCGGGATGATGAAAACATACTTAGCTCATGATGATGTATAACCCCGGAAATATACTAAGAGTTGTACTCTGTATTAATTAGACCTTAACTGAAAGAAAAAAGGAAAGAAGGGAAAAATAGAAATGACATTTAGGTAGAAGAAAGAGGCAACCTCATGAGGCTGGTGTCTCCGACCCGTCTGATGCAGCTGTGGGGTCCCTCGGCGCTTGATGCGCACAGTCTCTAGTTGGTTGGCATATCCAAGAGCCCTCCTTGGTGGTCTCTGACAGCGAAGCTGCCTGGAGCCCCTGAGCTCCCTTCTGCTGAGCCGAGTGCTGCTTGCTGAGGTAAGTTCAGGGAGTGCTTGTTGGTCAGGAAATACTGCGGGTGTCCCTCTGAACTCGGAGGGCCCTTGTCCCCAGTGATCTCGGTCACTGCCATGGACATTCACACCTCCGGAGGGCAGCTCTGCTGCAGATCAGAGGGGCTGCCACCTGTGCCCAGCCTGTGCCCCGCCTGTGCCCCGTACAGGGACAAGGGTGTGGTCCCAAGAACCCATGTCTATCCCTGTAGGAAGGGGAGCATCAGCAGCAAGTTTAACCATAAGAAGCTTTGCCTCTTTCTCGCCCTGTCACCAACCGGGATTTCGTGAATGGGAAGAATTTTGGCTTTGAGATCTAGATATTGTGTTACAAAAATAACATAAATAATGCTTTTAGAAATTGATTTATTTGAAAGGCAGAATTACAGAGAAACAGGAGAGAGAAAATGAGACTCTTTCATCTGCTGGCTCACCACCCAAATGGCCATAAAAGCCAGCACCAAGCCAGGCTGAAGCCAGAAGCCAGCTGCTCTGTCTGGGCCTCCTGCGTGGGTGGCAGGGATGCCGTTTTCTGAGGCATGGTGTTAGGGAGCTGGATGGGGAAGTGGAACAGTCAGACATGAACCAGTACCCAAAAGGGATGCTGGTTCTGCAGGCAGTGGCTTTACCTACTGCACTGCAAAAAGACATTAAAAAGAGCATGTCCTTCCATTCCTGTGCATCTTTAGTTTTTCTCTGAAGGACATTTTTTTTTGGTCAGGTTTGAACATTTTGCTTTTAATTTTCTGATTTGCTGCTTCAAACGTAAAGACTTTCTGTTGATCAACTTTTTTTTTTTATCCAAGCACATTTGAAAAAATTACTTTTTATTCCTTTCTTAGAGGGAGAAGGACAGAGAGCTGCCATCTGTTGATTCACTTTCTGATGCCTGCAGTGGCCGGGGCCAGGGTCTGGGCCAGATGAGAGCCACGGCCTCAATCTAGGTCTCTCACAGTTGCTGGCGGGGACCCACCTGCTAGAGCCCTTAGCAGTGGAGGCAGGACTTGAATCAAGGAACTTGGATATGGTGTGTGGATGCTTCAGCTGCTAGGTCAGACACCTGTTCTCATTAGCTTTAGATATTAACCTCCTGCCCTTCCGCCGTGAGAAATGAGGGCTGGGGCTTTTAAAGGTCTGTTCCTCAGTTAGCGTAGTTCAGACGGTGCTGATGAATTGGGTCACCTTCTCTGGAAGGGAAGGTTTGGAAGTTACCAAGGTAGCTCGTGTTTAGGACAGTTTTCAGGCAGAACAGTGTGAAGCTGCCTTGAGCAGAGTTCGAGTGGGACATTGATGAGTGACGAGGAGGGCTTGAGGAAGTGTGCTACGGAAGGCAAGGGGAAGGGGTGGAACTGAAAGTGTGGTCCCCTTTACTCTGCTGCCAACGTGGGGATAACAGGTAAGGGGCTTCATGGTGTGGTGTAGCAGAGTGTCTGCTGTCGGGGCCGCCATAGCAGCTAGCTTTTCACACTTTGCTGTCTAGGAGCTGGTGGCTTAGGGAGGAGCAAGGGAAAGGCGTCCCATGATGCACCCTGTTCTCACGGGGCCTTCTGGTCCCCGTCCTCACCACACCCTCCTGAACACATGCACGTACGCACTCACGTTCCAAGAAGTTTACATCCTTAAAAATAACACCAGTGCATGTCAACTTTTTTCTGTTGCTTTATTTTGCCCTACTCTGCCATTTATTTAACTTCACAACGGTGCCGTCAGGCAATAGAGAAGCATTATTAAATCCATTTTACAATTTTTATTTGAGAGACAAGGAAAAGAATGCCAAGTGAATACTCCCATCTGTGATTCATGCTGCAGGTGCTGTGGCAGCCGGCACTGGCCTAGGTTTTGGTCAGGAGCTGGGAGCTCAGTCCAGGTCCCCCTGCGTGGGCAGCAGGAGCCCAGCTACTTGAGCCATCATCACTGTTCTCCTAGTGTCTGCTTGAACAGGAAACGGAATTCAGGAGCTGGAGTTAAAGGCAGGACCTGTGGTGTGGGATGCAGGCATCTTCACCAGCATCTTAATCACCGAGACAAGATGCTGCCTGCCCTTTCTACCCCCACATTTGTATTAAAGATGAGGAAGCCGAGGCCCTGGCACTGAGGGCCTTGCCCGCAGCTGCAGTGCCAGTCTTGGAGTCCCCAGGAGCTGCTTCCTGGACGCCTCATGCCCAGTGCTGTGCTGGTTCCTGGGGCTCTAAGTCGGAGCTCCAGGGACAGAGTGCCTGTTCTCACAGACGGTAGAGCCTGCAGCAGTGCTAAGCTTTACGCAGACGCACGCTTGGTGTTGTGTGTTGCGTACTGTGAAGGAGCAGACCGCAGCGGCTCCACGGCAGGGTCTGGAGGTTTTGTGTCCACTTCTGGGTTCCTGTGCTCTTGCCAACCACGAAACTTGAATCTCTCTGCCCTGGCTGTTGGGTCTCCATTCTGTCCATCAGGATGCTGCCAAGTCCTGGGCATCGGCAGCATGTCTTGTGTCCTCCCTCCTCCGACCCTCACCCACCTGCTCCTAAGGTCACGTCTGCTTTCTACGGTGGCTCCGTGATGTTTTCCAACAGTTCTCCGAATCTGCTTCTGCAGAAGTGCACTTGTTTCTTCGTTTGGGGTGGAGGAGTGTGCCAGCATCTTCCCCCATGGTGGGTCACCTGGGACAGCCTGGGGCTGTCCACTCCCTCCCGTCCTCCGGATCTTGAGCATGTCTCTATGCTGCCGTGTTGGGCCTCTGAGATGGTCTGGCCTCACGGGGAAGCTCGTCCGTGGGTGGAGTGTTGTCTCAGCCTTCTGTGGGAGCACCTCTCCCCCAGTCTCCTGCGCCCAAAGGTGTTGTCCAGCCGTCGGCAGGCTGTGCAGGCTGCATGGTTCCCGGTGTTTTGAGCGCAAGCAGGCAGTGACAGTTCACCTTGTCGCTCTCCCCTTGCCTGCAGGTATGTGTCTGATTTCACCAGTGCTCTCCAGTCCATACGGAAGAAGTGCAAGCTGGACGACGCGCCCCCCAACGCCCTTTTTCAGGAAGATTGGACGGCCTTCCAGAACTCCATCAGGTGAAGCTGGCATTACAGTATGAGTGTGTGTCTGGGGGAGCAAGCATAAAATTTGTTAATTTTTACTTTGTTAGAAAGGTGGAGAGAGGGCCCGGCGCGGTGGCACAGTGGTTAAGGTCCTCGCCTTGCACGCCCGGGATCCCATATGGGCGCCGGTTCTAATCCCACCGGCCCAGCTTCCCTTCCAGCTCCCTGCCTGTGGCCTGGGAAAGCAGTCGAGGACGGCCCAAAGCCTTGGGACTCTGCACCCGCGTGGGAGACCCGGAAGAGGCTCCTGGCTTCGGATCGGCATAGTATCGGCCGTTGCGCTCACTTGGGGAATGAATCATCGGACGGAAGGTCTTCCTCTCTGTCTCTCCTCTCTGTATATCCGCCTTTCCAATAAAATAATAATAAAAATAAATCTTTAAAAAAAAAAAAGAAAGGTGGAGAGAAAAAGACAGAGGTCTTCTGTTGTCTGGCAAACTCTTCACACGCCTGCGACAGCTGGATCTGGGTCAGACCTGAGTCAGGCAACCAGGACTGCATCGGAGTCTCCCCCATGGGTGGCAGAAAGCCGAGTACTTGAGCCATGACCTGGCCCATCACAGGGCCTGTGCCAGCAAGAAGCCAGAATTGGAGGCAGAGTTGGGCCAGTCAAAAGCCAGGAGCCTGGAGCTTCTTCCAAGTCTCTCAAGTGGGTTCAGGGACTTGAAGAGTTGGGCCATGTTTTTGCTGCTTTCCCAGGCTATTGACAAGGAGTTGGGTCAGAAGTAGAGCAGCTGGGACTCAAACCAGCTGCCCATACAGGATGCCAGCACTGAAGTCAGAGGCTTATCCTACTATGCCATAGCACTAGCCCTAGCCAAAGGTTTTTGCAGAGGCCTAAAATAACTCAGAGCTGACGTTGGAGAAAATGCCCCCCTGTTGGCTCTAAGGACAGTGGCACCCAATGGTGAGGCACTACTACTAGGCCTGGAGAGGAACAGGCAAGGGTGCAGCAGAAGGCACTTGGGTGATCTTCACAACTTGTTGTCCTGTCCAGACTGTGGGGTTTCCCTTGTGACCTGTGCCGCTATCTATCTCAGCTGTACCAGCATTTATTCTTGGAAAACATTGCATACAAGTTTGTCCAGTTGCACCTGAAGCAAGTGGAATATTTTTTCCTTCTCATAAAAGCTTTCGTATGATGGAATGCCTAGATACCCTGGTGATGAGAGAAAAGTTAAAAGTTAACCAGACCTGAGATGTTTTTAATCCTTGGATTTGTCCCGACATTATGAATTTGGCGTTGAAGGACTCAGGAGCTGGAATTCAGAGCCTGGCATAAAATTTGCTTGACAATTAAAGGATTATTAAATATAGATATGGTGCTCTGAGAAACAAGTGGATTAACCTCCATCTGCCTTTGGTGTGAACAGAGGGAAAGACTGGTATCAAACTGGTTGGACAGACACTGCAAACAGCAGGCAGCTAGCGAACATTTGCAACGTTTGACTTAAAATTTTAGACACAAAGTTTTTCTGATCCCCAATCTACCCCTCCGTTTTTTAAAGATAGCACCCAGTATTTTGGAAACTAGAACTTATTGGAGGCCACAGTTAGCCAGCCCTACAATTCCGCAGAGAGGTCAGGAGTCTACCTTCTACAAAGGAACCATTGCAGGTACTAACCACTTTCCCAGAACCTAGCATCGCCAAAAGGAGCAAATAGTTAGAATTTTTTATGAATGAGCCTATGTGTTTGTCCTGTAAATGTTGGTACTGCCTGCTACTTGAAGTGCTTTCTGTTTTGTTTAGAATAATCGCCACCTGTGGAGAGCTGCTGCGGCAGTGTGGGGACTTCGAGCAGCAGCTAGCAAACAGGTAAGAGAGGAGGAGCCCTTGTCCTCCACAGGCCAGTCCCTGGGCTCCTGCTGGGGACAAAGTGTCTCCAGGCCCCGGCACAGCAGGGGGGAGTGTGTGGGCAAAGCGGGAAGCCACAGGGCCCCAAGAACTGTCTGTACCCTAGATACAAGGTGTCATTATTGTCATCATTAAACATTTATTGGGCATCTATAAAGGGCAAAGCTCTGGCCTACCTAGTACACGATTTGGGTTGCATAGAGAAGTTTCAGTCTAAACCAGGAAACAGTACATCTTGTTTCTGAATTACAAATGGGCTGGGTTCCTGCTGTGTGTTTGCAAGTCAGTTATTGGGACTTAAAATAAATTTCCCCATAGAAATGGTGTCACAGGCATCGCTCCGGCCCTCAGGGTCAGCACACAGCATCAACTTTGACCCAGACAGGCCTGCCTTGCGGATTCTCCAGCGATATCCTCTGCGGCTGCGGCTGGCCGTGTGTGTCAAAGGAGAGTTTCCGGGGTCCGACCTACAAAAAGTCTTTCGTGTCCCCTTTGACCTGAGACTGACAGGCCTTCTTTCTCTGGGAGGTGGCTCCTTCCCCAGTCCTGATCCTTCACTGGATCTCAGCAGGGCTGGCGGCTGGCTGGCCGGGAGGTGTGTGGAAGTGCAGTATCTTGGGGTGTGGTGTGAAGCGAAAGGATGAATGGGACCCAGCAGGAGCAGGTGGGAACTGGCGTGTTGCTGGAGCCTGCACTCCATGGTGGCCCTTCCTGCTGGCGACGTCTGCCTTCCTTTGGTCTTCAGCCCATAGCCTACCTCCCCTAGCTGGATTGTGTGTGTGTGTGTGTGTGTGTGTGGTTTTCCTCATGGGAAGATCTTGCCACGGGGCAGGTGGGAGCAGCTATCACTGTTCCTGAGTCTAGCACAGCACAGAGCACCACCGGCAAGGGAGGGACTTTGTGTAAATATTGTAAACAAAGCAATGGTACCAGCATCCCACTTGTGCACACACGCATGCTCGTGTGGAGAGGAGTCTGAGGTTGAGGGGTACTCACAAAGACCCCCAGGACTTGAAATGTAGCATTTACACATCTAACAGAAGGGCATGCATGCATGCAGCTGCTTATTTTTCACTTACTTATGCCTGTATTTTGGTTCAAGAGGCAAGGGGGACAGAATGAGACAGAGTGAACTTTCTGTCTATGGATTCATTCCCCAAATGTCCCCAACAGCCAGGGCAGGGCCAGGCTGAGGCCTGGAGCCTCAAACTCCATGCTGGCCTCCCCTGTGGAGGGCATGGATCCAGTTACTCCATCCAATCCCTGCCGCCTTGCAGTGTACACATTAGCAAGAAGCCAGGATGAGTTAGTGGAGCTGCATACAGAATCTAGGTATTCCAGTATAGGATGCAGGCATCTTAACGTGTGCCTTAACCACCAATCCAGATTCCTGCCCCTTTATTTTCTTCAAGTAGCTGTTCATTGTAAAATCAGAACAGTGTACAAAATGAGAGCTGAAAATCTGCTTGATTTAGAACCCATCTTCTTCCTAGAAAAGACATTGCTAACAGTGTCCTGCCCTACAGCATTCGTTGCTCTCTGGCATGCAAGGACTCGGTGTGAATTGAGCACTAATCCTCCTAGGGCTGAAGAGACAGGTGTTTCTCTTCCCATTTTTACAGAGAGGCTTGAGGTGTGGATTTGCATAGGAAATAGCAGTTCAGATTAAAAAAAAAAAAGAAGAAAGAAGGAAAGAAAGATTTGCTGCTGTAGCTGTGTTTGAGAGATGGCAATTTGCACCTTGATGTGGCCCACGTCATCCAGTGTGTGAGGACATCACCGAGTGGTGTCTGCCCTCAACCATGTGGGTTTGGGTCAGACATCCTGCCACATCCAGAAGTCCATTTTTCCCTTCATCCATTAATGGATTTGACAGCCCAGGGAGTTAGGAGGGAGCTGGTTCAGAAGCTGCGTGGGGACACAGTGGAGGAAAGATGAAGTTTTCCACCTGCACCAGCACAGAGAGGCTGAGAGTCTGGCCTGGACTTTGGTCCAAGACATGAGCAGCTTGGGTGTGTAGCCTCTGTAACAGGCGACATCATCCTGGAAGCCTGTTCCCTGGGGAGGGAGAATCGCCACCCATCTGTGTTCCCAGCCAGGAGGCAACTGGCACATGTGTGACAGCTGCCTGTAAAGCTTATCTTATCTCATATCTTATCAAGCTCCCCTGCAGAATCCGGACTGCTGCTGGGGACCACTCCCCACAGTTAGCACAGGCAATGGCACTAAACTCTCCAGGCTGTCTTGGTGCTGGGATGATGTTGCCTGTTGGGCTCCATTTTTATTTTTTTTAAAAGATTTATTTATTTATTTTTATTGGAAAGTCAGATTTACAGAAAGAAGGAAAGAAGAGAGAAAGATCTTCCATCAGCTGGTTCACTCTCCAAATGACCATAATGGCCAGAACTGAGCTGATCTAAAGCCAGGAGCTTCTTCTGGGTCTCCCATGTAGGTGTAAGGTCCCAAGGCTTTGGGTCATCCTTTACTGCTTTCCCAAACCACAAGCAGGGAGCTGGAAGGGAAGTGGAGCAGCCAGAATATTAACCAGCATCCCTATGGCATCCTGGTGCATGCAAGGTGAGGATTTAGCCACTATGCTACCATGCCAGACTCAGCCTATCTGGCTCTTAAAGTCAACATTTTTTTTTTTTTTTCTGTACAAGGAGATCTTCTTGTGAGTTTAGGGTTCAGGAAAGCAAAGCTGAAGTCACCTGAGGGATTGTCCTCTGCCTCATCTTGGGGAGACGCAGGGAGAAGGGCATGGTTCCTTTTCCTGACCCCACTTTTGGACCAATGTTTCAGGTGAACCCTGCTCACTTAAAGGTTTGACCTATGCCTTCTGATCTTCCAGTCGGACAAAAGCCACATGAATCCAGTAGAAACTGGGTTTTGGATCTTGGATTTTGATTGTTGTTTTTTCCCAAGCTAGTGACATGCAGTGCTGTTTCGTGTTGCTGGGCTGTAGCTCTGGGTCTCATCTCTGCTTCGGGCTGAGTGGGATGATGAGTAGGTTAGGTGGATTCAGTGCATTTTGACTTAACACATTTCAGTGCGTGGTGGGTTTATGGAATGTCATCTCATTGTAAGTCTAGGAGTCATCAAAAATGTTAGTGCAGTAATTCGGTCAGGCAGTCAGAGTTTGGGAATGCAGTATAAATGTACAAGTTTCCATGACTAGGGAGTGGGGGATGACTTGGCAGGAAGAGGAACTGCATTGAGGCATGCGATGACTTGCGATGCCCCCTCCTGCGGGTGCAGCTACTGGTTCTGCTGGCACAGCAATGAGCAAGTTGGCACCTCTTGGACTACCCCCTACCTTCATCTCTGAGCTTCATGAGGGTAAGGATTGTGTTTAAGAATCTGATATCCCCAAACTCAGCCTAGATCATTATTTGGCGGACAAACGTCATTTCTCAATGATGTGAGAATGTCCTTTTGATAATGAAATCAAGTATTCATTTCATAAAGGTTTAGTTCACAACTCTGGTCAATACCAGGAAATTAAACAGTGGACGCCAAGGACCAGGTCATCTAGTGGATCAAGTGCGGGATAGGAAGAAGATGCTGTTTGTTTCTTTGAGGTCAGAGTCACATTTATTCTGACATTTAAACTGCAGTCTTCATTATCTAAAGCATTCCTGACATACCTGCTTGTCTTCACCTTGGCTGCTGTAAGGTCATTCCCTCCTGGGCCACCTGACCCTGAACCTGACACACCTGCTGCAGTAACCCTGCAAAGGAGAACAGACTTTCCTTGGCTTCCAACTTTCTGGCCACCAAACTCTGGTCACCTATCATTCATTCCAGGGTTACTGAGTGCCTGCCGTACATGGGCACTGTGCTGGGAGCTGGAGATGCTAGGATAAAGAACACGACTGGACATGACTGTCCAGTGGGAGAGGAATGAGACAGTGTGTGAGTTCCACATAGCAGAGGCAAGAGGCTGATGGGAAAGAAGACCGAGTACCTATGTGGTGCACTAGGAAAAAGCAGAGGAAAAGCCGTGGGAGCCAACCCTTTCTTATAATTAGCTAATTTGAAAGGCAGATTAAGAAAGGAGGGAATGGGGGAGAGAGAGAGAGAGACAGAGATTTTTTTCTATGTACTGTTTTACTTCTCACATGGCCACAACAGCTGGGACCAGGGCCAGTCCAGGCCAAAGTCAGGAGCCCAGAGCTCCATCCAGGCTCCCACATGGATGGCAGGGGCCCAAGCACTTGGTCTATCTTCCACTGTTTTCCCAGGTGCATTAGCAAGGAATCAAACCGGAAGCAGAACAGCCAGGACTAGAATGGTACTCTGATATGGGGTTCCTGCATGCAGGTGGCAGCTTAACTCACTGTGTTACAACTAAAGGCCTGGGAACCAGTGAATCCCAGAAGAAAGAGTAGGATTTCCCCAGGTGCACAGAGGAGGAATGGATAAAGGCAGGTGTTGGGGGACGGAGGGATGGGTGAGCAGATAGATAGAAGGGCCTGGCAACAAGAGCCCTGGGTACCCTGCCTGGACGGTTTTATTTTGATCTTCAGGAACTGAAGAATCTTTGGGAAACAGACAAAATCAGATTTGCCTTTTGGAAAGTTCATTCTATTAACCTTGAGGAAGTCCCACAAAGGGAAACTGGAAGGAGGAAGACAGACAACAGGTCAGTACAGGACAATAGGGCCATGGCAGGCCATTGTACAACAGACAAAAGGCCCAACCCAAGCTACTTGTAGGTTTAAGTAACAGGACAAACCAACTTGACCCTGCTGGCCGAGGCAGGTGGCTACCTGTGTTGGTGGTGATTTGGGAGGAGGGTCCTCTCCCCAGGGTGTTTTTGCAAGTTCACGTGTTGCTCGGCCAACTCTGAGGATCTGAGTGTGTGCCACCCAAAGTCTCCTGTGTCTAGAGCAATGTCTTCGTAAGAAATCATGGCAAAGAGGTCAGGGAAGTAGCCATATTGGCTGTCCCAGGATCTGCAGAGAGTTCATAGAAATGTGTATTATGAAAAAAATTGTTCAGACTTTTTTTTTGGCACCAACATTAACTTAGCTTTAATTAAATTTTCCATGAACTTTTTGAAGTTCATTTGTGGAAATATCTCTACACTTCAAGCATATAAAAGCAGAGAAGCAGAGCCAGGGGAAGCCAAGCTGAAATCTTGGCTTAGAGGCGGAGATTCAAGGTCCCCGGCTGTCCTGGCAGCCAGCTACCCTGGGGAGCCTCAACTAGGCAACCGTCTGTCTGAACAAAGATGGATCTCTCCTTATCCCCTAAATCATAAAAGTCCACTGTACTAGCCCGGCATGGAGGACAGGTGAGTCTATGAATGGAGGCCCACAGGGAACAGCTGTCCCAACCAGCAAGTCCACTGTCTTGCCCGACACTCTGGGTGACGGTGGTGCCTGTGGCTCACCACGGCATGGACCTGTGCCACACCCCAATGCCCCTCTAGGTTGCTTTAGACAGGACACCATCTCCAAGGGGTGGGAAACTGAGACTGCCCTGGTGTGAGCTGCCCGTCACATGAGGAAGATGGCATGTTCTGTTGGCATTAGATGATGTGGAAAAGAAAACCATGTGGCTTCTGTGGGTATCCGGGTCTAGCCCCCTCGTGCATGGTGAAGAACATCTTCACCTCCTTAAAGGCTGCAGGATCTTAATCCCATCTCCCTCCTGAGGCTGCCCTGGGCTTCCTTAAAGGAGCTGTTTGCGACTGCTCCCAACAGGAAGTTCCTGCCAAACAGCTCAGGGCGCCATGGTCATCACTTTGCTTACAGGATTTTGTCGACGGCTGGCAAGTACCTCTCTGACTCCTACAGCCCTCGGAGCCTGGCCGTCTTTCAGGAAAGCATCTTGACAGACAAGAAGAGCTCTGCCAAGAACCCCTGGCAAGAGTATAACTACCTCCAGAAGGAGAGCCCTGCCGAATATGCCAGCCTAATGGAAATACTTTATACCCTTAAGGTAGGAGGCGAGACGGGTGGCATGCTCATTGCTTGCGAAAGAACACCTTTCCCTCGTCACACCCTCTCTGGGACCCAGGATTCTGGCTCTGGCTGTGGGCCCTGGGCTGTGGCACCCAGCGCCACCTCTTTTCTGTCTGATTTATGTTGGGACATGTGTTTGTTTATTTGCTTTAATTTTTTTTTTTTAGTATTTATTTTATTTATTTGAAAGGCAGAGCTACAGAAAGAGAAAGAGAAAAAGAGAAGTTCCATCTGCTGATTTACTCCCAGATGGCTACAACCAATAGGCTGGATCCAGACCGAAGCCAGGAACCAGGGGCTTCAACTGCAGGCAATAGCTTAACTCATGACACAACACTGGTCCCCATGTTGGGATTTTAAGGAGCTAACCAGCTAAACTGGACTGAAACCCACAGACATACGTATGTAGAAGTCAGCTGGGTGGGTCTTTATCCCTGATGTAAGCCGGGTTGGCAAATAGGGCTTCAGAACTGCGGCCAGGGAGCTTGCCGTCACCGGCACAGGTGGGGCTGGATCATCCCCTGTTACCAACGGAGATGGAGGCAGACGCAGACTGCCTGGAGGTGGGAGCCATGAAAGGAGACCCCAGGCAGGCTGCAGAGAAGTCCCTCGCTTTCCCCAGGGGAAAAGGACCTGGTTAGAGATGCCAGGAGCACACCCTAGGGCAGGATGCTTACAGGGAAACAGGAGGACTTGCGTATCTAGCCTCCTTCCTAGGTTGTTCGTGTTAAAGTCTTAGTTTGACTTCCAGAAAACTTTGACTTTGAGCTTTGGACTTCTAGGGTTCAAGAAACTGAACTTCACAACAGATGGTATGAACTTTATACCTCCTGGGAAATGGCCCTGGGTGATGGGATTGAGGTGGGCACCCTCTGCAGAGCACTCTGACCCCACCTTGTCTGGTTTGATCCTCATTGTGTGAGTGAAGGGCAGAGGAAACGCCATTGTCCCAGCACCGCAAATGTCACAGGATGAATCGCAGGAGGGGCCTGCGTGGTCTGAGTGTCCAGCACCGTCCTCCAGGGCCTCACCTACTGCCTGCACCTTGGCCCTCCCACTGGCCACTTTTGAACTTGACAAACACACCACCGGGAGCCGTTCATCCATGCCTTCATGATTAGGTTAAAGCAACTCTGTTTATCTTTATTGCTGATCTGATTTATGTCTGTGCTAATCAGTTCATTTATAATCGCAAGGCGAAGGGTCCATTTTCCATCTCTGGGTTTTTCTCAGGCCGTTTGGCATTCCTTGGGACTGCACACAGGGCCGGGCGAACTCTGACCATCAGCCGACGGAGCTCACCCACTGCCTCCTGGCAGTTGGGGCTCTGCCCATCACTCTGGGTTACCCTGAAGCTTCTCATGCTCCCCTCCTGCTCTGTTCCTGAGGGGCGCTCTCAGGGTTCATTTCTAAACTGCCAACCTCGAACATCAGAGACTTGGTGACAAAGTGAAAACATGGGGTCCAGGGGCTGGTGCCAAGGCTCAGTTGGCTAACCCTCCAACCGATAAGCACCAGCTTCCCATACGGGTGCTGGTTCATGTCCTGGCTGCTCCACTTCCCATCCAGCTCCCTACTTGGGGCCTGGGAAAGCAGTAGAGAATGGCACAAAGTCTTGGGAGACCCTGCACCCACATGGGAGACCCAGAGGAGACCCCTGGCTCCTGGCTTTAGATCAGCTCAGCTCTAGCTGTTGTGACTGTTTAGGGAGTGAACCAGCAAATGGAAGATTTCTCTGTGTGTCTCCTTTCTGTAAATCTGCCTCTCCAATAAGAATAAATAAATCTTAAAAGAAAAAAAGGAAGAAAGAGTCCGAGTTCCAGGGTGGGTGGACTGTGACTCAGTGGTTCTGGGGCCAGAGCCTGTCTAACTGCACCTGAGCATCTTGGAGGCCTCCCTGTTCTCCCTCCAGGAGTTTTTAGAATGCTGACCCCGCTGAGCCCTTAGTTGCATTCAGGGCCTCACACACTGTCTTTTGGGTTCTCTCGCCTTAGGAAAAAGGGTCCAGTAATCACAACCTGCTGGCTGCGCCCCGCACCGCCCTGACCCGGCTCAACCAGCAGGCCCACCAGCTGGCCTTCGACTCTGTGTTCCTGCGCATCAAACAGCAGCTGCTTCTCATTCCCAAGATGGACGTGAGTCTCCCCTGCCCGCTTCCCCTCCCATGACGCGGCCGCCCCTGTGACGCCCCACTCCCACCCCCAAAGCCCCCTGGGGTGGGGGATGCCTCCTCCTGCAGCGTGTTCCAGCTCTGAGGGCTTTCCACCTCAACTCCCCTGGGCTGGAAAGAGGCAGTTCAGTGCACATCTCTTATCTTAATTGCAGTTAATCAGATGTTTTATTTATGGGCTGTTTCTTAGGATTATTAACGTCGCTTGGCCAACCTTCCCTGTGTGGAGCAGCGTTAACTGCGCCTCCCCGGCGGGGGAGGTAAGGCCGACTACACGCCGCTGCTCGGGGCGGGCTGGCAGGAGAGCAGGTTGAGACTGAGGCCTTTTGCCGGGCCAGAGCCGGTTGACTTGAGATGTGGTCACGTGTTTCCGAGGCGGCCTTGGCGGCTTCTGCCCTTGCTACCTTTTGTGTCTGGCTGCCTCACACCCTCTTCTCTTTCCTGGTTGTCCAGATTCTTTTGAAGACTTGCTCTGTCTATCCACCCCCTCACCGCCCCCAACCCCCCAGCCTGCATGTCACTGCATTACCAGGCAGGACAGCCTCCTGGTTCATTGATCTTCCTGATGACTCAGGTTGACTTGGATTCCAATCTGGGGGTAAAGTCTTCTTTGGGAGACAGTCTGAGTGATGGGCCTTTAGCAACCAAGAGACCCTTTGCTTTCCATTGTTCCTCCCAACCCCCCAAAGCCCAGTAGTCTGGGGGTCAAGGGCCACTGGGTGACCCTGACCAAGTCTCCTCCCCTCTTTGAGTCTCAGAACCCCCTTCTGTAAATGAGTTGGAGGGTCTTTCTGCCTCCTGAAACTGGGAGCTTCCCATTCGCTATGGTCTCTGTGGGCAGAATGTGACGAGAGCTGCCCCATGCAGGTTGTACATTTCTGCATCGAGAGGAAGGGGGAGGCGTGAGGTCACGTGGGCGACTGACAGCTGTGGCAGGTGTGTGGTCAGCCACCGCCTCCTCATCCCGCACGGTGTTGTTGGTGAGATTCAGGGGAGATTTCCGATGGGACAGAGCTGAGCACAGCCCCAGCCCCAGGGTGGGTGCTTTTAAGGGGTCATTTTCTTCCTTGCTGTGATTTTCATTTGTTTAAAGAGAAATGATTTAATTGATTTTTTAAAAAAATTTTTTTAAAACATTGAACTGACTCATTTTCAAAAATTCAGTCAAATCAATACAAAGAAAAAAATGCAAGAGATCCTTTTAAAACTTCTTATCTAGAAATAAACAGTGTAAGCATTTGGTGTGCATCCAATTGGGCATTGTTTTACCCTAGTTGTACACTCGCTAAAGGCTGAATGGCTAGGCCATGGCGCCGGGCCCCACAGTGAGGTCTTAACTCTGTGTCCCTGGGATCTCCTTTTCTCCTTCAGTCTCCCGGCCACAGCGCGAGTCCTTGGGAGTGGAGCAGCCCAAGGGGTGGCAGTGGTGGTGTGGGAGCCCACAGGCTTACAAAGCCAGGGCAAACACTCGGGCCTGAGGGGTTTGGAAATTCAACCCGGCTCATGAAATATTTGTTTTTGACATTTGCTGGTAAACTGTATTGTCCTTTTATAACATAAGACGCTAAGCCAACAACACTACATTCCATTTCAAAATGAGTTCTTGACACTTGCCGATCTTATGTGGTGACAGATGGAGAGATAAGCCCAGTGGAAGGACATTTTCAATGCCTTTCCAGCAACTCAAAAGTCTTCTTGGTTGTTTCCCAGTCGTCTGGTTTTGTAGCTGCTCCTGACTGGAGGTGGCCCTGTCTGTCCATCGTCCCCACTGCCTGCTCCCTGGAGTCTCGCCTCCTCTCCGAGGCCTCTCCCAGGGCTGCCAGCCTACCATGGTGCTTGTCCACAGGCTGGGCAGTGGAGATACTTCTCTCTGCCCTTTCTGTCCTATAATCCTTGCTTCTGTCCTGCCCCATGACCCTCACTTCTGGGTTAAAACTATCACCCCGGCACCGTGCTCAGACCTCCAAGGAAAAATAAATTCCTGTACCTGCTCGGTCAGTGTTCCCGTACTCAGTCATCTTGGAAGTGTTGTCATGTATTCTGACAGTTTGGACCAGCATCCTGCGATTTGCAACTCATTGACTTGTCCTCTCTGTCTGTTTTGAACATCAGATTTCCCTTCTCGCCTTATAGCCTTTGTGGACAAGAAAGCCTTTTTCTAGGTTGATGTTCAGAGCTCTGCCTTCCCCAAGTCTGATTTCATGCATCCATGACCAGCCCCTCTTCTTGCTGTCCAAACTTCTCCTGACTAAAATGTGACATCTGACGCTGAGAACTCTGGAAGCGGAAGCCTGCGCGTGTGTGTGTGTGTGTGTGTGTGCGCGCATGCATGTGTGTGCATGCAAGGGCATAGGACAGAGGACATGATGGTTGGTGTGGGGGGATGCAGGCTGGGTAGCTCACATTTCTCTGTCTCTGCAAAGCCAAGCAGGAGACAACATGCATCCTGGGTACATCCAGGTTAGCAAGGCTGGTTGGAGTGTTCCTTCCCAGTGGATGGCCAGTTAGCTGGGGACCAGGTAGGATGGATTCACAGGAGCGAGGATTCTCTATAGCATCCAAAAGGAGTCTAGAAAACTGAAAGGGCATGGCATGGCGTGGCACTGGGCAGCCTCTACCCACCCTCCACCCCTGCCCCGGGCAGGGAGCCCAGGGGCGGACAAGTCCCGGAATGCAACTTAAAGGATCAAGCAACTGGAGCAGGCAGCAGGTGGCCACAAAAGTCACTTCCCAAGTGCAGCCAGAAAGGGCCTTTCCCAGGCTCTTTTGAGGGCCCTGGGCTGAAGTGTGTAAACATGTGTGTGCTGGAAACTCCGTACGGAATGCCAGGAAGGCTGAAGGGCACTTGAACTCCAGGAAACACACGTAGGTTCTGCTGAGGTTCTCCTGGTCAGAGAGGGGTCACGAGGAGGGCAGAGGGACTGCGGCTGCTGGGTGGGTGAGTGGGGCCTGAGAAGCGGATTGAGAAGGGAGCAAGCAGCACCTTTGAAATGCAGGACAGTGGTGTTGGTGAGGGAGGTTCCCCCTGTGGAAACAGGTCACATGGGCTTCCCATGGAGGACTCTGAGTGTTGAAGTCCCCCACCCCGGGAGGGAAGGGGGAGTGAGGCTGTCTGTGCAGGCCACTTCTTCCAGGAGGTCCTCATTCCATGCAGAAGCTCACACCGAAAGGTGTCTGTCTCATTTCACTGTCAGTGAGATACACGAAGGGACTGGGCCCTATGCCAAGGTTCAGATGAAAAAGCAGAGTTGCTCATTCAGGGATCTGTAAGAACACAGAGAAAAAGAATCCTTCCTTTCCCCCCGGCTGGGAATTTCAGAAGGCCGAGAGAGAAGGAACCCCTGGCTTCTGGATGGGGTGGTTCCGAAGGGCAGCCTTGGCCCCGAGCGATGTCTCTGGGGAGGCCGCGTTCTCCAGGCCCTTTCGCCTGGCACCTGCCCAGGGACTGTGGCATCATCACATCCTCTCCTTCCTCCCCCAGAGCTGGAACACGGCCGGCATTGGAGAATCCCTGACGGACGAGCTGCCCTCCTTCAGCCTCACGCCTCTCGAGTACATCAGCAACGTAAGTGCTTCTGGCTGCTGCGCTATGGTCCAGGGTGGACCATAGAATCTCAGACCTCATCCTGAGGTTTCAAAGCTTTTGACATTTTTAATTCTTTCTTTTATTATTATTATTATTATATATTTTAAAAATTTGTTTGAAAGGCACAGAGGGAGAGAAACAGAGCTACTTTCCATCTGCTGATTCACTCCTCAAACGCTTATGACAGCGGGGGCTGGCCCAGGTTTAAGTCAGGAGCCTAGAATGCAGTCGGGGTCCCTCACGTGGGCTGCAGGAGCCTGTGCACTGTGCTGTCTGTGCCATCGTCACCTGCAGCCTCCCTCCCAGTGTGCACATTAGCAGGAAGCTGGCATTGGGAGGGGAGCCAGGAAATTCAGACTCTGTGTACTGCTGTGCCAGATGCTCCCCCAACATGAGTTCTGATCTTGGCCCTTGTAGGTTACGGATTCATTATCACGTTGGCACTGGTGGGTGACTGCTGTGGGCAGTCACACCTGGGTCCTGGAGGCTAAGGGAGTGTCACAGAGGCAGGCGATGGCATCACACCCTGCCTCATTCTCACCCGTTCCCATCTCTACTGAGGCGAGAGATAGCCAGTGCTTATGGGCCTCGATGTCAGGAGTCCAATGGGACACTCCAACCTGGGAAGTCAGGAAGCAGGTGGCCTGTCTCTGACTTTGTTTTTTAGAAGCACAGCATTTACGTGGTTTTGAGATCAAACTCATCCAACTTTGAACGAGCAAGCTATACTGTGTGCCAGGCCCTGTGCTGAGAGTTTTCATGCTTAGCTTCATGGCAGCAGACTTGTCCTGTAGGGGAAGTCGTGGGCAGCTTCCAAGTCAAGGAAAATGCAGGAAGCCCTGCAGGGGAGCAGGGCCACATGGATTCCTCATGCCTTCTCAGGCCCCTGCCCTGGGCACTGGGTCACCCAGGGCATCTCGTGGCTTTCGCTTCCCTTCCTCCCTGCAGCCCAGCTCAGCACTCTTCAATGTCAGTGTGCGCATGCGCTGCCCGCTCACCTCTCCCAGGGAGGGGATTCAAGGTAATGCCTTGCTTATGCCTTTGCCTGAGAACCGGGTCCTGAGTGACTGCATGGCAGTAGCTGCAAAGGGAGCTTACAAGGAAATGTTGCCCTGAGAAGGAGTGTCCGGAGTGAAACTCTTAGGATGTAGGCTGCTCTTTACAACCAATGGGAATGGGCTTATTTTTCAAATCAAGAGAATATGCTTTGGGGCCATTGTTGTGGCATAGTGAGTTAGACCTCTGCCTGTGGTATGGTATCCAATACTAGTGCCAGTTCAAGTGTCCCCTGCTCCACCTCTGATCTAGCTCCCTGCTGGTGTGCCTGGGATAATGGAGAAAGATGCTGTAAGTGCTTAGGCTGCTGCACCCATGTGGAGGACCTGGAGGAAGGGAGCTCCAGGCTCCTGGCTTTGAATCTACCCAGCTCCGGCTACTATAGTTATTTGGGGAATGAATCAGTGGATGGAAGATCTCTCTGTCTCTCTCCTTCTCTCTCTATGAATCTGCCTTTCAGATAAAAATAAATAAATCTTTGAAAAAAGAAAATATAATTCATATCTCTACCTAGATTGATTTAGAACATGGTGTTGCTGGGAGGGAGTTGAGAGGTAAGGTTGACAACAGCGAGGCGTGGAGAAGCGAGGGAGGCTGGGCGAGTCACGGCGGTGGGTCGGTGGGCTTCCTGCCGCTGTGAGCTTCTTCAGTGGTCTGCAGCACCGTCCCGTAGGCTGACGAGCAGAGCTTGTAAGAGGAACATCTGCTGGAGACACACCGCAAACGAGGATGGTGTATGCTCGCGTCGGCCAGGTGAGACGTGCGTGGTCTAGGTCGCATCTGTGAGAGGGCAGGAAGAGGCAGCGGGGGCCAAGAAACAGCAGCCACTTCCCCAGGAGCCACTCTGCCAGTACGCCGGCTGCTTTCCGTGCCTATCCCTCCGGCTGTGGTCTGGCTGAACATCCCACAGCCAAACGGTGCTGCCAAAAGTTATTAGCTTCATTTTCGTCCAACCAGACATCCTGAGAGTTAACAAGAAATTACACCAGTGGGTTTTTTCTTTCTTTCTTTCTTTTTCCTTCATTGCTTAGTATAGTCTTTCACTCGAAGGAGGCATGTGACAACTTACCTGACTTCAGAAAGGTTATAGGAAATGGAATTAAGTTTATTTTGGTGCAAAATAATGCTGACACCCTTGCCTAGTTTTTCCATGAGTGGACTCTTGATGCACCCTAGTATATTTTTTACCCCTCCAACCCCAGGTGTTGTCTTAACCAGCATTATCATACCTGCTGGAAAGACAATGCCTGGGCTGGCCCAGCATCCCTGTTTTGTGCCTGCACAGAGATGTGCCGCACGGAGTAGTGGCTGGTGTGTATCAGTGCCTTCTTCTGTTTCAGATCGGGCAGTACATCATGTCTCTGCCCCTGAACCTCGAGCCTTTCGTCACGCAGGAGGACTCCGCCTTGGAGCTGGCACTGCATGCCGGAAAGCTGCCGTTTCCCCCCGAACAAGGTGAGAGAGAGAGAGAGGCCCCGGGCGCCGCACCCGCCATCCCAAGGGCAGTGGGCATAAGATGGGTGCACACATTTCACACCTGTACCGTTCCACACACTGCACACGTACCACTCCAGACACGCACTGAAATTGTGGTCAAAATAAAAGGAGACTCTCCACCTTTTACCTTGCTCCCTTCTGAGCCACTTGTGACCAACACACTTCCAGCTGGAGCTGGCCTGACTGTTTCACCATCTGGGAGCAGATGCCTGCAGGAAACCACAGTGTCCCTGTGCCAGCGAGGCAGTGATCCTGAGGGCCCAGGGCCTCAGCCGTTGGTGGCAATGGGAGTGAGCTCCCAGGGCAGGGTCCCAGCCAGCACCTTCTCCCCTCTGCTCCCTGCTTAGAGGTCCCCGGGCCATATAAAGTGACACCTCCTGAAAAAACAGTTTTCCTTGTTAGGACAAACAGAAGCTGTTCCATCTTGAGGTGGCATTTCCTGTCTAGTTGCCTCTGGCTGTCACTTGCTCCCTGCTGCTGGAAACTCCTGGATCTCTTAAGAGCCAAGGCAGACATGTGTCCTTGCTCTCATTCTCTGGGCCTCACCGAGATGAACAGGGACTCCATACTTGCCGAGCCAAACTCATCTTGACTCCTAATATGGGGCCTGATAGGTCTCCCACGGCAAGGCTGAGCAAAGCAAACACGTCAACACTTGGCTTATAAAAGGCTAAGCGGTTCAGAGGCATCGCCACACGGAAGGTGAAATTATATCCCCGGGTGACAGGTCAGTGGTTGCTGAAAGGCTTCCTGAGCAAATGCAAATACAAAGAGAGCAAGACAACCACAATTCCTAATAACTGAAGTGCAATTCAAATCAGAAGAAGGCAGATGGGATGAGAGTGATGCTTTCCTGTGGGTGAGAGGGGGCCCCCCAGGCGGCCTGTAGTGGCCAGTGCCCATCCTGGTCCCCAAGCTCTGAGAGACACGAGACGAGCTGCCAGACACCTGAGGACTCCACAGAACCATCTAGGGTGCAGATAACCCCATGCCTTTATTTTAGGCTTTCACAGAGCAAAAAAGAAAAATTGAGTAAAAGAAGAACTGAGCAGTCTAATTGAGGTACTCGATTTAACCTACACATAAGCTTTTTTTTTTTAATTTTGAATTTTATACTATAATTCCATAGGGTCTGGTGCTGTCTAGCTGCTGGTCCAGCACTCTTCCTGAATGACTTTTTCTAGATAGAAGGAGGTTTAAAAAAAAAAAAAAACTTTACGTGTGTGTGTTTCCTATGAGGAAATAGAAATTTTCCAGGTATCCTAGGTCTGTGTGTCACACGCAGTGAGTTACAGCAGAGTCATCTACAGCAGAACTTTGACCTTGTCCCTGACCTTGTCCTGTCCTGAATGAGGTCACCCGTGCCTGGCCCGGGGCAGTGGTGGCGGGAATCCCTTGAAGACAGCAATGGTCGCTGTGGGGCTGTGAGTGTGGGTCAAGGAAGAACATGCTATTGGCGTGGAGGAGGCTTGGCCATCCGTGGTGGGCCTGGCTGAGGGGCGGGCGTGGGCAGCTCCTATGAAGATGGGTGGTGGCAGACCTGTGATGATCTCAGGGAGAGTGGACATCCTTCTGTTTTGAGAATTAGACATTCTCTCTCTCCCTCCCACCCCCTTTGTCTGCTGATGTACTCTTCAGTCGCCTGTATCCACACAGACAGCCCAGGAGGCAGTTGGGAGCTGGGGACTCAGTCAAACCCGCCCACAGAAGTGGAGGGACCCAGTCCCTGGAGCCAGCCCCTGCTGCTTTCCCAGGGTGTGTGTGAGATCAGGAGCTGGAGCTGGGGCTCTGGCATGGGACGCAGGCATCCTGGGTGGTGAGTGAACTACTCAGCCCCTTCTCTGATTCCCACAGCGCCCAGGAAGTCAGAGCCATCTCTGCTTCACAGGTGCACAGCCATCTCAGGGAGCTTAGGCACCATTCATGGGTAGTGATGGATGGCCTTGAACCCCAGTCTCAGTGTGGAGATGATGCATATGGAGGCTGGGGGACATCCTCTCCTACCCCCCTGTGCCAGAGCTGCTCACCTTCTGCCTGTATGTTTGGGGCTGTCCTCTCCCTCCTGCCAGCCTCCAGGGATTGATGTTGCTTGGCCTCACCTGATCACTTCCTTCTCAGAATGCTCCTTAATGCTCAGGCAGCATCCTTTGACCTACAGAGTCCTCCGTTTCCTGGGTTTTGTTCCCACTGAGACCATGAGCCCCCTGGCAGGCCCTGGGCAGAGCTGCCCAGTGGGAACTTTTTCGGGTGACCTGTTGTTCCCCTTCCAGGAGATGACTTGCCAGAGCTCGACAACATGGCTGATAACTGGCTGGGCTCCATCGCCAGGGCCACCATGCAGACCTACTGTGACGCCATCCTGCAGATCCCGGAGCTGACCCCACACTCCACCAAGCAGCTGGCCACTGACGTGGGTGCGTCCCCATGTGGGGGTGGGCGGTGGCTCAGAAAGGGTGGGTCCTCCCTGCTGCCCCTCAGCGTGCAGGAATTCTTATCTCTCTAAATAAAAGGTTGGCTGTGGAACTAGCTAGAAAAGCAGACTGTCCAGGCCGCCCACCTCAGCTCCTCACCCCCCCCCCAGATGGTCTCACTCAATGAATGCACAGTGAACATCCCTGACGTCTGAATTTCAAAAAACATCCCAGGGGAGTCTGCGCATTGAGGAAGGCTTCAGTGACGCAAGTCACGCAGCCTGGATCTGCCTGGCTTTTGCTCCGTTGGTATAATAATTACCAGCTAACGTTTATTAAGCTCCTGCTGCATACCAGGCATGCCAGGCACTAAACCAAGCCCTGTACCCATCACCTTAGGCAATGCCAGGCTCTCCCAGAAGGCAGGTGCCTCGTCCCCCGTCCTTGCTACTTGAGTAGTGGAAGGCCAGAACCGTTGCCCTGTGAGGCCATGGTGTGAAGGCTGCCCTCAATCTCAGGGTCATGCCTTCTTACCCTGCCCAACCCTCCCATCACTGCTGGCTGCACTGCTCAGCTGTGGTGCTCTAAGTGTGGGTGTGCTACTGGCATGTGACACAGGAGACCCTCCCATCCTGACCCTGTGTCCTGGCACCAGCTGGTCTGTTCTTCATCCCAAGGCAGCTCTTGTCTGTGTGTGCATGTGTGTGTGTGTGTGTGTGTATTATATAAGTAGAGGTGATGGACACTAGCTTTCTTAAAATTTTCGCACTCAGGCCAAGCTCTCAGCCTTGTGTGACCCTGTTGGAAAACCCCCGAGTACAGGCCACCTGCCGAGGGACCTCGTCTGTGTGCGAAGGTCTCCTCTGTTCCTTGGGGTGGGGGTGGCCTCCGTGGTTCCATCCCGCCTGATGCCACCACGTCCTTCTCCTCCCCATCCCCCTGCCCCACCCACAGACTACCTGATCAATGTGATGGACGCCCTGGGCCTGCAACCCTCCCGCACCCTGCAGAACATCCTGACACTGCTGAAGAGCAAGCCTGAGGACTACAGGCAGGCCAGCAAGGGCCTGCCGCGCCGCCTCGCCGCCACCGTGGCCACCATGCGGGGCGTGAACTACTGAGGACGCGACTGCGGGAACGGTGACCTCCCAGCAACTGTGGGCGGGCTGTCCTACGAAGACGCGATTCTCCCATTTCACTGAACAAAGCTCATAAGTCGGAGGGGTGTTATTTATCAGACGGGACTTTGCAGACGATTTTTTGTAAGTGATCTGATCTGAATAGATATGGTGAAATGCAAGGCGTTAAGTTTCCTTTCTTCCTTGGTCGGTGAGTGCTTGGGCGAGGCTCCTGCTGGCTAGGAGAGCGAGGGAGGACTCGTCTGGGTGGGAGGCAGCGTTAGGGAGCACAGGCAACAAGCACCTTCGGCCTGGTCAAGGGGAAAGGTTGGGGGACCCAGGTCCTAGGGTGTCTTGTAAAGATTGTGGCTTTTACTCCCCAACCCTCTTTTTAGAAAAACTTTGCAGGATGATGTGAATTTTGCTCTTTTTGGATAAGACTGTAACAGACAACATGCTCTGAATGACTTAGAAATGCAGATTAATTTTTCTCCATAACTGGATGTCGGCAGGTAAAGGCTAACTGAGTGGCTGGGCAGAGTCAGGGAGCAAAACTACCCCCTTTGCCACCATGTCCTCTTTCCCTCTAGTGACAGAAGCCTCTGCATTGTCACTTACTAGACAGGTGACCTTGGGTGCCTCACTTCACCTCTCTGAACCTTAATTTGCTTATCTGCAAAATGGGCTGGTAGCGTTTCTCAGTGGTTATGAGCACAGGACGAAATCACACCTGGCTGGGTGCCTGGCATGTGGCAAACACTTGATGCAATGCAGCCATTGTTTACTGCCAGCGGATGGTAACAGGCAGTGTGGTGACAGCTGCTCCCATTAAAAGCCACGGGCACAGCCGGCAGCATGGTAACCACGCAGAGCCTCACAGCCGGGGCTCCAGTCTGCTGAAGAACCTGGCTCTGCACTGGAGGGGACCGTGGCTTCCTCCAGGCCCTCACTGCTTGCACCTGGCAAAGCTGCCCTTGGCATCAATGTCTCCACTACCACGGGCACCTGGCGATAGGCTGGCTCGTTCACCTTGCAGACTAAAGAATCCCACGGTATTGGGCCAGGAGGGCTAGGCCTCAGAGGTTGTGTGCTAAACCCAGAGGTCCTTTGTCACCTGGAGCTGGCAGGCAGATCTGCACCTGCTAGACCCCGTTCTTCAGTAGCAGCTTCAGAGTTGCTGTTTGGCCGTGAAGAACAGGAGTGGGTGCTTGGTGCAGTGATTGAAGCGCTTGCCCTGTTGGAGTGCCTGGGCTTGCCCTGTGGCTTTCCTGCTACCCCTGGGAGGCAGCAGGGGGTGGCTCAGGTGGTTGGGTTCCTGCCACCCTCAGGGGAGATCTGGGTTGAGTTCTGGACCCCCGGCTTCAGCCTCAGCAAGGGCCCGCTGTGAGTATTTGAGGAATGAGGTAGCAGATGAGAGCGATTGCTCACTCGTTCTCTCAACTTAAATGCAAATAGAAATGATTGTGAATTTCAGAAAATCATTACAAATGATTTGTTACTGTAGTGTGTCCCAAATATTGCATGCATGATCTGTGTTGTCTGTCTGAGAATCAGGCTAAAGAGCAGCCTGGCAGCTGGCATACCTAGGAGTCAGGCCACTGGCACCCTTGGACTCTGGGCAGGGCAGGTGGATCCAGTTGAATGCCCCCCCCCCCCCCCCCCGTATTGGCGGCCTAAAGGCGGCTTCAGGGAAAACCTGAAAGGAGCTTCGAGAGTCAGAAGAAAGGCGGATGCAGTGGCATAGTAAACTAACCCTCTACAGCACTGGCATCCCATATGGACACTGGTTCTAGTCCCGGCTGCTGTTACTTCCAGGCCAGCTCCCTGCCTGTGGCTTGAGAAAGCAGTAGAGGATGGCCCAAGGCCTTAGCTCCTGCACTGTGTGGCAGACCCAGAATGTCCTGCCTCCCAGTTTTGGACCTGCCCAGCTGTGGTTATTGTGGCCATTTGGGGAGTGAATCAGTGGATAGACAATCTCTCTCTTTCTCTCTCTCTCTCTTCCTCTCTCCCTATTCCTCACCCCCATAACTCTGACTTTCAAGTAAAATAAAATAAAATTTCAAAAAGAGAGAGTAGCCCCTGGAGCTTATAAAGAACAGGGGTTGACTTGGAGTTTTCTACTTTTATTTTCCAGAATGAAGATTGTGCCCACACCTGATGCTGTTCCTTGAGGGAAAGAGAGAGGAGAGGAGGGGAGGGTAAGGGAGCCTGAACCTGGTGCATGGACCTCAGGGCGTGCCATGTGCTCCTCTCAGGCCCAGAGCGACTGGCACTGGGAGGGCAGTGGGTGACTACCAGGACAGCCATACGGCAGCAGCTGGGGAGAGCACAGTTGCTTCCTCCTGTGCCAGCCCCACGATCCTGGAGAGGGGTACACCCTTGCCGTGGAGCTGGCTGGTCACTGCTGGCCTCTCTGTGGGGAGACAGGGGTTCTGGCCTCTGACACTTCCAGCCCAGGTTCTTGCTGCGGAAGGAAGGCATCACAGAACGAGACCATGGACCACAACTGGCCTCCTCTTCTTGGCTGTAAGTCCTTGGGTTGCCAGGGGCAGGGGCAGGCTCTACACAGCATCACCCTCGCTATCAGACTCCATGATGTCCAGTGGCTGCAGGCGTAGGGAGTCATAGTTGGGGGGTGGGGTGCCAGGGATCGGTGGAGCCTGCTCATGGGAGTAGGTCTCGGTTTGGAGGCTGCTGGGGCCGCTGGGACTGGGAACATCTGGTTGGAAGCCCAAGTTGCTGTGTGCCTCCACCAGCTCGGCCACAGTGGGTGGCGGGCCAGCGTAGCGGGCCTGGGCCCGCCTCTGCCGCAGGCCCTTGACAAACGCCACCAGCTTGATAATGGTGATCCACACGAAGTCGATGATGATCTCGGCAAATTCAATGAGGCACAGTACGGAGCCCCCCATCCAGAAGCCGAACTGGCCGCCCAGATTGGACAGCAGCCAGACGATCTGGGGGAGGGGAGACAGAGGACCGAGGGCCTTGGTGGAGGGCTCAACATACTCCTGAATTCAGCCCAGCCTTGAGAACGCTAGTGTGTGTGACTGTCCGGCCGTCTCAGCCCAGGGTACTGCTTTAGGGACATCCTCACTGCTCCCCATGGGGCTTAAATGGTTCCCACTGTCAGGGTACAGGGGTGCAGGGTTTTCCCTTCACCCCTAGACTCACATTGTTGGCGGCCGACTCCTCAATCGTGCGATAGTTGAATTCTTGGAAATAGATGTTGAGTTTGACCACTCCCTTCCTGCAGAGGGTGGCAAGAAGGGCTGTGGCTGCCAGACTCCCATGGGGACCCCAACACAGAGGCCATGCAAGCCAGGGCCCCTTCCCCAACCCTCACATGCCCGCCTTGGCAGGTGATGATATCCAAATGAGAATGGCTAATGCTTGTTGGCCTTTGCTGCTGTGTTACCACCACACCCATTCTGTTTCCTCTCAGCTTGAAGTAGCCCTGCAGACCAGTCCTGGGCTCCCTTTTCCTCTTGCCCAGCTTGGGCCCTGGGACAAGGCTCTGAAGCCTTGCGCCAGCACCAGGCCATCACTTGGTCCAGGCATCCCCATCTTCAGACAGGCTTGCTGGCTCATAACCCCAGGCTTGAAACCGAGCCCCTGCCCCTCTGTGTCTGCTTGGACTGAATGGCTCCTCTTCCTTCCCCTCCTATTTCTCCCCCTCTTCCTGCCCTTCCCTCTTCCGCTCCTCCCCTCCTTTTTTTCTCCTTTTCTTCCTCCTCCTCTTTGGAGTTAACTCAGATTTCCTCTCCCTGCATTGACTTCCTGGGCTTCTGGATATGTCGACCTTGTGTCTGGGCACTCAATGTGGGTCTGTGTGGGATGGATGGATGGAGGCATGGATGGAGGGATAGATGGACAGACATGGATGGGGGGCTGGCTGGATGGATGGGTTGATGGATTGATGTAGGTGTGGATGGAGATAGGGATGGAGGGATTGAGGGAGGAAGGGATGGATGATGTATATATGGATGGTTTTGATGCATTGATATAGGTGTGGATGGGGGATGGATAGATGGGTGGGTAGAGGGAGGGAGGGATGGAGGCATGGATGGATGGATTTGATGCATTGATATAGGTGTGAATGGAGGCAGGGAAGGATGGTTGGAGGGAAGGCAGGCCTCCAGATGGATGAGTGAAGAATGAGTAGATGGATGACAGATGGAAGAACAGGCTCCTCCCTGTAGGGGATGGGGGTGGTCTCTGTCTCTTGGCTGCCTTCTTACTCTCACTCCCATGGCCTCCTTCTCCAGGCCTGTCCTGCCTCTGTCCAGTGTGGGAGAGTGCCCAGGGTAGCTGCCCTGTGTCCAATAGCCTGCCCAAGACCCTAGCTCTTCTCCTCTCTTGCCCACCCCTGGCTCTGCCCAATCTCACCTGCTCAAGGTGATGTTGGTGCTCTGATCCCGCTCCTGAGACAGCACATGGAAGATCCAATCCTGGAACCCCGTCAAGAAGGCAGAAGCTGAGAAAAGTGGTGCCCTCCCTCCTGGCTGTGGGCCCCAACCCCCCCGTGTGGAGCTGGATCACTGGCTGACACCTCCCCGGAGCTCCTTGGGGGACCATGGGTTAGGCCAGGGAACTAGGGGAAGGACACAGGGAAGCAGTGGCTGCTGGGAGAGGGCAGAAGAGCCCAGCCATCCTGTCACCAGGCCTTCTTTTCCTTGGGCCTGGAACCTGCTGCCCCCCCACCTGGAGGTCTCCACAGCTCTGCCCCGGCTGGCTCAGCCACAGCCTGCAAGATCTGAGTGTGGTCACCAGGTAGCATGGACCGACTCACGGCTATCCCTTCCCCTCTGCTTTGCCATCTGTCTTCCCCCTCAGGATTGGGCTTCTGTGCTCTCCCCTCCCAGCCTGCACCCCACACACTCGCTGAGCACAGATGCACACACGGCTATGACTGTGCCTTGAAGTAATAAGACCTCTTCCAAAAGCTCTTAAGACATGCACTTTGTTTAAAAAAAAAATGCTGCATGGATTTCCCAAAGGTTTTTTTTTTTTTTACCAAAACAAGCTTATCTTGTAATGCCATTTTTTTCATGAACGTTTTGAAGTTCCCTTGTGTAGCATTTCTCCCCCACTACTGCGCATGATCTGTGAGGCATGGACTGTGATAGCCTTGTTCAGGACTACTGTTGTTTCTAGCAATGTGTAGGAGTACTGATGGAGGGAAGGGAGGGTGGGGGAGAAAAAGGAACAAAGGAAGGGAAGAAGGGAGAAGAGGGGAAGGAGGGAAAGAAGGAAAGGAGTGAGGAACGAGAGGGAGGAAGGGAAAGAGAAAAGGGGGAAGTCCTATACCCCAAAGTGCTTAGCCCAGTGCCAAGGTGGCAGGGCAGGAGCTTGACCCTTCCTCCGTCTCACCTCAGAGGCCTCAGAAGGCCAGTCGGCCATGGAGATGGTCATCTTGTATTGAGTGTCACTGGAAGAGACGACCCCAGTTGTTACTGCACTGCCAGTCCCACCCCCAGTCCCCTTCTCCCCCCACCTGTGTGCACCCCCAGATCACTCACTTGCACGACTGTTTGCACATGCGGATGCACGTCTCCCTCTGGGCCTCGCTCATCCGTAGACCCAAGTAGCAAGAGACTGAGCAAGAGACAGGACAGGGGGACAGGGCCTTGGAGAGCAGATTGTAGGGGCCTGCCTCTCCCCCATGGAGCCTCTGGCTGACCCCTCCACCCTCTGCTCCCTGCCCAGGCCAGTGCGGATGGGGGCACCTCCTGGCTTTCTGGTTCGGCTCCGCCAGCCCAGCCTGGAGTCATGCACTCCACACACCTGAGACCCGGCTCATTGGGGTTCAGCAGCGTTGCCTTGGCTGTCCAACAGCCAGGGCTAGGACATGCGTGAGGGCACAGTGGCCAGAAGGAACACAAGCCTCCCTTGTCCGTCCTCTGTGTTGGCTTTGAGAGGGATGGGGTTTCTACCGCAGCCCCAGTGACTTCGGGTTTCACACCCTTGCAGGTTGCCATGGTGACAGGAGCTTCCTCCCAATCTCCTCCAGCACCCCACGCAGACATGGATGGACACACAGTACACATGTGCACACACATGCACAGCACAGAATCCACAGTGCACAAACGCAGACACCTACACACATATAGACACACCCAGAGCGTTCCTAAACAGACACAGGGACACATGTGAACCCTGACAGCTCTGTGCCAGGCTCATGCACACATGGGTTTGTCCCTGGCAGCTAGACACTCACCCCCTGGAGACAGAGTCACTCTGACCCATGGACACGTCAAGCACACGCCTGGCACAACAGAGGAGGAGAGAAAGGAGGCCAGGGAGAGGGCATGGGAGGACAGTGGGACCGTGCAAAGTGTTGTGCTCTGCCTCTCGGTGGTGGCCAAGGCCCACTGTGGGCAGTGGGCACAGCTGGCAGAGCCTGTACTCACCCCAGTCTGGGAAGTCCTGGCTGTTGCAGTATTGCTGCCCAGCGGGCAGAGGGTACAGGTAGTGGGCGCAGCGGCAGTTGTAGATCATGTGGGTTTGGAAGCAGGAGTGAAGACAGGCCTGGGGTGGGTGAGAAGAGAGCACAGACATGGCTGGGACATCCTTCCATCGGTGTGCAGGGGAAGGGACCCAGAGAGCCTGGTGGCAGCCAGAGGTGGCCAAGTCAGCCAGAGGGTGGAGTGGGGCACCTGAACAAACAGGAGTGAGAAAGAAACCACACTATCACGCTCAGGGCTCCTGGGCATGGAGGTCAGCTCCAGGCCCCCAAGCTGTGCCTCAGTTTCCCTATCTACCAAGGCAGACCAGGTGAGCATGTGGCAGGGACCCATCAGCTTTGCCAGGTGCCAGCTCATGCCCTGCCAGGAGCAAGGGTTGGGCTCACTGTGGGGGGTCAGGCAAAAGGGCAGCTGCCAATTCCAGCATGAGGGATTAAGGGCAGCTCCATAGGGGGACTGACTTCTGGGGTCTGTCAAGCAGATTTCCTCATTCCTGAGATGGCCATGATAAGCAGATCTCCATTTTTTGATCGTTAAAAGGATTACACGATGTACCATAGGCAATGCACTTGCATAACCTACCATGATTAGCATATTCATAAATGTGGCTGTTATTAGGCTATTACAGCTCTATGGGAGGGATGGCTGGAGGGGTCAAATGAAGGCCAAACATGAAATCGCTTGCATTCTTCTGGGAGATCCAGGAGTGAGATCCCCTTGATGCCTGGGTGGCCCCAAGGGCATGCGCCTGCTGGGGTATGGTGGTGGGGGGTGAGAAACAAGCAGCCCCAGGCCTGCTGAGAAGCCAGAATGGCCCATGCCACCTACAAAAGTCCAGCAGAGCCAGCATCCCAGGGACCTGAGGCATACAGCAAGAGCATGACAGAGATCTGGTACACACCAGGCCTGCACTACACCCACCTGGATGGAGTAGGTGGTATTGTAGCTGCTGTAGAGGTTTGGAATGGGCACGTCAGAACCGTTCCTGGTGCATGTGCTGTAGGGCTCACCCATGCGCTGCAGCTTATCCTGGGTCCAGACAGGATGGGCTGGGTCCAGTTGCTGGTGGATGAACCGGGCAGCCCCCTACCTCCCACCCAGCATTGCTGAACAGAGGACTGGAACCCCCAGGGAAAGCTGCAGGCCCCACACTTGCCACAGAGGGCGCCAGACGGCTCACCTGTCCTCCCACCCCCAAATCCCAATCCTCCTCCTCCCAATCCCAACTCCTTTGGGTTGCCACCATACCACCAGGAACCCAATGGACGTCTCTGTCCCCGACATGGCATCAATGCCCTCCTGTCGGATGAAGGGATAGGAGCGTTGTTCGTGCAGCATGAGCCGGACACCGGTCGTGGATGCCAGGAAGGGGACATAGTCTTCCTGGCCAATGTCCAGGATCAGCTTCAGACCTGTGGCGAAGGAGAGACAAGGGCCTCGGGATGAGGGGGGCGAGGGACCCCTGCAGCAGCTGTTCATGCTCTGCCCTCCCCACTCCCTCACAGTAGAGTTTCTGTCCCACCCTCACAGATACACCTCCCAGCCTCTTGTCTCCAGCCCCACGGGTACAAACCGAGACTCACCAAACTCTGTGCCTGGATTGGCCGAGGGCAGGGCCTTCTCCGTCATGCCCCAGTTGAAGATGAAGCAGTTGCCATAATCAGGATAGAAGATGGATGTGAAGTTTCTGAAAGGATCATCATGGGCTGGCGGCAGACCAGGGCCCCCCTACCATCACTGACCATGATTGACCATGATTGACCATGACCGACAGGCCCAGGCAGCCAGAGAAATGGGAAGGAAGGAGAAGCAGGGGGGCCTTGCTGGGATTGGGGCTTGGCTCTCTGAGTTGGCTGTGAGTTGTTTATATAAAGATATTATATGTATTTATTTCAAAGATGTTTATGGAGAGAGATCTGCTGGGGTTTGCTCCCCATAATGACTACAATGCCTGGGACTCAGCCAGGTCAAAGCCAGGAGCCAGGAACTCCATCTGGGTCTCCCATATGGGCAGCAGTGGCCCAGGCACTTGGATCCTCCTTGGCTGCCTTCCCAGGTGCTTTAGCAGGGAGCCGGATTGGCAGCTGGGGCTCAAAGCACTCACATGGGAGGCCGGCATCACAGGCAATGGCTTAATCTGCTGCACTACAGTGCCAGGCCTAGCCATGAGTTATTAAAAACAAACAAAAAACCAACTTCCATCAGTCTCATATCCCTCAGCTCCCAAAGCTGTGTGCTCATCCTAGCCCCAGAACCTGGTGTGTGTGACGCGATTTAGGATAAATGTGTTTGCAGATCTAAGTTTGCATGATCTTGAATGCTGTCACCTGAGATTATCTGCCTGGCCTTCCATCCAGGGCAGACGTCCTTGTAGGAGACAGAAGAGAAGGCAATGACCCCGAGGAGCTGCCCACATGAAGCTGGGGCTGGGTTACACAGGCTCAAACGTGGGGGGAGTGTTCCTGGCTAGAGGGGGCGAGGGAGGGCGGCACCCTGTCGTGCCATGCCTCCAGTCAGACACCTGTGCTCTCCTGTGTCTAGGGATGGTGGTCATCTGTGGCAGCTCAGGAAATTCTTGTAGGACTCGAGAGCAAAAGGCCTGGGTCTGCCTGAAGAAGCTGCTGGGACCCTGAGAATGGCTGAGTAACTCCAGGAACTCGGAGTGCCCTGGACCTGACGCTGCAGAGGACTGCTGGAAGGTGAGAGGGTCAGGAACTCCACACAGCTTCCTGGAGATGCTCCTCAGGGGAGCTCAGTCAACAGCCCAACAACATGGGCTCTGGGAAGATGCTCCCTGGCACGGCTTGTGCCGACTGTGGTTGGCTTCATATTTATCTGTTTATCAGAAAGGCAATGTTACGGAGAGAGAAGGACAGAGAGGGGGAGGGATCTTCCACCTGCTGGTCCACTCTCCAGACAACTGCATCAGCCAGAGGGTTAGGCCAGGCTAAAGCCAGGAGCCCAGTGCTTCAGTTGGATCTCCCACAAAGGGGCAGAGGCCCAGGCACACGGGCAGTGCACTGGATCACAAGTGGAGCAGCTGGGATATGAACCAACACCCATATTGGATGCTGGTGTCCCAAGTGGCAATTTTCCCTGCTATACCAGAATGTCGTCCCGAGGCCTGGTGATTTTGATCCTGTTTAGGACACCAGTATCTCTATCAGCATGCCTGGGTGCAACTCCTGGCTCTGCTTTCAAGTCCAGTGTCTGCTAATGTGTGCTCTGAGAGGCAGCCGGTGATGGCTCAAGTGCTTGGGCGCCTGCCAGCCATGTAGGAAACTTGGGTGAAGTTGCAGGTTCCCTCCTGGCTTTGGCCTGGCTCAGTCTGGGCTGTGGTCAGTCATCTGAAGTGAACCTGATTTTCTCTCAATTTCAACTAATCAGATACTTTTAAAATGTTGCTAAAACATTGTTATCTTGTGCGGATATGACCCGGACTATTGAGAGATGAAGATGATGGTGTCAAGGATGCGTAGTGGGATGGGAAGATGGGTCCCCATGTTGGGTTTGGTGTTGGGTCCAGGTGGGTTCATCCAGTGCTGGTCTATGTGTGTGTTCTCAAGTCTCCCCAAGACAAAAGCTTTGAGAAACATCCTGGGATGTGATTTAAAAAACAAAACAAAGCAAAACAACCTGTTCCTTTTCTGTATTCAAAGAGCGTCAAATGATGTTAAGAAGAGTTCATTGACAGACTCATCTTTTCCAGGGGTTAGGAACCTGAAGCTGTGTGTGACCTGGGAATTCATTAGGTCTGTCCCTGCCAAGGAAACTGCAGGCACGTGAAATTTCCAAGGTCCACAGCAGGCTGTTTTAAGTTGATCATTCTGTATGGCCCATGAATGATATTAGCAGAAAAAAAAAAAAAAAAAGATTCCCCACCTTTGTTAGGCCTTCTATTCTACATCAAACATTCACAGAGCAATTTTATGGGCCAGCCTTTGTGGAACATTCTGGAATAGCTCATCCCCACTTTTAAGCCTCAAAGTCACCCTAGGAAGTTAGGTGTCATTTTTTTCCAATTTTCCAATAAGGAAACAAATTCCCATGTCACCCCCTGGGCCAACAGAATAAAGTGGGCCCTGGGCAGGCTGGGGAATTAGACCCCAGCAAGCTGACCCCAGTCCCACCACTGGCTGTTGGGTCTGAGCTGTTTACTGATGCTTGAAGCTTGGGTTTCTTCCAAGGTGAATGAGGAATCAGGAAAGGAACACATTTCTTCACCTGACGTACACAAACTGAGGTGGCCTATGGGCCAGGGACATGGAAGACAAGACAGGGCTGCCCTCCCAGTCTATGCGATGTCCCAGGGACATGAAAGCTAACAGAAAGAACTCCCGGGGGCCAAAGCTTGGAGAGCAGGGCCAGAGAACACACCACGTGCGTACAGCCCAGTCCCTGGCGAAAACAAACAACATGTCAGAGTGGAGAAGCGGCTCTGCTTCCTTCATAAAGGACCCCAAGTCACCAAGACACCCTCTTGGAGAGGGTGCTGGTCCCCACTCCCCTCCCACAGGCCAAATGCTGGCCCCAGTGGCCCACTTCCAGGGCACCGTGTGGGAGCCAGGTGAGGGTAACGGTCTGAGCCAATATCACTTTGCTCATGATATAAGCCCCAACTGATCTAAGAACAGGGCAAAGGCAGAAAATCTAGCAAAAGGTTCTACATCTTGGAATCCAAGGAAGTAACATGTGTGCACACACTCAGGCTTTCCCACTTATTCGTTTAGCAACCAAACATTATTATTATGATCTTTGCTGAGCATGAGAGAAGTAGAAGACAAAAAACAGCAAAGGGACATGCTTCCCATGATAAACCCAGGAGCCCAGTGAAGAGAAAGAGGAAATTCCAGCCAGAAAACCAAACCAGAAAGCCATCTAAGAAATGTTAGCATTGTCAAGGTCATCCACCCAGGAAGTCGGTGAAATTGCCAGGAACGAGGGAGATAGATAGCGTGGGCTGCCGAATGGGGTCTTGGGGCAGCAAAGGGGAACCGGGCAGAGCTGAGGGAAGCCGAACCAACGAGCTGAGTCCCTGCCGCTCCCCTGGGAGACCCCAGATTGGGCTCTGGGTTCCTAGCATTGGCCTGGCCCAGGGGGGCATTTGGGAGGTGAACCAGCAGGTCAAAGCTCTTTTTCTCCCTCTGCATCACAGAATGAAGGATTGAATGCAGTTGAACCTCACGCCATGTTTCCTGTGCATTGGGCATGGTTATGAGCCTGCTACATATGTGAACCCACACCAGCGCTGAGCTCCTTGCACTATCTCCATTGTCCAGATGAGAAAACTGAGGTACGGAGAGGATGGGTAGGGTGACCAAGGACATACAGAGCTGGCGTCCAGATCTTAGCAGTTGGGGCTGGGGTGCAAACATGGTTCACCTTTTCCCTACTCTGCAGCTGCCATTTCTTGGGCATTTCATCATGTCCATGTGGGAGACCATGGAAGCAATGCCCACCCAGCACAGTGCCCTAAAGGTGCCACCCAGCACAGCACTGGGCCGCCGCCTCTGGGAAGCCCACCGGAGGTGCACACAGCTGTCCCCAGCCAGGCTGGGCCTGGGGCCACACGCTCACCGGTGGTTGCAGGGCTCTGCCCCAAACAGGCAGGCCAGGATCATCCGCTCAGCTGACGAGCCCATCTGTTCCAGCTGCCCGCGTGGCACCTGTGAGAAGATGTTGGTGGCCTGCAGGGCATACCACTCGGTCACTGCCTGGGTAGCGCTGGTGAAGTTCCGGAAGGTGCACACAGTCCCGTTGAGACTACACTGTGGATGGCCAGGGCAGGTTCCAATGGGTGTGAGGAGCTGCAGGCTAGGACTTCCCTCCCCCAACTTCTGGCTGCTCCCCCAAAAAACCCAGCAGGGCAGAGAGGAGTGCTTTAAAGCTGGGGCACACATGGGTCGGGAGCAACACATCCTGCTCTGCTGCAGCCAGCTGTGGGACCACTGCCTCTGGGACTCCCACGGCAGCCCTGCCCATACACACGCAGATGACAGATACACACCACACACAGACACACAGAAGCACACACACATGCAAAGACGACAGATGTCCACACATACACACACACACACACACACACACACACACACACACACACACAAACACACAAAACACAGTCATGGCTTTAGCTCTCAGCTCCAGAGCACATGACTCATGGCTGGCCAATCACCAGAGCCTGCCATCTTGCCCACAGTGATTGGGAGGTGAGCTGATGACACTGTTGAGCTGGTAGGAGGTGGGTTTGACACTGATGGGCCCCTCCATGGGACAGAGCCTGCTGGGGGTGAAGTCAACTCACAGAAAAGCTAGAGCAGGATGGAGAGAGATGGAGGCCTGTGACAGCACCTGAACGCCTAGGTGCAGCCATACCTGAACCCAACAGAGCCCTAGGCTTCTCATTTATATGACCCAGTGAACTCCCTGCTTTGCTTAAGCTGGTGCGAGCTGTCACCTGGATCCATACTAGTTTTGAAAACCTTCACAAATACAGGAAACAGGCCCCATGTCCCTCCCCCAACCCAACAAGACTTGCATACATTGAAAAAAAAGAAACCGCCCATCAACCTTGTTCAACAGACCCCATCGGTTGAAGTGCACCTGGGACTACTTACTAATCTCATGGCTACTTTACACCCCTGGGCATTGCAGGTCTGTCCTGGCGCTGGGTTGCTGATGGCCAAGCCGTCTTGGTCATGGCTAAAGAGGTCCAGGACCACAGGGTGCTGTGGGTCATGCTCGTCGATCAAGACCAGGGGCATGTAATTCCACAGGGTGAGGTTCAGGGTCTTGGTGGTATTGGTGGTGTTGGCCTGGCGTGGCTCGGGAGCCAGGATGCTCTCCAGCACGGCCTCCATCAGCTCGTCCAAGTCCTTCAGCAAGTGCTTGACCTTGGAGTTCCTGGAGGGGGAGGGGCTGATCAGGAGCAGCCCTTCTTGGGCTCCAGCAGGTCTTGTGCAGCAGCCGCCAGCTCCCTGGACCCTTCCATCGCTCATTTGTTCATTTGTTCTCCCGTGAGTTGGCTGAGCATCTACTATGTGCCAGGGATGGCAAATTGGGGAGCAAATGAGACAGACAGGACTCTTTCCTTATGAGCTTTCCTTTCTAAAGAGAAGGAATCCTTGCAGCTCCTGGCCACTCGCCATGCGCTGGGTGCTCCATGGCTTTCTGTCTTTCCCCCTTGATTCTGTCATCATCCTCACAGAGACAAGGAAGGGAGGCTAAGTGCATCACTGTGAGTTCCCAAGCTCCTCTCAGGCAAAGCTGAGGTTGAGACCAGGGTTGGGTGGTCTCCCCAGTTGGGGAGGGGGATGCTCTGATTGCTCTCCCCCAAGGGGCCAGAGGAAACTGCAGGGAGGAGGGGAGGGCTGTGGTCCTGGGGTGGAGGGTCCTACTCCTCCAGCCATGATTTAGGAAATCAGCTCCTCCTTCAAGGAGGCGGAGAGGACAGCACCCAGATCTGTCCTGCATCGTCTCCCAGCAGCCCCTGGGGATCCCATGATGGAAATGGTGATCAGTCTACCTGGGAAAAATGAATCCATTCACAAGGGGTTATGTAGAGGGGACCCAGGCCCTGTGTCCCCAGTGACTACAATGTAATTTACATGAGATGTGGCTCCAGAGTGTGGTTACTGGAACCGTGCGTTCTGGCTCTGGTTGGGGGATGTCCTGTGGGACTGGGGTCCTGGCACGAGGGTGTATGTTAGTCAGAGCTAACACTGGCCCAATCCTGGCACTGCTTATCCTCCGAGCATCCACCAACCACCTGTGTGCACACAGGAAAGAGGACCCACCCCAGGGCCTTTGTACATGACATCTCCCACTGTTTGGGACACTGTCCTTTGGAAGACTCCCTTTTGTCTTTAATCCTGACTATTCGGAGTTTCCACCTTCCCTTCAGGCATGCCACTGAGTGGTGAAGGGGTAGCATGGTGGAACGATTTAACAGTGGCAGTCCTGGCGCCAAATCAGGCACACATTCTAATCCCACAGCTGCTCACTGTGTGTCTCTGGCCCAGTCTCCTCACCTCTCTGAACCCACAGTTGTTCAGGTGTAAATGGGGACTGGTAGTGCGTCAGTGCTTTGGATGGTTGATGATAGGCATTCCACATGGGACATGCGGCACAGCGACTGGTGTAGCAGAACTGCATGTGTGGAGGACACAGTATTCATTGCTATGTATTCAGAGTCTGGAACCAGGCCTGGCACATAACAGGTGCTCAGGAAACAAGGAATCCAGAGAAGCTTTTAAGGTTTTCTTTAAGCCTAAGAAGCTTGTGAACTTGGGATCCTGTTGCAAAACGGTGAAAGCAAAGAAGCAAGGAAGGAAAGAAACAGGGTAGAAAGAGAGAAGACAGAGGAAAGAAGGAAGGGAGAAAGGGAGGAAGGGGAGGAGCCAGCCAGGTGCTGGGAGCAGCTCCCACTCCTGAGACCACCTACTGGAAGGGGCTGGCATTGCAGATGGTGACGGCAGGGAAGTCCATGGCCTTGAAGCCCATGGAGAGGGAGACGCTGACCTCCCAGTCCAGGTAGGTCTTGATGAAGATGCCCCACTGCCAGCAGACGAGGGAGGCGAAGAGCAGCGTGATCAGGAACCACATGGCCTTCTTCTTGGGCCCCTCACGGATGATACGCTTGGGGCCATGGGTGTTAGTGTTGTCACAGTACCACACCAGCAGCTCCTTGTAGGTGTAGCCAGGGCCCTTCTGCAGCCGGTGCAGGCACTTCAGCAGGTACTTCTTCACCTGCATCATGGTGCCTAGAGAGAGAGAATGAGCTGGTGAGGTTGCATCAGCCAGGATGTCAGCTTCCACTAAGAAGAAGCTCCATTCATGGCCAGAGATGTGGCTGTATTTCCTGACCTCCCCTCCCCTGCCATTCTTTATTCTTTTCTTGCTGTAACCATCTATCCATTTGGCCATCCACCAATCCATCCATTCACTCACTACCTAGTGATCCACTTATCTACCCAATCAACAAAAAAAGCATTTACTTTTTAAAAAATTATTAACTTCAAAGATAAACAAAGATGCAGAGAGAAAGATCTCCCATTCATTAGTTGGCTCCCAAATGTCCATAACATTTGCGACTGTGCTAGGCTGCAGCCAGGGGCCAGGAACTCCCTCTGGGTCTCCCACATGGGTGGCAGGGATGCAAATACTTTAGCTGTCCCCTGTGGCCTCCCAGGGAGTAGCATTGGCAGGCAGGGGCAATGGCAGTGGAGCTGAGGTTCATATCCAGGCACTTGGATGCTGCTGGCTGCAGACATCCCAGGTGGTAAGTTCCTGACTACACCCCACACCCACCCCACAAAGGTGTTTCCTGAGTGTCTGCTGTCAGGCACGGAACTGCCCCCCACACACACACACTCAGAGATGAGCAAATCAGGCAAGGGAACCCAACACACTGTGGATGAGTTACTCAGATTGTTAACTCCTCAGTTCTCCCTGTGTAATGAGAGGATGATACTTACATATCATTAGCATGATTGCTGGAGGGTGACATGAGGTAATGCACAGTAAGGATGAAGCACAGTGCCTAGGATGGACCGCTGGCCCAAGTGCCAGTCACCACCATTACTGGCTCTGGGTGGGTCAAACACATGTTAATCTGATCATGCATTTAAAATGCACAGTCTCCCTTGGTAGATGAAATTACAGCAAACTCAAAAGCTTCTGCCCAGCAAAAGAAGCCATCGCCAGAGTAAAGAGACAAAAGACAGAATGGGAGAGAATATTTGCCAACTATTCATCCTACAAGAGATTAGTATCCAGAATATATAAGGAAGTCAAACAGCTCCACGGCAGCAAAATAAATAATCTTTAAAAAATGAGCAAGGGATCCAAATAGACATTTCTGAAAAGAAGACTTGCAAACACAAATCAAGGAAATGCAAATCAAAACCACATTGCGGTATCACCTCACCCCAGTAGGAGGACCACTGGCAAAAAGACAGAAGTAAAAAGTGCTGGCAAAAATATGGACAAGGAGGCTCCTACAATGCTTGGGAGAACATACACGGATACTGCCACCCTGTAGAACAGTCTGGAAGTGCCTCGAAGAACTAGAAGTCCTGTAGGATCTAGTAATTCCATTGCTGGGAAGCTACCCAAGAAAACTGGAATTGGTACACCAAAGAGACATCTACCCAATCACGTTTATTTCTGTATTATTCACAAGATCCAACAAATGGAGCCAGCATACTTCTGCTGCTAGACACCTGTCAATCAGCAGACAAGTGGATCGAGAATATATATCCAACAATGAAATATTACTCAGTCATAAAACAGCAACGAAACTTTTCACAACTGTGTGGATGGTACTAGAAGTTATAGTGTTAAGAGCAATAAGTCAGACATGGGAAGATAAACACTGCTTATTGTCACTTATATGCGGAAATTAAAAGCATTCACTTCATAGAAGTGCAATGGGGAATGGCTGGGAAGGGTAAGAAGAGGCTAGGCAAAGAGAGGAGGGATGTGGGTTTAGGTGCGTGGTTAGATAGGATCTTTTTTTAAAGATGTATTTATTAGGTAGATTTAGAGAGAGAAGGAGAGACAGAGAAAGTTCTTCAGTCTGCTGGTTGACTCCTCAACTGGCCAAAGCTGAGCTGGTCTGAAGCCAGGAGCTCCTTCTGGGTGTCCCACGTGAGTGTAGGGTCCCAAGGCTTTGGGTCATCTTCTGTGAGCCACGGACTGTACAAGGTGCTGCATAGGTTACTTCAGCCTTACTTGGAATTTCTAAAACTACACAGGTGCAACAAAGATGGCTTCATCCAACCAGGATGGCCCAGCCCCCAAGGCTCATCAGGGACCAGCAGGGAAAAAAGGGAGAAATAAACAGAGTTCCTCTGACATCCTACCTGCTTCTCCCCTCATGCCATCATTTGAATTCAGTTAAGAGAAGGGCTCAGCTTGGCGCTAACAGGCCCTTCAAAGCCCTCTGACTTCTGCCAGCCTGTCCATTAAACCATGCGGGTTCAGGTTCAGAATCTGGCTGGACAACAATATTGAGTCTGCATGAGTAACACACAGTTTTTATTGGGTTTACTTTACAGGGTGACTCTTGGATATATAGCGACTTTACACTGCCTTATGTTCCTAAGTGCATGTGAGTGGGGAAAAGGGGAACGTGGAACTGGGAAGCACGGTCGACATTTTTTGCCTAGCAATTATTTTGTTCAGTCCCAGATCACAGTACCTGGGCTCAATGTTCAGTGCCTGAAGACCCTGGCAGGCAGCAGTGATGATGGCTCAAGCACTTGGCTCCCTGCCATCCACATGGGAGACTTGGATAGAGTTCTTGGCTCCTGGCTTTGGCCCTGGCCCAGTCCTAGCTGTTGTAGATATCTGGAGTGTGAAGCAGTACGTGAGAGTACTGTCTGCCTCTCCAAAAATTCACAAAATGAATAATAAAAAAAGAGAACAAAACAATCAGACCAAATCTCATGTGAAACTTCTCCAAGTCCCTGTCTAGTCCCTGTAGCAAGGGTCATGCTGATGCGAGCAGGTGAGTCCCACGCATCCTCCGAGCACAAGCTGAGCGCTAACTTGGTCCTTTGACTTGTCATCTGAGTAAAAACTTTATGAACATTGTCAACAACCTGACATCGCTGAGGTCAGAGTTTCCCCTCAAGGTGACGGATGGTTGGTCCGTGGCCATGTTTGGGATGTACACACAGGTTTTATAGAGGAGTCTGAGTCAGCTTATGGTTTAAATCAATCCAAACAAGCAAACAGGAGACCGAGTCCTGGTGCTGACACTGGAAAGAGTTCACACAGCCAGTCACGCTTCACAGGGTCCCAGCTCGCTATCTATAACCTTAACCCTGAACTCGCGGGACACGTTCGCAGCAGAAAGTATAGAAGCAGTAAGGTTGCAAACAATTGAAAGTATAAGACACCTGCTGCCTTCCAGAAACACCTCTCCCCCCAGGTTTCACTCACAGAGCCCTGAGGCTGTTGCCTGGGGAGTGAGGTGGATGGTGCTTAATTGGCAGCTAAATGTGCTGTTTGTTCTATTTTGATAAACGGTGCAGTAACACTTTCCCCCCTGAAGGAGAAGTTGCCAGTGAGTATGTTGTATTGGATTTGCAGGGGAGTCTGTTGTTGTAAAGTACCGGTTTTTTGCTATCGTTCTTTTTATTTATTTGTTTATCTAAGTGACAGACTGAGAGTGAGGGGCTCTCCCATCGCCATTGACTCTTTAAATGTCTGAGACAGTGAGCGCTGGGTCAGGTGCAAGCCAGGATCTCTTGGAGGGATCTCCCATGGAGTGTGGAGTCCAAGCACTTTGATTATTATCCACTATGTTCCTGGGCACATGAGCAGGAAAGTGGATCAGAAATGGAGCAGCCAGGACTCAAGCTGGTGCTCAACTAAGGCAGATGGGTGTGCTAAGTGGCACCTCAGCTCTCTGCACCACAACCCTAGCGCCCCTACAATTATTTTTAAGTGATAGCTTCATTGAGATAGAACTTACATACCCTGTAATTCATCCACTAAACGTGTCAAGTTCCATGGATTTTTGTGTATTTACAAAGCTCTCCAACCATCACCACAATCCATTTTAACATCTTCCTCTCTTCCACAACGTCCTGTGTCCATGAGTCCCTCATTCCTCCCTTCACCACTCCAGCCCCTGTCCCCGTCCCAGCAGCCACTCATTCACCACGGAGCTGCCTGTTGTCACTTACAGCCTTCTGTGCCAGGCTTCCTGTTCTGCCCATGACAGCCTCCGAGTTCACCCCCTTTGGAACACGCATCCCACAGCATCCCACCTGATGCAGACATGGCATCTTGTTGACCCACTGACTAAACTGACGGGCCCTTTTTCGGAGTGTTTTACTGATTGGTTACACTGATAATACTAGCTATAAGCAATCACACATATCTTCTTTTCCTGAACAGAGACAGGTTTTCATTTCTCTGGGGTGTAATTTTGGAGTTGATAACATGATAACTGGTATGCAGTCTTTTGGAAAACTGTCAGATGGGGTCAGAGACGCCTCACAGCAGGCTAAGCCACTGCCTACAAAGCCGGCATCCCCAAACGAAGCACCAAGTTTGAGTCCCTGTAGCTCCACTTCCCATCTAGTTCCCTGCTAATGCACCTGGGGACACAGTGAAGGATGGACCAAGCACTTGGTCCCCTGCTGTCCTGGAGGAATTCCAGGCTCCTGGCTCCAGCCTGGCCCAACGCTGGTTGTTGGAGACATTTGAAGAATGAATCGGCACATGAAAGAGTCCTCTCCCTCTTGCCAGCCTTCTCCAAAGTAGCTACACTGGTTTACTATTTTCCTGGTAGTTCCTAAGGGTTCTATCTTCTCCATAACATTTGTTATTATATTTTTTTTAATAAGTGATCAAAGCCATCTTAGCGAATGTGGAATAGAATCTTATTCTGATTTGCACTCTCCGATAGCTGCCAGCTTGCACATTCTTAGGAATCTTATCTCCACCTATGGTCAGTGTGTCTTGGGAACAACAGCTATTCAGATCCTTTGCAATTTTAAATTTAGGTTGTCTGTTTTAGGAATAAGCTCCAAGAGTTATGTATATATTCTATACAGAAGTCCCATATTAGAGATAGGCTTTTCAAAAACTTCCCCCCATTCTATGTGTTGTTTTCTTCAGTTTCTTTTTATTTATTTATTGCTGTGATTTGAGAGGAGAGAGAGAGAAGCAGACTGAAGACATGGAGGGTTTCTGTGTCCAGTTCACTCCCTAAATGCCTGGGGCTGAGGCTGCAT